ATATATAATACCTTTTAAAGCTTTTTAAGTTTATTATATATTTATATTTAATATATATTTATTACCTTCTATTACTTTTCTTTATATATTCTTAATAGTTATTTCTTAAAAGCTTAATTAATAGAATTTTTTATTATATTACTCTATAAAGGTTAAATTACTAATACTATATAGATAGTTAGTATATATTATATATAAACTAGACTTTTACTTATATTAAGATCTCTAGCTTAATAGCTACTTTATATAAAAGTAATATCTTTAAGAGGTTTTTAGGCTTATATTAATACTATATAGTATACTAGCTACCTTTTAATACTTAAAGCTAAATTATACTATATTTAGTTAGTATATACTAGGTATAGTACTAGAAGATATATACTCCTTACTAGTAAGATACTTTTTATTAAAGGTATTTACCTTACTTAATAGTTTAAGATAGTATAAATATACTATATAAAGATACTAATAAAACTAATATAATAGTAAATAGAGGTATAATATATACTAAGTATTAATAACCTATATTTATATTCTCTATATATACTTACTTATATATTCTACTACTTTTATTAATTATAATATTATAAATATAGGTATTAACTTATAAGAGAAGGGGCTATTTCTTTTTCTTAATTAGCCTTACTTTTATTTAGTATATACTATAAAGATATAGTATATATATATACTATAGTAAAATCTAAATCTAGATAGATTTTTAGTATTTAAAATATTAATATTTATATATTTATATAGTAAATATTCTATTATTATAAGTAATAATAAAATACTAATTATATATTAAAGTAATATTAAAGAGAAAAATAATATAGAAAGAGTAAAGATTTATTAGTATTATATATATAAATTAATAATAATCTATACTTATATCCCTATTTCCTAAAGTATATACTAGATATATACTAAATACTCTATAAAATAAGAAAATATATACCTAACTTAGTATATATATATACTAAGTATATACTATAGCTATAAATAGAGTAGGGTATATATTTTATATAGCTAGTATAGATATATAGATAGTAGCTATCTATAGGTAAGAATTAATATATTAAATATATTTAGTATATACCTAGTATATACTTATAACTTATAATTAAGATATATAAGGTAACTTAATATATTTTAGTATATTCTAGATATATATTTATTATTCTTAGTAAAATTAAAAAAGTAAATTTATATTATTTTTCTTTATATATACTAAGTATCTACCTAATAACTACCCCTTATTACTATTAAATCTAAACTCTATCTATATATACTAGGTATATAACTATAGATATAGTAAAATTATAAATAAAATCTAATATATCTTAGTATATACTAAGTACCTACTTAGTCTACTTTCTAATTATAAAAAAAAGAAGTTAAAAGACTTTTTTAATATATACCTAGTATATACTTAACCCCTATTTAGCTTTAATTTACCTAATAAAAAAAACCCTAATTCTCTAAATAGTTAATATATACTAAAAATATATTTATTATTTTAACTTACTAGTAAAAAATTAAGTTTAATAAATATTTCCTATATCTATATTAGTAAGTATATACTAGGTATATATAAAGCTACTTACTACTACTTACCTATAATTACTAGGGTTTTTTACTATAAGATTCTATTAGAAGTTAATAAGTATATATAGAGTATATTCTAACCTACTTACTAATAAGGCCTTTATTTTTACCCCTTTTCTTTTTAATAGTAACTTTATTATATAATTTTTCTATTAGAGGTTAATAGGTATATATTAAGTATATTCTAGGTTACTTACTAGTAGGGGTTATAAGGGTAGCTACCTCCTCCTCTTTATCCTCCTTTATATAAGGTTAGTTCTTAGGTATATATTAGGTATATCTTAGGCTATTTACTATTATTACTAGAAAGATTTTCTATTAAAGGTTAATAGGTATATACTAGGTATATTCTAGATTACTTACTAGTAGGGGTTAAGGCTACTACCTTCTTCTTCTTATCCTTCTCTATATAAGGTTAGTTTCTAGGTATATACTAGGTATATTCTAGGTTACTTATTATTCTCTTTATAGTTAAGATTATAGTTAAAAAGATTTTTTACTAAAAGTTAATAAGAATATACTAAGTATATTCTAGGTTATTTACTAATAATATTACTAAGCTTATTATCTTTATTAGTTATATAAGGTTAATAGCTTTATATATACTTAGTATATTTTAAACTACTTATAAAAAATAATAACCTATTTACTTTTATAATATAGGTTTTCTATAAAAGGGTTAGTAAGTATATACTAGGTATATACTAGGTTTACTTATTAATAGAGGTAGTACCTTTAGTAGTCTTATACTTCTTTTATAATATCTTTATTAAAGGGTTAATAGGTATATACTAAGTATATTCTTAGTATACTTACTTAAGGGTTTATTATTACTATTAATATTAACCTTAATTTATTAATATTAATATATACTAAGTATATCCTAAAGGTATATTAACTTATACCTATACTATATTTATAGTAAATTATCTATAAAACTTATAAGTACTTATAGCCTAGTATATACTAAGTATAGACTTATTATCTTATATTTATAAAAAAGTTTTTTTATTTTATAGTAAAGATAGGATCTTTTTTCCTAAGTTAGGTTAATATATACTAAGTATATCTATATAATATAATACTTATACTTTATAAGTAAAGAAGTTATAAGTTTTTATAATAAGTCTATTAAAAGTCTTAGTACTAGTATAGTTAGTATTAGTATATACTAGGTATTAAGTCTAGATTTACTTACCTAGGCTTTAATATAAATTATTCCTTTCTCTAATTATTAAAAAGGTAATATTAAAGAATAAACCTATATATATAAGTATATACTAAGTAGATATAGACTAGATACTTATTAAATATTTAATATTATTTTATTATTATTAATATTATTATAACTTATAAGAATATCTTAATAGTTAATATATACCTAGTATATACTAAAGTAGGTTATTTATTAATAAGATTATATATCTACTTATAATATTTATTTATTTAGACTTATTTAATATATACCTAGTATACTCTTTATATATACCTATTTAATTAATACCTTAATTAAAATTAAATATAAGACTATAAAGAGCCTTATTAACTATTCTAATATAGTATCTTCTTAGAATTAGCTAGGTATATATAAGGTATACTTAAGGTTACTACTTATATTATAATATTTATACCTATAACCTTAAATACTATTTACTATTAGTATATACTTAAGGTATAGTTATAATATATTTACTTATAAGTAGCTAATACTTTAATAGTAAAGGTAATAAAAAGGGTAGAGTTTACTTTTCTATAAGTTAATAAATATATATATAATATATACTAAGTATATACTTATAACCTTTACTAGTATTATTATTAAAAAAAGCTATTATCTCTATTTAATTATATATTAGTTAAAATAAACCTAGTATATACTATATATATATTTACTTTTCTTTTTACTAATTTTTATTTTATTATATTATTTAATAAAGCCTAACCTTAGGTTAGTTAATTTAATATATATTAAGAATATACTTACTATAGTATTAGCTAAGGGTATTAATATATTCTTAGCTTATATAAATATTAAATTCACTATTATTAAATATTACTAGTATATATTTAGTATATATATAGCCTATATAAGGTTTATTATAAAGCTTACTAAAGAAATTAAGAATATTTTAATAAAAGATTAATATATATATAATATATTCTTATTCTTTATAATACTTATAACTATTATACTAATTATATTACTATTTTTATATTTAATATAGTTAGTATATTCTAAGTAAATACTTAATAATTTAGTAGTTAATATATATATTTAATGTAACGGACTGGCCCTAGAGGGGCTTCGGGGGCAACCAGCCCTGTAGCCGTTAGTGGCCTTACGGCCACAACCCTCTTGACCACAAGGCTAAAAGGATTCGTAACAACAATACTGACCTGTTGTTGTCTGGTTGCACCTATAAGGGGCCCCCCTTCAGGGGGCTCCGCGCCGGCCACTCTGGAAGGACCAGGGCGGGCTCCGTAGCCCAGCCCTTAACATACCCTCTCTCTCCCCGGCGCGCCCACAGATAGGCCACAAACCCCCCAGGCTCCAATGCATAGCCTGTGAGCCTAGGCCGAACCGTGTACGCCAGCCCCTTTTGCATGACTGCACACGCCACGGTTCGAACCTATGACCCTGGGTAGTATTGTTGTTTGTAACGGACTGGCCCCAGAGGGGCTTCGAGGGCAACCAGCCCCGCAGCCGTCAGTGGCCTTACGGCCACAACCCTCTTGACCACAAGGCCAAAAGGATTCGTAACAACAATACTGACCTGTTGTTGTCTGGTTGCACCTATAAGGGGCCCCCCTTCAGGGGGCTCCGCGCCGGCCACTCTGGAAGGACCAGGGCGGGCTCCGTAGCCCAGCCCTTAACATTTAAAGATAATAAAGAAAAAAAAAAGAAAAAGAAAAAGCCTAGGCTAGGTATATATTTAATTACCTAGCTATATATAGGCTATAATATATAAATAGAAATTTTTTAAATAATTAATTAATTTTATTTAGTTTATTTTTACTTCTTAGTCTATTCCTTAGTTTTAATATAGTTCTTAGAAATATTTATTTATATATAACTTTAGTGTGGCTAGCTAGTATCCTATATTTATAATATATTTACTAATAAGCTTTATTATTCTATTATTTTTAGACCTACTTTTATAGTAATTAACTCCTCTTTAGGTTATTAGTGACTCCTTTTAAACTATAACCACGAGATACTGCCTGATTTTTTTCTTAGGGTGCTGCCGGGCAAACCTCGGACAGAGAAAATCCAAATGTTCCACTGACTAACAGCGCGAGCTTGGCCCAAGTCTACTTTATGACTTTTTTCCAGCAGCCAAAACAATTTGAAATAATCAGGAAAAAAGGGTGCCGCCGCAGCTTCATATCGCAAAATGATTATCCCTATTCGCTGCTTCTCCTGTGGCAAGGTAAGACGTGACTCGCTTCTTAGCCTTGCAATGCGCGCGCGACTGACCAACTGGTGGCAGGTCACTGGCGACCTCTGGGAGCGATACCTGCAGCTCATTGCCGACCCAAAGAAGACTGATGGGTGCGAAATCCCGACTGGACTCACAATATCACTTCTAACTAAATGCTATAGTGATGCGATGGACGAGCTTGGACTGAAGCGCTACTGCTGCCGCCGCATGATCATGACCCACGTCGACCTTATCGAGAAGCTCCTCAAGTACGATCACTGGCGCATAACTAGCCGACTTGGACGCTGTACAATGACTAACTTGTTGCTTCGTTTAGATATACCCCCGACGGCCGAAGTGAGATCAAACAGAAACTCAACGAACAGGCATAAACTACAAAGCTCGCGTCAGCGCAATGCGCGCGTAAGCTTCATGGGATGGCGTTTCTCCGGTGCTTTCGTTTTTTCTCCGCTAGGTGGTACGGCGTACGATAGGGGAACTTTGCACTAGTTATATGACATATATTTTTTATGTTTTGGAAAGAATGTCTCAACCACAGGTCGAACGTGATGCCGATGCAGTCAGCGGGTGGTGGAAGCCTGCACCGCGGCACTCCTTCTAGCTCAGAAAGCCTACCTCCGTCGGTCGGGAAAAGGTTGTTCTGGGCTTGCTATAAACAGGGTTATGCAACGGCCGTAGGTGGCGGAGCCTGGTCGGCGGCAAGTCCTTTTCTCATGCCGTAGCCTCGTGCTGCACAACAGGAAGGCGTCTGCCATGGCTAACCACGCGTGTCATAGATTGCATCTACAGAGAGGCCCATGTGAACAGCCTCACCGGTATTACATGTCTATGTATAGAAAGTTACACTTCTACGAGCCCGGCGATGGTGAGTTGTGTAACACACCATAGCCACTTCATCCAGCATGCAGGCAAGTGTGGTAGTGCGGATACGACAACCCGAAAGGCACATTTTGGGACACTTGAAATGGACCGGTCAATCATTGCCAAGAGGACTCGACCTATCTGGGTATGTCTGCCCGACGGAAGCGTGTGCCGTCGTGTTCGTCGGGGCGGTCTGCCAGAGGCGCGACCAGGCGCCTCTGATGGGGCCCTTTGGAATTATGAGGCTGACGCGGCGTAGGAATATAACCGTGGTGGCTGCTTTACCATGCGTTTGGGATGAATGGGTATGGAAAAAGCACATTACACACCTGAAGATATTACTGGGTGCTAATGCACCATATCCCCAAAGACTCAAGGGCCGACTATCGGGGTATCCAACGTTTATATTAAGTCACCAGTGATCAGTAGTCAAAGATTATTACGTATCGACTGCGAGCAAATGTAGCTAAGTAACAACTACAGCAGCGTTGCGACGCAGGAGCCGGGGTAAGAGCAGTAGGTGATGCGCATGTCAACCCGCGACGGACTTGTGAATATTACTTTTCGTGGTCAATCCGTAGATGGCAATAATACTATTTGATCCCTCCAGTTGCATCTACAACGGCATGGGGGGGGGGGTGCAGCCAGGCCACGATCGCCATGTAAGCCCAGTGTACAAATAGTGGCGTGTGGAGGCCGTGTGGAGGTTGAGTGTTGGCATTGATGATTGTCGAGGAGACAATGAACAGGAAGCCGCCGGGCCCAGATTGTCGGGACCAAATGGCCAGTCACAAGGAGGGTGCGGAGCAAGCCAGGCTGTCTTGTCTCACAACGGTGACTTGGAAGTTGGTGACGCTAGAAGGCCAAAGTCGACATGGGGGGTAGGGAGTGGTGGTGGTAACCAACTGGAACTGCATACCTACCCAGCCATGGCATCCTGGCTGGGTGACGTGCGGAGCAGGCTGAATTACCCCGTACAAATTACTGATAGCTGAAATATTGAAAGCTGAATAGAATAAGCACGGCGGCTGTTGCGGGCCGGAGGACACGCACTCAGCCGTTCCGGAGGTTAGCCTACCTAGTTAGGAGCGCAAGCAGCATCGACACAGACGCTGGCCGGGTGGTGGGCAAGCCGGGCCCAGGCCGTTGACCAAGACTGCCAGCAGACGAGAATAATAAACATCACAAGTGTCAAAGGCAGTAGCTTGGCGGACGTTGTCCACACCATCTCAGAGAAATGGCCAACAATCGTTGGCTAATGACAGCCACAGACTTGACTTTAAGCGCCGAAGCCTGCTGCCTTGCATGCAGGGCCCACGGGGGCGGACCAGTCAGGGTCGACACGGCCTGCAGATGGCCCCGGTCCGGGTGTGCTCTGACTGGCGGATGGGCGAGCAAGAGTCGCTCGAGAAGAGGAGACGCCATGCTAGCAATAGTTAGCTATGCCTTTTGTCGGGATGGCGTTGCAGCCTCGCGGCGTGGCTACCCAGGTAGCGTCGGTCGACATGTAGTTCGGCGTGAGGTTTGCGCTTGTGGTCGAGAGTTGGGCGTGAAAGAGGAGGAGCTGGAGAAGCTGGGCAGCCATTTCGAGCGGGATTAGTCCGGTGTTGGATGTGACAAGGGGACAGTGATGCTTGCGGGTGATTGTGGTTGATGTACGAAGTACGGATACTGTGTTTGTAGGAGAGCAGTCCCCGCGTGTGCCTGTTGTGATGGGTGAATTAGTACTGATGCCTGTCATGGCCCTCAAGCCTCTGGCGGTTACCAGTGGCTGCCTGCAGGGGACCGAGACATGGCTTTGTAAGTCGGCAGTCAGATGGCCATGTCAGGGATTCGCGTTCACCAAGGGATCAACATGTCGATAACTAGTTAAAAAAAAAATGTCCAGTGTATTGCAGCCCGTTTGGAGTTTTTTTTTTTCTTCCGATTTGTAGGACACGAATGACACTGTGCAACACCATCGAGTTGACAAGCAAGTACCATACGGTAGGACAGGAGAGAAGGCTGGCTAGCAACTGGCATCGAAAACAAGCGTAACGGACGGACGGACGGCGGACCCAGAACTGTGGGTGGACGCTAGGAAATACGCTATTTTGACTATCTATAGCGACCTCAGTAGCGGCTGCTCCACCCAAGCTCAATGCCTTCCGTTGAGCGCGCCTGAGACGAACTGGTGTTACAACTCGAGGCTTCTATTTTGCCTATCAATAAGATTGCCAACGCGTCTCGATGCAGCAGCTGCCCGCGTAGATGCTGGGGATGCCAATAATAAATCCTTCATTGGCTGACGTAATGGTAATGGAGGGGGAGTGCAGCTCCAGCTCTGACTGCTGTAAGAACTGACTGCATGCTGGTGCGCCAGCTGAGTTCCGCAATTGTGTACTCCGTACGATTGCGAGCTACAGCCAAATCCCACATGCACATCCATCCGCCTTCATGGCCCATGGCCCCGGCCCGCCTGGCAGAAAAAAAGAATTCAAAAAATACAGGCAGCTAGGAGAGTACCTAGGTAGGTACTACATACTCTTTAGTTCTAGTTATTAGGAAAGGAAGAAAGAGGCGCATCTGTCGGACAACATGACAGGGATTTACATCCCTCCACTTGCTAGGGTCCCAGCGGCCAACATGCGGGCGAGTACAGGACATGTAACGCGCCTACATCGAACTGCCGTAGAAATACCTTATGGATACTTGACCTACCCTGTCAAGCCATTTTCACTGTCAACCCGCCGCTGCACCATTGTGACTCTACTCAGAAGGACATTTCTCTGCGTGCAAGGCTCAAGCATTCTCTCTGCAACATTCTTTGGACCAGTCAGTCGGGCAATCAAGCCGCCGCCGCCGCCGCAACCTGCAGGCTGCATTCTGCCCACCTTCAAACCATGCACACTGGTACAACTCCATTCTCGACCCGCGCTGCTCCCTCGCCTGTTTGCCCTTCTCTTTTCTTTTAAGCCGCCGCTGTCCATCCATCACCTCTTTTCCTCCCACCCTTTCAACCTCGCCGCCATTCATCGCGACCCTAGCCTGCTTCTCTTTCGAGACCATCGTCGCTCCAAGCCGCACATCTCTCTCCCGCGCCTTGTGTCGTGCCTTGCCTACCTAGGTACCTCAGGTAGCTCTCGGCGCTTCCCCCACCTTGGCCTCGCTCTACGGCCTGGCACTTTGCCATACCTTGGTAGCTCACAATCAACACATCGCCTGCGCCGCCTCTCCCGTCCCGATTCGCCCGTGCCTGCCTATATCGAGAGCAAGGCGTATTTTTCTACATCGCGCGCACTCGCCGCCCGTCGTTTGGTGTATATATCCTGCGCCAATTGCCCTCCATTTTCCGTCAGCAGCCCCGTCATCCTTGCTTCGCGTCGCCATGTCCCTCGAAGCTCTCTGGCGCCCTTCATCCTTCAACATGGCTCACCCAGGCGACCGCTCTGCTAGCACAAGCTCCCCTCGATCTCCTCTAATTTTTAGACCTCGGTGTGTATCCTTCCCCCTTGTCCAAATCACCCGCCAACCTTGTGCTAATACGCGCCCAGCTCATCTCCTCCGTCCGCCACGGGCTCCGGCTCTTTACAGCCTAACGCCGCCAACAGGATATCCTCCAACCCCAGCCAGCTTCTAAGTCCTAGCGACCTGGTTGGGCCTTCTCCCGTCACTTCAAACGGCACTGAGACTACCGAAATTGAGGACGATGTTGCCGATGATCTATTAAGTCCACAGGATGGGGACCCCACACAGCACACTGAGGTACCCTACTTCCCATTTTCTGAGTTACATATATAGGTACTAATACTGGGCAGCTTTTACTGCTTACTACGACCCTCCCAGATAGCATCCGTCAAAAGGGCCTGGAAGAGTCAAATTCTGTCATTCACGCTCCTGAGAGCTTTCGAAGCTGGGTAAGCTAGCATCATTAGTCCTGGCTACGAAAGCATCGCTGACAGCAACCGCAGACCTCCAACGAGTCTACTACCCGCCAAAGTCAATCCAGTGAAAAATCGTCACCACAAATGGACGACGCCAGTCTACCTTCGAGTCCACCCAACGTAAGAATGCACCGAGCTTGACATGCCAAGAGGCTGACGATTTGGTGACCCAGACCTACCATAATCTCCCTCCTGTAAAGACAGACATCAAACCCGTGAGGTACAGCCTGGACAGTTCCACTCCACAAGCCCAGGACCTCCAGGACATGTTGGCTGAAAGCAATCGCTTGCGTTCAAGCAGTACAAGCAGCCTCGAAAGTAAGTCCGGGAAAGCAACACTCGCGGATCAAGTGGCTCATTGGGTAGAAATCGAGGAACAGACAGAGGCCGAGGGTGACGACGACGACCTTTATTCCGACGGCGAGGGACTCTTCGGTAGAGCGCAGCTTCGAGGACAACACAACGAGATCGAGCGACTGAAGCTTTTGTTCAACACAGCATGGACATGCTGTCTCGAATTCGGCAGCTACAATACGCGGCGCAGGAAGCGAGACCTGAGCAGCTCTTCAGTCCCCGACACCCATGTCTACGCCTGGCAGACCTGCTGGAAGCTCTGCGAGCGACTCTACAGCGATGAAACCAGCGACAAGGATTCTCTCAATATTCGTGACGGCTTGAATTTGTGCAGAAAATTTTGTCAGGCGTTATTCGAACTCCGTCCAAGGAAGGACGAGATATTCGACTCAATGTTGCGTGTCACTTTTGAATTGAACAACCAGTAAGCATTTGTTGCGTCTTCAGCCGTTGTCTTGGTCACAGTACTTACTTTGTGCAGTCTCTATAGTGGCCAGGATAACCGGAACCTCCCCGAGGCATTCAGAGAACGCACGCTTGACTTTTACGTAACTATCTGCCACCGCCTGATGAAGCAACGAAGTGTCTTGCAGGACGAGTCGGACAGAATTTTGAGAGCGTGCTGGTCCTTGACAGAAGTTCTCTTCAGTATTCGTCAAAATCGGCGGGACGGAAACCCTCCAGACGAGACACTCTTTGTCGCTGCCATCGAAGCTACTTATAACCTCAACGACTTGTTCCGCGAGGGACTCAGCGCCTCCAGATCGGAAAGAAGCACACCTCGGCCCAGCCAGACAAGCTTTTCCTATCATTCCCCGGAGCAGACGGGCAGGGAGAGTCGTTCTTCCAATCATTCATCGCGTTCCAAGCGAGAAGGCAGCAGTAAAGGGTCATTCCAAGAGGAGCGACCAAGAAAGCCCCCGCATGTGCCCGAAACCCCCGTCACCGAGTTCGAAGACACGCCCATCTCGCCGGAAAGTCGATCCCCCCAGATGCCCAACATCATGATCCTTGGTCCCACCAGCGATGGTGGCCGTGGCAGCCGCTGGCCAAGCAGCGCCTCCAATTTGTCCAATTATTCGCACAACAGCAACCGAACCTCGAGCACTGCCACCACGACTACGGCCACCGAGGACCTCCATGTGACGCGCGCCAAGGTTCTCGTCTTGCGGGCCGCCGTTCAGCTCGGATTCAACAAGGAGGCGATTGTGGACGTGAAGACGGGCGCGACGGCGCTACAAAAATTCGCGTCGGAGCTGCAGCCGGGTGCGTTTGGCTCCCTGGCCACGCATGCCACCCTGCTGCAGCAGTACAAGGAGTCCATTCTCGCCGACAGCTTCGTTCCGCGCAGCAGCTTTGTGCTCTCCTCGCGTATGAAGAGGGTATCCGTACAAGACCTGGCCAAGTCGGTCCAGGTCATGATCGGCACGTCCCAAGCCCGCTTTGGCTATCTGAGAGAGTTGTTTAAATTTGTCTGCAGCTTTCCGCTGGAAGAGGCGGATTCCCGGCGGAATCTCATCATACAAGTCTGACATGGTAGGCCAATACAGAGGGCGATTTTGATTAAACAAGGCGGAACGGGCGGCGGCGGCGGCCACATCGCCTGCTTCTTTTGCACGGGAGGCTGGCTGCACGCGCAATCATCGCCTCATTTCGCAACATGCCGACAAGTCATGGACTTTGCAGGCAATTTCGGACATTGAAGAACATTTTCCAGCACGAGACCAGTATTGATAGGCTGGGTATTCTTGGTGCGACACTGGGCTGGATGCATGCCCAGCTCGGGCGACGACACATCCAGCCGTTGTTTTGTCGACGCTCACCCAATACACAAAACGCAAACACACACATCACATATCACTCCCGCATTAGTTATCACACCACCGCACATCACAGACATAGCGAAAGATACCCAAGCATTATTGCACACGAGACATGACCCTTTCCTTTACCTATTTTTTCTTTCTTGAATATGATGTTTTTTTATAGTATTTATAGCAATCACAGACGCTTGATCAATATAAAAAATTTGAAACCACCTGAGTAAATCAAAGTAATTAGAATCTTTGGAGCAAAAAGCCAAAGCAACCGATAAAAATAGAAATGGGTATCTCGTAATACAGAATGATGACGCACCAACAAACTCCCCAGACAAGTTATGCACCTCCCAAAAAAATATATACCCAAAGTGAGGAAAGAGCCAAGCAATAAGCAGAGTAATCAAAATAAAAAAGCGCCAAGCCGTGGCATCATGTAGAAAGCAAGAAAAAAAAAAGCACCTTGTCCAACCTAGGTGCAACACCAATAAGGCAGCTTATCCGCCTCATGCCCGTGATTGATAGGTGCAAAATGCAACAACCAGCAAGAGGCGCATGCGACCAATCTTGGCAAATCTATCAGAGAGAGAAATGACAACCAAGCGCTTACATCCCGCCTTCCCGTAATTCAAAGGGGGGTGCCGCCCCAGAGAAAGAAAAAGAAGAACTTTCTGCGCAATGCCTGCACGGAATGGAGGGCGGGCGAGGTCCATTCGCGCAAGTATAAAAACATGCTCTGAGCCCGAAAGGAGGCTCACCTTCTCTCTCTCTCTTCATCCCACCCAGGACAAAGGCTCCCAGGAGACATAAAGGGTCCTAAGGTGAGTGGAAATGTGACAACGCTGAACTCACCGACCAAGCACGACCCGACAAGGACGCAACACTCACAGATGTCCCACCGGTTTCCCGTATGAAATCTCACTTTGAAGCAAGCCCCCAGAAAGAAGCGCGAGATGCGTATGAAGAGTGTGATTTTTATCTCTCAAGATTCCCGACATTCACCCATTGACCCTGTTCTCTGGTGTCACGTCCCTCGAAACGCCGATTCGTCGACGTTCGAGCTAGGAGTAACTACCAGGAGCTCCAGGTTGTCAAAGTCAATGTCTGCCGGGAATGTTTGATCAAGAGATTCAAAATACTCTTCGAAGCTGAGCGGAGCCGCTGTGGAGGCGAGCTCCTCGTGCACCTGGGACATATCCGGCTCGGCGGCCGCAGCTTCAATGCCGTTGTTCGCCCCGGCATCTAAGTCTGCGACGCCATGGTCGGCATAGTCCCCGAGGAGCTCGACTTCTCCGTCGGTCAGTGGTTCCTGCGGGTAGCCAAAGATCGCCAGCTCCTCCTCCCTGGAGAGCGGCAGATCCTGCTGCAACGCTCCCGGCGATGGTGGGAAGGAGGCTGGTAGCTCTCCCGTAGGCTCCTCCGACTCTGCTTCTCTCTCTTGCTGGGTAACTTCCGCTTCCACTGTTACTGTGAGTTCCGGTGCTTCCTGTTCGGTGGCTCCCCAGAGACTCTGCTGGTGGGCAGCGACGACGACCTCGGGTGATTCGAGCGCTACATCAAGCGCCGCGAAACCCGTCCCCGGCAATTGCTGTACGTGGCCGTGAAGCCATGGCTGGGAAACCAAACCCCGGCTCTGGCTTTCGTACGGAAATTGCTGGGGAAACTCGGCAAACGGATCATGTTGGCCCGAGTAGGCTGAGGTCATCCGTGCTGGCTGCCCTCTCAGAACGGTCTCCGGTTGAATGAGCCCCCGAGCCTGGCACATCTGTCGGCTGAACTGCACATTGTTCGTGGAAGCGTGGTGATTGGCCTGCGGCCAGAATACGGGAATCTGTGGGAGTATAAGTATCAGCAGTTGGTTTCGATTAACATTTGCAGGTGAGACTGACTTGAGAAGTCCGGTTCAGAGGAACTTGGTCGACTTACTTGGTTGGTGGGGTTCTGCGGCACAGCCATCAGCTGATTCTGCTGCAGATGATGCAGATGCTGCATTTGCTGCCTTTGCTGCCTTTGCTGCATTTGCTGCCTTTGCTGCATCTGCTGCATCTGCTGTTCGAATGACTGATATGCCTGCACCTGTGCGCCAACTTGTTGGTATGCCTGCACCTCAGCGTTGGCCTGCTGCCATGAGAGGGCGGTTCGCAACTTGTTCACTCCGCGGTGCCCTCTCCGCGCTCTTGGAGCTGTGGGCACCGCAGGCACAGGTGCTGCTGCGGGTTGTCTGCTGTTCTGGTCGGTGATTGGCGAAAGTCTGTGGTATTGTTAGTGATATATTCGAGCCTGGAATTAAAGAGACAAAATCATCTTCAAATTTGCCAGTAAAGATAGAACCATAAACAGTGCGTACCGGACTGTAATGCATGACATGGTCTCCTCCATTGCACTGCTTTCGCTGTTGGGCTCTTGTTCAGCGTTGTCGGTTATTTCCATCCTCTCGTTCGACATGTTGTTGGCATCTTGCTCCTGGTTTGTTCTTGGCTGTATACGCGCGGTAGCCGGTATTTCTGATAGCCGCTCAATCTCTTCGGAGCATCTGTTAATCTTTAGGATAGGCTCGCCCGTGTAAACAGGGCAGCTGCATATCCAAGCCCGGGATGTTAGCCGTCAATGCCGCGGATTCGCGCATAGCCGTCGTGGGGGATGATTGGACATGTGCAAAACTTACCCATAGTCGGCGTCCTTTCCGTACTTGCCCACGACATATCTCAACTGGTTTCTCTTCAACTCTCGTCCAAAGGTAGTTTCGAAAACCATACAAATTACCGCATGGTCTCTTATTCCGAAGTCGAACCACTGCTTAAGAACCCAGAAGATTTCGTTGGGCGTGTATTGTGCAGTACAAGGCATGGTTGTGGGTGAGAGGGTATAGTTCGATCGAATAGTAGCTGGATATAGGTAGAGAGGATGTTTTGTTCGTGCTTTGTTCGGAACCGCGCGGCTCGCCGAGTGATCTGAGGAGGCCGCAAGGGACAAAACAAACTTGGTGTTGTGCCCAAGGAAGGAAGAGGGGGTCAGCGCTTGGGATTGAACTGATATGCAACAGCAAACAGTTGGATATAAATGATGTATAGATTGAAGCAAATAGGTCGTGGATCTTTTGATGCTAGGAGTTGTAGACTGGCGGTGGTTCGAGGTGAAAGAAGGTGAAAGTGTAGTGGGCCACCGAGGAAGCCTCTGCCACGGTAGATACAAAGAAGAATAAGAGGGCACAAGGCGCAAAGGGAAGTGATAAGATTGATCAAGGAGTACTGTTTTGAAGGAATCCTTCTTCGTCTTTGGAAGGAAATATATTGGAGCCGGTGTGGTGCGGAGGTGTAGTAGGAACGATGCAAACGACGAAGGGAGGAGGTGCTTGGGAGAGCGAATCTCTTTATAGGTCTAGACTTTAAGGCTTCAAGCCACATCTAATCTCGCCCCGTCCCGATCGATAGCCATAGCCACGCATTTCCCACCTTATTCCTTTTGATCTGCGCAGGGGGGTGCCTCATTTGTGGAAACAAGGCAAAGGATGGCCCGTATCCCTCCAGGCATTCCTCCTCGCCTTGATGATTCACTGATCGGATGCAACGTTTCGACCAGCCAGCATGACCAATCTTGCAACCAATACAGAAAGCAGGAGAAGCTCCCTTTTTGAGATCAACGGCAGGGGATGTGGTTCCTCCCATTGTTGCTTTGTCTCCCGTACGACCGATCATCGATGAGGCGTCCGAGCCGCGAACCGGTTCTATTCTGCGACGCGCGTACTCTCTTCGTCCTTCCTACGATTTGTTACAGAGCCTCTGCCATGTGGGAGTTTTCCCGGGCTGCACAAGCCCAACAATGGGGTGTCTCCTTGGGGACCTTTACACTTTGTCACTGATCAAGAGAACTCACTTGAGGCGGGAAACCACGCCGAAACTGTACACTTGTGACATGATGCTCCGGAATATCAGCGTCTCGCCTTGTTTTCTTTTCTTCGCCGGCCACATGCGTCTCCCTTCTTCTCTCCTCTTGTGCTTCTCTCTGCTTCCGGTTGGCACCTCGTGTTGCCCGGCTGCACGCCAACTACACAAGCGTACCACGGCATTGGGGGGTTTCTTTGTTGGTAATACGCGTTACGATAGCCACACCAGCTTGAAATGCCCTGTCGTGGCCTGTCATGTCCATTTCTACGTCGTCTTTTGCCTTTTATTGGCCCCTACCGCGCCTCACCCTCCTCCCGGCCACGACGTAAAATAGAAATACAATACAATACCCTCCTCCCGGCCGTTTCCGAGCCCGCATGGTCATTGCTCACCGGAAAGAAAGGCGCGAACTGACACGGTTGTGCAAGTCGCACGACGCAAGACTACTCATTGTCTCTACCAGTGGTGTAATCTGGGGGCTGTAAACACAGACTGGGGATGCCATGGCTCTGCTGTCATTCACAATACGGGCAGAAATGAGGCGACGCGATGCTCCATCCCTGGCAAAGGATCCCGAGACAGTATTGACGGCATCCCAAGAGTCAATTTTGTCAAGAAAGATTGACCAAACTACTACGTTGAATCGCCAAGATAGGTAAAGGGGTGGGTGGCAAGTAGTCCAGATTGGCAGAGGCAGCTTGAACCTGAGGGGGACGGAGGGCGTAACGTCTACTAGGCGGTGTGCCTCAGCTTGTTGACCCTTTGTTTTAGGCAGAACCCTGACGTCGGAAGAGCGAGATAGACGACTTTGTTTTCGGGTTTGCTTCTGTTGGGGCTATGAAGCATACGATGTGGTGCAAACGGTGGCGAAGTCATGAGAGCGGTCGGCGTCAGCATGATTCAGTATTTTTGCTCCAAATCGCTCAACAAGCATCGCCCTCACCTTTCCGATCTGATTTCCGCCGCTTCTATGCTCTCTAATGTCTAGTATACATCGTTTGTCACCATCGTCCAACGCACATGGTTAAATCAGTCGTATTGCGATGGTCAAACTCGACAGTAAATCTTCCTCTGTCATCAAGATAGAGCCTCCTCCCCGCGAGAAGATCCCCATCCAGCATTGTACTTTGAACATCTGGGCCATCTATTTCGTCGTCGTCGGCCCAGTCATCATCGCCCGCAAATTCGTCCCCGTCGTCATTGAACAACGGCGGCTCCAGGTCGAGCATGACGAGCCTACAACTGCTCCGTCAGCTTGAGAGTGGCATCATCACGCTTCGGTGACAGGAATAGGACTTAATATTCGCATCGAGTGCCAAGTTGCGCGAGACTGCTGAGACCAACCGTCCGGGATGGTCGTCGTTGTACAGCGCATCGGCCACCAGCACAATCGAGAAGGCAGAAATTAGCCCTTCGCTGAGCCATTTTCGGTATCACCTGTTGTTAATTTTTACACAGCGTACCGGGAATCGAAAAATCTCGCTGAAGAACTCGTGGTCCGACCGCGTCGCGCCTCGTCGCGCCTCGTCGCCTGCTCACGTGCGGCAGGTCGAATGCGCACACGCCCGCCATTATATCCATGTTGGCCGCCGTCTTGCGCTGTATATATCGAGGACAATGTCACGTTTTGAAGCCCACCAGTGGCGCCTGACAGGGCTCACGAACCACTCGTGCAAACGTTGCAATAGCTCCGGCGCGCCGCGCACTATCGCCAACCGCTAAACAACCACATCGCTCAGACAAAGGCTTTCCAACGGTATCCCAGACGACCTTTACGGTATTCGTCTGTCGGTGGACAGCCAGCGAGCGAGGCTTCTCCTGAAGGAAGAGACGTATCGCGTCCTCTGGACACTTGCGGCTTGGGGCCTTGCCTGTTGGCTGCGCCGGCCCCCACGGCTCCAGACGGTCGGTCCCAGCTCCCAATCGGCAGGACAAAAACGAGCTCATCGAAACTGGGCTGCTCAGTTCCTCCACAGCCACAGCCATGGCGAGGCGGCTAGATTGCCGGCCGGGACGTTTCTTTGTTTCCCCGAAACGTGCTAGGTGGAGAACCAAACAGTGCAGTGACACCGACCAAGTGTTTTGTATATACCGTTTGTTCCCCTCGTCTTCTTTCACCTTTATTGATCCTTAACTCTGACGCGCGCGGCAAGGTAGAATGAACCGCGCAAAAAGCAAAAAGAACCAGACACACAGATCCCGTACAAATCGACACCAGAAGCCGACCGGTTGTCTCCGTGAACAAGTCCCTCCCCTCAGAGAACTTCTACAAAGGCGACCCAAACCCTTTTACCAGTCAAAGAAGTCTGATATTCCACTTCCAACTAGGAATAGTAAAAGGGTTTCTTCCTACAAGTCCATTTCTCATGAAGTGGTCCCCGTCAACGTGGGGCACAGCTGGACCCTGTTTTCCTCCCGTTCATATCGGGAAGAAGAAGAGGGGACGGGGGAGAAGCCCTTCATCTCGACCTATGAGATGAGCGCCCCCCCGCTGTGTCGAACTGGTAGGACCGAGTCTTGCGGGCGGACGGGCTTCTGGCTCCGGCACCGTCGGTGCGGAAGTTGCACCAAAGGGAGCCGTTATCCGCGGCGCGCGTAGACGAGGTGGACAAAGTACCTAAACGGCCGGCTAGGTAAGCAGTAGTAGTAAACTATTATCTTTCTTGTTCTTCTTATGTTTTCATGATCTTTGGCTTTATCTTTAGTTGTATCTATCTATTGTATCATTCCAATCCTCCTAATATTTCTTGACTTGAATTGCTTAGAGTGCGAAACTAGACTATCTGCTCGGCCAATTCTTTTGTCATCCGCATGACAGGGTAAAGAATGGCAACTCTGTCCGACACGGAGCGGCCAAAAGCTGGCTCACCTGCTCGTAGTAAATGGAGACAAACACGGGGTAGACAGACAGTCACTTCACACAAAAAAAAACACACCATGTTTGGTTGTACGGATCAAGTCTAACATTGCTCATGTGTTCAAAGCTTCTTTTTGCATCATCGTGGTATCTGTAACGAGGAAAAACCCAAATCATCAATATAGCCGAACCTGGCTGCAAAGGGGGGAAAACAGTCCCCCATGGATGCAAAAACCTGTTTCCCAAAAACAATAACTCCGGCGGTGTAAATGCTACAGATTTAAAAAAAAAAAAACATCAAAGACGAAAAATGACGGAAAAAATACCCTGTGTAGTAGTAATGACCCTCTATGCGCCGTCAGAAACCCAAGTCATGCCGGAAGAAAACGGCTTGCGAACCACACCCCAGCTGCTGCATGCATCAGCGCTTTCTATACGGCTCAAACTCCTCCTTCATCGACTTCAGCCTGCCTCGCATGTTGAGCAAATTCTCAATCTTCTCCTGCGGCGGATGGGCAAGTGCTTGAATCTGGTAGTGCAAGGCTTCGTACTTGGCGTAGTACTCCTTGAACTTTGTCGCCCTCTCCAGCACTTCTCGGGGCACATTGGCTATTGCCTGACGCTTCGCAGTGTCTGCCCGACCCTCAAACTCAGCCTTGCGCTTCTTGATTGGCCGTCGGTGGTCCGACTCAATGTCAGATGCGTTGGTGGGTGGTGAAGTAGCGAGCGGCGACGACTTGATGGGCGATGTGTTCTTGGGCCGGGGCGCCGTTGTCTTTGTAGCGGGACGAGAAGCGTGTTGCATATCCGGCACACGGGACTTGAGCTTCGAGCTAGTCTGTGGCGGGGGCGGCCTCTGCTTTAGTCTCTTGGACAAGGGAGTTCCCGAGCTAGAACTCGATTCGTCTTCGTCGTAGTGAGGTCGCTTTACGGGAGCAGGTTTGGCCACAGGTTTGGCCACAGGCTTGGCAACAGGTTTAGCGGCAGGCTTGGGTGCAGGCTTGGGTGCAGGCCGTGCAGGAGGTTCCTTGCTGACGGTTGGCTTCGGATTCGGCTTCGGCTTCGATTGCGCGAGTGGCGCTTCGTCCCCAGACGAATCCGAGTTTTCAATGATGGCTTGAGACAAGACGCGTGCGCCGTTTGATTTGGCGGCAGCAGCCTTGGGCTTGGTCGGTGAAGGTTTGGGCATTGCGGGTTTCGACTTGGTAGTTGGCGCGGCTCGCTTCGGCTCTGGCTCTTTGGCTAGCTTCTTTGCCTTGGTGGCACTGCTGGAGGAATTCGTCCTCGACATTGGTTCGCCGCCAGCTCTGCTTCGGTCACTGGCGACACTGCGAGCATCTCCATCGTCTTTGGATGTAGTTGAGCTATCGTCTGCTTTTTGCACCTTAATTTTGGGGGCTGGCTGGGTCGGCCCCTTGGCCAAGGATGCTTGAAGTCGGCTCAGGCATTTGCCCTTGCCACGCTCTTCTTTTTTCAGCAACTTCTGCCATTCAGGCTCGAAGGCGGACAATCGCTGCTTGTCATATTGTCTTATAGCGCTCTCAATGGCTGTTTGCCGTTCTTCTTCGCTATCGTAGTCGTAATTCCATACGTCGAGTTCTTTCCAGTAGGTTTTCTTCATACTCCAATTCTTGGTGTCGGGGTGGAACTCGGCCATCTTCTCCAATGTCGACTTGAAGTCTTCCGGACGGCCGACCCATTTCTGTCGTAGGTAGTCTATTGACTTGTCACCGGTAGCGAGTTCATGAACAAGTGGCACTCTGTGTTCCTTGGCTCTTTCAACGGCCTGTTTGGCTGCTGACGGTGGGGGGCGGTGGCTGGAGACGGGGTGTGGCTCGGTGACGTCGCTATCGATCGGGGGACGGCATTGTAGCCTGAGAGAAGCTTGCTCTTGGCCTTTGTGGGCTTGGCAGCATTGGGGGCTCTCTCGATCATTTGAGACCTAGTAGCAAGTAAGTATAACCAGATTGGTTATAGAAGAGTCTGGCACGTGAACAGCGGCCTACCTTTCTTTGGCCGCCTCTCGAGCCGCCAGGCCATTTTGCAGCGCTTCAATGTCAGAATCCAGTCCAGAGTCTGCCGCCTTGTTGGAGGATGTCGCTTTTTGTTTTGGCTTGCTCTGGTGAGGCTTGGTATATAGATTGGTGGTGATGGGGAGCCTGGCTGCCTCTCGGGTTGAGTCGTAGGGTCGTGTCAGGTAGAGTTCGTAGGGCGAAGAGGTTTCGGGACGTGATATACGATGTGAGCTGTTGCCATAGTGTAAGGTCTGTATCCTGCGTGTTAGCACGGCGTCCATTATTCCCAGAAGCAGGCCAAGGCCAGGGCCAGGTTGGACTGCATGGGTTGACCAGTTGAAGGATATGGCAGAGCCAAGTTGAAGCAGACGTGGAATGTATGGGCAAGGATTGAGAGACTTACGGGAGTCTTGCCAAGAGCAAGTTGAATAGAGTTTCCATCGCGAGCCGCTCGGAGGAGGCCATCAACGACGCTGCCACTGAGGGAGAGAGCAAATGCCTGAGGCGGAAGAGGAGAGTCCGGAGGGGGAGATCTGGTGAGGTGCAGACCCGCCTCTGGAACTTTGAGGCAATCCATGGTGAGAAGTCGTGGTATGGTGTGATGGTTGTGGCGGAGCGGAAATGAGGAGTTGGAGGTTGTTGGGTCGGAGTGTGTTGTGTCGGAGGATGTTGAGGCGGAGGGCGTACTGTAGGCGAGGGTAGGAGTGCAATGCAGGGTCGGGGGAAGTCGAGGAACGAGAGCGAGAGCTGAGGCGAGCAAAATTGGGTAGTTTCGAAAAAGTTGAAATGAATTCGTTATAAGGGTTGCATAATGTATCGTACAGGGCCGGCCGAGAGTCTAGGTAGGAGGGTAAGGCGGAAAGCGAGAGACGGGTTGGGGGAGACGGGCAGCCGGCGATGGCTCAGTAGAGGTGCGGACCCCACGGGGCCAGCAGATGGGAGGAAGTGAATCACAGCCAAGCGGTACGACGCGATATGGTCAATGATGCTGTTGTACAGGATACGAGCGGCGTAGAGCAAGCTGGGGACCAGAAGAAGCGGTCGGGCGGGGGTGGTGGGAGGAAGAGGTGAGGTGAGAGAGTGAGGCACAAGGTCGGAGGTTCGAGATGGAGGAGGGTATGTACGAGGACGAGGAGCGAGTGGCACAGCCAGCACGAGGAGACGAGCGAGCGAGCCTGGGCTGGGGGCGCGGGCTAACTAGCCTGGGGCTTGGTGGCACGCAGTTGACCAGTCGTGCTGGGCTGGCCGTGGCACCTATTCTGGCCGTGTGGGTGCCAAAAGGCCGGGTACCTACGTGGGTAGGTAGATGGGGAGGCAGGCTGGTGTGGTAAAAGGTACGTGTGATCGGGTGGGGGGATTTGGCGAGGGAGAATGTATACATTGACAGGCTGGGGGCGGGCCTTGGTTGGGATTGGGCTAGGAACCTTGTAACTGAGTAGTTGCACTGCACACTGTGAGCAGCGCCGCGGCACCACCATCTGCCCAGTGACAGTAGTCGCTCTAGTGTACTTTGTACTGTTAGGCGGGCGTGTGGCAGCGCCATAGCGTGCGTGGACGCAGTGGAAGGAAGGAGGCAGTTGGAGGGTCAAGCGTGGAGTCGTGGAGTCGTGGAGCAAAGAGCGTGGCAGCCGGCCTGGGCCTTGTGCGGGAAGTGCAAGCGGGTGGATACTGGACAGGTACCTTGTACCTCTGTACCTCTGTACCTCTGTTCCTCTGTACCTCTGTACCTCTGTACCTCTCCATACTGAAGACCTGCCTTGTTCAGCATTTGGCAGACGAAAGAAAATTGAAAGAACAATTAAAAACAATGGCATTTTAAGAGTTCTTTGCATCCTCAGCACCGTGGTGCACATGTCCTGTCAGATGTCTGGTCTGTTTGCAGAGCCTTGCTTGCCTTTGCGCACCAGATGATTCCTGGATGGCGCCACACAACTGTTGCCCGCCCACACCCCACACCCCTTGAACAAGCGACATGACCAAAGTATCCAAAGTATCCGTATCCGTACTCTTGACATTGTTATTATTAACTACAAATTCGCAACGTTGTCCATGTAACTTGGCTACAAAATGCGTTCAAGGCCCAACGTACCACGGCGATGCAAAACAACACGCGCGCGCCCACAGCAACCCCCCTCTGGCCGGGTCAACAGTTGGTAGCACGGCGCATCGCCGCAACATGGCCGCAAGGCTATTCCTACAAATATTGCGCTTGTGTACCTCGAATAGAAAAAACATTGTGCCGTCGATATTGCCAACTAGTTGCGGAAATCCCAGGCGAGGAGGGAATGGGCGGCGCCACCGGGCAGTAGATAGATTAGTAGTCTTGCCTGTGGCCGAGTCGTGCGTGGTTCCGCCCTGATCAGAAGTGCCGGGCAACATGTAGCAACCAGCATGACTATGCATATTGTACCTGACAAAGTTGCGTAAAAATGGCAGAGAATACAACGGATATTACTAGTTGAATAAGCAACAAGCTAGTTATGCGTAGATATGTACGGATACATGGTGAGGGTAAACAAGATGGTGGCAAAAATCAGCTGGTGTCGCGGCCCGTGGTGGGCGCTGTGGGTTTTTAACAGGTACCTTACTTAGGTACCTACTAACCGGTAGGAGGTAGTTGTCGCAGCCCAGCCAGCCGCAAGCGCGAATGGAAGCTAATAACTAATAATACAGAGGTTGATGAGTACGCAACTGGCAAACTACCTGATAACATGTCTCTCCCGTACTTACTTATGGATATGTACCAGTCCATCAATAACGGCCTGCAGGGTCTATTGGGCGTCGATTGCGAGGTACATACACCCACTGTAGGCACATAAATTAGTAGGTCTACACACCCCAAACAAGGTTTTTTTTTTTTTTACAGCGGCGTAGCCTTACTACAGCGGCCGGCGGCAGTTTATTTAGAGCCTCTTAACCTCACCACTGGCCGGTCAACCGGTCGAGTGCCTCTCCCTAGCTCCTACCTAGGTAGGTAGGAGGTAGCTTGCATACCTCTTTGTCTGGCCCATGACGACCCGAAAGTATTCATAGATGACGAAAGCCCTCTTTACCATGCGGGAGAAGAACAAGGTACGAATATGCGATGCAGAGGCCCGGCGTCTCCGTGTTAAAAGAGGGCCTCCATAAGACAAAGTGCTGCACCTGCTCCGAGGCTGCGGCGTGTGCTGGTATACTGCACTACGGTGGTCACCAGGTACCAAAATACAACATCCAAAACTGGCCATAAATTGCAAGTGGCAGAGACATTTTTTTCTTCTCCCTCGCAATATTCATAAAAAGACAGCAAGCCACTTTTCTGCTACCTGTATCAGATGACAAATCGTTCCAACTCGGAACCCAACTGCAACCACCAAACAAAGACGCTGGAATCATCACCACACGTCCAACGAATCTGTACCCGCCCCAATCTCAAAGCCACCCGTCATTCCATCACCAGAATCTATCTGATGTGAAACCCAGGTCGCTCGCCCATAATAATTATAATAATAAACGAATCCCAGCCTCTCAAAGGGATTTCGCCGTGCCCCACACCTCTCTCCCTGCATTACTTTTGTAATCTGTAACTAATCTGTACGCCGTTCACACCCAGCAGCGATCCACAGGAACCAAGTCTTCAGCATGTGCCTGGAATTATTAGTGAATAAACTAACTATTAACTAGACTAACTAGTTCATTTGGTCAATGCCAAGCCCAAGATTCAGTTACTGCATGTTGCGTCAGCCTTTCCTTGACAGAGTGTGGCCAGACGAGACGATTTCTAGTTTCCCTCCTTTCACTCCTTACATGTGTAGAAAAAATAATTATTATTATTTTCAAAAATGGTCACCCTGTTCAGAGAGATACACCATGACAAGTAACTAGTCCCACCAGGTGTCGATTGCACAAAACTCTCTTTATTACACGGCGCCTACACATGACTTGAAACAATAAATAGAACCCGGCCACTTGGAACACCACGTTACCCAAGGATTCTCAGTTCCATCTCCTATACAAATTACAGCCCCGTCAACACAAAATACAACCTCCTCCCCATTCCTTCCGTCATACAGGACCTGCACCCGAGCACTCGTCAGAGTTTCTGAAACAGAAGCACCAAAGTGCCACCAGCGACCCTTTTTGTGCATATCGCCCAGCTTCAGCACTGACCCTGGCCGCGAGGGCACCCGTTTCAGGATCGACTTTGATAGCAGGGCATTTGCTCGAGTCGCGAATGAGGGGGATAAAAAAATGGAAACCCCATCTACCTTGTCCGGTCAAGGTTGTCGGACGACCACCGTTCTGCTGCCACCTGTGGAACCAAGACAGACATCGAGTTGAACTAACAAGGTCACTAGTTAGTTAGATTGGTTTGCCCGAGCCGGGAACCGTGGAAGCCGGTGTCGCCGTAGCAAACTGAACGTGTAGGGCAAATCGTCTCATAACCCCGTAGAAAATGGATTTACTTAGTAGGCTAGTTACTTGGGCTGGCTGTTCTTCCTCGGCAACTACGGGTGTAAAATCCCACGAGCTCGCCATCTGCGTCGTTCGATCTCGCTCTCCAGCTCTCCAAGGATAGCCACATCTGATTCGGCTGTGCTGTATGCCCGGTCCACGACTTATCCACCGGCGAGCCCCTCTTGTAACTATTAAGGTGTTTATCTGTCGATATACCAAGTAATAACAACACAACAATAAGGTGACTGGTGGGTCGCATGATAAAAGAGGAAATCTCGCCATTGATGGTTTGACCTGGATGGGTTTTGATGTCATGTCGCTCTCAGGAAAAAGCAGAATGGCGGCGCACGTGTTTGCATGAGCACTGCGCCATCATCCATTGCCGAGTTAATTGCCTAATTAATTGCCTAATTACTCAAGAGACCACATGCCAACCGCTTCAGCAACTGCTTGGTACCGCAAGTCATGACAGCCGTCGGTAATACTGCCAACTACCTCGTCCACCACGTCCAACGCATAAATAGTTAGTTGGTCAGCTTCTTGCCTCACACTTTGGTCAGCTTCCAGCTGAGCTCAAGTTGTTCCGCCGAGCAGCATTGTCTTACAGCGTCTCCACAGCCATGGCGAATCGGCGAGTCGCACTCGGTACGTTACCGGGGGGGGGCCTGGCCTGGCTGCTTGACGGTTATGCCCGTGCTGGCAACTCGGTGCGCATTGCGGGCTCAATTCGCCGTCCCTGCTGTCTGCCTGCCCGCTGTATACAAGTTCTGCATTGATTCGAGCCCCCTGGTACCTGAATGAGCGTTGCGTGCCTGGCCTGGCCTGGCCAACAAGCAGCCTGGGGGCACAGCGCAGAGCGTCATCGGCATCGTGGACCAGCGGACTGGTCCGCTTGCATGAACAATCAAACCGGTTATAGCGTCTTTTGATGTTCCCTTGCCCATCCATTGCATCCCACACTGTGTGTATGCCCACTTGCCGGCGCCTGCCCACCGAACTTGGCCAACTAGAGGCACGCCCTCTGCTCCGTGCAGTGGCCAAACAAGGCTTGCAAGTGCCGGCGACTGCCCATGGGAGCGAGCAACAGGCATCTTGCTAACGAATCTCGAGCGATACAAACGTATGCGAGTTGGGTGCGTGTACTGCGTCAAAGAGATGGGCTCAGTATGCAAGTATTTACGTGGCGAAGGAAAGGCGCTGAAGAAGGCCAGTAAATATGAAAAATGAGGCGTAAAGTTGCCGGCGTCAGCCTCACTGAAGAAGGCCATATTATCAGTACATATTAAAAATGAGGTGTAGAGTTGCTGGCGTCGGCCTTACTCAGGTTACATACTGCCGACAGAGAGAGTTATGTATGATAACTACAGATAAGTTGCCACTCAACACATGCAAGCCAAGTCATGCTCGCCAAAGGCAACGTCAGTTGGCAGGCGGGGTCTGGTTGTCTCTTTTTCTTTCCTGCTTCTGCCGGACCATGCTCCATTATATAGCATGTAATGATGGACCATGTTGACCTGCAGTTATTACCGCTCGTGGTCTGACTTTTGTAGTTGCTTCGTACAAATTACTCTATCCAGGGCAGGACTCGGCCAGGCCGTCGGTCGCTCTAGTTACCCAGGATAGCTACCCGGCATATCCGGCTCCGACCGCCATCGGCTCACGGATTCTTGCCGTGCCTCGAATGCCGGGCCCGTTTTGGCAGCTGGCCACCATAAGTAGAGAACCTTACATCACATCTTGTACACCGGGGCCGGCTCTCCTAGGGCGCACTTTTAGCATCACATCTCCCGTATGAATGCCTCACCAAGGATGCACAGGAGCCAGTTAGAGACCATCTTTCGCCGCCGAACCCAACCCGGGTCAATATCTACAGCCTGACGGTACGCACTTTTCCCCGTGCAGCCACAACTTCTATAATCGGGTGTATAGGAGGCCCTGTGTATTACCATGATGGCCGAAATGTCTAGCGTATCGCTCATGTGCGCTGCAGTGGTACGTAGCACAGCATTTCATAAGTCGATTCCGTCTGTATTTTACGCTCGCGTCTTCCTACTCTCCCACAAGCAAGGTCCATCATCCTTTCACAATTGTGGCTAAACGTGAAGGGGGGGTAACTATGGGCATGGCTGCCCGCTCACCCGCAGACTGCCGAGCGACTTGACGCTCGCTTCCTTGTATTTCGTCAGCACACATGCGAGGAATTGCTGCAGCGCATTGGGCCGGATGCGCGGAATTTCGACAGCCCAGGAACAAGGAAAAAAACAAGAGCGGGGGATGCAAGTGAACCTTGAAGTCACCTGCCGCCTCGGGGCATTGCGCTTTTTCCAATCGTGGGAGACGAGTAAGCTGGTCAACGACAATGACCAGGAGGACCAGAGAGAGAGAGACGATGCGGAGCTAACTAGTTAATAACGTAGACTTCCTCGTCTTGTTTAACCGATGCAACGGGACAGACGACGCACTTGACCATATCGAGCCGCTAGCTTGAATTGGGCACCTGTTGAATTTAGTAATACTGTTGGCATTCAGTTGGCAACGGTACAACTCATCAAGAACGCCATCTCCACCACACTTGCTGGGGGGGGGGGAGGCTTTTCTTGCTGATCCTTGACCTTCCTTCTCTTTGAACCGCACATGTCTCGTCACTCCCCTCTTTCCCCCGCCAAGTAGCAATATGCAACGCAGACGAACCCGAAATTCACTAGACAATGTTTCAGCACCACAAGGCTGTTGCGCGAAAGCGATGCCTCCTCGTCTGTGCAGCGGACAACGGATAGGATCCCACTAGTCCCTTGGGGAACCCCTCAGGTGCGACAAGGAAAAAGCCCTCGATTGCTCTATATTATATGGAACCAAACTTGCGCCGCTCAAGCCAAGAAGAAGAAGAAAAAAAAAAGAGGCGGCCCCGAGTCAGGCCAAGTCGCAACGGGTTGCCAATTGTTCGACAGGATGCGGGCGGGCGGGCTGGAAACCTGGGGGCGCCACATTTTTAAACAACGAGTAAGAAAGAGAGAGAGAAGGGATGTGCCAACCTCTTGTGGTAAGCTGCTTCAACTGGTGGAGGGTTTTTTCGACCCAACTTGGAACAGATGGCGGGGGATGTCGTGGTGGCTTGGAGACGTCCAAGAAGCGCCCGCAGCTGAAGAAGAAGAGGCAGTCATTGTGGCTTGCGCCAATCCGGACTAATGATCATATTGTCACTTTCTTTGAAGATGTTTTTTGTAATCCCTAGACTAGAATTATGCGGGCGGATTCTGATGCGCACATGTTGCTTGCCGTGGCTACTGACTTGCAGAATAGACTTGGCCGACAATGCTCTCTCTCTCAGGTACACACACTTCAGGGTCTCCAAAAAAGATTCCCCTTAATTATTCATGCCCCCGTTGAAAGCATAAACAACCATGGGGTTTCACCAGCAAAGACTGGCCCAAATTGGCCGTTTTTGTCGCCAGTGGTGAGGCGACATCCGTGACCGGCGGCAAGACTTGCCGGGCCGGTTTCAGGGTTGTGCTGCAGTTTGCCGCATTCGTCCGTACCTAACAGCCGTCTATTTTCTTTGAGGAAGGTAACGTTTTTTATTGCTTTTGAAAGGGAAAGAAAAGGCCCTTGGTGCGAGAGAGTTCAAACTTCTGCTGGCGTAGTGTGTATGCGAAATAATGGTCATTTCATTGTTCTTGGACATGCACGTTGTCGTTGCCCGGATGAGATGGAAAGGGGGAAATAGATGGACGGACGTGGAACCGACGGGTAACAGCATGAATTGATCCCGAGACTCGAACAGGGGGTTTCGAGGATCCTCACAAGACACTTGCCACGTGAAGGTAAGCCATGCTGGATACGACAACTCACTGCCACGTGCAGGTTACCGATGTTGTATACGACAACTCACAAGAGCGTACTGAGCGTCGATGGCTTCATTCAGATCGATGTTTTGCCATGTATACACTGAAGTTGCTAGTAGTCACAATTGTAGACTAGATATAGCGTAGTCCTAGCCATGTATTGTTCCATCTGAAAAGCGAATCAAGCAACCCAGCCCGATCTCGACTCTCCATCTTCTCCCTCAATCCTTCCAAGTGATCGTCTTAGTAACCAGGAACTCTTCCAGTCCCATGTCGGCGTTGAACCTTCCCCAGCCGCTATTCCTGACCCCCCCGTGCGGGAGGACAGGCTCGTCATGAACCGTCATACTGTTGATGTGCACCGCCCTGTATTCGCCAGTCAACATCAGCATTCCAAAAGTCTCCGCTCAGCCGAGCCATGTCTTTCCCAACTTACCCCGACTCGATCCTCCTCGCCAGCGCAAAGCCCCGACGCAGGTCCTCGGTAAAGACGGCCGCCGACAGCCCGTAGCCGCCGCGGTTGGCCAGCGCCACGGCCTCGTCGTCGTCGCCCGCCGTCATGCACGCGGCCAGCGGCGCAAACAGCTCCTCGTTCCACACCGTCATCGTCTCGTTCACCCCGTCCAGGATCGTCGGGGCGACGCGCGTGTCCGCCGTTGTGCCGTCGCCGTCGCCGCCCCCGAGCACGACGCGGGCCCCCGCGGCGACGGCGCTCGCCACGAGCGTCTGCACGCGCGCCTTGGACGCGGCCGAGACGAGCGTCATCCTCTGCGCGTCCCTGTCCGCCTGCTGCAGAAGCTCATCCAGGAACCTGTCCCTGACGTCCTTGTGCACAATGATGCGATCCGTCGACATGCAAATCTGTCCAGACTATCGATTGCGGGTTGTCAGCAAAAACTCGGTTCATCACAAAACCCACAGAGAGAGTATAGGCGCTGCCCGGCATACATTCAGAAACGCGCCCGCGATGATGCTCCGCGCCGCCAGCGCCAGATCCGCATCCGCGCACACCACCGCGCTGTTCTTGCCGCCCAGCTCCATCAGGCACGGCGTGAGGTGCCGGCCGCAGCGCGCGGCCACGAGCCGGCCGACGGCCGTGCTCCCGGTAAAGTTGACCTTGCGGACGGCGGGGTGCGCAATCATGGCCTCGACGACGGCCGGCGCGTCGCGCGCCGCGCACGACACGATATTGAGGCAGCCCGGCGGCAGCCCGGCGTCCTGCAGCGCCTGGCCGAGCGCCCAGTAGCTGCGCGGGGCGAGCTCCGACGGCTTGAGCACGGTGGTGTTGCCGGCGGCGAGCGCGCATGCGGCGGCGCGGACGCCAAAGACGTACGGGGCGTTCCTTTTTGTTTTTCCCCAAACGTTAGCATTGCTTGCTCCATGTAGATGGCAGCGTTTACGTTAACCGACAGGCGCTCTCTCACCAAGGGACGATGCCCAACACCACGCCGACGGGCTCCTTGAGCACCATGGCGCTCCGCCCCTCGCCCTCCACCGCCGGCACGCTGCCGCAGATGGACGCGGCGCGGCCGGCCACGTCGCGCAGCAGGCGGATGCTCAGCGGCAGGACAAACTCCTGCGACGCGGCCACGTCGGCGCCCATCTCCCCGCGCATGTACCACGCCGCCACCGCGAGCCGGCTCTCGAGAATGTCCGCCGCCCGGAGCAGCAGGTCGCGCCGCGCCGCCGGCTTCACGCGCGACCAGCCGGGCAGCGCGGCCGCCGCGGCGTCGACGGCCCGCACGGCGTCGCCCTCGGTGCCCGCCGTGGCGGACCAGCATGTCGTCCCGGTGTGCGGGCTGACGACGGCAAACGTGGCCGGGCCGGTCTCTTCCTTCCCGTTGATGAGGAGTGGGACGATAAAGTTCTCATCGGCGGCCATTTTGTCCATTTTTCTTTTAGTTTCTCGTGTGTTTGTTTTGCTTTTTGGCTTGTCAAGTTGAGTGAGGGGCTTCAGATGAGTTGCGGTACTACCCTTCGAGGGAGCACAAGAAGTAGCTGGAAAGGACAGGACGAGCGGGGGGAGACGATGCAGTTCATCGAATGCACGACGATGGATCTCTATTCGGTGTGTGCCCGCCTCAGCCGGGTTGTCTCGGAACGCAGTCGGCCGGTCTGCAGTAGCTACGTATTGGACGTATTGGACAAGGCTCGAGTTAAATCCGGTAGCAGCTTCAAGAGGTTACAGTTTATTCTCTCGAATAGATACCGAGCATCTCTCATAACTTGACATATGGCACGGGATGCCCCCAGTAAGCTCCATCATCTTGCATATGCCCATCGCCAGCTTCTCCTCAGCTCCGCATCCGCTCCGATCAGCTTGATTGTGTCCAAACAAGAATTTGCTTCTACTTCTTTCTTCTTCTTCCAAGCATAATTCCACTTTCAAGACAGCGAAATGAAGCATGTTTGTCATTAGCACTTTACCCGGTGGCGCTGGTGACAGGATGCTACCTCAGCCACTCAGGCAGAAAACAACCATGAACATGCAACAGGTGGGTGGAAAAAGCCTCTACATGTGAATCCTTGGACTTTTACTGCCGCGGCCCTAGCACATTCAACACACAAGCCTCCATTAAGGAAAGGAATCTCTAGTGCGATCCGTCTACACCATGATCCCACCCCTCGGCGGCCCGACCCGTAAGTGGCGATCCCCCCCACGATGAGAAACGAGGGGTTGTGATGGTGATCAAGGCTAATACGTCATCGGCGCATTATATATCACACGTATATCACACGCATCGTCTTATTTTCCGCATATTCAGCTGTTTGAAGTTCTCCGCCGTCCAATTACATTTTTCGCTTAGCAGACCGTACTGGATGCGTGTCCAACTGCAGATGACCTGTCGTTTCAATATCCAAGTCCATGTCACATTTTCAATCAAAACCATCACATTTCAGGTATTGGCATGTGCCGCAGCTCATCTCGCTGTAAAGGCAAGCTCCAGCCTCGATGCTTCCAGCGTAAAGTGGTCTCTGAGACCACCCTCAAAGTCCTCGCTCGTGAACCCCGGCGCCAGCTCGACCGAGTAACGTCGCAGAATGTCGACAGTCGCCTGACGCAGCTCCGCCAGCGCAAACTGCTTTCCGGGGCACGAGTGTCTTCCTGCTCAACCACGGGGCTGCTTTAGCATGGTGATCCAACAGACCCATTCAGGTCCCGACGACGTACCGATAGAGAATGGATAAAAGGCAGATCGGTCAACGACAAGCTCCGGCTTCGTTGTCCATCGTTCAGGGATGAACTCCTTGGGTCTGGGAAATGCTTCCTCGTCTAGCCGCAGTCTCTTTTTAGCACATACGACACACATGATTGGGGTCATAGGTACCCGTTGGGCACAGATTGTGTACGTACTGCGGTGTATGAGATGGGTAGGCACCTGCACGAGGATGTTACCCGGAAGTCGTACATCACCCACCTGCAGCCCTTCTGGCGGCGTCTCCCTCTGCACGCCTGATATGACGGGCGGCCAGAGCCGCAGGGTTTCGTTGATGCACGCCTGGAGGTGGTCCAGCTTGGCGAGCAGCGCGGGGTCGAGCCCGTTGCCGCCACCGTCGCCGTACTCGGCTACATGCGCGTCAATCTCTTGCTGCAGCTTCTTCTGCGCCTCCTGGTTCACGGCCATTTCGTAAAAGAGCGCTTGTAAGGTCACGGCCACCGTGTCACTTATTTGACCCTACATCAGCACACGGAAAGAAATGTTCATCAACCTCAGTCCAGGCGCTTACCTCCCAGCGACGAGAATCAAAAACATGTCACCTTCGAGCACCATGCGCTGCTTCTCCGTCTGCTCCTCCGCGGGTGGGTAGTCCTTGAGTATGGCCGCAAAGAGACTCCGCGACGATCCGGGCGGTTTTTCCTACATTTTACCAGTGTCAGCTTATACAAACAATCACACACACGCATTGCATCATCACCATACCATCTGCGCTGCCATTTGCGCACGTAGCCACTTTCGAAAGACTTGAAACGTGGCGCCCATGACAGGCAGATGCTTCATCCAGACAAAGAACCACGGTATGTGGGCAAGGAGGCCAATGAGGTTCAGGCTCTTGGTGATGAGGTTCATGCAGTAGGTCGGTGTCCCGGTGGCGAGCGCGTCAAAGGACTTGTCAAAGGCCATCCAGCCCATGACCTCGAAGCTAAAGTAGTGGAACCACTTGCTGGCATCGAAGGTCTGGCCCCGGCTGGCTTCGATCCTGTCTAGGAGTTGCTGTGTCGTCTTGGCAAGGATTGGAGTGTACCCTCGAAGTGCTGTTTGGTTTCCGTTGGTCAACTTGAACAACCCCAATTCTTCTAGGGAAAGGGCGATGAAGAGCAAAAGCTTACCTGCTGAATTAAGCCCTTGCTCCCAAGACCTTCGCTGCCGGGCATAGCTCACCGGGTCTCTATTTGTGTGCAACGACGTCAGCGGCTTGGCCTGTTCATACCACGGACCCTTGGAACATTTCGACTTGGGCCCGTGAACAGCCTCCACAGCTTCCGGTTTGCAGATTGACACTGTGGACGGCCCTTTCGTTGCCACCTCGCCATTAGCCTACTCTGATCCGCAAGTACTGTCCGAGAACACTTACCGATCCGCACAATGTCGCCGTACTGCTCATGCAGCAACCGCAGCTCCTCAAACAGCCGGAACCGCCTCGACAGGTACGTCAGGTGCAGGCTCGACAGCCGCGCAGCCCAGGGTCCGGGATACCGGCACAGGGCGTGGAACCAGACGCGGTACGCGAGCATGCTGGCAAACACACCCGCCATGCCCGCCAGTTCGAGCGTCGTGGCAGCGTGCAAGGACGCCCACCAGCTGCCGCCGGCCGGCCCGGACGCGGCGTGCAGGGCGACAGCGGCGCCCACGTAGAGCAGCGCGGCGCTGACCATAATGTCGCGCGCGGCGCTGTCCCACTCGCCGCGGCGGAAGACGAGCAGATGGAGCGCGTGCCCGGCCAGGAAGGCAAAGAGGTGATTCATCATGGCAGAGGTGTGAGCGAGCGGAAGCGCAGTTTTGCAGTGCGAAGAAGAGGAAGATGGAGAGTTGAGGAAACGTATTTTGCGACGATGTTGGCATTTATTGCTGCACACTGCAGCAGGGTGTGGCAACAGGGGAGATGCATAGGAGGTAGGTAGGTCTGGCATCCTGTCACCCGATAGCGTGGGCGAGCTGAAGGGTCCTCGCGCTAGGCACCGCGTACATCAAGTCGGGATTGCTGTCATGGCTAACTGAAGGCGATTGGAAAGCGTCGTTCTCGAAACTTGAACGGCCGGCTCGGAATCCATCTCGACAAATTCAATTAGCTTCGTGGTAGCTGGCAGCAGTTTTAGCAGCTTCTCTACGTCAATGCGTTTCCAGGCGATAGTTCAGGAAGCAACAACCAATGTGCGGACAGTCGTTGTACACGTTGTGAGACCTCATGGTGCTATGCGTATGAGACTGTTTAAGACAAGTCAGCTGCGGGAAGCTCCGTTTTGTACCCTGGCCTCCTCAATCTTCCAAGCATTTTCATCTCACAGGCATTGCGTAAAGTCCTCGATAGAGAAATGATAGATTAGCCGTCTATTACTTCCGAATCACGTCTAGCTGGGAAGCCCTCTGGTATACATTCGTGCGAAAATCGAAACTTGATGGCAAACGCCGAGGAACCAATTTTATTCATTTTTGTCTTGATCTCGTCATCACACATGCCGTAATCATGCAGTGTCCTTAGGTTTGCTCATAGGCAAGCCTCTCGAGTAGTCTTTGTCATCGTATGATGTGTCGTTTCCAGCTTTACTGGGTTTTGAACAGGAGAATAGCGCAATGGCCGAGGTAGAAGTAGATGAAGTGTTTGGTCTCTATAGACAGGGTCAGTTGTTAGTTAATTATACACGCGTCGTTTGCCAGACTCGGATCGTACCGTGCGTGACGAAGCTGCCAAAGTTGCGACCAACGATGCAGTGCCAGGTAGGGCCTTTTCGCTCATCAAACTGCAGATCCAGACCATGTGTTAGAGCATTCATTGCCAAATCGAAGAGTATTGGTCGTATGATTTGAGCGTGTCTGTCGATGCTGCGGGTTACTAACCGTGCGCTTGATGTGTTGTGCAATGTCCTATCGTGCAGCCGTTAGCAAGTCATGTCCGGTGGGCATGCGAACAGTTCAGCGCTATGCATACCTTTTCAACAGTAAATTTGGACATGGCTTCTTGAGCTATTATAGACGTAAGTAACACCATAAGGCATGCAGCTCTCGTAGCCAAGGTGGCTAAACATGCCAGACATACCAACTTCAATGGACTCTTGTTGCATATCGTCGGTCTTTTGGTTCGACTCTGTCAGTTCCTGTCGGTTCGCGCGGCACAAATCATATTGACTGGATTCTCACCATATCAGCCGACTTGATTTGAGCTAATTCAGTAGCGTTAGCCGCGCCCCGTATGTTTATGTGCGTTGCCGAGGCCGTTGCAGGAACTGTGAACTGACCATCAAGCTTGTCCCTGGCCAGGGGGGTCTCGGAGGTTAACATCTTGTCCGCCATTGTGCTTCGCGAATGTGGGCTTTTTCCGTATCCTTTTCTTTGCAATGTATGCGACCTAGGTATGTCGTCTTGTATCAGCGTTTGCCGTCCGATTGTGTTGTCGCGAATCGGCGGCTGATTTGCCCCTGGAAGTTTCGACGAGTGGCGATGATACGTACGAGGCGGCCGGGGGTTTGTGATGGACGCAAATAAACGGAGAGAGAGACCTTGTTGCTGGGCTCTTGCAATGTTTCGGCACGCGACGAGCTGTCTGGGTGGTTGCAACGGTCGTTGGTAGGCAAGCCGGGTATCTGGGGGCGGTTGGAGCTGGGGGAGGGTCGCGTCTCTGGCGGCGAGCGCATCAAGAGAGAGGTGCCCACTCTGAGTGGTTGGTGGTTTCCTCGCACGTTCTGTGCGCTGTTTCGCTGCTGCCAAAGCTTTGCCGAGCATGTGCCTTGGCTTGCGGTGGAGAACCCCGCGGTGCACCAAAAAGGTACTAACCTACATACGCGAGTGAGGCCTGTTTTTGGACAGGGTACTAGACAGGTTGATTTTTTAACAGGTAATTTTCCCCTGTCACAACGCTGTTGACGTCTCTGACACGGCTTATAAAAAATATAGAGGTTTTTCTATACGTAGTAGCAGCCTAACAGCGTTGTGACAGGGGAAAATTACGTGTTAAGCGGAAAACGTGTCCAGTGCCCTGTCAGAAAACAGGCCTCACGCGCGTAGGTAGGTACATACCTCCCAGAGGAGGTACTAGGTATTACAGGGCAAGACGCCGCTGTAGGAAACGCTGACAAAGGCGTTGAGACGCTGTAACGGCTCAATTGGCCACTAACAACATTTCGATTAGCATTTTCAACGTCTTGGAAAATAAAAAGTAACCAAGTGAAGAAAGGCGTACGGAAGATTTCGACATTTCTTCCCTGATGCAGTCTTGGCAGAGGGGAATTGACATACCACTGTTGCTTGCATCACGCCGTGGTAAAGAAGGCTATTTACTTACCAACCGATCTGCACTCAAACACTGGCCATTATCAATACAGGTTCATCTATTTTCTGTTAAAAAGGAGGTTGGCCAGTGCTAGGTCCTGTCGATAGATGTCAAAGTAGAATAAAAAACACGCAACATTTTCCATCGTCCAAGGTCTGTCAATAAGCGACGTCATGTCAATACCGTAAACGTAAGTACATACAAAGCGGCTCGCTCCGATGCACGTGCCAGTTCGCATTAGCCAAAGGCCAAGACTGGATATAATACAAGCTGGTAGCTGCATCACTTGACAGAAAAAAAGGACAAGTCGCCGTCATTGGCAGCGTGGCTGAGCAATTCTCCCAGTTTCACGCCCGGGACAGGTTTTCGTTGGCGGGTTTCCGGAGCGTCGGAAGTGAAGACGGCGGCGCGCGGGCCACTCCCCACGAGAGACAAAAATAGAAAAAGGAGCATTTATTCAAGGCCTACATATTATTATACAAAAATCACTGGACAGGCAAACATGACTCGGCAAAAGCCCGCTCCAATAGCACAAAGGGCGTGTGGACAAAGAGGCCATCAACACAGCCACCATTCGCCGACGGGTCCGACGCGGGGCCAGGCCAGGCAGGCTTCAGAGGAAACAGGAGTGGGTGAGCAACACATCTCGTACATGCCACGCGTGATCTGTCCGTAGCCTTGCCTATTGTGATTACGTTGCTGCTGTCCCCTGCCTCCCCCTCCCCTCCTAACTAATTCACGTTTCGCTGAAACGACAGGGCATTGTCATGTATTCAGAAACGGCTCAAGTCGTATATACCCTGGCCTTGTAACGTCGATATGACAAGCACCCCCCGCCTTTGTGTGTAATACGAGATTTTGGTTGCGCGTACACGCTTCAGTGCAATCAAATTAGGGCAGTCTAATACGAGCTTTTTTCAATGGAACAATGCTCGCGGAGAAAAAGAGGGCGGTGGCTTGCAGGGTTCCCAGACAACGTGCATGTACGGAGTACAAATCAGAGAGAGAGGGGGTGCGTGATGTTTGCGGCTCGCTGCTATAAAGCATCGCTTATATCATTGAATAAGACTAATCGCAGTTCGTCGATGGAACGCGCTGGTGTACACCAAGTAAACATGTCTAAATTACCGGTTGATATCCACATTACCCCCTCATGAGAACCATGAATTGAAACAACAAATCAAGACAAAATCAACAGCAAAAACTCCGGGGACCCAATGCCGTTTTCAACTCCAATCTATCCAAAACCAGTTGCTTATTCTACCTGGACGGCAAAGTCGGGGCAGTAAAACGTCACGTTGGACGGCGAATCGTACGCTTCGGTGCCCATGCCGAATGAGCCGAGATAGGCCTCAGAGCTCGGGTAGCTCGAGTTGCCAGCCGTGAGGATGTATTCAATCAACGGGTACACATCGCCGTGAAACTTTTCCGTAATCGTTTTAGCCTTCCAGGTCAGGACGAACTGGCTGGTGGTGGGATGCTTGTCGGCATACAAGTCACTGCATCATCTGATTAGCACCATTCATCCTGGCTAAAGCTCATCGGAAATGCGCTGGGATACATCTGGTTGGGCGAAAACTTACAAGAGGACCTGCGCGTTCGTGGTAGTATCCTGCAGAGGTAGTGTTGTGACCACCGATGTCGTATCTTGGCCAATAACGTGCGCAGAAGGACCAATGGCAGCAAACCATATCATGATTTCGAAAGCTGCCTTTTCGTTGTTCTTGGACGTATCGCTGTTCGTGTCGGCAAACATATCAATGGCGACGTTGGTGTTGACGGTGGTGCCAGCAGCGAGGGTCGCTGTTTCGCTAGCCGTCGAGTTGTCGTTGCCTGTGACATACTTCCATTCAAAATCGACGAAGAGCTTCTTTATGGTGCTGAATTTCTTGGGAAATATCTTTTCGAGCTTGATGTTGGCGAAGGCGTGCACATTGTTTTGTCCTTGGGGAGCAGGAGTGTATGACCAGGTAACCTGGAATGGAGGAGCCAGCTCAGGTTTGGCATAAGTGCCATTGTTGTTGAAGAGGACCTGATGAGGGCTGTATTAGCTTCTTTCTGTGCAAGGTGAATTGACACAGTGCGACATTGCTGTGTGACAGCATCTGCCGTGCCTGTAGGCGAGAGGGTAGTTCTGACTTACATCCATACACATGCCGCTCTTTGCGCCGCTGGTGAGACCCCATTGATTGGGGTTGACTGTGCGACCATTAGCTTACAAGTATAAATGAACAAGAATAAAGAGGGCATACATGTATATTGTTGTTGACTCTTGTCCCAGTAATAACGCTGGGGGTTGCCCAGATCGGCAAACTGGGTGCACGCCGTGGCGAGTTCAACATTATTGTTCTTAGGCTTGGGTGCGCCGCCTGAGCCAGGCCCGGTACCGACGCCGCCACCGCCGAGGACGCTACCAGCGTTGCCGCCGCTCCTGTGCGCGTTTTGAAGCGGGAAGAGGACGCCGAGGGTGATGGCGATGGGGACGACGAGCATGCAAAAGCTCAGAATCCATTTGTAGCCGATTCCCATGGCGACGGCCGGGGGTAGGAAATAGAATAACGAGAATCGGGGCGAGCGAGGAGGAAGAAACGGTCGGCCGAGCGGTTGGAACGATTGTCGTCTTGTTTCAAGCAAATCTAGCCCAGAAAAGAGCAACCGAAAGCGACAGTGAGAGGTTTTCAAAGAAAAAAGAGTGGATGGAGTCGGCCTCCCAAAAGCGTCAAGGAGGTTGGCTTTGGGCGGCGCGCCAAAGACGAGGACGACGGGCAATGCAGCGGCGCGTTGGCGAAAGGTGATGGGCGGTTCCGTTGGTCTTGGGAGGGGGAGGAGGGCAGTCGTCGATGGTCTATTGATTTTTGGAGGGTGAAATGTACAGATGAGTATGTTCAGGCGAAGATATGCCAGGTCAGAATGGTGAGACCGAGACGGCGAAAACAGGGATGTGGAACCAGCTTCGCCGCAAGAGAGCAAGACGGGCAGCCAATTCGGGCGCTAAGCAGGGGAGGTCGCAAGCCAGAATGGCAGTTGTGGGCAGTACAGGAGAACCTGCAGGGCAGCCTTGCTGCTGCGTTACAGGTACCTGGGCGCCCTGAAGACGCTGGGGGCGTGGTGGTGTTTGGCGGGCCTGGCCAGCAGCGCTACCAGCAAGTACCTGTTTGTACGGCGGACAGCAAAAAGCTCTGGAACGACAGACAGCGGAGCTCGGCGGATTGAGGCATTGGCACAGGGAGCACCAGTGGATTTCTAGTGGGCTGACACGCTGTGGGGGGGCAAATGGACCCTGCTTTGCTGACTCTTCTGGTCAGGCGGACAGGGGTACTTTCGGAAGAGGGAGGCAACGAGGAAAAAAATCACAAAAAAAATTCAACTGGCGTGAGGCTAATGTAGCACCATCTCGGGTGCAAGGGCTGCTAACCGGGAACAGGCACCTGGCACAGAGGCTTTTTCTTGTCGTCGATGCATTCCTGGACGTCTATCGAGATCTCGTTCAATAACTGACTGTCATTTGTTTTCCCCAGCAAACAAAGCCAGATGGCGCCGGTCTATACTAAAATAATAATAGCCAAAGCGGTTGAGAGATGCAGGGGCAATTATCATTTCCAAGTTGCACGAATGTACGAATTATAATAATATTATTAGTCTGATCAAAAAAGGACCGAGCGACGCACGTAGCATTCAACCAAGGGGGGACGGACCAAGTAACGTTAGCCAACCACGGAACAGAGTCAATCAACAGCAAAAGGTTAAAAAAAAACTTGAAGTGATAAACAAGAAGAAAGGGCAAAAAAAAGGAGTCCGCGCCAGCCCGCCCGCTGGTACCTGCGTTTCCGGGTGGAGGAAGACGAGACAAAACCGCCATGGGACGATGCGATTCCAGAGACGCGTCTTGACAATTGAACTACTAACTTACCTACCTGTATTACCAGAAGATGGTGCAAGGCTGATCCCAACTAGCTCAGGGAACCTATGGCTGTGCTGTTCGTAAAAAACGACGCTCCTTGGTGTCTTTACTATAGTTAGCCTATCTATGCACGCAATCGTACTTGAATAGGACAGTTTCTGCTATTAAAAGCATATGATTTAGTTCGTGATGCTGCTTATGCCAAGTCAACAAGTAGTTATTGTTGGAAGCGAAGCTCGGGAACACACACATAAGACACAGTCTCATGTCTTGTCACCAACGACGGTTAGTCTCGTCTAGGTGGTGAGGCTCTCACTAAAAAACTCCAGTGCAAGAAGCCGCCGCCCAAGACCAAAATCGGGGTAGCGGATATGATTGACACGGCTCGTCAAGATGCGCGCCCATCGGAAGAAGGAAACCCAGAAAAGGGGACGGCATGACGATTGTGCAATGCTGCGAAGCCAGCACCTGACGTTTGCGGACTCTCTCAGACGGCGGACCGCATTACTGGTAACCCAAGTTTCCAACAGCAGCACTTCTCGCCAAAGAACAAACAGCCAACCCCGTGTTGGCAGAAGCTGGACCGCTGGAGCCGGCAGGCATTGGCCCGTCGCCCAATTACAGGGGGCTGGCTGCCTGCGATCCTAGTTGTGTAGCGCGCTAATCCAGGACCGGTGGGCCGGACGGCGGTGGGGCCATTTTGCCTTTTTTCTCGCCGATTTTGAACCAATGCCGCAAACGGTTTAGACCCAGCGGTGCCACTTTCTTGATTCTTTTTTAGTGTCAATCAATCGGGCTGCCATGGCCGTGGTTTCCGTCTCGCCTCGGTGGTGTGGTGTTTGCATATTGGGCAAGGCGGCCCCTACGCCTCTTTTGTTTTTTTTTTTTTCCTTTATCCCTTTTTATTCCCTTGACGCTGATGAGCAGCCGAGACCTGAAGAGCGCTGGGGAACAGCCGAAACCTCAAGAGACCACAAACAAGGAAAGAGACATCGACTGCTCAGTACTGTCAATGAATCACTTTATAGATTGGTCAAAGGCAGGGAGGAACAATGTCTTTTGTGTTTTCCCTGACCACAGCACCTTCGATGCCCTCCGTCGTTTCAACAGTGGAGCAGTGCCTCACGCACCACTGCAAGGTTTTGCGCATCCCCATCAGGCCCGTCCAGTTGGCGTAGAACCAGTGGCCATGCCACCCCCTGGCGGCAGAGATACGAGGGCGACGGCTTGAAAGTACCGTGCTGGTTGGTAAGGAGCTGTGTTTGCGCTGAGCTGTGCTGGGCGGTTAGTTATGGTTTTACCTGGTTTGCTGGGGTAAACCAACGACATGGCCACAAAGACCACCGTCTCAAGGACCCGTGGCGGTCGCAAATACAATACGTACGGACGGACACGTGCCTCGACATGGCAATGTATGTACCTTTGCGAGGGGCATGAGCAATTTTGGTGGTCATATCGTGTCATGCAATGCAACGCCTTGCCATCTTATTGATGGTGAACGCAAGGGGTGAGCCATTCCAGCCAGAGTTACAGCCGCTGCAAGACACTATAATATATAGTTACATATGGAACCAGCTTGGTTTATTTCAACTGATAAGGTTACAGAGCCTCATTGCATGGCGCTGTTATAACTGCAGTGCAATCAAATACATGGCGAGCAAGTAATAAAAACGTATGCAGAGCCCTGCATCGTACCACCGCGACGAACCCTTTGTCGACTTGACTATGCGTTTCTCCCTCTTCCAAGCATGACCTAACTAGACAAACAAGAACACAATGCGGTGCTGTTTATCATGCGTCGGTTCACGAACCGCCTGAAAAGGAGATTACTCCCTGAATCGTCGTAGCATTGGCTCGCATTTCGGACGAGATGCATTAAAATACAGACGGATACCTTGATTCAATGCGTATCTGCTCGCCAAGCCATGTATAGCTTTGTACCGGACTCTCCGCCCTCGCGTAATCTCTGATCTTGCCATTGGCTCACGGGAGCCCTGTCCGGTAGCTGCAAGCTTGCAGCCATATTCAGCCTTGGCGGTGCGAGTGAAGATTCCGTCTCAGCACGAGGTGAGGCTCCGCCGGGGAAATTTGGCGGCCTGCAGATTCCGGGAGAGACAGCGCGCCGCGTCACGGCCGAGTCTCGAGCACAATCACGATGCATCGATGACCTGTATTTCACAATTCCGCCGTCATTCCAGGCGACAGAGTAGGCCATGTACATGTACTTTTCGTAATGGGGGGTCCTCGGTTATTCCCACTGGGAAGTTGATATCTGAGTACCTCGAGATGGCGAATCAGCAAGATACAAAAATTGGATTGGTGGGGCGCATGGGCAGAGTCTCAGCGCCCCATTGTAAAACCAGCTGCGCCGCGCTCCAGCGTCCAGCGGGTGCTAAAAACATCCACCACGTCATGGTCGCCTACCAGTAATACGCCGGCTTGTATCCGTATCACTAATAAACTGATATTCGTACGTTTGCTGGTGAAATAACCAGTTAACTGTTCCACCGGAAACAACAGCGCCGATTGCCACTCGGCGCGAGTCGTCGGCCGCCCCTCCTGCGCCCTGGCCTGCAATATGTACCTTAGTAGAGGTACCAGGCAAGTCCACTACAAGCTTGCTGTACCTGCGCTGGGCTGCCCCATCAATCCCTTTGTGTGCGTGAAGCCACCCAGATCTCAGGGATTCTCTGCAGTGGATGCCTGGATTTTTCTAGTACCTCTGTTAATAAATGTTAAATAGGGTGCCTATTAGTGGATTGAGTAACTGTGGTGTCGCCCACAGAAAGATACGGCTCGCTGTCCGTTACATTTTTAGACTGCGGCATTGCCGTGGGATGATTGCCTAATTATTAGCGTGTGCTAGTTTTTTCTGCTTGTCCTTTCTCGACTCCCCTATTTCCGTGCACCTGCTGCCCTGACCTCATTGCGTGGGGAGGAGAGCTGGAGGCATTTCGGTGCCTGATTGCTGGATATAATCGCTCAGATGTAGTCATGGCCCAGGACTGCAGGTCCAATGGGCAGCTACAGCGGTGAGAGACTCGCAGCAATCGCCAACACAGGTACCTACCGTACCTACCGTACCTACCGTACCTACCAGGTAGTTACCAATGTTACCAAAGTAGGCACGCAAGTATACAAATACGAGAAATCCCTGGTAATGCTACATGTTGGCGGAAAATAGATACCTCGCCGACCACCCCTGTCCAGCCCTTGCCCCTTTGAGAGCCCACTCAAGTACGAAGTATCGCATCACGCCGCATTCGAACACAGCCATTCACCCGTAGATGCCGCCCGCTGCGGCCCAGTTGCCAGCTCGTCACCCCCCCCCTTCACTCTCCGAGCCTTTTTTTTTCCCTCGTTCTTTTTATTTTTAATTTTTAATTCTTCTCCCCCCCCAGTAGACCCGCTTTCCAAACGCCTGTCTCTCGCCCTCTCAAGTTCCCAAGCAGCGCTAGCATCGTTCCCAGTCCGCAAGCACCCCTTGCTCTCACTGGCTCTCACACCCTCTTCTCTGCCAAACTCAGACATTCTTCTTCGCTGCCACAACTTTTCTTCTTTCTTATCCTCTTACACACACGCTTCCCCCAAAGAACTGCTCTCAGACTCTCGCTCTTCGTCTCTTCCTCTCCAGCTGCTTTCATTAGCTTGGCCCGACACTCGCTCGTTCCGTTTTCTGTTACTCGCAGGCTGGGCGACAAAGAAACACCAGGCATCTCCTTTTTTCTCCGCCACCCGGTCTGCTTTCCATCGCTTATTCCGCTTATCCGTCTTTTTTCCGCCACTGCTTGCTATTACAGAAACACGTTGTCATTGCGGTTGCATTTCAGCAAGGGAAAACAACGTCAAACGGGCTCTCGCATCCCAAAGGGCACCGTGCTTGTTAGCCTGCGCTACCTGTTAGACCGTCTCGCCATCATTGATCCGCCTGTCTCGAAAAGGAGCGCGCTGCAAGGAATGCAATTCCTCCCATCGGCAAAATGAGACGTCACCAGAATGCCGAAAACGAGGAAAACGTCGACCTAGACGTCTTCCATCGTCACTCTCCTCCTACCGACTTTCCGCAGCCACCACCGCCGCACCTGCATCACTCCAACCACTCCAACTACTCCAACGTCTCGTCTTACGATGAGTATCGCGGCCGTCCCGTAGCTGACTTCTCCCGTCCCATCCGCCCTCCTCAGCAGCCCTATCTCGAGGAGTACGGCAACGCGCCTTCGCCATCCTGGGGCCCGACGCACATCTCCCGTTACAGCCAGCAGTCCTTCGAAACGCCGATTCAATCCCGCTCGGCCTCACCCACCCTGGTTAGTGGCCGTGCCACTCCAATGGACCGCATCCCACGGCCAAAGAACAACATGGACTCCTGGCCCAATACCCCAATGGTATGAATTGCCTCTTGATACACGAAATCCTCTACTCCGCCTCGCGTTGTCCCTCATACTAACTCATCGTCTACTTCTTGCAGTACCAGAGCAATGTCAGTCTCGCTGCTCTTCTACCTAATGCGCCTCCGCCCATTATGGCCAAGGATTGGGTCAAGGAAGGCTACATTGCTCGCTTGCACGACCGCGACGATGCCGAAATCTGGAATGGTTGGAAGCGTCTCCTCTTCCGTGCAGTGCCTCTCCTCACTCTTCTCAACACGGCCATGTACCTCGCCTATCTCGCCTACCGAATCTACTGTGTCATCTCTGCCCAGCAAGCCTACCACAGCACCTTTGTCTTGGCCTGGGTCTTCATCGGTGTCGAATTCGCCGTTGCTATTCCCAGCATCATGCACAACCTCTGGACAATGATGGCGTTGAAGAAACGCCAGCGCCCTAAGCTGCGTCTTGTGGCTGATGACGTCCCCACTGTCGACGTCTTCATCACCTGTTGCGGCGAAGAGGATGACGTTGTTCTAGACACTGTCCGTGGCGCCTGTGATGTAGACTACCCTCGTGATCGCTTCCGCGTCATTGTTCTCGACGACGCCAAGTCAGCTACTCTCGAAGTTGCCGTCCAGGCTCTGGATTCCGTCTACCACAACGTCTACTACATGGCTCGTACCAAGACTCCTGGTGTGCCTCATCACTTCAAGGCTGGTAACCTCAACTATGGACTGGACATGACCCACAACCTCCCCGGCGGCGCCGGCCAGTACATGGCTGCTCTGGACGCTGATATGGTAAGCATTTTACTGCTGGCTCTGCCCTGCGATGACTACACGGGTACTAACAAGTATGCGAAAGATTCCCGAGCGAGACTGGCTCCGTGCCATCCTGCCCCATCTACTCATCGACGACAAGATGGCCCTTGCTTGTCCTCCTCAGCTCTTTTACAACACTCCCGCTTCCGACCCCCTCGCCCAAAGTCTGGACTTCTTCGTTCACGTTATTGAGCCTATCAAGGATGCTCTTGGTGTTGCTTGGTGCACTGGTTCCGGTTATATTGTCCGTCGCGAAGCTCTCGATCAGATTGGCAACTTCCCTCTCGGCTCTCTTGCCGAGGATGTTGCCACTTCCACTCTACTTCTTGGCAAGGGATGGAAGACGGCATTCATCCACGAGCCTCTCCAGTTCGGCACTGTCCCTGAGGACTTTGGTGGTCATCTGAAGCAGCGTACGCGTTGGGCTATTGGCACCGTCGATACTGCTTTCAAGCTCAAGTTTTGCCTGTACGGCGACAAGGTCAAGCAAATGAGCTTTGCCCAGCGATTCTCTGGTTTCCTCTATGCCTCACTCAGTCTCTACACTGTGCTGCTCACTCTCTCCCTATTTGCCATTCCCGTCATTCTTCTCATGCGTCGCCCCCTTGTCGCATACAATGACCAAGAAGGAGATACTCAGCTTGTTTGGCTAATTCGCGCATGCTTTGCCGCCACCATCTCCAACCGTATATGCGAGTTTGCTCTGTTTTTGCCCGCCGGTTACCACACCGGCCAGCGCGGCTCCCGCTACCAGCTGTGGATGTCGCCATACATTGCTATCTGCATCGTTCGCTCCTTCATGCTCCCCAAATGGCTTGGTGGTCAGACTCAGGCATTCAAGCCCACTGGTTCCCTCGGCTCCGCTCTCAACGAACGTGATGCTCGTCATCGCAAGGGTATGGCCCGTCGTCTATTTGGCATTTGCTTCAACTACATGGCCATTTTCCATCTGGTCTTTGTTTACCTTACCCTCGTTGGAGCCACCATGGTGACTTTCCTCTGCTTCACCGAGTACTCTGGCTTCAGGGATGTTGCGCGATGCCTGATTACCCACGCCTTCTGGCCTCCCCTGACGTTTGTGTTTCTCTGCAGCTCCATGTGGACTCCCATTGGCTATGCCATTGACCCTCCCACCGTGCCTGATCGCGAGGATCTTCTTATTCGCGACCCTAAGACGGATGTCGCGCACCCGACGCGAAAGAGCAAGAAGATTGCCTTCGGCCACCAGGCTGCCTTTTTCGAGCTCGAATACACCGCCACATCTCTGTACACTATTGCTGTCTTTGTCGCCTCGTTTATTCTTTTTTAAACGACCGACCCCAGTCAGCCCGCTCTACGATTGTTTTACTGCGCCGCATAGACGCGCAGATGAGCATCACAGGCTCGCATCCCCTCGGGGCGATGCAAGCTTGTACCAATGCATATGAAACATCTCCCGGGGAGATGCATTTTTGTTCCTTGTTTTTCCGCATCGAGGAGGTTGATAATCGGGCCATGTTATGGCGAAGTCATTGGCAGTATTGCTGCACAGGAGTCACATTTGGGTGAACGATTACAAAGGCGAAATGATATATTTTTATCCTGGGGTTTTCGCTGCCAGGCGAGGAGAACGAAGAGTAATCTTTCGAGTTGGATGGTCCTGCGAAACCTGTCATTCAGCATTATGGGTATCGGCGCAAAACGACGTGTATTGTTTAACGTTATTGTATATACACTTTGGTTGGTTTCTGTCATATGTCAACCACCACACTTTTTTTTGTTTCGTTTATTAGACTGCTTAGAATACGTTTCTCGGGGGTTGGGTCAGTGCAAACACTGCTTTTTAGGTATGAATAGGTCAGGGATTAATGGTTCAGCATTTACCTCGACCGCATCTATTTCTTGTAGACGTGCTTCTTCTCCATGTGATGTATCCTGCGATGTGCCTCGCTATGATGCAGGCGCCATTGCATCATGCTTCTCTGTGGATCACTCTACGCAAGGCCGATAGATAGGATCTAAACCTCTTAAATTAAATTCGCCATCTCCCGCTAAACGCTTGATTATTCAGGTCCATGAGCCCTTAAGGCGTCGTTCTAGCCCTGAATTTGCATTGTATCGCCTGTATCGTCTATATCCTCTATATCGTCTGAATTGTTGATATCTGCATCGCTGGCTAAGAGGCTGCCTGGTGCCTACCTTGCGGCGCTGGTGTTGCTGGCCTGCAGTAACGTCCCTCGGTCTGGATGGATGACGGAGGTAGTTACCTGGTGCCTACCTTGCGGCGCTCTTGAGGCTGTTGACGGCAGAAGGAGGCCACAAATCCTAATAGTCTCTACCTATAAAGTGTCTCTTTCCCACCCACCTCTTCTCTTATCTCTTCTCTTCTTCAGCATCACCATTCCATCATCACTCAATCATCAGACCACCCACCTCTTCTCTCAATCCCTTCTCTTCTTCAGCATCATTCCATCATCCATCATCACTATCAAGACTACATCCATTCAATCATCCCAAAGCAAGACTGCCTCCATTCCATCATCACTCAATCATCAGACCACCCACCTTCTCTCTCAATCTCTTCTCTTCTTTAGCATCATTCCATCATCCATCATCACTATTAAGACTGCCTCCATTCCATCATCACACCAAGCAAGACTACATCCATTCTATCAAGACTACAGAGTATGTCTTTATTAATATCCAGACACAGGGTCCTATTAGTTGACTTAGCCTGCATAGCAGACGATGGTATGTACTCATTATAATCTAAAATTATAAAATACTAATTAATATTTTAGAATTAGTACTATATGTCGTCCCGCTCGGCCTTGCTTACAACACTATAATACTTTGCTATCAACTTCACCGATATTCAGCACAACCATCTACCAGCATACAAGAGATAGCGATATCAGTGGCTTTTATCCTGGTGTTTAATGCTTTGGGATCGTCTACAACACTGCAATACTCATATACCAACTTCAACAATTTTCAACGCGACCATATACTAGCACCAAGGGGGTATTCAATGGTACGCCGATAATTGCAGCTGCTTTTACCTATCATGCAGATTCGCCTAGCGAACCTGATATTCTGGAGTAGGGTGCTTGTGCTTGGTTTTTCTTAATCTAGTTGAACACCTTTCGCAGGTTGAGTTGCCTAAAAAGTCTCGGGATACGGAGAGAGAGGAATTACAACCGCCTTATGAGGAACAAGGAGTCGTCGTCAGCATAAGGGCTTATGGACCTTAACAAGCAAGCGTTTAGCGGGAGAAGCGAATTTAGTTCAATATGTTCAGATCCTAACCTACGCGCGCGGGGGGTGTTTTCTGACATGGGTTCCTGTACGTATGCATTCTGACACAGTCTGGGTGGTAAAGGTAGAAAACGCTTTTTAACAGCAGACGTATGAGCAAAAAAGTATCTACTATTATTATTATTATTTAATTAAATAGGTACTTCTAATTACTTATCTAGGTACCTACCTAGCCAGCCAGAGCCAGCCAGAGCCAGAGCCAGAGCCAGCACCATCAACGCACCATTTGACAGCACTATCAACAGTACCATCAACAGCATCATCAACACCCTTTAGCAGCATTATTCATAGCCTCGAGGCAGCCTGTTAGCCAGCGGCGCAGTTACAGGCCCTCGACGCTGCTGTCCGAGTTCATCGGTCCGAGTTCCTCGGCACTTCAGCCACGGCCGCCTACATCGTGCGGGCCTACACTAACCCGCGTCTACTCAGCTCAGCACTCAAACACGCCTATACTATACGTTGCTCAAGAAGGAAATCGGATTGATACTTTTAATTTTATAACCTTGACAAAGATACATGAATACCAGGAAGTCGGTTCCCGCGCAGATGTACATTGTCAAGAGCTTCTACAGGGTAGCGGATTCTCCCAAACGCACGAACCAGGCGGTATCGATAACGCTTGCTCCACTTATGACCGGCCTACATAGCTTTTTTTTCTTGCCTTTTCCTCTAGTTTCTTCACGCAATTTTTTTGGTTGACTCCAGCCAAGAAGATTCTGATGTGCGATCCTTGAGCGCCAAAATCGGAGGCCTAGTGCCTGAACCTTTCTCATCAAACATGGCTACTTCAAGAATATTTGTCAATGGCCTGCCGACCAGCCTCACGGAGGCTGAGTTCCGGAAGCACTTCTCTGCGGGAAACCGCGAAGTCACAGACGTCAAGCTCATGGCACAACGCCGCATCGGCTATGTAGGCTACAAGTCGCCAGAAGACGCCGCAAAGGCCGTCAAGTACTTCAACAAGACCTACGTTCGCATGTCCAAGATTACCGTCGAACCGGCAAGAGCAGTGAGTCTCCGGAAACCCGAAGCAAGGGGCAAGGCTCAAGGTACTAACTGGAATGCAAGATCTCAGATTCTACCTGGACCAAGGCCAACGTCGCCACCCGAGCCGTCGCTACGGAGGAGGGCAGCAGGGCCTTGCCGTCGACTGCCACGTCTGAAAAGGGTGGCACGAAGAAGAGGAAGCGTGAGGACCTGGACCCGTCAGATCCCAAGCTGCAAGAGTATCTCCAGGTCATGGGGAAAGGAAGGGAGAGCCTTGTCGCCGATGAGACAGCTGTCGAATCAAGAGGACCTATAGCGCCGCAGGGCAGTGCGCTTGTGCCCGAGGGGGAGAGCGATGACGAATACGTCGAAGTTCCCTCAAGGAAGGAGAAGCTCCGGAAAGTCGATCATGCGACGGGAGAGACTGGTGTGGCTCAAGTGACACCGGCGAAGGAGTCAACATCTCGTAAAGAGGCTGTGGGCGCCCCGGCCGGTGGCGTGGCTGGGGCGTTGCCCGGGTCTACGGCTCCAGAGTCTGCGCCAGCGAACCAAGCAGCTGATGTGGCAATGGCTGCGACAGATGACGACTGGCTGCGTTCGCGAACCAGCAGACTTCTGGACCTGGTTGACCCGGACGACATCTCGCATGCCGCACCCATTGAAAAGGCTGAGGGTGACAGCTCGGCTGGCCAAGAGGTCGGAAATGACAAAGAGGCTCCGCATTCCGAAGAGGACGGAACTCGCGATGGTCAAGACCCTCTCCCACCGCAAGGGCAGGACAAAGACTCAGCTGCTGAAGCTATTGCGAAGACTTCTCGGCTGTTTGTACGAAATCTCCCTTACTCCGCCACTGAGGATGACCTAAGGGAGGAGTTTGAAAAGTTTGGAGGTGTAGACGAAGTAAGTTGCCCCCTTTCCTTGCACTTGTTTACTTGTTTGTTGTTTTTCATTTTTTCCCTCGGCTTGCATGATGAACCCCAGATAGGGACAGCTTATACCGAACGGTATTTGATGAGAACCCTGGGCGAAATATTTTAGTAGATGCTTCGTAGTCTGATATCTTGCCACACTATTGTCATTTTTCACGCGCACATGTACAAGGCAGAAGAGTTGAGCATATGACTGACATTTTCAGGTACACTTGCCAATCAATGCGCAAGGAACAAGCAAAGGATTTGCGATGATGCTGTTTACAAAGGCATCCGACGCGGTTGCTGCATTCCAAGCGTTGGATGGGTCAACGTTCCAGGGGCGTATCATCCACATCATTCCAGCGGACGCAAAAAGGGAGCATGGCGTGGACGATTTCTCCATGTCTAGTCTCCCGTTGAAGAAACAAAACTTGATTCGCAAAAAGAAAGAGGCGGCATCCACCACTTTCAACTGGAACTCGCTCTACATGAGCCAAGACGCCGTCAACAGCTCCGTGGCGGCTCGACTTGGTGTCTCAAAATCCGACGTACTGGATCCAACATCGGCCGACGCAGCAGTCAAGCAAGCTATTGCGGAGACGAGCGTGATCCAAGAGACTAAGGCCTATTTTGCCGCCAATGCGGTGGACTTGGATGCGTTCAAGTCTCATAAGCGGGGCGATCTGGCGATACTGGTCAAGAACTTCCCGTATGGAACAACCATGGAAGAGCTCCGCAAAATGTTTGAGGAGTTTGGTCCAGTTCTCAGAGTTCTGATGCCGCCGACTGGCACAATTGCTATTGTGCAATTCGCACAGGCCAACCATGCAAAGACGGCATTTGGCAAGTTGGCGTATCGACGGATAAAGGACAGCGTCCTTTTTCTGGAGAAAGCACCGAAAGATCTGTTCACTAGCGAGGCACCAGCGGTACCAGTAGCCAAGGCCAACAGCCAGCCAACCGGAACGACCAAACTGAGTGTTAGTGACCTGTTGACGGGCGGCGATCAGGCAGAAGAGGAAGAAGTGGAGACAACGTCGCTGTTTATCCGCAATTTAAACTTTGCCACAACCACGAGCAGACTAGCTGAGGTTTTCAAGGCTCTGGATGGATTTGTGTCGGCCAGAGTCAAGACCAAGACCGACCCGAAGAAGCCGGGCCAAGTGCTCAGCATGGGTTTCGGGTTTGCTGAATTTCGCACGAAAGCGCAGGCGGTAGCTGCTCTCAAGGTCATGGACGGGTATGTTCTGGACGACCATGCGCTCGGCGTAAAGGCGTCGCACAAGGGCAACGACGCAGCCGAGGAGAGGCGCAAACAGGACAAGGCCAAGAAGGTGGCGGCTACACGAACCAAGATTGTCATCAAGAACTTGCCTTTCCAGGTATCCAAACAGGACATCCGGACGCTATTCGGAACCTATGGGCAGCTCCGATCCGTGCGCGTTCCAAAGAAGGCTGACTATACGTCGAGGGGCTTTGCCTTTGCCGACTTTGTGACACCCCGCGAAGCCGAAAACGCACTCAACGCTCTGCGGGACACGCATCTGCTCGGGCGCCGGCTGGTGCTGGACTTTGCGGAGGCGGAGGCGTTGGATGCAGAGGAGGAGATTGAGAAGATGCAGCGCAAGGTGGGAGGACAGGCGAACAAGGTAGCACTTCAGCAACTTACAGGAGGGGGACGCAAAAAGGTGAACATTGGCAATGAAGGGGAGGAAATGGACTAGATGCAGCAATGGTGTAAATAATTATCAAGATACCCTTTTTCTATGAATGTTGCAGCTATGAAGTGATATCCGGGGCAATGATGAATCACTCATCGTACGGTGTAGTTGTCCCTTTGGTGAGGCTATTGGCGGTGCTCCCTGGGCAGGGCAAACGAAGGGCAGATGTGAGTTTGATGGTTTACTAACTAACGTTAGACGCCAACAGCCAAGGGCAGGATGGCAAAAAAGAGGCAAAAGGCAGGACACGCGCCTAGACCCGCAAACACGAAATAAAAATAAAGAGGATGATGATAATAATAATAACAAATGTCCAGCTGGGCAGTGTCGGTGGCTGGTGTGATTCTAATCTCGCAGCATACCAGCAAGAAGAAAAGTTGATGAAGAAGACCATGGCGAAAAAAGGTCAAGGGAAGGCAAGTTTGGTGATGAGACCTTTTTAGGCATGGGCGGCCCCACACTAAGCAACCACACTTACCTAGTATTAGGTGTATTAGGTTTTAGGTAGAATTAGGTTATTCGGTATTCGTTATTCCCACTTGCCACACCCACCACCATGGACAAGACAAGGCAAAGGCAAGCAACCCTTCAACGAAACGCCAAAAACCCTCTTTTTCTTTCCTCGCGCGCGTTGGAAGTGCTCCCTTTGGGGCTAGCATGGATCGCGAAGCTTTTCTGATGATTACCCCCCCGCCCTCGACGAACGCCGCAGCCTCCGCCCGCTCCCTTGTCGTTGCCCTCTGACCCCTGCCGCGCGCACAGATGGAGAGGAGAACGATGGATTGGGGCCGCTCTCGCTTCTGGAGAGCCGAGAGAGAGCTAAGCTACAAGTGTCCCAAAAAGCAGCCCTGCACAAGGAGCCTTTGTTCGTTTCTTGGCCTTGCCCTCGCCCGCTCGGTGGACAGATGGAGCTTCACGTCAAAGGGGGAGTCCTTGAAGGAAAAGAGCTGGAGAAACGAGAGAGACAGAGAGGGGAAAAAAAGGCAGTTTGCCTCGAGACATTGGGGGCGTGTATCGATCATGAGGGCAGCATAGTCTGTTCTCTCACCAGACAGATACGACTAGCAGTCCTCATCGCCCGCTTCTCGATAGGCCCCCCCGTCCTTCCAGCCTGTCGGTTGTGTCTATGTAGCAAGGCTCTTTTGTCGACACACGCCCTTCTCACCCCCCCTCTTCATCATGTCTCGCCGTTCCTGGACGGGGTGGGTGGCAGCCCGCCTGGTGCCGAAGGAAGTTGGCGATGACTCTGGCCCGCGAAGAGAGGGACACAAACTGTCACTCATTCACACCCAGGAGACTCACTAGCCTGATTGTCCCTTCGTCAATAGACCCGATCCACAGTCCACAGGTTCATCGTCCATGCTCGCCCCATCGGCGGGAGTTGATATGGCCGGCGGGTTGACTGACGGCCCTCGATACAGCTGCTTCGTTCCAGTCCAAGCTCTGAGCATTGCCAAATCATACATTTATCCCGCCAGTCCACTCCCAGAATTCCTCTCAACATTTCTTGTTCCTCGACCACTTGCACTTCATTCTTTCTTCTCACTACTCTATCCTACCCGAGTTTTGCCTTCTTGCTTCCTATACATCTCTGGCATTCTTGCGGACCGTGAGCTTTTGCCCGTTTCTCTCTTGAGAGCCAGGTGGAAAATCCCATTGTTGGCATTCCTGCAACAAGGAGAGAGAAGTCTGTTCTCTTTTTGACTTCCCGTCACACACACACCACACATACGCATTGCAATTCCAGCAAGCATTTGTTGGACAATGTCTTCACTATACCCTCCCAGACCGATGCTGTCATCGCAGCGCTACCACCAGTCAACGCAAGACTATCTCGATGCCCGCCGCAGTAGCATTCACCACCCCCAGCCTCAGACTGGCGCCGCCCGCGTTCCTCTACGCGAGTCCGCCGGCAATGCCCAGGCACACAGCTTCAACGGCATGATCTCCTGCTACCAGAGCCCCGTAGCCATCTCCCCTCCCATGCCGCAGCCGCCCCAGCATATCCAGGCGCCCATGGTCCCATCACAGTCTTTTGACTGCCTCTACCGCGTGCCCACACCTCGCCAGCATCAGTCCCAGGTGCTGCAGCAGTCGCAGCAGCAGTCGCAGCAGCAGCGCTACCAGCGCAAGCCCAGAGCCGACATCAACCCCCTCTACTTTTGGCCTGCCTTTCGCCAGTACCGCAACCGACAGGCGCACAAGGATACCCAAAAGGACAAAGGTGGTGTCTGGCGTCGTCCCGAGCTTGAAGATGCCTTCGTCGACTGTAGGTGTTGCCGATACTTGAATACCTGTCATCAGATGTGAAGCTAATACGAACTCTTAGCTGTCCTGCTCATGCCTCACATGGGCCGCCGCAAGTTCTCCATGGGCGGGAAGCTTCACGGCCGCAACATGCTAATCAGCGAGTACATCTTTACTCTCTGCGTTGCCATCCTCGGCAGCAAGGAAATCTTCCGCATCGACAACAGTAATGACAGCATTGAGCAGATGGGACGCAAGCAAGTCTCCAGTCACATGCAGGTTGTCAAGAAGTTCTTTGAGGACCTGCGCTGCTTCCACTTCCTTTTCCCCTCTGAGGAGAAGAAGGAGCCCGGGTCGACCAACTCAGAGGACTACTACGACGACGAGGAGCAAGAGTCGTTCAAGTCCAACCCCATCCTCACAGCCCTCGCCGAGGGTCGCCTGCCCGAAGTCAAGCCCAACTACCCCTACTTTTCCCAGCTGCTGGCCTTACAGTCCTACATTACTGTCCGGCCCAAGACGTGCGAAATATTTGTCTCTTCCTCGGACATTAAAATTCGCGACGAGATTGCCTATGACATCCACGATACCCCGCTTGACCAGGCTTCCTTCCCCCACCTGAACAAGTACAACAACTGCGATGATAGCCCTAATGTGCTCGGCAAAGACGTGCTCCTGCATGAGTACACCCGCTCCCACGACCACGCCACCTCGGCGTCGGTCAAGACAGTCACGCGCCGCTGGCAAAAGGACGCGCCGGCCATGTACGAGACGCTAGATCTGCCCAGCCGCGACGAGGAGTGCCTGCTTCTCGAGATGTGCGCGACTCTGGAGCTGCACGAGCACGCCAAGTTCCCCTCGGGTTCTGAGCTGACGGGCTTCGTCGAGGTGGCCATTACGCAGCCGGCGCTCCAGAACCACCAGTGGAAGTGCGTCACGCGCCTGACGCGCCCCGCTGAGCTGCACGGTGATGAGGCGGACCACACTACCGTCTACACCAACGAGAGCGGCATCCACCGCCGCGGCTGCAGCGATGCTAAGCCTGACTGCGACTGCCATACGCGCGCTCGCCAGGACATCCACGTCCCCTTCCCTGCCGTCGAGTGGGCCAGTATCCTCAGCATGGCCGTACAGTATCCGGACACAGAGCACCAGCGCGTCAAGGAGAAGCGTGCCAAGATGGGCGCCGCCGTCGGGAAGAAGCATGATGTAGAGCGCGCTGGAAGCAAGCGCAAGCGGTCCGAGGATGACGGCGACGCCGCGTCGTGGGCTCGCCGCGAGCCCACCGGCAGTGACCTCATCTGCAAGGTGGCCATGTACCAGGAGCTGTGGTCGCGCGAGCCCGACTCGCCACAGTGGCAGCGCCAGGGCATTCTCTTTTGGCGCTTCAACACCACCAACCAGTGGTACAAGTACGAGCCCGTCTTCAAGCCTGCTGGCACCTCGTGGCGCTGGCTCACCATCAACGACCCCATGTCTCGCTACCACCAGCAAAAGGCGCTCGTCTACCCACCCGCCGGTGTGCCTCGCGACGCCATCATGTCGCCCACGCCCACCGTCGGCCAACACCTCACGGCCGCCATGAGCGAGACGTTCCACGCATCCTGGGAACACCACCAAGGGGGAAGTGGCAGCAGCAGCCTGCCGCCGCACATGCCGACGCTCCAGACGTCCGGCAACAGCATGGGTCTCTTTGATTCCTTCTCCAACGGCCTGGCCACGCCGCCGCCGTCGGCGACCCTTCCCCCGCCTCCATACTCGACCGGGACCTTTGACGCCGCCGGCCTGGGACCAACCGGCTTCCTACCCTCAAACGGCACAGCCCAACAGCAGCAGGCGGACTCGCGCCACGGCTCTGGTAGCCTTGCCTCGGACCAGTCGTACTATGACGGCGGCAGCAGCACGGTATCGTTTTCCGAGGTCAAGCCCGTCCTGCCTGCCATTGTCACCAACTACACCACCGCCGGCGGCGTCTACGACACCTCGCCCTGCGACACGACCAACCTGCAGGGCTGGGACATGGCCTCGCTGGATCCATGGGCAGCGGCAGCGACGACGGCCGGCGGCGGCGGAGGCGGTCCCACGCCGACCTCCTCTACTGGCGCGCCGCAAGACTGGCCGCCCGCCCAGCAGCACCAGCAGCATCCGGGCGCCAAGATGGATCACCACGCGGAACACCACCAGCACCACCACCAGGGTATGTGGGCGGCGCCGCAGTGGGACGTGCCCGGCAGCGCGGGCTCGCAGGGGTCCAGCCCCCGGCTGATGAAGAGGCGCAGGACTGACGTGGATGGCCATGTGCCCGTCTCAACCGGCTGGTAGAGGGAGGATTTGACTTCAAGACATGGTGGCTGCACTGCCTCTGAGGCTTGAAGGTTGGATGAAACATGTTGTGGATTATCATGGCGAAAAGGATGGGCGTGAATTGGAATTGCGATTTTCATCTTCTCACACAGAATTGTGTGCACTTTGTTGGGGAGTTTTACTGATTATTCGGCGCGAGGGAAACGAAGCTCTATTTTCCGTTTCTGTGGCGCAACTGGGGTTTGATTTCTCTCTTTCTTCTTCCTTCTTCACATATACATTAGCCTCGATTTACCATTATTATTTTATGACTACGATAATACATCATGACTCAAACCACTTCATCTCTTCTCTGGGCCTGTGAATCCTCTCTCTACTGCTGGTCGGTGTACGGAAGGTGGCTGACGGGGACCAAGACACACAAAAGCGATGAAGACGAGAAGCAAGAAACGAGTCTGTCCATGTGTCTTGCAAGTGTCTTGCAAGTCTGGGGAGGGATCATGCAAAATGTTGGTAAAACGCATGGAATAAGAGAGATTCGACAGCAGAAGATGATGACTGCACATCATGTGTTGCGTAGGGGAGTGAAACATGGGTTCATGCAAGCACTTACACCCAAGTGAGACCAATTTCCTGCTCGTTCGCAATTTTTGCCCAGACGATGACAAAAAGCGCGGACTGAGTAAGCGAATGTTGGAGAGACGGGACAAGGTGAATCAGATTATTCTAGAGCCGGTGAAGTTGGGTAGCATAGGGTGGGAGATATACGTCGACGTGGTGGAGGGGTGGGAGGAAGTTTCTGAAAGAGAAGACGAAGAAGGCCCCATCTCAGGGTTTCAGGCGAGACATGATGGGATGCTGTGATTCCGCAGCGTTGGGCATGCATGGCGAGGAACTAGATGGCCACATGTGGCAGGTGGGATGGACAAGTCGTGGTTGCAGACGGGCCAACGACGCTAGAGCTACAAGTCATCTGTGACGGTCCAGGAAGCCTGTGCAGATCTCGTGGTGGGTTACCCCGCGGCGGGCGACATAACGGGCTGATGTGAGGAAGAACGGCGTCATGGTGGTGAGGAACATGAGAGACATGAGAAGAGCAGAGTCAACGTGGTGCTGAAGGTGTGGCGGGTGAGATTTTATGCACATGAGATGTGATATATGGCGAGGATATATCGTGTTGGTAGTAAAAAAGAACCTAGCAAGAGTCTGTCTCTCCTTTGCGTGGATGGTGTTGATGAATGAACTTGGCTGACTTTGGGCGTCATGATGGTGTACATTGGCTTTGCGACGGTGCGCCCGGGACCACGGAAAAACAAAGACGAAATCAGAATAGAAATCAAAGTAGGGGATCAGCAAGAATATTGGGGCGTATATCGAAAATCTCCTCCATTTCGATATGCAGAATTATTTCCAGGTGGTGCATGTGATGCTATTCGGTATGCACCTCACCTCTGCAAACCTGGTGGCTGGAGCCAAAAAGGGTTGGGATTCAAAGGCCCGTTGACGGAAACAACATCTCCACCCATATCAGAAAAAGGCCTGCCACGAGCTGATTTTCTTTGATTCTCCTTGAAAGATGTTGCATGACGCATGGTGGCAGGGGTTGGCACATCACTTGGCGCAAGGGGGGGGGGGTTCAATGGTGAGACCGTGTTGGGAAGCGCCGAGAACGGTGATTGGCTGAATGAGGGCGAATCAGGGTACAGGGAAGTAGATGGCGTTGGAGGTCTGGAATTCGGCACGGCTTGGATGGTTGGAGGTGAGGAAGTCGATACGAAGAAAAAAAAACGCCATGTTTGGATTGAAAGAGGTGCTGATGGTGGTGGTGAGAGGGGGGTGTGTTCATAAGAAGGATAGGAGCAGGGCAGGTGATGCTGTTGAGACAGGACAACTGGGCGAGTATTGGAAGGCGGTGGGGGGAGCGAGAGGGCGTTGATGGCCAGAACTGATGGATGCATTGCAATGTAGTGAGGATGATTAATGAATGATGGTGATAAGAGAAATAACGGTCGCATGATATGGGCGCGCATGGTACGGGAGGGTTATGTTGGCAGAGAGTGCTGCACGCGGGATACTGGAGCAAGGCTCACAAGACTACCTAATGTGTAAGATGTGTAAGACCAGTAAATACCAAGCAGTATCAAGTAGAGAGAAAAAATGGCTACTCTTCCATCTCGGTCGTGCCAGTAACGAGATTGCATGGGGTGGGCAAACACAGTCGGATGCAAACACAATTGTCGCGCGGATACCAGACAAGAGGCAAAGTATATCGTACAATCATGGCACATGCAGGAACGAGAAACATATTCGAGGCAAGGCGTGGGAGCCACTGAGCAGCAGTAGCTTGGCCTGGGGGCGCTTGCGCGCAGCAATAGCGAAGTGTCAATTAATCTGCACCAACAGGGGTTGGCGATGCAGGCGATGGATGTTGGGTGTTTTTATTAGGCGCCCCCTCAGATACATGGAAAAACGTGGGTCCTGCGGAGAAATGAATGATGCGAGGGGGGGGAATGAAGAGGTTATCGTTCTTTTGTCCGACTATGATACAGCAAGGGGCGCGACTTGTTAGATCCAGGTACTTGGCGGAAACACACTTTTTTTTTTGATCTCGTCTCCTTGTTGGTGTTGCGGGAGGGCAGCCCCTTGCGACAGGGCGGCAAAACTCAAAAGTGGCAAGCCAGGAACCAGAGAAGACCAGTCTGCAATGTCTGCAATTTCTGACAAATTCATGCCCGACAGAAAATAACTGGCAAAAATAAATAATCTCTCCATCCTTTTTCCTTTATTTTATTTTATTTTACAGCCACCCCGTGACGAGAAAGCGGCCATGGACGCGACCACCGCCTGCATCTTCGTTTCCGTTTGCTGTTGCGTTTGTCGCATCGATTGGCCGGCAGCGGCGGGGAAAGGGTTACTGTAGCCCCCACCCATGTCCGATGAAACGAAAAGGGAACATACATCTTCTCCAACAATGGGCCGCCTTTGTCCATTGTTTCTTTCACCAATTTTGTCCTTTTTTTCGCCTGGACATAATGGGCAAGACGATTTTTTTTGGGGGCACAGACATTTTTTAAACACATGTCATCCATCAGCAACGTCATGTACAACAACCCCCTGCTTCTTCACCAGCAGCAAGCCCCATCGTCGTCGTCTCAGACCCCGTGTCCGGCCCTGTCTAGATTCGTCTGATAGGCTCTCCGCCGCTGCTTGTCTGAAGAAATTCAAGACAGACTTCGTAATCGGTGCCGTCGACCGGCCGGACAGGCCCAGGGAAGGGAAAAGAGATGGGCGCATGGCGGAATCGGGAAATGGGCGCAACCAGATGGCCACCCGTCCCCTCCCTTATGCTGTAGTCGCCCTCGCTCTGCCTTTCAACTCTCTCTTTAATATATCAAGAAACAAGTCATGCAGCGCGCGTCGCTTCTCGTGTCATCATCCCAACCTCGCATCCTCCCCCATCCCATTATCCCACCAGTCCTCGTCAACCGCCTGTGCTACTCATCCGACCTCTCTTGTCCTCTTGTCCTCTCGCCACCCCTCGTCCGGAGCCCATTTCTCTCACTTGACACATGAATTTGTCCTTGAGCAAGATTTTGTTTAAATATCTCACGCGACATCCAAATCCTTCTCAAAACCGTTAGCATTCTTTCTCACCCTCTCGACCGCAACGCTTCACACCTCACCAGCCTTTCACCTCGGCCCTTCGCCTTGACTTTGGACATTTCCCTCTCCTCCCTACTTTCCCTACAAAAAACAAAAAGTATTGTCATGATACTCTGACAAGCACGCTTTCACCCCTTACTCTGTGTTGAGGCCGTTTCCTTGCATCCCATCTCTCGACTTTGCTTGCCTCCAAGAGTCGTGCAAGCACAGGCTGGAACTGTGATTCACCTCTTACCCTCTGTCCTTTCCCAAGTATCTGCCATCTGCTACCGATTCACTGCGTACGCGTACCACGCAAAAGAGTAACTTCGCCAAAATTCAGCCAAACGGTCAAACCAGCAAACAAACGCCCTGCCAACTGCCAGGCCACATCTGCCAGCTGCCAGCCGTCACCTCTCCTTCAGCAAAACCAAAACAAAACAACAATAGCGACAAAAGCATCTTCTTGAAGACATTCCATCACTACCTAGCTTTCGAGTGTTGATTCATCTCGTCCAATATCTATCTATTTACAGGCTGATCTGCCCCGAGCTTGAGCTTCGCTCCCTTCACCACTTATACACCGCATTCCTTCGACCGTCGACATAGCATTCTCCTGGCGAGAAGCCACCGCTCCTTGAAATCAACACATCACGCTCTCTCCATCTCCAACACTAAGAAAACTCGCTCTCCATCATGCGTCCGTCACCATCCACCCCCGCGGCCCTGCTCGCCGCCAGCCTTGCCAGCCTCGCCCACGCCCACTCTTGGATCGAGGAGCTCTATCGCATCGCCCCGGGAGGCGCCTACACTGGGGACCCCGGCTACGCCCGCGGCTGGGTCTCGCGCGACTCCAAGGACCCCGCTTGGAACGACAAGATCCCGCAGTGCCTGCTGCCGCCGGCCGGCCAGGCCGCCTACAGCGGCAACGAGATCCTCAACAAGTACAAGGCCGAGGCGGCGCCCAAGTTCCCCCTGCTCCAGGCCGCGCCCGGCGACCACATCGCCATCATCCACCTCGAAAACGGCCACACCTCGCTGCCGCAGAACCAGCCCAAGAAGCCGCTCAACCGCGGCACCGTCTTCATCTACGGCACCGCCGACCCCAAGCCCGAGGAGCGCCTGTTCGACGTCCACCTGCTCTGGAACCGCGCCGGCACCGGCGGCGACAAGCGCGGCAAGCTGCTCGCCACCCGCAACTACGACGACGGCCAGTGCTACCAGCCCAACCCGGGCGAGATCAGCAACCAGCGCGCCAAGGCGCTCGCGGCCGCCGGCGCCAGCCACGACCGCGAGCTGCGCTGCCAAGAGGACATCCAGCTGCCCAACGACCTCAAGCCCGGCTCGACCTACACCCTCTACTGGTACTGGGACTGGCCCGACCTGGACCCGGCCCACATCAAGGTCGATGACACCAAGAACGGCATCTTTCCCTGGGCCGGCACGTTTATGCGCGGTGAAAAGGACCCCCACGGCTTCACCATGGCCGCCATTGCCAAGAACGAGAGCTACTCGAGCGTCGCCGACATCAAGATTGTCGAGGCCGCCCAGCTCCCCGGTGCCGGCGCCAAGGCCGCTGACGCGGGGCCCGGCAACATCTACACGCAGGCCATCAAGGCGCAGATGACGGGCAACTATCAAGTCGATATTGACGCCAACCTAGCCGCCACCGGCGGTGCCCCAGCCGCCACCGGCACCGGCGGTGCGCCTCCTGCCCGCTCCGTTCCTTCCAGCCCGACCACCGGCAACGGCGGCGCCGCCACAGTCACAGTCACGGTGACCCAGACGATGCCCTGCACCGTCACCGCCACCGTCTACGTTACCAAGTCGGGCGCCGGGCCCGAACCATCGCACCCCAATGTGTACGTGGCCGCCCGCGCCGCTGCCGAGACCCTCGTGTCGAATGCGGTTATCGACGCGGGGCGGCCCAAGACCACGAACCCCTCTACGCCCGGCCGAGCGGCCCGGAGAAACCGCCATTTTGGGCAGTAAAGTGAAGTATACCCCCTTAACGCCGCGGCAACTGCAAACGAGTGCGTTGTCGTGGAAGAGCACGGAGGAAAACAACAGCGGACGCTCGTTTTGGTGATTTGTTTTGATATCTTGACGCCATACCAGTTGGCTATGAATGTTTTTGTGTATCTTCTTCTTCTTTGGAGTGTGTTTTATACTAAACACGTACATATGTCTTTCGTTTCTTCTGGCCATATTTCCTGCCATTTCGACATTTTCCATAGACTTTTGGACATGTGGCTGCTTTTATGCAGCAGAATACATTGAAAATTTTGTTTACATAGCACCACGACTTGTCAGGTCCCATCGTGAGAAGACTGCCCAGCACTTATCGTAATTTACCTGATTCCTCCGCACCAAGGCTTACATCTCGCCGCACTGCGCAATGACAACGTCCATGTTCGGCACGTCCTTGCCCTTGTAGCCCGTCTTGGTGGCTTCCATCTTGCGCACCACATCCAAGCCGTCGGCGACCTTGCCAAACACGACGTGCTTGTTGTCGAGAAACGGCGTCGGCGCCGTCGTGATGAAGAACTGGCAGCCGTTGGTGTTGGGGCCGGCGTTCTGCGCGGTCGAGTTAGCATTCTGTTTGTTACAGTAAGGATATACCGCAAAGAACGCGAAAAAAAAAAAGGAAACAAGGAAGAAAGAAAAAAAAATGCATACAGCCATCGAGAGCAACCCGGGTTGCTCGTGCTTGAGCGTAAAGTTTTCGTCCTCAAACGACTTGTAGCCCCAGATGCACGTGGAGCCGCTGCCGTCGCCGTTGAGAAAGTCGCCGCCTTGGCACATAAAGTTGGAAATCTGCAGACGGGTCGTTAGCGGGAAACAGGTCAAGCCGGATAGTGCCGGTTCAGAGGCATACGATGCGGTGAAACTTGGAGCCCTTGTAGCCCTGGGGCCGGCCGACCGAGTCCTTGCTCTCGCCCGTGCAAAACTGGCGAAAGTTTTCGGCCGTCTTGGGCGTGACGTCCTTGAACAGCTCAAACGTGATTCTTCCCAGGGGTTCGCCTACACAAGCATAATGAGTAAACAGACACCATTGCTGATGTTCTCAGGAGAGACCAAATAAAACGTACCTCCGAGAGTAATGTCAAAAAAGACCCTACATATGTGGTCCAACAATCAGCCTTGTTCACTCAGGTTTCTGGGGGTTTGATCAGACGTACAAGGGATTGCCCGACTCTGGTAATTGCGTTGGCGCCATGTTTCCCCCCTAGTTTTTGTGAAATTGATACAACTGAAACGCTTATCCACGCCCGATCCGTTTCCCTTGGCTGAAAAGCGCGTTCGGTGGTAAGCAAAGCAACCGATACCGTCCTGCGAGATACGAAGCCAATCTATAGACTGCGCGTGTGTGTGTTGAACTTTCAAAACCCCAACGTGTATTCGGAAACGGGAAACTGGTTTGGAGGGAAGTGAGTTGTTGGTTGGAGAAGGGGAAAAGAAGCCAAAAAGGCTTTCCGTCTCTGGACGAGGTTGTCGCGATGAAAGCGGGGCGCTCTACCGTTTGAGTGGTTCGGACAGGGCAGCTCCAGCAAAGTTGGGGACCAGAGCTTATAGATGACCAGAAATGTACATGATCTCTGCGGACGTTGTAGAGATTTATTGGAGACTTGAAATTCAACATGTTTGCAAGGCAGTGTGTAGTTGGTGACTAGGGTTGGTAAAGAAGAGGCATCAGAACGTGCCGGACCTCGCCACATCAAGACAAGTGACAATTTTTGACAAACTCGGCTGCGTAGAACTACGAAAAGTGTTGGATAAATAAATATGATTGAGAAGAATTATCATGGCTTTGAGAGTCAAAAGAGGCGGAGGCTTGAGAACCGGCGGTACTGATGCTGAAGGACATCGTCATGTTCATGGCCCTGTTGATCCATTCCACGGCTGTTTCCGAAAAATGGCACAAGCGCATATCATTGGACTGTACCATGGGTGGTTTTTTGATTCAGTTCTTTGATGGAAAAGTTTGAATTTGCAATTTTGCCTTTTACGTTTACAGAAATACCCAGTGCTCTGATGATGGTCTTGGATTCGCTCGGGCCGCCGCCACAAGTCGGTGTAAGTCGAGATCATCCCCTACACCTCCTGGAATAGGACATGTTCACCGGAGTAGGCGTACGCGCCACCATCTTTGAGGCTTGGTTCCGCGAGTCCTCGAGCAAACCTCTGGCTATTATTAACACAACTCGTCACTGTGAGTCCCACGCCGGGCGGCGCTGTCCGGCAGCCTGTTTTTTTTTTTCGAGTTACCCTAGTAGCAAAAGAACTGGACGTAGTTGTGCTGTCACCTTCTGTAATGTATTCGTGACAAGGAGGCGCATGGTCAGTGTGCCTGGTACATACATGCAAGACGCACGACTGCGCGAGCGTTGTTTGAGCTGGATAACAGTTACACAGCCCATCCGCTTTACGACCATGGATTGCACCAAGCTTAATAGGATACCAGGCCGGCACAGTGGTTCCTGAAGCTTCGTAATATCCCAAAAGCGAGTTGTAGACGTTGGGCATCGGCGCAATGTCGCTGGGCGGGAGCTGCTGTCGCGGCCTTTCGGATCGGCGAATGTATAGCGACAGAAGGAGATCCGATGGTGCTTCTTCTAGATCTGGAAGGACAGATAGAACGGCAAATGCATGCCGTTGACCTTGAAAACGATTAATGTCGTGGACCAGAATGCCCGAGATGCCCGAGATGAGCCAGACACCAACCGCGACCTGCGACGCGATTTTGCGACCAGAACTGTTTTGAGCAGACCACCCCCGGACAGACACTGACGTCAATTCGATTCAACGCGAACAAATACGTTACACAGTGGCAGCAACTGCGTCGACAGCGGCTCCGGGAAAGATGTATGGCTGGCGCAAACAAGCGCGGCCGCAGGCGGGTGGCGCGACAGCCCGAGCCCATTCCAACATGTGTTCCGCGTGGCACAAGAGTTGTGGATTTGTCGATGCGATACAGCCGTGCGGGAAATGAACCTTTCTTGGTTGGCAACGGGTAGATGCAAGCTGAAGGCCGTGGGTACAAGGCCCGTGCTGGGGTTGCGGGGGAGGGGAACAGGTCGCAACGGGAGAATACTACGGATACTGAGACTCGGCTTGTACGAAATTGACCAAGCAGGCCGCGGTTGCAAAATACCCAGGCTGTGATACCAATCTTGTTGGAGAAGTGTCAGCGTGGCTCCGTTTGACAATTTGAGGAGCGTGCGGACAACGAGTTGCTTGGGCTCGCTCGTACAAGACTTGCGTCCTCGCGATGGCGACGAAAGGCTCCAACATACTGACGAGCATGAATTTTGAGCATGAATGTTTGAGCGTACTCGGATGCACCATGGCCTCGTGCCATGTTGCTGAGTGTTGGCACAAAATCATAATGGGAACGCGCAGCCCTGTCGTGTCGCTGACCCCTTTTCAGTCAACATCACCATGTTCTCTGACGCTGCGGCTTTCCAGAAGCGTTGTGGCGGCGCCAGGGAAGTGTAGAAGGGATAAAAATAGAAGCACTTCATTTTACCGAGACATTTTTTTTTTGTGGCAGATGGGAATGAGGACTAACTAGTGCTGAAGGGGAAAAAGCAAACGGAAGAGGGCAAGGGAGAAGAACAATAAAATGAGACGATGTTTTTGATATCGATAGTCGACACAACAAGCCCTTGCACCATGTGCCGTCTGGGGTTCACAATAAATATAGATGCTTGAGAATGATCGGCGAATTGCCTTTTTTTGCAGGGTCTGTAATAAGGACGCCGAGCCGTATCATGGACCAAACTGCCAGTACAAGACGGATTCCTGTGAAACGGCGCATTTTGAGCAATACCGTCAGCCATGTGCTACCAATTCCAATATCAAAGAACCCCCCTTGTGCAAGTTGCAGAACTGTGCTCAAGACGTCGCGTATCCCGAACTGATAGCAGCGCAATGGCGGGCAAATCGGCGCTAATAAGGAGCCCCCCGGCGATGCCGCGTTGGCGGCCGAGGTCGAGGCCAAAGGGGCCAAAGGGGCCAAAGGGGCCAAAGGGGCCAAAGGGTTGACAAAGGTCAAGGAATGAAGAAATGGCTCATGCCAATCTGTCTGCTTGGGCCGGAATCATAGCGGGCGGAGAACTGAGACAGTGACGGGGGTGGGAGGGCCCTGTTTGTCGTACATACATTTTTGTATCACTCGGTAATATCATCAGCATGGCGAGGATGATATCGAAGGCGACAACGTAGACAGTGATATTCAATAATGGTATGGTTGGATTGTTGCGACATGACAGCGGTGTATTTCCGACACAACGCAGAAAGGGATGTGCCAAGGATATGGGTATTTGTTATAGGACCAAATTTTGCTCCGTATGGCGTACTCCGTACTCCGTACATTTGAAGGAATATGCTTCATCATTATTGTAACAACTACATAGTAGTACAATACCAATAAGCGAATTACTCTTTGTTCCTTCGTTGAGCGGGAGCCGCTTTAACAGGCACCCCGCCCTGCTCAAAGCACTTCCACGTCCAGTCCAGTTTGGCAGGGAGGAATGCAAAAGAATTACCCCGAAATTCACAAGACCAACTTTTATCTAAAGAGGCAATACTACAATTTCTCTGCACTCAAGGTGTTTAGAGAAGGGAGGGTCCTTTTTCTCCTCGAGAAATAAGCCATGTTCATGGTTCTCAAACCTGGTTTGTCTAGAAGTTCGTCTGCCAAGACAAGCGGCGTTTGAGCCCCTCTCGTTGGTGTAACTTGCTGCTTGAAGGTTTAGTATTTTTACTTTGGATCAGAAACTTTGTCGCCTGCACTGCATTGCATTGCATTTGCATAGAAAGCAGTCGCGTGGTTCGTCCGGGGGGCTGGGCTGCGTAGCCGAGAACCTCGCCCGGCCAGCGCCGAGTATTATGACAATGGGTTTCGGCATAATAAAAAAGAGGCTTGCGCTCTTCGTCATTGCGCTTACCATCTACTTTGCTTTTGCTTATTTATTGTATGAAGGCTCTCGGCACCCCGCCCAACCGTGTGTGCTCTGCGTCATTATGCGCACCGGCGTGCAGTAGGCGCATCTCAAGCAGTCAGTATTTGATTTACAAATGCGCTGTCCATCGGGCGATGCTTGACTGCCGGCAGCCGATTCCCCCCCCTCCTTCTCGCAGGATATGTAATCCAGACCGAGGACCATTGTGTGGTACATAGTTACATGGTTTTGGAATCATGGACGCCTCAGGCTCTTGGGACGAGCAGCTGGGGCGGCCTCCGCCAAAATTCTGGGGATGTGGCGGCGCCGGGCGTAGTCTCGACGTTAGCTTTTCCCTCCACGGGAAGCCCGGATGATGCGCCATCCGAGGTGCGCATCGAAGGAAATCGCCGTTGATTTTCACTCCTTTACACTTTGAAGAGTTGGGATGCTGGAACGGAGATGGGCCGTGATGCCGTTTTGGTAGTAATACCATCCCCGGCTTGCCCAAACGAGTTGGCCTCGAACGCACAGCCATCATCGCCGACGGGTGATGCCACAAGTGCGCTGGTCAGCCGCCGATGAGGAGGAAAAGTGGACTCGACGTCTCTAGACAAGATGGCTATCGAGTTCCGTCAGGATATGTTCACCATGGTCAAGGTCAATGGCAGAGATTGATGGGGAGGATTTGGGGTGTTGTGACCATGCAGGGCCGTTGGCGCCGACGGTGCACCAGATCGAGCAGCACCTTGTCATACGACTATGTGCGAATGAATTCGTGCAGTAGTGAGTGATTGGTTTGCTCCGACGTAACAGATGTCGCTGTACGGCCCATCATCAGGCCATGTTTTTATTTCCAACGCAAATAAAAACGCAATCGCCATCAGTTGCCGCTTACTAGCCTACGGATAGTGACCGGTGGCGGGTGGGCAGAAACGATTGACCAGTTTTGGCGTCCATCTAGTTACGGATTTGGACTGATAACTAGTTACCAATAACTAGTTGGTAACGAATAAAACACGTAGTCTTTCGCCGTCCTTGAGACTCTATTATCCGCTGTCGAGTCAGGGTTCGTCCTCGTGCCAGAAGTCTGCGACGTCGACAGGGGCAGAAACGTCAGGGAGCCGCAGGGGAAAATGGGCGGTGGCTCAGAGGAGGTGCTGTTCCTTTCGACTGGCCCTGTTTCCTCTTGCCTGCCTATTTAGATCAAGGCGCGACGTAATTGAGGCTCGGGGTGTAACTAGTTACCAAGATGCACTTTTGTGTGCGTGTGTGTGGCAGACTGGCGCTGGAATACGGTCTTTGTTTGCGCCACCGAGGCTGTGTGCAGGACTGTCAGATTCCCGGATGGGTTTCAACAAGTTCACCTGTCCGTACTCTGTACATACATTGTTTTATGCCAGCGACTGGCAACTTTCTTCGACCATGACGCCCTGGTGGATAATGATGGCTGGCTGCGTGTCTCAGCACCCGGCAAGGCTACAGATGGAGTCGTCTGTGTCCTTGAGCCTCTCGATTGGTGTGAATTCCGACTCGTAAAACAAAACGAGGTCGCGGCCTGCCCGGTTTGTTTGTGCGACCAAGACATTGCTTATTTCGCGGTCAATACACCTACATAGGTAGGTACCCAGGTATGTGTGCATCCGTCCGATGGATGACGGTATCACAGAGATCCGGGCATCCAGTGGTATGCTTGTATGCGTACCTTTTCGCACCACTCTCTTTATTTTGGGGTTATTTTTGTATGATTTGATGATTTGATGGGTATTTTTGACATTTCAACTCTGGATTCGTCGACGCCTCTGTTTGATTTGTATTTTTATTTGCCACACACAGCTGATAATGCTTGCCTGACTAGCGCCCAACTTGGCCGTCTGCTGCAACGTTAGCCAGCTGTTCGTTAGCGCTGTGGTTTTGCCCGCTGGCACTAACCGGACAGTGGGGTGGGGAACACGTTCAGCCTGCATGCAGCACCGGTTCCAGCCAACGCACCACCAAAAGCACCAAAAGCCAGCCAGGTGAGCGCCGCCATGGGCCATGGATGTGAACAGAAATGACGGCGTGTGCTCAGATATGTCTTCTCCCGCCTCTTCCAAATTCATACAGGCCCTCCCCCCTCCTCCCCCTCCCCAGCTAACGTTAACTTGGTGCCCTAAAAAAAAGCCGCCCTCTTGGCCCTCCTCCCCCCTCCCACTCTCCCAGTCCAACCAAGCACCCTCGTCTCCTTGCTCTTGCACAGCACAGACTGGTGGCATTCTGGTGCCCACTCTCCCTGCACTCCGCAAAGTCACGCCCCCAGTCCAAGCCCAGCTCTACTAGGTTAGTAGGCCAACATCCTCTCCCACATCACCACTGCCCCATCCGCCCATCGTCTGTCTGCCAGCCATCCATCGCTTCACCCGCTCACCCGCTCACTTGCATCTCTCCCCATCCCTCCGCCCTCATTGTCGACGCAGATCCCATCTTCGCCGCATCGCCTGATTTGTCACTTGCTGACGGCCGTCGCAATCATCAGCGACAATTATTTATTTCACCGACCGTGGCGGCCGCCTCTAATTCCAATCCGGTTCAGCAACTCGCTCCCCTCCGCCCAAGCAACACTGCCACGACCCTCGCCTCCGACATTGGGATTGGGCTTCAACGGACGCTCCATTACTGCGCCGTGCCCGCTTCATCTGCATGACGCCTCCCTCTCGCCGCCTCTAGGCAATTTCTCTCTCGTTGAATCATCAATCCGATCTGCGACCACCAGTACCGACCGGCTGCTGTAACCTTCGCTTCTATCCGTCGCCAACATGGCCATCCTCACCGACCTCGTTTTCGAGGCCACTCGTGTGGCTGTTCGAGCTGCTACGGATGAACCTTCTCCCACGTCCAATTCCTCCGCTATTTCCACCACCTCAAGCATGCCCACCGATACCAATTTTCAGAACAATAAAAACTCAGACCCCAACAAGGACAGAGGCAGCTCGCCGCTCCTCTTCTTTGTCGCTCTAGGCTTTGGCGTCGTCTTCACTAACCTCTGGTACGTTGAACTTAACTCGCCGCTTTCGAATTTTTCAAAACCACTAGTGCTGCTTCGCTTCCAACATGCCCTAACCGCCGCTACAGGATTATCGTCGGTGTCAAATACTGCTTCCGCTACAATGCCCGCAACCGCGCCCGACTTGGTGAGGACGGCGAACCCCTACCTCTCGAAAACATGGCCAGGCCTCACCGTCGCCGTCGCGAAAAGAAGCTGATGAGCATGGACGAGGTCAATGAGAAATTTCCCATGATGAAGTACAAGACATGGGTAATTGAGCGCGCCCGAGAAGGTTTGCCCACAGCTGGTGGCGTAGACGTGTCAGCCAGCAGACCAACCAGCCTTCACAACGTTGAAGCCGTCTCCTCCATCACCACCACAAAACAACGCCAATCAACCGATAACCCGATTCCCGACTTCTCCGATAGTCAAGAGCCTGCTGCTGCTGCTACTGTCGACCGAAAACCTGCCGACAAGCCGGCAGAGACGGAAAAGGAGAAGCCTGTCAAGGACAGCGATGCCATCGAATCGGCTGGACAGACATCAACTGCTGCACCCGCGAAAACCGACGATGTGCAACGGGTCGAGAGTCACCAGGACGACGACGAGGAAGACGACGAGCACATCAACGCCGCCCTGCCACCCGAGTGTCTCGGTGCCCCGGGCGATGCCTGTGCTATCTGCATTGATACCCTTGAGGACGACGACGACATCCGCGGCCTCACATGCGGTCATGCCTTCCACGCTGTCTGCGTCGATCCTTGGCTGACGAGTCGCCGTGCTTGCTGCCCCCTCTGCAAGGCAGACTACTACACGCCCAAGCCTCGACCCAACCAGGATGTTGATGCCGCCGCCCAGACCAACTCCAGTCTGGATCCCCGCAACAATACACGCATGAACATGCCTACCAGTTTTGCGTCTGCCTGGTTCCGCTCCAGCCGCGCTCATCCCCTCCGCGCTGGTCGACACTCAACAACCAACACGGCAGAAGCGCCTACACAACAACCTACCGAGAGTTTCAGTCGCAGCATGGTGACATCTGTTCGCTCTGCTCTGCGATTTGGTCGCAGAAACAATGCTGCCCAAACTGAGGCAGCCGCCCCTACCGCAACAGATCCTACGCCCGGCCAATTAGAGTCTGGCATCCGACCCCACGTTGTGGCGTAAAAGCCTTGGCCCTGTCTATTCAATACATTAATGACATGCTTATTACGACTCCTTGTCCGTCACCTTGATCGCTCCTCCTTGGCGGTATTCCATCTACGAACCACCCGCTTTCGTATCAAGCAGCGCCGTGACCTGCCACATCACGAAGCCGCCTCTTGCTTTCCCCAAAATCGGTACACGTCACTTATCCCACGGGACCAGGCCACTCAAATGGGGAGACGCGGTCCACGGATCGTTTGAAAATTGGCTATGCTATAGATGGCTTGCTGTGTAACGGACTCATCCCTGCGGTAGTTTCAGCTGACATGTCCATGCCTACCTACTTGTACTGGTGCAAACCTGTGCATGGGCCGAGTTGATTGAAAATTGGTGTCTGCTCTTTCTCCATCTTATTTTACTCGCATTGTAACTGAAAGGATATGGTAGCCACGGGCTTGATTGGACTATTCTTTGACCTCTCTTTTTCTTGTCTTTCCTGGGATGGTTGAAATTTTTTTGTTTTATTTCCTGACAGCGGCGGAGTTTGGCTTTTATGCGGCATACTAAATAGGCCCCCGGTGGTATATATAAACACGCTACATCTTGCTCGAAGTTTTTGATTCCTCCACTGTCATGCGTAATGCTTCTTTGCTCTTGGCCAAATGTATACATGTATTGCGCGTGAAATGAGTTTATTGTACTACATAAAGTTTGTGTGCTACAAAAACGAACCCTTTTGGAACCGCCCGCCAAAATTGGCACTCTTGGCCACCAACTCCCTGCGCTGCGCCGTTCCAATCTTGCTCCCTAGCGCCATGTCCTTTTCCCGATCAAACGCCCTCTTGCTCGGGTCATCGTCCTCGTCCTCCCCCGCCTTGCCCCTCCTCCCACCCACGTCACTTCTCTTCTCCTTGGCCCCCTGGTGCTCATCGTACAGGCTCTTGCCGCGAGTCGCCGCAATCGACGCCGCAATCTTGCGGTTCCGCGCCTCCTCGTCCCTGCTCCGCGCCTCCGTCACCGCCGCCGCCTGTCCACCACTGCCGTCGGACCGACCCAGCACCGCGTCCTGCAGTCGCTTGAGCTTTTCTTCCGGTGTCTCGGTCCAGATGGCCGCCAGGTCGCCGCCGCCGCCGCCGCCGCCGGAGGAGGCCGAGGCGAAGGGTTTGGAGGTGAACTTGCGCGCTTTTAGCTTGGTTGGATCGCGCTCGGTGTAGCCGTTGTTGACGGGCGGCGCGAGCATCCACTCGTCGCGGACGGGTGCGGACGGCGACCCGGAGGAAGGAGGCATGGCTGGGCCGATGGGCTTGTGGCGCGCGTTGGAGGCGCTGGGGAGGGCGGGGCCGTAGTCGTCGTCCGAGTCGGAGTCGGAATCGGGCGCGGTCGCGGGTTGTTTGGCTGGGGGTGCTGAGGGGGGAGGTGCAGGACCGGAGTCGGAGTCGGAATCGTCGAGGCTAATCTCGTTTGTATTCTGCGCGGCGGGAGGTGGTAATGATGGGCCAAGAGATGGCCTGGAGGCTGTTGGTGCGGCGGGCGCGCGGGGACCGTACTCGTCGTCCGAGTCGGAGGAGGCGTCGTCGAGGTCTATCTCGTTGGCGTTGCGGCGTGTGTGTTTGGGTGCGGCCGCGCCATTCTCGTCGTTGTCGGGCGGCTCGGGGGTGCGTTTGCGCTTGGAGGAGGGCTGTGGTGGGAGCTGCGGTCCTATTGAAGACATGTTGGGCTGTGTGCGTATGTGTGTGAGAGAGATGTTGCAAGTTGGGAAATTGAAGAATGGGTGGAGGACTTGTGATTGGGGGAGTGCGCTTGAAGTGCGATTGGCTAGGCGGGACGTAAAGACAAGACGATCGCCCCCATGCAAGAATCTGTAGCTGGGGATAGTATTGCACGTGAAGAAATTCAAAGTCCCACTGACTTTATTTCTCTGCAAATAATTAATTTCCTGGCGTCTTTTTTTATTTACGTCTTGTCGTCCTGCCTCTCACGCCGCCATTACACAGCTGCTTTCCTAGATTCAGCCTCCATGGCATCTTCACAAAGTCTGATCCAAAATTTGGTACAAATTCAACCCTGCCTTCAAATCACCAGGGATCGCTTCCACCACAGATTTTTTATTCTTCAGCTGCAACGGAGTGCTTCGCTGCCAAGGAGCCTTGTGGCGGAGTAACACCGGGACCGGCGAAGCTACGCAAGCTTGTCGGTTTTGGTGGGCTTGAGCTCAGCAACGTCCTACAAGCTTCTCCAAAAGCAACCAGCCTCCTCGTCCCCATCCTCTCCAAACCACGACAGAGCCGCCCGGGCGCAGGGCCACCATTTGCCAACCCATTCTTGGTTCTCTAACACCAAGGAACAATCCATTACCCAGCAATCTCCCAGTCCAGACCCAAACTCTTGCCTGTTCTTCCCAGCAGCGCTTCGGCCGAGAGGGCACCAAACCTCGCAAAACCCCCAAAACGAAACCGTTTCATCCGACCGCACACACACACACATACCACCACCACCACCGGCCCCGGAAACCATGAAGTAATGCGACCGGCGACGCCATGGCAGATTCAGAGCACCAGCCGGCCGCCGCGCCGGAGCAGTCGTCAGACGACGTCGTTGCCGCGCCCGCCGAGACCGAGGCCGTCGTCGCGGTAGTCGTCAACGGGGGCGGCGACGTCGGCGAGCACGACGATGCGGATGTGCCCCAGCTCGAGACCGGCGACGGCAACCATGCTGCAGATGATGCGGACGACGACGCGAGCAGCGTCAGCGGCCAAGACGCTGCACAGACGCCGACGAGGCACCGGCCGCAGCAGCACCTCGCGCCGCCGCAGGAAGGCTCCGAGCTCGGCTCTGTCGACGCCGACCTGGCCGACCTCACGCTGCAGCCGATGCGTAGCCCGGTCGAGTCGCTCACCTCTGCGCAGGGTATATCGCCCTCGATCCAGGTACATGACTACAACGTGACGAGCTCCTTTTGCAGCAGCCGGCTTATGCTAACACGCGGGAATCCCAGGGCTCGCACATCTCCTCCCCCGGCAGCAGCGTGCTCCCCTCCTTTGCCTCTCGCGCACACCTCGGCAGTCCGACGCCGTCCTTTCGCCCCTTTGACCGACGCTTCTCCTCGCGCATCGCCTCCCCGGGCGGCGCGGCGCTCGGCAGCCCGCGCTCCCTGTCCCCGGCCTTTCTCGGCGGCCACTCGCGCAGCGTCTCCCTCAGCTCCAACTTTCACACTGCGGACAGCGCGGACACGGAGACGACGACCCCGCCCTGGGAGGTGGTCCGCTGGACGCGCCTGCAAAAGCTCAACGCTCAGGCCTTTTCCGAGTCGGGGCGCCGCAACTTTGGCTCGCCGACGTGCCTCGCCGTCTCGGCCTCGATCGTGCTGGGCACCTCCAAGGGCATCATCCTCGTGTTTGACTATGGCCAAAACTTGAAGCTCATCATGGGCCCGGGCACAAAGGCCGTCGAGTCGGGCCCCGTGACCGCCATTGCCATCTCGGCGGACCACACCACGATTGCGGGCGGCCATGCGGACGGGAGCATCTTCACCTGGGACACGTCGCGCCCGTCGCGGCCGTTTCTTAGCGTACCGCACCTGGAGAGCAGTGACGGGCCGCACCGCACAGCGGACGGGCACGTCGCCAACGTGTCCGTCATCCACCTGGGTTTCCTGGGTACGCGTCACACGGCGCTGGTCTCGGCCGACGACCGCGGTATGGCATTTTCGCATTTGGCAACTCGGGGCACGGGAGCGCTGGGCCGAACCGTCAGGACGACGAGGATCCTCGGTCGCTACCCCGACGCGCCGAAACCGGCGGGCAAGCACGTGAAGCCGAGCACCGTTCTGGCGTTTGCCTCATTGCCACTGGGCAATGTCGAGTGCGCCACGGACATTTTGGGACTGACGGCCATGCTCACGCCCTATCTTCTCGTCATCGTGTCTACTACTCCAATAGCGCAAACCCAACACAAATCGGCGCGGCCAAAGGACGTCCCGGCCCACAGCACAATGACGGGATGTCTGGCCTGGTTCCCCGCCGTGAAGCTCAAGACGCCGGATCCTGCCACCGGGAGTGACATATCCAAAGTGAAGCTCGCGTACTGCTGGTCCAACTTGCTGACAGTTCTCGACGTCAGCGAGGTGCCGAGCGAGGATGACAGCCAGCCGCCGACTCTCCGCTTCAAGGCGCGCAGCAGGTGGAAGTGCGAGGAGGCCATTGTCGCAGTGCAGTGGCTCAGCCGGTCCGTCATCACCGTGCTCACCGTCTCGCAGCGCCTCATTGTGCTTGAAGACAGGACCATGCGTATGACGGAGGCGTTTGACCTGATGCAGCGATACATGTACCACAAAGACCTCTACTCGAAGCAGCTGCATAATTTGGTAGAGCAGCTGGATGAGGAGGATACTTCGATGCACGGCGTCGTAGCGGACGCCTTTTACATGAGCTTCAAGGCCTACAAGGGCAGGATATTCATCCTGGGATTTAATGAGATTTCATTGGGTGCTCTTTCCAACTGGGCCGATCGGCTGATTGCCATGATGGAGCATGGCGACTATATCGGGGCTATCCAATTGGCCACGTCTTATTACACGGGTGACGCAGACAAGCTAACGGTCGGGCTGCCAGAGGACCAGACGCAACGGCATGGCATGGTCAAGGATAAGGTTCTAGAAATAATCCGCGCATCCCTTAGATATGCATTCACGCAGCGACAAAGGGACAAGAGCGCCGCAGACGACGCACACTTGAAGCAGCTTGCCGAAACCTGCTTCGTGGCCTGTCTCAACATTGGCAACGTTGATTTTTTACTCGACGACATGTTTACGTGGTACGAAGACGCCGACGTCTCGGGTATATTCCTCGAAGTGCTCGAGCCGTATATCCTGGACAGGTCCATTGCCTTTGTCCCGCCCATCGTAGTCAAGGACATGGTCAGCTACTACGCGGCGCAAGGCTGGGAGAGTAGGCTCGAGGAGATGATCTGCCACATGGAGACGGCGACGCTCGACCTCGACCAAGTCACGCTCTTGTGCAAGCAGCACAGCCTCTACGACGCGCTCACCTACGTCTGGAACCAGGCCATCCGCGACTACGTCACCCCCATGATTGAGCTCCTCAGTCTGCTCGTACCGATCGTCGGCAACGGCAACTATGCCGGCGATGCCGTCGGCGAGGACTACTACAGCATCAACGCCGTCAAAATCTTTCCATACCTGTCCTACATACTGACAAGCCGCGTATACCCCAATGGCGAGCCAATGGATGAAGAAACGGCGACTCAGGCCAAGGCCGAGATATACTGGTTCTTCTTTTCTGGACAGACGATAACCTGGCCCAAAGGCAGTGGCAAGGCGTTCCTCACGCATCCTGTGACAGATTGTGAGCCTTCTTTCCCGTACTTGCGGCTGATTCTGCACTACGATGCGCCAAGCTTTTTGAGCGCGCTCAACGAGGCGTTTGAAGATCCCTTCCTCAACGACTCCCCAGACAAGAAGACAAACGGAGCGTCAATAGACATGCCCGAAGAACAGATATTTGGACAAACGATCAACCGGCAATATATAATGTCCATCTTGTTGGATGTCATGAACCCTGACGATTTTGCGGCGTCAGACACCATATACCTGGATATGTTTATTGCGAGAAACTTGCCGAAATTTCCACAATACCTGCTTTTTTCCGGGTCGACTTTATCCAAAGTGCTCGAGGGCCTCTGTAACTACCCCGGCCAAGACTTGGCAGAAGATGCCCAGTTGAGTGCCGAGTACCTGCTTTCCGTCTACCATCCAACAGACACGACTGCTCTACTGCCGCTATTCAAAAGCGCCGGCTTTTATCGCATCCTAAAACGTATTTTCAAGGTTGACAAGCAGTTTGGTACACTGATCCGCACCTACTTTGAAGATCCAGACGACCAGGATCAAGTCTTTGAATGCCTCGCTAGCTGTTTACGCCCTTCGACGAAGCTGGGCTTCCAGCAGCGCAACAATGTTCACGAAGCCATTCTCGATCACGCCAGAGACTTGCTAGAACTCAGCCCAGAGAAGTCTGCCGTGGTGCTCGCCGGGGAGACGACCGAGACGCAAAAGAAAATCCTCGACAGCGCCTCTGATGCCCCATATCTCCAATTTTCCTATCTCAAGACGCTGCTAGATTCTGAGCGCGAGAAGCTGCCAGAGGAGATGCCGCCAGACCAGCATCTCATTGAGCAGTATGTGCGCCTCATGTGCAAATTTGAGCCCCTACACGTGTCGGACTACATCAACCGTGTCCAAGCAGGGGATCTGCGACTCGACCAAGTCCTGCCCACCATGGAAGAGAATGGTGTCGTGGATGCTGCCGTGACAATACTGACGCGCGATGGGCTCGTGGAAAAGGCCATGCAGCGGCTGGTTAGGCACTTTGGCACGCTCGAGTCGGCGCTTCAAGGCGTGCTGTCCGGCGCCGCGGACTGGCAGGAAGACCCCGTCGACTTGCAAGCCTCGATTGAAGAATTGCTCCAGGGTCTGCAAAAGTACATGTACGTTGGTATCTGGCTTTGCCAAGGACAGCGGAAACAAGCCAAAAGGGTCACGCAGGTGCAGAAACGGGCCAAAAATGCCCCGTCGGCTCTAACCACCGACGAGTCCCTGTGGTTGCAGCTGATCGAGGCTGCGGTCAAGCTCACGAAGCAAATATCGCCCGACATTCAAAAGGCGGTCGCCGATGTAGACATGGACGGCGAGCGACTCCTGACGCTGCTGCGGTCGTTGGTGCAGCATACCTTTACCGCTCTGCTGGCGTCCACGTCGGGGCAGAACCCGGGTCAGCCGACGTCGAAGCTACTCGCGGCCGGCGGCACCAACCTCTCCTTCTTGCGTGTCCTCCGCGCGTTTCTCACCAACGCCGCGGCGTCGTCGCCCAACCTGGCCGACCTGCGCGGCGTCCTTGCGTCCATCTTTTCCGCCTACGCCTACGAGGAATCCATCCTGCGGCTCTCCAACCGGCTGCTGGACCGCAGCCTGTTTGTCAATGTCAGCCAGTCGGTGACGCTGCGCCAGCGGGGTTGGCGGCCGCGCGGATCGACGTGCGAGCACTGCGGCCGCCGCGTCTGGGGCCCGGGTGTTGCCGGCGGCTCCGTGTTCGAGGCCTGGGAGGCGCGGCAGGCCCTCGAGGACGCGGGGCGGCTGGAGAAGAAGCACCGGGCGGCGGGGGAGCCGGGTGCCGAGACCGCCGAGGGCAAGGGCAAGGGCAAGAGCTTGGATACGAGACCAGCGAGCATGCTGCTCGAGGACAAGGTCGCCGACGGAGCAGCAGCCGCGGGCAGGGACCCGCCTCTAGGCCCCCTGGTCGTCCTGGCTTGTCGCCATGTATACCACCAGAGCTGTCTGGATGCGGTGCAAGATAAGCAGGAAAATGGCACGGGACCGGCGCGGGATAGAGAATACCGGTGTCCGATTGATGGATAGTAGAGGAGGCTACTATGGTAGTGCGGCTACCGTAACGATTATAATGTATAGAACTAGTCATTTTTCATGAGTTAACTTTGGGATACGCCCGTGTGAATAATACATATCGAAAGAACAATGACTATTATTGTGAGTGTTGACTAAACAACCAGCAGGGATCTAACTAGCTGTCCAGGTGGGCAATCGGTAGTGTGGGTCCGTCGCATTGAAGCTGTCGCATCACTCCTGCTAAAGCTTCAACCCCCGTTCAACAACAATCACCAACGAACGTCTTACTCGTACACACGCGCGCGAGGCGCACCGCGCAAAACAGAAATCACGGAAGATGCCCGACTCGTCCGACGAAGGCGTGGGCTATCTCTCCGACGACCGCGCTTCCACCGGCTCCTCTGGCTCCTCTTGCTCCTCGTCCGAATCCTCGTCTCCGCCACGGCCGTCGGGCCCTGTGCCGCAAAATTTCTTCGCACCGCCCTTTTACGGGCGTCCGCCGACGCCGCTCCCTCCATCGCCGTCGCTGACGTCGCTGCTGCGGCCGTCGCGGCCGACGACGCCCGACGCGTCGGACGACGAGCACCAGCACCGTCTGGCGGCGGCGGCCACCAGTCCGGTGCCGCACGCGGCGCCGCGCGTGCCGACGTACGAGTACTACGGCTTCGTGCTGTACCTGCTGAGCAGCCTGGTGTTTCTCATCTACCTGCTGTGGAGCTACCTGCCGTCGCCGTTTTTGCACGGGCTGGGCATCTACTACTACCCGGACCGGTGGTGGGCGCTGGCGACGCCGGCGTTTCTCGTCATGACGCTGTGCTACATTTACGTGGCGCTGGCGAGCTACAACCGCGAGATCTTGACGCTGCCGCTGCACCGCGTCGAGACGATTGTGGACGACGCCGGCCAGATGGCTGTGGTGGACGCCAAGGGCCGCCTCAAGGGCAGCCAGAGCCGCGCGAGGAAGCTCGACGCCCGCGGCGGGCTGAGGTGGCGCGAGGTCTGGAGCGAGGGCACGGATGCGGTGCTGGACATACCGCTGTCGGGCGTGTGCGAGGTGCTGTACGGCGAGGGGAGGGATGTGGATGAGGGCGAGGAGGACCTGTGGACGACTTGATGATACGGGACCGACCTGATGTCACTACTTTTCTTTTTTCGAGGCGTGGCGTACAATGATTTGCAACATGGCAACGGCGTTCTTGGAATGGGCAGGGCTAGACACGGCCCTGTGTATATTTGTACTATTGACAAGGGAGAGATTTCCCAACGTCAACATAAATCTGCGGGTAGATATCAAACGATGTGTTTGAACAAGCACGGAAGACATGGCAATGAAAGACACAGCAGCCCACCCCTATTCCCTGTTATCGTTGCGCTGAAGGTATAGAGGCTTGGCGTAATAGCCCTCGTACTCGAATCGGGAATTCAACTCCAGCTCTCGACGTTCATGGCATTATTTCTCGCCTCCTCGCTCTGCCACCTGTCGACCCCAACACAATGAACTCGAACCCATCGTTCACGACTTGCACCTATCTAATACTAGCCACAAAAGTACCTATACATGTGCCACGCACCCACGTTCTAGGGCAGTTTGTCATGATACTAGGGGAATAAAGTAAAATGTAATGGCAAATACGATGAGTATAAACAAAAGTAAAGATTAAAAAACGATGATAATAATTCAAGAATAATAAGAACTGGGAAGATGGACTGACTGGCAGTTGCTCATCCAGGATTAAATCTCCCCACCAAACTCGGGACCCATAAAAAAGTTGAAGCTGCCACTCTTTAAAAATTTACATTTTCCCGGCAACCAGCAAAACGAGCACATACCCAACCACCAACCAGCTGTCATCCAATCCTTCCGAACTGTTTTCAGTACAATCTGCGGCACAGGATGGATATTCTCAAGGTGTTGTCCCGCGGGACCAAGCGCACGGCCAAGGGCGCAGGGCATGCTGGCAGTACGCCGGCCAAACTGCCATCGTCGACCAGCGTCGCGGCCACCAACCCGCAACTGTACCACGACGAGGTGCGCGGGCAGAAGCGCAAGCGATCGAAGACGGCGAGGCAGGCTACAGACTACCACGCGACAGAGGAATTGCCCCAAGTTGACTTCTTCGCCCCCCAAAACGAACCAAACCCCAAGCCACACGACTCGGCAAGCAAGAACGGCGAGCGAGCCTCGAGCCCCGTACCCAAACCCGCGAAGCGAATCACCGAAGACGAGTGCCGGCAGATCCTGAGGTCACACCGTCTTAAGGTGACGCTCATGTCGAAGCAGGAAGACGAACCCAAGAAGGTCAAGAAGAGCAAGAAGAAGTCGACGGCGGCGGCGACCGAGGAATCCAAAAAGGACGACAAGAAGAAGGCGCAGTTGTTTCCGCAACCACTGGAGACATTTGGTCAGCTTCGAAGCACCTATAGGATCTCGCGGCGCGTGTCTGAGAATTTGGTGGCGCAGAGCTATCGCGTGCCCACAGAGGTACAGTTGGGCAGCCTCCCGCTGCTTCTGCAGCCCGAGCAGGCGCTCGGGGACTACGATGTAGAAGGTCTGGAGAATGGTGTCGACTTTTTGGCCGTGGCGCCGACGGGCAGCGGCAAGACGATCAGTTTCCTGCTCCCAGCCATCAATCACATCATGCGACGCAGGGGCATGAATCCCAATGACCCCGGGGCGACTACGACACAACACGACCTCGAGGCTGTCATTTTGGTGCCGACGAGAGAGCTGGCACATCAGATTGCCAATGAGGGGCTCAAGCTGCTGCAAGGAACTAGTATCAAGATCATGGCCATGAAGAAGCAGATGAACCTGGAAACGGAGGAGCGGGAGCTGGCGGAGGACAGCGAAAGCGAAAACGAGGACGACGACGAAAACGATGACGAAGACAGTGAGGACAGTGAGGACAACAAACATAACAAAGAAGGAAGGCCAAAACGTATCAACAAAGCAACGGCAGCGAAGCCTGATATTCTGGTGACTACACCTCAGCTGTTGTTAAACTTTCTTACCGCGAGATCTGCGACGACTCATCGCGTGCTACCCGACGTGAGAGATTTAATTCTGGACGAGGCGGATGTGCTCTTGGATGAGCTCTTCCGCGAGGCGACAATGGGTGTCTGGTCCGCGTGCACCAACGCAGACTTGCGCGTCTCGTTCTGGTCAGCTACGATGGGGTCCAACATTGAAACACTCATCACAGACAAGCTGCAATCGAGAGCTCAGAGGCTAGGCGTACAGCCCAAGCCGTTTGTGCGCTTAGTTGTCGGCTTAAAAGACACTGCCGTGCCCAATATTGTTCACAAACTCGTCTACACAGCCAGCGAGCAGGGCAAGCTGCTCGCCCTCCGCCAGCTCCTGCACCCGACGTCGGCGGACGACTCAGGTCCGCCCCTGCGGCCGCCGTTTCTCGTGTTTACGCAAACAATTGACCGCGCGGCGGCGCTCCACGAGGAGCTCAAGTTCGACATCCCGCTCGAGGCGGGCGGCGCGGCGCGCATCGCCGCGCTGCACAGCGGCCTGCCCGAGTCGGCGCGCGCCTCCATCATGCGCGCGTTTCGCGCCGGCGACATCTGGGTGCTCGTGACGACGGATGTGCTCGCGCGCGGCGTCGACTTTGCCGGCGTCAACGGCGTCGTCAACTACGACGTGCCGGGCTCGAGCGCGGCCTACGTGCACCGCGCGGGCCGCACGGGGCGGGCCGGCCGCGAGGGCGGCGTCGCCGTCACCTTTTACACAAAAGAGGACATTCCGTTTGTCAAGACGGTTGCCAACGTGATTGCGGCGAGCGAGCGGCAGGCAGGCGGGGGCGGGGGCCGGTGAGAGCACCGTCCAGAAGTGGCTGCTCAACGCGCTGCCCAAAGTCAACAAGGCCGACCGCAAGACGCTGCGGGAGCGCGGCGTCGCGTCGCGCCGCACCGGGGCGACCAAGGCGAGGATCACGTCGACGAGCGGCTACGACCGGCGCAAGGCGAACAATAGACAAGGCGCCATCGAAGGCAGCAAGAGGCGGAAGACGCAGCAAGATGACGGCGGCGATGAGGAGGATGCCGGGTGGGGAGGCATTGATGACTAGATCCGTCGAGAAGCATTTGGACCTGTATTTACGAATGAGGCATATACCAGCACAAAAGTCTTGTTAAAGAGCGTTTCTTCCCAGCCATTCTTTGCTATTTGGACGTGGTCCAAGTAGTGCCGCCAACGGCGTTTCTAGATTTCCTATGGCTCTCGTTTAAAGTTGAACGGCTCGGGATTGCATCCAGACCCCTATTCCGCTGTAATACTTTTTTTTATAAATGTAATATCTGCAATTTGCCGAGACTCTTGGTATCAGTCTTGGCCCTGCTTTTCTGGGGAAAGTAGCTTGCAAGGGGAGATGGCGCGTGTTTGAGGACCGCGGCATTAATACTGTTATCCTCGTTGTTCTTTTAATCTTTCCTATATCTTCTTGTCTTTCTTATTTTTGAAATGTTTGTTTTTCTATTTCCCTTTCTCCTTTATAAACTGATTTAATACGGTACCGACGTAGATTCCAGTTATTGTCTCCGACAAGCGCGGCTGCGATGGAGGCCGAGTCCAGAAGCCAAGCCAAAAGCCAAGAGAATATGTACTCGAAGTAATTTAATACTTTCATCTCTGGTGCGGTGGGCGTTGGGATGTGCTGGTGGCGCTGCGAGGGGGGCTTGGCAAGTCAACCCGTACTGCAGAACAATGGACCAATCGATGGGTCGTATGAGCTCGCTACGAGTTGGGATGGTTGAAGCGCAAGGAATCAAAATAGCTAAACGACGAAATCGCTGTGGTAGTTGGAGAAGCAGAGCTGAGAGGCGTGCCCATGTTGGGCCTGGATCATGAGATGCCGCCTCAGAACTCGTCCAGCTGCCAACGTTGTCCAGCTTGTAGGAGGGCTGGGAGGATGCCAGCGCATACAACTTGGACAAGTAGATGTCACGTTGCGCACCGAGGTAACAAATAGTTATCGTACGGCAGCCGCGATAACGGGGGCTGGTGACAAGCCCGCATTCCAGCGACGCGCTGGGGAGCAGAAGCCCAACCACGTGCACGACGGCGCTTTACCATGGAAGGAATCGTCTATAGTTGTTACTGGTAATATAGTTCCTTAACAATAAGTTGCCCAAAGAGCGGGAGGACGACAAGGTTGCCGAGATGATCGCGAGCCAAGCCTCGGGGCCATTTACTACCAGAGCAGAGATTAGAAAGGGCAGCCTCGTTCTGTACCCACCGACTCAAGAACGCAATAGCAATACTCTCAAAAAATAGCATCTTGTTCAATATGGGCATATCCACCTGTTGGCCCAGTCTCAGCCCTCTTGGTTCTCGACCAATAGCCACCGTGTAACCGCGCAACACTAAACACTAAGGTATTACATAGGTGCAGCAAGTCCACACACCACAATAGAACAAAGTCCTAACTAGTTCTAGTTATTCTCCCGCAGCCAAACAAGCGCCAGGGGTTATTGTTTCCCTGCTAAGCCTCGTGGCGCGGCGCCAATGCTTGGAGTTTGACCAGCCCGCTCCAGGTATTGTATTCTGGTTAGCTGAACTCTATGGGCGCCTCGGCACGCCAGGGGTCTGTCTCTCTCCCCGTCCACAGAGAGAACAAGGCGCCTGATGAGATGCCACAATGCCCCTACGCGTACGTCTACACAGCAAACAGTATCACAGTGCAGAGGGCCCAGAATCGAGTTTCGCTTCAAGTATGCCCGCCCGATTGATTAGTTCGGCGTAGTGACCGCCGGCGCGTGTCGCTGGGCGTTGCTGGAATGGGGGGTTGAGTTGGCCAACCACCGTGCCAATGTAATGGATAGGCCAAGGGGGGAGGGAAAGACGACGACTCGATATTTCCCTCTTTTGGGCCCCAAGGCCAAGGCCCGGGGTATTTCTCGCGCCGTCCCCTATATTACTTTATAAGTCCATCGCTGCCGTTTCCTTTGTTGTGCCTCGCCGTCTTTCCCCCTCTGCTCCCGCTTGTTGCTGCGTTTATATACACTCCCCTGGTGAGAGTGGTTCAAATTCCTCCATCGCCTGCCGCTCCTTAATATCACTGTTTTGCGCCAGAGATAAGCCAGTGAGACGAAGCCCTCTTTGTGTTTCACGACTTCTTATACCATCTTGCTTCTTTGATTCCCAGCAAAATAGCCGCCCAGATCCACGAAATACACACACAATGAAGTACACGATTCCCTTGGTCGCCATGGCCAACATCGCCACCGTGGCCGGCCTTACCCAGCAGTGCACCGGCCGTGCCGTCAACGAGGGCGGCAACTTCTTCTGCGGCGCCGTCGAGCACATCGTGTACAAGGGCGTCGGCAGCGCCGGCAGCTACCAGGCCGTCAAGGGCATGACCTCGACCGGCGAGTGCCAGAAGGAGCCCAAGTCGTTTAGCGGTCCTCTTGCTCCTCTGGACGAAGGTGTAAGTCTCCCTTCCCCCCTTCCTTACCCACCCGTCGACATTTGTTCATAGAGGCCGACGACTAACACACATGACCCCTTCTCATGCAGCTCTCCCTGCACTTTCGCGGCCCCATCCGCGTCAAGGAGGTGGCCGTCTACACGCTGTCCGCCAAGGCGAAGCAGAGACGGCAACAAGGCGAGGCCACAGAAGGCCCGGCCCAAGGCGCTGCCGCCGCCCACGGCCACCAGCAGTTCCACGAGGCGGCCAGGAAGAAGAAGAAGCGCGCCCCCGCCGAGTGGGTGACGGCCACCATCAACGGCCAAGTCGTGTCCTGGGAGAACAACTGGCACGGCGGCAACCCGACGCCGGCCCCTCTGGCCGCTGCCGCTGCCGCTGCCGCTCCCACCGTGCCGGCCGCGCCGGCCGCGCCCAAGCCCAAAGCCAAGCCGGCCACCTCGGGCCAGGCCTGGGACCGCACCTCGTACTACAACGCCGAGACGCAGCAGGCCGAGAACCTCGTCTTCCTCGGGAACCACGGTGGCCAGGGCTCCGGCCAGTTTGACACGTACGTGTAATTGTTTTGTCATGTAACCGCACAACACCAAGTTTTAACCTGTCCGTGTCCACAGTGTCTGGGGCAACTCGCTCTCGTACCTCAACGCCCAGGGCACCGCCGGCGCCAGCTCCTCCCAGATCCTCGCCGACGTCGACATTCCCTCGGACAAGGAGTTTTCCATCTTCAGCGGCGAGCCTTGCGACGAGAGCTGCGGCTTCTCGCGCGCCAAGGACGTCGCGTACAGTATGTCCCTGCCGCGACAGCCCCCCCCCCCCCTCCATCCTCCGTATAAAAGGCTAACCTTTCTTCTTTGCCCCCCTACCCAGAGGGCTTCGAGGGCGCGCACAAGGTCTTCCTCTTCAAGTTCAAGATGCCTCTCGACGGCAACCGCGCCAACAACAACGGCGACATGCCCGCCATCTGGTCCCTCAACGCGCACATCCCCCGCTCGGCGCAGTACAACGCCTGCAGCTGCTGGCCCAAGTGCGGCGAGTTTGACTTTTTCGAGGTCCTCGCCTCGGGCGACACAAAGTGCAAGAGCACCCTCCACCTCAGCCCCGGCGGCGGCTCCTCCGACTACTTTGCCCGGCCCACCGACGCCTACATCAAGGGCGCCGTCGTCTTCGACGCCGACGCCGGTGCCGTCGCCATCCGCGTCCTGCCGGCCGACACGGACTTTTCAAAGGGCCTCGACGACGCCACCGTCCAGGCCTGGCTCACTGGCCAGAGCCCCTCCGCCGGCGGCCTCGTGGGAGGGCTCCTCTCGAGCGTCTTTGAGCTTGTCGGCGGCCGCTTGAGCGCCTAATCGCTCCATGTGGAAATAAAGTACATATATCAGCATGTTGGTTATTGATCATTTCTTTCATTTCTTCCATATCTTTCATGAAACGAGGTGGAAAGCTCCATTTTCGATTCGCAAATTTTATAATTCTGAACGCTAGGCCCCAAGGCCGGTCGGACTATGCTGGGCTTTTTTGTTTTTTCAACTATTTAGATATCCTCTGTATCATTTATCCATGTCCTTTTCAAAGCCAATCCTAGTACAAGAGGAGTTGCTACTCTTAAATGTGTTGTTATTACAAAGCTTCAAATAGCTTGTCTAGATCCCAAAGACAACGAGTCCGTCCATGTACAATATATTACACGCGACATGGTCGCTATTTATTACAATTATACAGTCCATCAGGACTTGCCACCTTCCTTGTGAGCCGCGTCCGACGATAATCCAACGACATTGCGGATCGTGCCGAAACTCAGACAGTCGCTAATACGACTGGCGCCAGAAAACAGCATGACGAGACGCTCAACACCACAGCCCCAGCCACCAGTAGGTGGTAAGCCGTAGTCTAGTGCCTTGATGTAGCTTCGATCAAGCGGCGATGTAGCCCACTCGTCTTCCTCCTCAGGTCTCCTCATATGCTTGTTGAAGACTTCTTGATCTGTCTCTCCCTCCTCTTCCGCCTCTGCCCCATCTTCTGCAGCCACTTCGTGCTGGTGCGCCTCATCATCTAGTGGCTTCACTTCCGGGGCGTTGATGCCAATGTCGCCATCTTCAAGGTTGACCAGGTTGCGGTGCGAGGTAAGCTTACGCTGCTGCTCCTTGGGGTCATTTTCCTCCTCATACATGTTGGCGAGTTCTCGCCCTCCGACAAATAGCTCAGCACGCGCCGACACCAACTGGTATGTCCTTGGACAAAGGAAGCTTTTGGCCAAAGGCGACATGCAGGCCGGATGGTTTGTGATGAAGAGAGGCTCTTCGAACGACTTGGGCTCTATGTACATGGCGGCCAGTCGATCGAGGAGCCTAGGCAGTGAGGTAGGGATATCGCCAGGAATTTCGATGCCCGCCAGTTTCATGAGAGCGAGCAATTCTGGCAGCGCATCCTCGGCGGATAGCTTCGGGAAGCGAACGCCAGTAGCTAGTTCCAGAGCAGGCACGAACTCGACTTGCTTGAATGGCCGTTTGAACTTTTGCAGGTCGATTGGCGGGAGAGATGTGAGTTGAGTTCTGATCAGCTGCTGTGTATGCTTGGCGAGACTGGTAAGGAGCTCCTCCGTCTCCTTGATCAGATCTGGCAGACTAGAGTATGCACTGTAAAATTCACACATTGTAAATTCGGGATTGTGGGTGGCGTCGACGCCTTCGTTGCGAAAGGCAGGACCAATCTCAAAGACTCTGTCAATGCCACCAACAACAAGTCTTTTTAGCCATAGTTCTGGCGCGACACGAAGTGCCAGGTCCTTGTCTTTGAATTCGGTGGCGCGCGTGACGAATGGTCGAGCGATGGCACCTCCAGCATTCTCGGCTAGGATTGGCGTCTGAAATTCGAGAAATCGCTTGGAGTGAAAGTGATCGCGCATGTGCTTGGTGATTTCGGAACGAAGGCGGAGGATATCGACAGTCTCCTTGTTGACAAGCATGTCTACGTGGCGATCCTGCATCTTGGTCTTGGAGTCGGTGAGGACTTCGGGGATTTGCTCCATGGTTGGCGACAGGAGCTCGGGGATTTGTCTCGCGGCCAGGGTCAACAGACCAGCGGGCGTGTGGTCACGAACACCATTGACGGCTGTGGCAGCGTCAGCACAGGTGACCATGAGTGGCATGTTTAGATGAGGGCCTACATATGTGGTCGCCGACTTGGATGAGTGACCTGAAGAGCTGAAACTTCTTGGAGTTGTGTGTACAGACATTGTCGAGGGGTTCGACACACTTGGACTTATTCACCACGATTTGCACTTTTTGAAACTCGTTTACTATATCAAGAAAGACGAGATTCTTGCCCACGACCCGCTTAGCGCGCACACGGCCAACCAGATTGATGAGAGGTTGAGACAATTCCGTCTCTTCACTTTCAAGAAACTCTGGGACGGACATGCGACCCTCGAACGGCTCTATGCGAGGATACGATTCGGGGTAGAGAGGCGATTCACTCGCCTGGTCTTTGCCCAAATCTGACCTGCGTTGCTGTTTAAAAGGAGACGCATGCTCGGCCTCTTCGCGAGACTCTGAGAGAATGGCAGCGTTATTTTTCGCATCGGGTACGGAGGCAAAGGTCTGAACGTTCTGTCTAGATGGAGCGAGGCGGTGCAGAGGGACTGGGCGCACACGGGAAATGCACCCAGCTACTGCACGGCATTGCCGCAAGCAATTACGAGATATCATTGTGTCTGTTTCTGTATTAGCTTTCTGGCCATGACAATGACTGGCAGTGAGAAAGTAGAAGGGGTATATGATCAGAGGTTGGCATTGTGTAATCATACACAGCAAGCTGTGTCAATCGCAGCGGTTCTGAAGCGAGGATGCGAATTCATCATAAAAGAGAAGGATGTGAGGGTAGATTCTCTGGTGGTACTTACATTCATAGCGTCATTTAATACTTCGCGCGTCAGGTTCCGACGCGAAATAGGACACCTTCTCGCCGCGAGGACAAGAAAAAGCTTGAGTTGAACAGGGAAGAAAAAGTTGCAGCAGAGGTGTTGGTATGAGCTTTTTAAAGGACCGCGGCAGCACATCCACACCTGCTTAGTCATAACTCCCCACCACGCCAGCTTGAACTGGTTTGGCTGGGAGCTTTGGCATCACCAAGCCGCCAACCACCAACTAGTTTTGCAGCGCGACCATTCTTAACCAGCTGCCACCTTGCCCAATTGGCGTCCTAGACCGCTTCGCACATCATTACGACCACAAACAACATGGCGCAGCAGCCTTTGCCCACCACGGCCCAGCCGACCGATATTTACGGTGGAGGTACGACCTGTCTCCCTTCGCGTCCGGCTCGCGCCAGTCGCAACAGCGTTGTCGGCCGCTAACCCTGCTTCATAGATGAGGTATCGGCCCTCGTGCTCGATCCCGGCTACTGCACTACCCGTGCAGGCTTCGCCGGTGAAGATGGTCCCAAATCCGTGCTGCCCTCGTTCTACGGCCATGTTACGACCGACCCTCCCCGGGACGTATTCGGCGACGAGTGCCTCATCCCACGCGCCAACTTCGAGATTCGCAACTACATGAACCGTGATGGCCTTGTGGAGGACTGGGATGTTGCCAACAAAGTGTGGGAGCACATGCTGATCAAGCGGCTGCAACCCGAGCGCCCCACGCACGCGTCGAAGAATGGCCTGAACGACGAGCCTAAGGAAGCAGACACAGAAGGCGATGTCGCGATGGAGGAGGCCGAGACGCAAGAAAAGCCTCTGCAAGAAAACCCCCTGCTCATTACAGAGGCGGCGTGGAACACGCCAAAGAATAGAGAAAAGGCCATTGAGCTGGTGATGGAGAACTGGGGCTGCCCCGCGTTCTGGCTTAGCAAGACGCCTGTTCTGGCTGCTTTTGCTGCTGGCAAGGCTACTGCTCTTGTCGTCGACGTTGGCGGCGCCAACACCTCTGTCACTGCCATTCACGATGGCATGGTTCTGAAGCGCTCGGTCCAGCGCTCACCTGCTGGCGGTCTCTGGCTCTCCTCCCAAATCCGCAGCTTGTGGCGAAGCTCGGAGCCCCAGATCAACCTAGTGCCCACATATCTGGTTGAGAACAAGACTGCCGTCGATGCCCTGGCACCCGCACAGTACCGCGAGCGCAAATTCCCCTTCCAAATCAGCGACTCGTTCAGGCTGTACGAGGAGGAGCGCACCTTGACCGAGTTCAAGGAGTCCGTGGTCGAGGTGTGGCGCGGACCTGGCAAGCTTGGCTCTCCCGGCAACGAGGACTACGTTAAGACCCAGCCCGGCCGCGTGTTCGAGATGCCAGACGGCTACAACCAGATGTGGCGGGAGCAGCGCTTCAAGGTGACCGAGGGCCTCTTTGACGACAACGCAGGCCTGCCCGTGCCCGAGTCGGAGCGGCTCGTCAAGGGCCAGACGATCCCCGAGCTCATCAAGGCGTCGCTCAGCGCTATCGACGTTGACCTGCGCGGCAACCTACTCGCCAACGTGGTCGTGACGGGTAGCACCAGTCTGATCAACGGCTTCAACGATCGTCTGAACAATGAGCTGACAGCCATGTACCCCGGCCTCAAAATCAAGATCCACGCCGCCGGCCTGACGACTGAACGCCGCTTTGCCCCCTGGATCGGCGGTAGCATCCTAGCCAGTCTAGGCACTTTCCACCAGATGTGGATCTCGAGGAAGGAGTACGAGGAGAATGGTGCCAACATTGTAGAGAAGCGCTGCAAATAGTGACTTGGGGAGCTTGACTATGAAGGCTACATGGTGGAAAGAGGAAAAGTGCACGCACTGGAAAACCGCTGCGGCGCAAGTGGGCGCTTTGTTTAGGTAGAACAGCTTGGGATTTTAAGGCGTCATGGAGTTGGATTGGCAGCAGTAACGATCTGGAAAAGAAACGGAGCCAGAGGCTTCTGTAAAGATGGTAATACAGATAGGTTTACTAGCCTGACAAAAAGACCAAAAACACTCTGATAGTCCAACCTATGTCCATGCCATGTACACCAATCATTGACTTCGTTCATGCGATGTGTGCATATATGTAGAAGGCGAGGCTCACGCACCCGAAACACCCTCTCGCTCGGCCGCCACCTCCCTCTCCGCCCGACGCATCTTGACCCAAGCGCCGAGCTCGTTCCAAATCTCCTGCTTCTGGGCGGGCGACAGCGTGGCGGCGAGGCCGCTCGTGCTCGACGCGACGAAGACGCGGGCGCCAGGCCAGCGACCGTCGACGACGCCCATGTTCTCCGCCGTGTCCTGCCAGCCGTAGCGGAAGCGCGCGCCGACGGGGGCGCCGGCGTGGCGGACGCGCCAGATGCTTTCCCAGATGCTCTTGCCGACGACGCAGACGGCTTCCGGGCGCCAGGTGCGGGCCTTGTCCTCGAGCAGGGCGACGCCGTCGTCGAGCTCGTGCCGGCGCAGCTCGGCGCCGTTGCGGCTCGGGCGCGCGACGATGTTGGTGAGGCCGAGGCCGTAGAGGGCGGGCATCTGGCGGTCCTCGGTCGCGGCGCAGGGCCGCGGCGTGATGCCCGAGCTGTGGAGCAGCTTCCAGAAGGTGTTGGTCGGGTGCGCGTAGGCGTGCCCGGTGCGCGCCGTCTGCAGGCCCGGGTTGAGGCCGACGAAGAGGACGAGCAGGTCGGCGCAGATGGCGTCGGGGAGGAGGGGCAGGTGCGCGTACGTGGACGGCGGCGCGTAGCCCGAAGATGGCTTCTTCTTCTTCTGCTGCTGCTGCTGCTTCTTGGCGGGCTTGGAGACGCCAGAGGCGGCGGGAGAAGGCGCGCCCGCGCGCTTCCGTGGCGAAGGGGTGCTACGGATGGGTGCTGCCGCGGCCGTAGGGTTTGCGTTCCGGGCACTGCGCCGGGGCGCGGGAGGATCGGCGGACTGGTACATGAAGTCTTGGAGCTGCAGCCGGCCGTGGAAGGATGAGGGCGGAGGCGGTGGCGATGGGTTGTCACCGGCGCCGGGCTCGACGGCTGGCTCGGCGGAGCTCATTATGATATAAACGCAATGCACTTTTGGTTATAAATAGTCAGACATGATTTTGAAGGCGTCTCTGGCAGCTTCGAGAAGGGTCGCTGATAGGCAGCAGTGTGGTGTTGATAACATGTGTGCAGTATGGCGCGGCTGAGGCGCGAGGTTGAATTTGGCCGGGTGGCGTGCAGGAGCTGTCTATCAGCCTCGACGACTTGGGCTACGAATTGTATTATGGTGTAAAATATCTCAAAAAGGTGCCCTTTCAATACCAAAAGTCCGATTTACAAATCATTCCATAGCAAACTGCGGGATGCCACGATGGGTGGTGCTGTCAGGCCTGTCAGGCCACTGCCTGAATTCTGTAGAGGAGCGACCGCCACAGCCACGTGCAGGGTAAACAGTATTGCCACTACAGAAAGCTTCTATAATCCTCTTTTTTTTTAGGAACTGCTTCTCAGCTACTTTCTTACCCTCTTGTACTCACCTCTAGTCTTCTTCCTTGGATTCCTCAGGCAAGGCAGGTTTGCCACCTTGAATGGTTCCCATCACGCGAGCGTGTACCATTTCGGGACGAGCAATGATCCCGTAACGGCATCATTTCAACGGCAGTGGGGAGCCTCAAACGCCAAGGCCGCGGACACAGGACCGGATCGTCTGAGTAAGTTCTTCATGCCCGCACGGTGCGACTATGCTCGCCTGGGGCATACTAGTTACTCGGGCCGTTTTGTCCTGTTACAGAGGTGGATGTGATCTGTGGTTGTACCCACCACCTATAGGAGCAATAGCTGGTTCACGGTGCTTATAGAAGCTTGTCTGTTTCCATCGTTTTTGTCTTCCAGCAGGCTGAGTCAGGGCCAACCCGGCGAAAAGGCGCCGTTATTAGGTAGGGCTGGTATTGGTTGGCCCGCGGATTGCAGGAACAGGAAAAGGGTGTTTTAGGCGCTGTGCACTTGTGAGGGCGTTTTAGCTATTCGCTTTCCTTGTGATCTGTACTCCTGCCAGACTATAGATAATTTCGAATGATATACTCGCATTATGTGAATTACTTTGAGCTGTGTCAAACCCCGCCAGCAGCCCCGACACTGGCCCCGTTGCTCAAGTCAGTCAATCATCGTCAACAGTCGGCGAACTTCCGAGACTATCGATGAGGCTCGTTATCAAATTCAGTTCGTGACAAGGTTTGTGTGAGCTGTCCGTCGGTAACTAGACCTTGGAAGTGTTATCCCTGGTCCCTGACGGCGTACCAGCGCAAGTAGAATGGGGTAAGTGATGTGAGCCTGCCAAGTGAGTAGATTCGAGTCAGCAGCTCGGTATAAGCGGACAACTTTTAGAAACCTCGCCGAGATTGTTGACTGAGAATCAGGGAGTAGGGCTATGTACGTGGAGATGTATGCGCTGGACATCGGCCCTTCATTTGCCTCGTCCACCTCTGCGGATACATAGCCGGTACTCCCACCAATTATTATTAATACCAACCAAAAAAAACACTTTGGTCCTTGTGATCCGATACTGCTGCGCAGTTTCGAACATGGAATAGCTCCACCAACTCTTGCATTTCAAGCTCGACCCATGCTTGCCTGTAGTAGACCGACACTCTTAGTGAACTACTCATGTGCAAATATACCATCTGATTATTTTCAAAGGTGCTGGAGACAATGACTCTATCACAGTATCTGCAGACGGAAATTGCCTGGAGAATTTCCACTCGTAGAATGGAATTCGAAGCCACCGAATTACTATAAGAACTCGTTACTTTCGGTCCATGGCCTCAGGAATAATCAGCATTGCATCATTCACCAACCCGTCATTACAGCAGCTCTCATACTACCAGAACCGACTTTTGCAATATTTTCACGGCCATCGAGATGATGAATCCATGGCATTGGACCACGGCGACGCTTGCATTCGTCGCCGTTTCAGTGCAAGGCGCTGTCTTGCCTGCCACAGCCGGTGAGACCCTGCCCCGTCGCTCAGCGAGACCAGCACGCGACTTATTTCTAACTTGAAAGGCCACCTATACGGACGCCAGCAGCCACTTCCTACCGTCCTCTACAGAGGCAGCGGAAACTCCCCCGAGTTTGTCAAGGAGCTGGGAGGTTTCATCCCTCGCGATCGGGAGGGCGGGGGTGAACCGATTACCAACGCGACCTTTGGTCTCCGGAGCCATCATATTGGAGAGAACCGTACACTCTATACCTCTACGACGAGAGACATCGTCATGGGCGCGGCCTTTGCCCTGCAGACCGATGTACACGGCTGGGTCTATCAGATTCACCCGACGCCCAACATGATTGACCTAAACGAATCGGGGTTCGAGATCCGCTTCAAGAGAGAAGAAGAGTTCTCGGCCCTGGGCGGCATCCTCTACAACCAAATTCAAGCCTGGGCGGAAGTCAGCGATTCCAGCTTGATCGCTGCCGGGATGGACAAAGGGGATGTCCACCAGCTGGTGGTGATGTGGCCAATCAAGGGCCAACTACCGCCCTTGAACTTCACGGCCAACCCAGACTACGATACTAAATACGACGGGCTGTCCGCAAGCCCCGGCCAGCCGCAGCTTGCCGGCGACGAGGCAAACCTGGCCAAGTTCAACGAGAAGACGCTGGAGGGGTACGCCATTGAGTTCATGGAGAAGAATGGCGGTCCGGTTGGGTGGGACGGCAAGTTCCCTCTGAGCGCTCTCAAGGCCGACGCACCGGCCGAGCCGACAACTCCCAAGGAGAGGGAGGACAAGCTGTGCTCCAACTCGCCGGACGATTTTCGCATGACAAAGGCCGAGTGCCGTACACAGGTTGCACAGTGTGTCTTTGAAGAGAGTGGGAAGGCAAACTTTGATTGGAGCTTCATCACTGCTTGCATGGATATCAAGTGGCGGATTGTCTAAGCGGTGGTAGACAGAAACAAACCTATTTAGACCAGAATGGTGTCTTTCGCTATACTTGGTCCTCGTGAGTGAGAGCGAAGTTGGAGTGTACCTAAGCGTATCATTACGCACTATTACAGCTTGAAACTTGAAAACGAGCAGCGCGCAGATGGGGCGGCGCCGACGTGCAGGACGCGTTGTCGATCCGGTTTTTTGGGATACGAAGGGGCGGGCGGGCCGAGAGGAGAGGCGCGTGAGATGAGGAGATGATGATTCGCATCTTGCATCTTGGCGGGCTGCGCTGGGATAAATTGCCATGTGGTATCACTATTGATGAATGCGGTGCGAGTGCAAAGAAATCGCAATTGACGTTTGATGACGGAACAATGATGCCAGTCTAATGCATTCGAGAATAGAGTGAGATTCATTTATTTTGATTTTTAATTTTGATTTTTTGGCCAGCGATTTGCAGCCTTTCTACTGGTTATGGGCTGTGCATGTGACTTAATATATTTGTGCCACGATGGACTCAATCTCTCCTCTTACACTACATTCTACCTGCCTGTCAATCGGAACACAAAACAAGATTATATCACCATGACAGAACAACCATCACCATCCTCATCCGTCCAACGCGCGAGCGCCTCAGCAGAAAGCACCAGTTACCCAACCGCCGAAGAGGCGCAGGCCCCAACCAACGAACAGCTGCAGCGCATCACATGGCGTTTCCGACAGCCTCTCGAGACTGCCATCACCGTATTAGACGACGCGGCCTATCCTCTAGGTCCGTCCCGACCGTACCATCAACCCAGCGAGCACACCGAAGGCCACTATCATCTTCACGAAATCTCACAAGAAGCCATCACGGTGCCGCCAGTCTCTTCCATCAACGTGTCGTGTGAGGAATGGGACGCTTGGCATTCCATGGTGATGTTGGAGTTTGATCCCGACGAAGTAATTGAATACGACGATGAGGACTATCCGCCTCCGAGTCCGATCCTGGTGGTGACTGCGTCCTCGAAGAAGGGCTATGTGACCGTTCACGATTACATGACGCAGCTGTGGCCGTGGTTGTTTAAACATCGATACATGATTATCAAGTCGGTGGACCCAGACGAGATGCCGCAGGCGCTGGAGAAGGAGTGGGTGATTGATATGACTATCGTCGGATCAGTGGTCCTTTCTGAAGAGAAATATTGGCCAGAGCAGCAAAAAAATGGAGCCGCGAGGATTATAAGAGCAAGGGAGGGAAAGAAGAAGTTGCCTTGGGAGTGAATCTGCCTCGGTATTGTTACCATTGGGAACGCATCAACACAAGTTAATCACCTTCTGCTGTATCTATTTGTGATGAGTAAAGAACGCTAGATTAAAAATCTATAAGTATATTATTTATAATTTACTAAATAATCTTAATTATATTAGCTATTTAAGGCTTTTAAATATTAGTTATAATATAAGGATCCCTGAGGCGAGAGATGCCGTCATTTCCCCGTGGCCAATACGAGGCTGGGGTTACGAATAGTTGGTGGTGCCAACGTGTTTCTTTATTCTTCTCGTTTTTCGTTTTTCGTTGCTAGCGTCTGGGCTTCTTTGTGCGAGAAAATGACGTATTTGGTCTAGGTACCTAAGGTACCTAAGGTTTGGGGTCAACAGGGCAACGGCGAGGCGGACCGACGGTTAGGTTGAGGGGACGGATGATGTTGCAGCTGAAAAACAGAGCAAGTTATCAATGAATCCTCTGTAGTCGGCAGATGTTCTTTTTCATGCGTCTTTCTCATCCCCCTTTTCTTCAAGTACGAAGTAACTAATAACTAACCCTGCTGTCTTGTTCATGTCCCTGGCCCTGCTCCGGTGGAGTCGACGGGCTGTGCTGTGTCTGCCTGCCATATTGATGCTGTTCGCATCTGCTTCTTCACCAACGAAAAACCAGCCAACAAGGCCCCAAGACGATGAAAGAAACCTAAAAAAAGAATAAAGGCTCCAGAGCCCCATCCGCATGGCAAGGTTGTCCGAGCAGCCCTCCACCAGGAAAAAGGGTCGCCTCCAGTAACATGGCGGCATCGAGGCCCTGAGGCTTGCGCCCCTCCCACCCAAACCCCTCCTCCCCTCAACTCCGCCTCCCTCATCGCGTCCAGCCTCAGACCAGAAAAAAAAAGAAACTACCAGCTTTGTTTATTTTTGGCTCCGTCTTTTACTCTGGTCCCACGACGTCAGCCTCCCCGTAACTATGTCGTCTTGTGTAGCTGCTGTACGGGCTTGTAGTACGAGGCTGCCAGCCAGTAACGTCAACCGTAAATGGAGCCCTCACGTATTACATGTACCGACTCGAGGGAGCTTATTTATCCAACGTCTCCTTCGACACGCTTGTTCCATTCTCATCCCATTGCTCTGTATTACATTCTCAATCTCACTTCTTTCATACTTTCCTCCTCTGTCTCGCTCTGCAACCCGTGTCTTAGAGCCAACCCCGCCCCCGAGACCGCCCTCTGTCGTCACCGTCTTTCTGCCACGCCCGTGTCGCCTCGTGTCTCGCAACGCTCGTCGCTACTGGTACCTTACAACATTGAACCTCCCTCTCCAATCTTCTCGCCCAACCCACGTGCCACTGTTGGGCATTCACTCGACTCCAAACTCGCGCCCCCCCTCCGTCCCCTCACATTCTCTCTCACCATTCCTTCACTCTACAGCACACACAAAACCGCAAAGATGCAGGCCATCAAGCAAGCGCTGCACCTGGGCACAAACGGCGCCAATGGCGCCGCCCGTCCCCAGCCCGCCCCCGCGGCCGTCGCCGAGCTCAAGAACAAGTACACAGACGCCCAGCAGGGCCACGTCTTTCAATTTTACGACGCCCTCGCCGCCGACGAGCAGGCCGCCCTCTTCGAGCAGCTCTCCGGCTTCGACCCCGTCCGCATCAACGAGTACGCCCAGCGCGCCCTCAAACCCGCCGAGACGGACAGCCGCCCGGCCGTCCTCGAGCCCCTGCCCGAGTCCGCCACCGCCAGCATCCTCGACTCCCGGCCCGACGACCTCACAAAGTGGTACGACGCCGGCCTCGACCTGATTGCCAAGAACCAGGTCGCCGTCGTCCTCATGGCCGGCGGCCAGGGCACCCGCCTCGGCAGCTCCGCCCCCAAGGGCTGCTACGACATTGGCCTGCCCTCGCACAAGTCTCTCTTCCAGATCCAGGCCGAGCGCATCCGCAAGGTCCAGCAGCTCGCCGCCAAGAAGACGGGCGGCGCCCAGGGCGTCGTCGTGCCCTGGTACGTCATGACCAGCGGCCCGACGCGCCAGCCCACCGAGGAGTTTTTCGAAAAGAACAACTACTTTGGCCTCGACCGCGCCAATGTGCAAATCTTTGAGCAGGGCGTGCTGCCCTGCATCTCCAACGACGGCAAGATCCTGCTCGAGAGCAAGGGCAAGGTCGCCGTCGCCCCCGACGGCAATGGCGGCATCTACCAGGCCCTCGTCCTCTGGGGCGTCCTCGACGACATGCGCAAGCGCGGCATCCAGCACATCCACGCCTACTGCGTCGACAACTGCCTCGTCAAGGTCGCCGACCCCGTCTTCCTCGGCTTCTCCGCCGCCCAGCACGTCGACATCGCCACCAAGGTCGTGCGCAAGCGCAACGCCACCGAGTCGGTCGGCCTCATCCTCTGCCGCAACGGCAAGCCCGACGTGGTCGAGTACTCGGAGATTGACAAGGCCACCGCCGAGGCCGAGGACCCCTCCCACCCGGGCGTCCTCAAGTTCCGCGCCGCCAACATTGTCAACCACTACTACTCGTTTGCCTTTCTCGAGTCCATTCCCGAGTGGGCGCACAAGCTGCCCCACCACGTCGCCCGCAAGAAGATCCCCGCCACCGACCTCGAGACGGGCGAGACGGTCAAGCCCGACAAGCCCAACGGCATCAAGCTCGAGCAGTTTGTCTTTGACGTCTTCCCCATGCTGCCCCTCGACAAGTTTGCCTGCATGGAGGTGCAGCGTGAGGACGAGTTCTCCCCGCTCAAGAACGCAAAGGGCACCGGCCAGGACGACGAGGACACCAGCCGCGCCGACATCATGGGCCAGGGCGAGAGATGGGCCAAGGCTGCTGGTGCTACCGTCATCGCCGACGGCGGTGTCGAGGTCTCGCCTCTCATCAGCTACGTACGTTTCCATTTCCCTTCCCCCTTCCTGCATAACAAACATACTAACACGCAACAGGCTGGTGAAGGCTTGGACAAGCTCAGCGGCAAGACCATCCAGGCTCCCGCAGTCGTGGAGCTCGACTAACATGTTGTACCTCTGAATTCGTGAATTTCCTAATTTTTTTCTCGTATGGCATGGCGTTTTCGTTGTTTTGTTTTGTAACGGCCTCGACTCGTTTTGGGCAGGTTCCGTTCGGGGCGAAAAAAAGGAAAAAGCGTCTACGCATATACCTTGTCTGACAAGGTTGGAGAGCTTTTTTTGAAGTAGGGACAATCTCAAGACGCCATGTAGAGCCAGAAGGAGCTCAGCGGCGTGGACATGATTTTGGATTTCGGATATACATGTACAGCGAACACCGCATAATAATACAAAGCTACATCCTCAGAATATTGACCGTCACTTCCAGCTCGTTGCTCCAGCCACTGTCCAAGCCCAATTCCTTCCACGCAGCCTCAACATCTACCTCGAGGACAGTGTCGGCAGACGATGAAACTCTGACCGTATGTCTCGGCACTGGGTGGCCAAAGATGGTCACCATGAAGTTGTCGTCAACCGTCAAGCTTGCCAGGCTGGATATGTAAACGCCTGGTTTCAAGGTGTCAGCCAAATTTTCCTCTTGTTGTCGCATGTTCCTCGCAGCCGCGGGTACGTACCAAATATTCCAAGCGCTCTGAGCTTTGTCACGACAGTCACCCTGGCGCCACCCGCCTCTACATGGCTGGCCTCGATCGCGGCGCCGCCCGTCATCTTGTCCACGAGGCCCAAGCTCGCCACACTCACTTGGCCAAACCGTCTGCTCGCACAGCTCGTGAGCTCATACGCCGTGTACAACTCGTAGCCGTGGCGGCCCGGCGTCGCCAGCAGAGAGGGACCGTGCTGACCGTCGTCGGCGAAGCGCAGGATGGGTGACACGCGGCCGCTCGTGTAGGCCCGCACGACGTAGGCGGCGGCGGTGGAAGTGCCGCGGAACTCGGACAGCAGCGTCAGGCTCGGGTGGCGGGCGTCGGATGTCTGGAAGACGCCCATTATGGAGATGCCTCCGCTCCCGGATCCTGGTGGGGTTTTGTTAGTCTCAAAAGATCAGAAAGTAAAAGGGAAGGGGATTCAGGAGCAGTAGCCCGTTATGACTAGCGGCAATGACGGAAGTGGAAGGGCGAAAAGAGTATTGCTTACCATGGAAACTGCCAATCTTGAGCAACGCCCCAGAATCATAATCCTGGTACGGATTCAGCGCGATACCCACCACGCTGGGCCGCAAGACGATTGTCTTGCCCAGCGTCGTGAGCGCCGTGCATCGGTTCAGCAGCGCCACGTCGTGGTGTCCCGGGACGTCCGTAATATACAGCGGTCCGCCGCTCAGGCACCGCGCGGCCGCGTGAAACTCGGCCAGCGGGTGCGCCGTCTGAAACATGTCCCAGTCGGGCACCACGTTGAGGTACTGCGCGAGGAGGCCATTGTGCGCATTCGCCCACACGTGCCAGCGGTGCGCCGCGGCGGCGCCGTCGGGCACGTAGTCGTCCGAGGTGCGCGCCACAACGGCCGGCCGGCGGCGCGGCAGCAGCGCGTGGAAGAGGGCCTGCGGGAACTGCGCCATGCATGCGATGGTGTTGGTGCCAAAGTGCCGCAGCGAGGCAACGGACCACGTGTCGAGGTACGCGTTGGTGAGCGTCCGGCGGGCGGGAGCGCCGGCCACGGCGTCGAGCATACACTGCGCGTCCGTCTTGACGCCGTCGACGCCGGACCTGATCAAGAAGGAGTAAAAGTCGTCGTAAAACCGAGACAGGGAGGGGGCGGCAATCACGGTCATGTCGGTACCCGTGTCCTCGCGGCCGACACGGGTGGTTTCGTACGTTTGGGCAATGGTGCCGCGGGGGGAGATGCCGCCCCAGTAGCCCATCAGCGCGTGCCAGACAAAGATGTGCTCGATGGTACGGTGGGTGCGCCGAATCTTGGACACGGCGCCTCGGAGGCCGTTGGGGAATCCGGCGGGATTTGCTTCAAAGTCAAGCCAGCCAGGCTGAGCGTCGCCTGGGTTCGTCGCATCAATTGACTGCCAATTATCATCAATGATGAGGTTCGAAATGCCGATACCACTTTCTTCCAGCTTCTCCAAGGCGTCAAGGATCTTGTCCTCTGTCAAATCTTGCCCGAGAGAGTTCCAAGTGCCTGCACTAGTCAGTATTGTGGCATGGCTGCGGGCCAAGGCGACTCACAGTATCCCAATCCGTCATACCAATACTCTCGCCATTGTGGCTTAAGATCATTGATGTTATTCGGAGGCGGTTGCTGAGTCCCTATTGGGGAGTACTTCCAAATGAGACTCCTAGCGTGGTATATCACAGAGGCCATGGCTTTGTCGGCATTGTATCCTGTCGAGACGAGGACCGTGAGGTCTCGCTCAACTGGCGCATCGTTGCGGGCCTGTCATTATTAACATGGTGCTATTTGCGAGATATTGCTGACGCACATGAACAGCAATAGAGTTTGAACCCGTGCTGCGGAACAGAGCCAAGATGTCGTCCACACCTGACACGGCAAGAAATACGAGATGGCGGCCCTTTTCATTGGCGAATGAGCATAGTATCGCTTCCTTGTCCAGTGAAAATCTAGAAAGGCCTTTTCTGGGTGCTATCCATGGCACGCTGGTTCTGACTAATGCAAACCACCTGTTGCTTGTATCAATGAATCGATTCAACCTTGGCGGCTAGACGACGCAAACGTACTTTTGGAAGTGTGTGAAAGGAGTACCGATTTCGACGTCTTTGAAACTTGACCTGTCCTCCAGACTGGGTCGTATTTTTGTGGTCAACGACCATAGCTTCGTGTCTGGCGCTTGGCTTTGTAGACTTGAAGCCAACCATTCCGAGCCAAGGTTGGGGATCAGATCCTCTATTTTCTGAGAAGCCGCCTCGTTATCCTCTAATAGAACATGTCCATCTTCAAGCCCATATTCTTGTTTGACCCATATCCAAAGCTCATCCGATGCATGCCGGAATTTGATTGTAAACCGTAGCGAAGTGTGAAAGGACAGTTCCGTTTGGAAATGCAAGTGTGAGTGTGATGGTGACAGTCTCAGATCGACCGCTTCCGCCTGCCTGATGACAGCAGGCAGTTGCAAAGCCGTCCACTCACTCCCGTCTGTACTATGCCATAGCGAAACTTGCCAGTCTTGGTTTGCGAAATGGTTGGGAACTTCAAGAACGGCGGTGATGCATTGCTTCTTGGTCTTCACTACGGTGACATCACCTAGGCGGGGAAGCGTGTGGACTCGGATTTGCATGTCTTCACTCGGTTATGAAGGAAAGGGGGCGAGGTTGCTATATAATTATTAATTGATGACTGAATCATTGGGGATATTAAAGGAAGCCTCGAAATGCTTGTGAAATTCTGCCGACGGGATGGTCAACAAGGGGTATGGCAAACGCGAAGTAGGTAACTAGTTACTATCTACCACGCTAGGTACCTAGGGATAAATGCGCAGCGTACCATGGGCACCTGACACCGCCACCCTCGGATAAGCGCTCGTCTGACGCAACATTCGAACTAAACCTACGCAACATTGTATATTTGAGATCAAAAATATTTTATCTGCTTGTTTTTTCCGAATGATTTCCTGCCACGCTTAAGCTGGCAGGTAATGTAGATTATTGCTTAGCTTCCCGTTGATAAGCAAGCATGTGATTGGCTAGTCGGAGCTGGTCGGAATGACTAAGACGCAAGGCCTGGCTGGGGCCTCAGGCCACAAACCTGGCACAGTAAAGCTTCTTGCCGAGCCAGGTGGAAAGATTTCATCAAACCACTCAATCGAACGTCAACCCTCCCCAAACTCCTCCCCATGGCGTCACGCAGGCTAGCTTTGAACCTCTCGCAGGGTCTGCGAAACCGTGCCGGCCTGTCGGCCGCCGGTCCCCTCCGTCGGGGCTTCGCGACGCCGTCCACTGTCGGCAAGACCCAGACGACAACCCTGAAGAACGGACTGACCGTGAGCATCATTACCAGGGGCCGGCCCAATTGGACCGTCCTTCCCAAATAGTTTGAGGCTAAGCATCTGACTCGATTGACAGGTCGCCACCGAGCACTCCCCCTGGGCCCAGACGTCCACGGTCGGCATGTGGATTGACGCCGGCTCGCGCGCCGAGACGAACGAGAACAACGGCACTGCGCATTTCCTCGAGCACCTTGCCTTCAAGGTTCGAGCAACCCCCCAATACCCACAGCACGAATTCCATCAATTGATTTCTAATATGACCTGCAGGGTACCGCCCGCCGCTCCCAACAGCAATTGGAGCTGGAGATTGAGAACCTCGGTGCTCACCTCAACGCCTATACCTCGGTCAGTGACGATGCAACGAGACCCGTCGGAACCCGCGGCTAACAGTCATCACAGCGCGAAAACACCGTCTACTTCGCCAAGGCCTTCAACTCCGATGTTCCCCAGTGCGTCGACATCCTGTCCGATATTCTCCAGAACTCCAAGCTCGAGGAGTCCGCCATCGAGCGCGAGCGCGACGTTATCCTCCGCGAGTCCGAGGAGGTCGAGAAGCAGATTGAGGAGGTCGTCTTCGACCACCTGCACGCTACGGCCTTCCAGGGCCAGCCTCTGGGCCGCACCATCCTCGGTCCCCGCGAGAACATCCGCGACATCACTCGCACGGAGCTCACCAACTACATCAAGAACAACTACACTGCCGAGCGCATGGTCCTCGTCGGCTCCGGCGGCGTCCCCCACGAGAAGCTCGTTGACCTCGCCGAGAAGCACTTCTCCGGTCTCCCCAGCAAGAGTGTCGAGAACGCGGCCTATATTGAGTCCAAGAAGAAGGCTGACTTTATCGGCTCCGATGTCCGTGTCCGTGACGACACCATTGGCACTGCCAACATTGCTCTCGCTGTCGAGGGTGTTAGCTGGAACTCTGAGGACTACTTCACTGCTCTCGTCACTCAGGCGATTGTCGGCAACTATGACAAGGCCATGGGCAATGCCCCCCACCAGGGCAGCAAGCTCAGTGGCTTCGTCCACCGCCACGATCTCGCCAACAGCTTCATGAGTTTCTCCACCAGCTACAGCGACACTGGGTAAGCACGAATCGGACGCCTGCAAAATGGCACAGCACACTAACCCGTCTTGTGAATAGTCTCTGGGGTATCTACCTCGTTACCGACAAGGCCACCCGCGTGGATGACCTCGTCCACTTCACCATCAAGGAGTGGATGCGTCTCTGCACCAACGTCAGCGGCGCTGAGGTCGAGCGCGCCAAGGCCCAGCTCAAGGCGTCCATCCTCCTCTCCCTTGACGGCACCACTGCCGTCGCTGAGGACGTCGGCCGCCAGCTCATCACCACCGGCCGCCGCATGAGCCCTGGCGAGATTGAGCGTAGGATCGACTCCATCTCCGAAAAGGACGTAATGGACTTTGCCAACAAGCACCTGTGGGACAAGGACCTTGCCATTAGCGCCGTCGGCAACATTGAGGCTCTTTTCGACTACCAGCGTCTGCGAAACACGATGAAGCCTTTCCATTAAAAGAAGACCTTTCTGCTCTTTTGTTTACAAGTATAGGAGAAGGGGGTTTGAAATTGGTCTGCCAAGGCGAGGCTCGGGTATAGAAATGTATGAGATACCGTATTACAGTGGCCTAGTGTACCATATAGTCTTCCATGTTCATACTGGTTTTTCTTTTGTTCATGCGATTTTTGCATCATGTCGTGATCAAAACGCTGACCTCGGCGGCTCGGCTTGTCTGTAGTATCTCTGACCAAACTCAACAATCGCACACAGTGGCCCATGAGAGACACTGCTACCTTGCTTGTGTAGGCATTACAGTTTGGTCCGATATTGTTTTTAGTTGTAATTAATACAAGAAAAATTCCCTCGTGTTGAACAATCAAGAAATGCAATGTATGTGTATTTGTTTGTAGTGTTTTCCTGTTATGTACCAACCCCCACCAATTCTATACTCGTACAGGTGTGGTTTCACAAACCGAAGCGCGTCGGCTCTAATAGTAGCGAGAATGACTAGGTAACCCAAGAAAGACATGAAATAAAATATGCGCGCCACGCTATGCTTCCAACATGAAATGCCCGCTCCTCCTCCTCCTACTCTTCCTCCTACCCTTTGAACCTGAAAACCACGCTTCCCCTTCGTCTTCTCGCGCCACCTCTTTGCCATCAGACATTCGGAGTCCTTTAGTCTTGCCTTCTTAGTTGGACAGAAAGCGAATCTCGACGGGTTCAAGTACTTGCGGCGCGCTGTTCTCGATGTCGAGTGCGATGCCCTCGCCCTAAATATCGTATCGCCCAGAGTATCCTTAGCCATACGTCTCTTTTTCACTGATTTATACCTCTTTCTTATCCATGGAGAGATGACCAACCCCAGTAATAATTTCCGCGGCGTAATCTTCTTCGAGATTCGCCGCGTTCTTCTTGACAATATTTTCTTCATCGACGTCGTCGTCGCCTTCGTCGTCACCTTCGTCGTCGAGGAGATCCTCTTCGTTGGCATAAAATTGGCCGCCAAGCTCTTCCTCCATCTGACTCTGCGTCATTGAGGCGGCCAGGCGACTGTTGAGATCGTCCCCGGAGGCTTGTGAGATGTAGCTGTCCCCGAGGCGCTCATCCAAATCTTCGCCGTCCTCGCCGTCCTCGCCGTCCGTGTACTCACTGCCCTCTTCGACGCCGTCGTCAATGTCGTCGCTGTCACTGGCAGAGAATTCGTCCAGCTCGAGAGGCGTGTCTCTCCAGTATTTGAAGTCGGTATAATCCTCCCCGCCGCCCATGACAAGCGTGGAAACGGAAGGAAAGTAGTGATCAACGACCTCGTTGATGTGCACGTAGGTCATCTTGAGCTTGTTCAAGCTAAGAAGGTCAAGGGAGACTTCTGAGTTGGAGTTGATGGTGAAGATGCGATTTCGAGGAACATCTACAGTTCGGTACGAGATTTGATCTGTCAATCGGTTACCAAAGCCAGCATAAAAGGGGGTCCTGTCGGGACCATAAAGGTTGGCGATATCGCGAAGCGTGGCCATCTTGAAAACGTGTGGCTTGCGGAGGTACACCTCACGGCGCAAAGCGGCCATTGTTCGGTCCGGAGACAGAATAGTAGGGCCATGAGGCATCCGGCAACCTTCTTGGACAATGTTGTTGAGGTAGGCTCTCGTAGTGTCGGCTTGTCCGACGGAGCGACTTGTTAGATACATAATGTTGAATCCGTTCAGGGCAATATCGCTGTAAAGCTTGGCAATGCCAGCGTGCGTCCAGTCGCGGCCGATCATGTTCAAGACATGGCCCAGGGCATCAGATTTTGTAATGGTTCCGTCAATATCAGAGATGACGACTGGGGTGTCGTACTTCCACAGGTACATGTTGGCGGTGCACGTGGCGCGGTTGACGGTGAAGCCCATGGGATTCTCACCCGACTTCAAACCAAGCTTCTTGAGCTGGTCACTAGTCAAGCGGAGAGTCTTGGCATAGTTGCGGTTAGGGTTGCCAACACCGGCATCGGCGGGGGTGCGCGGAGGGGTCGCAAGGCCGGCAGGGCCAGCATCAGACTCGGAGCGGCGATGGGTCGGAACACGAGGGGAGCTGGTCACATCGCTGACATCGCTTTGATAGCCGGGATCCGAGAGGGCATCAGCAGCCACGCCATGGCGATGGGCTTGCAGGGAAGACTCAATGGTCTTGTTCATGGCAGCCTTCTTAGCGCTCTCACTGCTGTAAATCCACAGATTGCCTTCTTCGTCGAAACCAAAGAGCGCACCGATGTCGTAGTTGCCGTCCAGCTCTTCAGACAGAATCTTTCTGGCCTGAATCTCGGCACGGAGCATCTCTTCTTCGCTGCTTCGGAAGCCAGTCATGTCCAGCATGAGATCGCCAGTCTCGGTGACTTGGCTGGGGATATTGACCGCGGAGAGGCCGCGGGACAGTGTCATGGCACGATCGATGGCTTCTTGGATGTTGACTGGGTCAGGGCTCTCGGATCGTTCAGAGCCTGGCTCGGCGGCCAGGCTGATTTCTTGATCGACGGTGCGGGCGGAATGGCGCAAAGCATCATCGCTGCGAGGACGGGTAAGTGCGGCAGACCAATCACCGGAAGCAGGTCTGGGGTTCGACAGGTTGAGGGGAGACGACGCTGGGGTGGGGTATCCTGTGGCTGATGTTGAGTAAAGATACATGTAGGCGCGAGGCGGCAGAACTTACCATTTTCATCCAGCTGGCCATCGGAGCCTCGGCGGGCGTGAGCGCCGTCTCCGTCTAGCTCGAATTGGTCGGGAACGCCAAGCTGGGAGACGGACTCGTTGGGGCCGAGAGGTGGGCTGCTCGCCGGAGAGACAAGAGGGGAAGTCTGCATAGACTCGGGAATGTTCTCTGTGGTTTCGAAGACAAAGAAAGCTTCGCCGCCTTCGCCAAGCTTCATAGAATATTCTTGCTTGGAGCCATTGACCCGGAACTCGACCTTTTTCTCGTATGGGCGCAGCAAGGAAAATTTGCCGAAGCGGACGTGGAAGGGCGAGCAAGCAAGGGTGCCATCTTGATGCTCAACAACGATGACGTCGATGGCACCGCTGAGAGTGGCAGGGTTTATAGAGTTCCATGCCGTCGACACGGAGTCGCTAATATTGCGCACGTACTGCATGGTAGAAAGCTACCGCTGCGGCGCTGTGGGAAAGGTATGATTGTGAGGCAGGCGTGAGAAGTGGTGTTGCGGCGGGCGGGCAGAGCAAACGGATCAGGAGTAGTGAACACCAGCCACGCAGAGGTAATGTGGTTTGCGCTGTAGCGTATTCGGGCGTGACATGCGATATCGAGGCTTGCAACGGCGGTGAGCGAAGGAAGGCCGTTGGTTAGGACCTAGGTAGGTGGCTATGGCTGAGTTGCGTAGCGATGACGGATCGTCGCAGGGTCGATGGATGGCGAAGCGGGCGGCGGGCGGCGGGGGAGCTCAAGAGCCTGGCAAAGGGAAGCGGAGTTGTGTGTGAAGGGCAACTTGTTATATGCGAATAGAAACGAACAAGAAGCGACTGCAAGGGTACAGAAAACAAGGGTGGAGAGAAGGATAAAGGGATGCAAGAAAAAAAGGTGTAAAAAATGAAGCCAGCCGGCGAGACGAGTTTGGGGGTTGAAAGAGTTGTTGAGCGCCGTCTTGGCAAGTCTGGCATGGTCATGGCTTGTCAGATGCGGTACGAGAAGCACATGATTGCCTTGTGCCTGTGGAGGCAAGGCACCCGGGCAGTTGTTACAGGGGGGCTGCGAGAGCTTACAGGGCAACGGGATCACCTAAAAAACGCACAGTGGTAGAGACGCGCAAACAGCTTCGATGCGTAGACACCTAGGTAGGGATCCGTGATTAGGTAGGTAATTTAACAAGAAACAGAGATTTGGTTATTGTGCAATGGCAGACATTTCATCTCGAGTCTTGCGCATTCATCGCACTCACATGTTGGGACTTGTCGGCGCCGTCGCTGTCTGCACGGCGTCATCCAACATTTTAGCCCGACAGACCCCTGTAAGTTCTTGGAATATTTTCAGCGGCGCCACTTCCGCACTCAGACTACACCTGCAATCGAGTTGGTTACTGTTTAGCAGATGCTGGATATAGGGAAGATACGGAAGATACGGAAGATACGGAAGATACTGACGATAAGAAAGAATGTGAAAAGGATAGTTTCCAAAGAACTCTGACCATATGACTAGATTATATTATCATCAATTGCGTCGCCAGAGCCACGTCTTTCTTTAGGTAGCTAGTAGGTACCTCAACCCCCCAGCGCGGCGCGGCGACGCCGGAAACAATGGTCTACCCACTCTGTCCCCAGACTTGGCTGCAGGAAACCCAACGTTTGTGCCTTGAGCCGCGGCCCGGCTGTCATGTGCTTCATTCAAGCCTTTTTTTTTTGTTCGCGCGCATCTGCCCAAACACCGAGCCAGGGTCAAATCTCCGTCTGTCTGTGATCCATCGGAGCGAGGCCTCAAGTGGCTCGCGAGGCCTTGGCATTTTAGGTTCAGAGTCATGCTTCTCCCTTGGAGACCTTTCTGTAGTCTAGACAGCAATCTCGAATATTCCCAACTACGAAAGACATGCGCGGTATTGAATCTCTAGACCGTCTCAACTACTTGTACTTGTTGTCGTCCAGCGATGTGGTGTTACGCCGCAGAGGCACTCCTCTCAACCGCATAATGCATTTGGAGTGGACACAACATCCTCGGGCCACTGGGCCGAATTGGGTTATGGCGTTCGGGCGCTAAAAAAAGACTGGACGCATCGGCAATAATATATTATTAGTAGGTAGGCATACTCACCGAGGATAGACGAAGAAGCCGGGCACGACGAGAAGCCAAGCTGGTAACTGTTAGTTTCTTACATAGCAATTTACTTACTTACCTAGGACAGTAGGCCGCTATGTACAGATTACTGATGGTGGTCATGTTATGTGTCATGCTATTTATGCCATTTATTATGCCATCTATGCTATTTGTTATTATGTAGAGAAACGTGTCACCACTTCTTCAAACAACCTACATAGAAGTAACGAGTCAGGTAGCTGGACTCGAGCCCGTCCTTCCAACCGTGGTTACCTCTACCATTTTAGCCACGTATTAATACCCGCCACCTACCCACAAGCATGCCGTTATTCACATGTACTCGCAAGGCAAACGAGACAACAGTAAACTGTGCGGCGTCGAGACGATGCCCTTGTCGGCTCTCAATTTCCCAGCCGCCTCCAACCACCCTAGAGACAGAACCAACACGTTGCGACTGTAGATCGGCTGCTTCAGTGCTCCATCCCGGAGCTCCCTGAACTTGTCTGAGCGCTGGACAGCCTCGCGCCTTTCCGCACTGTACAGTCCGTCCTTCTTTCTCACCCATCACACAGTGCGCCGAGCTCTCTTTCCACACTGAGTCATTACCAGAACCCGCCACCCAATCATCTCGTCGGATTCGGCGGACCTTTGCTCAAGCCATCTGCATTTTGCTTCACCCGCACTGCACCACGAACACCGACTGCACTTTTTCGCTGCCATCACCAAGACCCCGTTTCTATAAAGAGTCTCCAGCGCCTCGTTCGCTGCTGCTCTTATGTCCCGGTCGCCGCGACAATGGTCTGGCAGTTTCTGGCATGGACTGCCGGCACTTTCTTCTTCGTCTTCTTTTGCTACCTTCTCCGCCCACTCGAGTATTTCCCAATAACCTTCTTTACTATCATTGCTGCCGCCTTCATCATTTTTGATCCTCGCGAGTGGATGCTCCAGAGTTATTTCGAGGCGCACGAATTCTTACTACACATGCCTATCAACGACTTTCTCGAGCAATATTTTCATACCTTTGTCACCATTATCTCGGGTCTCTGGTAAGTGCCCTCTCCCTTCCCTTCCTTGCTCTTCACCTCTCTTGCGCCCGCCCTTCCGTCTAACCTTGCCGCCGCCTCTGCTCATAGGCTTGTCCACCGAACCTTTCAAACATTGCTCAAACCAGTCTCGGAGCTGGTCAATATACTCGGTGTCGACATTCCCGACCCCCCGGATGTCTGCCTTGCTGGCATCCGCTCCGATGCTGCTACACTCAGCTGGAGCCGTCCGCCAAGCAATAGACCTGTCCAGAAATATACCATACAAGTCAATGGCGTCAATGGTCAGTTTGCTCTGACGACTTGCCCTTGTCAAATTGGCATCACGCTGTGCGTAGGAAAGATGAAAGCTAACACCTACTTCCCCCCAGCTCCAGTCGGCGACTCTCCTGGAAACGAAATAGCCATCACCGTCACTGGCCTAAGACCGAACCACTATTATAATGTCCGCGTCGTTGCCGTGGCGCCCAACAACTTTCAGTCATCGAGCCCTCCTTTGCGCCTGCAAACATTTGGGAAACATGGCAAGCCACAACTGGGCATCGCTCGCCTACCCGTCAACTTGTCGCTTGATGAGCACCGCCGTGGGTCTACCGACGACGGTAATGAGTCCGACTCTCCTTCTTGCGCTGTCCCCACACTGGAATCTGCTCCCGTGTTGGACAGCGCCGTGTCTGTCGTTCGCGACCCTAACGGTTCCCTGACGAGCCAGCGGCGCAACACCGTTAATCGGCGCCATTCTCCCTCTGTTGCGAGCTCCGATCGGCCGCAGATTAAGCATCAAGCCTCCGATGAACCTGAAGTCTCTCTAGATGAATTAAATAAGCGATTTGAGAGTATCAGAAAGGAAATTGACGACACCCTCGCCCAATATGTCAAAGACGAGGCCGACTCTAAACTCCAAGAAGACGACTTGAAAAAGGAAAAGGAACGAAAACGTTTGATCCTAAAAGAGAAGGAAGAACAAACCGCACAGCTCAAGATACAGGTTAGGACGACCATGGAACAAATGCGCACCGCTGAGAAAGAACGCGCCAAGAAGGACCAGTGCCTGAAGGATAAAGAGGCTAAGAAAGCCAAGGCAAAGGACAACATCACAAAGCTGGAACACGAAATCGAGCGCATGAAAAATGAGCGTAAGAAGTTTCAAGCGCAAGATGCCGAGTTGCTTCAAAACAGAGACAAGCAAGGTCGCTCTCTCGACCAGGCCAACAGAGAACTTCAAGACAAGTGTGCTGAATTGGAATCCGAACTCAAGGAGAAAGGGAAGCAGTTGCAGGACCTCAAGGCCGCGCGGGAGCTGTTACCTGGCGCCGATGATCAACAATGGAAAGAGGAGGATTCCCGTCTTAGAGAGGAATGGGACGCTGCCAGGCACAGATTGCATTCCACTATAGTACAGGAAATGACTATGGCTGGCCAACTCGACCAAAAGATCCAAGCCATGACCGATCAAGTTGCTCATGTTCTGCAGCCAACATTTTACCAATCAACGGCTTCCACTGGCCCCGAATATGACAATTCGGTGGCTGCTGTGCAGAGGACACGGAGTGCGAATGGTGCTTCGCTTCCTGAGCAAGGCACCCCGTCACCACATCCGCTTCCTACATCCGAGTCAGGATATCCACCGCCAGCAGGTTTTGCGCCCTTTCCCAAAAGGTTATTCGCCGATGAGCCAGATCCAATGGATGAAAATCAAGCAGGGGCCGAGTTCAAGCTGGCTTCCGGCCCGCTGAGCCCGTTGGCCCAGACGCTCTTGCCTTCTAACATATTCGAGGAGGACCCGACTGAAGAAGAAACGACCGGGTCCTACATCCGCGAGCCTATCGGTACAACAGGAGATGATGCACAATCGCCCGCTTCCTCTAGCCCGTCGTACCGCGCATTCTCTAGCCCTCATGGGTCAAATCACAACTTGCCCTACTCACCGTACGAGAACGCCGATAGGAGCTCGTTGAACCTCCATCCAGTACCAAACTCCCCTGCGGCTATCGGTCATAGGTTTAGTGGCCTACTTTCTACATTTCAGCGCAACAGAGGCGCAAAGCATATTGATGAAGGCCCTCCAATCGGAAGCCTTAAAACCGGTCAAAGTCAGTCTTTTCCGCGTGGAGCGGAAGAGTTCGAAGCCAGCGAATCCCGCCGTCGATCCAACTTTCCTTGGGTCAGTCGTAGCTCGACCGGCCCTGAAGGGACAATCGGTGGTCACTTATCGCTAATGGGCAGAAGGTTGAACCCAATGAACCCCCCGAACGGCGCGGACCGGGATCCAAACTCGCGACCTGCTTCCATTGCGTCTGCGGATATGCCCAGGCCCTCAACTGATAGTGGATCCATTTGGGGCCAGCCAAGTGACGGCGCAGTGTCCAAAAACCGACTCTGGCAGGCAGCCGATGGCCGCTGGCCCTCACGTAGCAACTCGAGGCGCCCGTCTATTCACGGCACGGGCAATCTGCTGACCACCACGCTTGCGTCCGCTGACGATGAGATTCTTGATGAGTACGACCTGCGTAATCCTCAAACCTCAGCTAGTCAAGTCGGCGTTATCGGATCAGGTCACCCTGCAAACACCAAATTTGTGAACCAGAGGCTCAACCCGAGCGCGCCTACGTTCGTTGGCAACTTGTTTAGAAAGGATAGATCCAAGTCTCGAGACGCAGCTCCAAGCCTGGAACTGCAAACAAACACCGACGATCCGCCGTCCGGATCTAGAATCTCTCGGGATACTCAGTCAATCCACACGCAAACCTCGATATCTGTTTCGGAATCTCACGAGTCACTGATGCTGGATGGAAGTATATCAAACGCGCCTTCTGACCTAAACTCTCTGTCCGGCTCGCTCTCCAAGGACCCTGAGAACAAGGTGAAGAAGCTCTTCCGCAAGGGCAGCTCTGGCAAGTTTGGCTTGTCTTCGAGGCTTGGCAAGGATTCTGGGCTGTTTAAGAAGAGCCCTGGGAGCACAGCCAATTCTGACAAAAACTTGTCGGCTGATCAGCGATCCAGCATTGGTGATGTTGATGACCTGGGCGAAGAGGCTCAATTTGGCCGAAGCTACGATAGCATGGCAAGCAACCCTGCGCTTGGGTCTAAAGCATCCAAGGACGGCAGTCAGTCTCGCATTGGGTCCTGGCGCTTCTCGAAGAAGAAACGGGGCAAAGACGCGCCGGCAAAGGAAAGCCTGGACATTGACAAGAAAGCACATGACGAGTAGTGGCAGCTTTGTCTTGCAATGAGCGACACATAAATGATAAGCGCATTCATATATACTCTCTGATACTCATTTCTGCTCCAAGTGACCAAATACCCCAACTTGCTATGAAGCCGCCCGCAAGCGTGATGCCGTCGAAGTGTACAAACGGAGACTAGCGAAGGATTGAGTATTTGCAAGAATGAGCGCCCCGTTGAAGCTACTCGAGCGTAGTGAAACGCGAACACGAACTTGCATGATGCCAGTGTTTACAGAGTTGACTTTAATAGAATTTGCTGCATCTTCAACTTGATCCCGAGCAATCCCCGAAGCTGCAGCGTCTCATCATCTTGTCAGCAGAGATAAAGAAGGATAACATAATGACGACATGACTGGCCAATAGACGACTACATAACCTCGTTTCCCAAGTCTAAAATTCACCCCATCATCTTCTTTTCATTTTTTTTTCTTCTTCATTCTTCATTTTCTGCCTTCATCGCTTCCCACCTACTTTGACAAATGCTTCTGCTCGTCCAGCCATTTGAGGCGAATCTCCACGGCCCTCTTGTGCGCGTGGAGCTCCTCGACGCCCGCGAGCTGCGTGACGGCCGGGCCGACGTTGCGCAAACCGTCGCTGGTGAGGTTGGCGCAGGTAATGTGCTTCAGGAATGAGGCAAGGTTGACGCCCGAGTACTGCTTGGCGTAGCCATACGTTGCTGTAAAAACAAAAAAGTGTTAGCTTCAACGCATCATCACGAGTACAAAAGAAAGAAGAAGAAGAAAACGTACGCAAAGAGTGGTTGACACCGGCCGAGTAGTCACCAACGCTCTCGGGAGTCCACTCGCCGATAAAGACACTGCCAGCGTTGATGACCTGGTCGACGACCTTGGCGGCATCATTGACTTGCAGGATCAGGTGCTCGGGGGCGTAGTCGTTGCTGATGCGCATGGCGTCCTCGATCGTCTTGACCGTGACAGTCACCGAGTGCTTGATGGCGCCACGCACAATGTCGACGCGTGGCAGGGCCATGGCTTGGTTGTGCACCTCGTCTTCAATTGCCTTGAGCTGCGCCTCAGAGAGGTCGACGGTGAGCAGAATCACTTGGCTGTCGACGCCGTGCTCGGCCTGGGAGAGCAGGTCGGAGGCGACAAAGGCCGGGTTGGCATCCTTGTCGGCCACGACGAGCACCTCTGACGGGCCAGCGGGCATGTCGATGCTGACACCGGCGTTGGTGTCGTTGCTAACGTGCATCTTGGCGGCAGTGACAAACTGGTTGCCCGGGCCGAGAATCTTGTCAACCTTGCTGACGCTCTCCGTGCCGTAGGCCATGGCAGCGACGGCCTGCGCGCCGCCCGCGAGGACGATGCTCTCGGCGCCGACCTTTTGGGCAATGTAGACAATCTCGGGCGAGATGCTGCCATCGGCACGAGGGGGCGAGGCAAGAACAATTTTCTCGCAGCCGGCAACCATGGCAGGTACACCGAGCATGAGAGCAGTGCTGGGCAGGACGGCAGTACCACCAGGGACGTACAGACCTACACGCTCGATGGGGCGCGAGAAACGACCACAGATGACGCCCGGCATGGTTTCCACGCTAAGGGGCTTGTCCTCAGCCTGAGCGGCGTGGAATTTGCGGATGTTTTCGTAGGAAACGTCAATGGCATGGGTCGTTTCAGGCGAAAGCTTCATCAGCTCAGCCGGGAATGGAGCCTTGAGGACTGGAGATGTGAGGGAGGTAGCCTTTTCGAACTTGTGAGTGTATGACAGGAGAGCCTTGTCGCCGCCTTTGCGAACATCTTCAACGATTGGGACAACAATCTTGAGAATAGCGTCAGAAGATTTTTGTGAGGGGCGTTGAAGCGTCGTTCGCAAGTCCGCTTCGGACATTGAGGCGGAGTCTACCCGTTGCATGAGGATACGGTCGCTAGAAGGAGCCTCGGCGCTGGCAGCAGGCTTTTGAGGAGCAGCAGCAGCAACGGGAACCGTGATGCCCTCCTTCTCAGCCCACTTGCCCTTGGCATTGCCCGGACGTCTCTTGACCTTGAGGCTCTTGGCGTCCAGGTTGGCTTGGACATCAGCCAGGCTCACGCCTGCGCTGACAGCCTTGGTCAGGGCAAAATAGATCAAGTCGGCCGCCTCAAAGGCGACCTCGTCCTGTGTCTTGGCGTCACAAAGCTCTTCAGCCTCTTCCATTATCTTGGCCCGCAGTAGCTTCTCGTCGGAGAAGAGACGGGCGGTATATGAGCCGGCGGGAGCAGACTCCTTGCGGGAGACGAGGGTCCGCTCGAGGGCCGCGATGCCGCTGAGGTTTCCAAAGCAGCCAAATTGCTCGAGGTGGCAGAAACGACCCTTTTGCTTGACGACGAACTTGAGCGTATCGTTGTCGCAGTCGAGCGCAATGCGAACGAGTTCCTGTGTGTCTCCTGATGTGGCGCCCTTGATCCATAGACCCCGTTTTCTACTCTGATAGACGCCAGTCTGCGTACGGAGAGCCTCGAGAATACTCTCTTCGCTAGTGTAGGCAAGACCGAGAGAAATACCAGCCTCGTCGGTTACGACGGTAGGGACGAGTCCGTCAGAGCGGTCAGACTTCCATTGGCTGGAAAGGACCTTGGAAAGCAGCAACTTGCTGGTATCGGCCTTGTCGGTGGTCAGGCCCGTTGACGGCAGGATGGGGACGGCGTTGCTCTTGTTGGCAATTTGGATAAATTCCTCTAGCGAGACGCCTTCGGCAGGCTTAATGTAGAGGATTTTGGCCTTCGTAGCCTGAGCATCGGCAATGAATTTGGCGACATCCACAGTTTTGGGGTCAAAGTCGCGGACTAGCAGACCGTGCTCCGAGGCGGCAGACAGATCCGGGGTCGACACGACGGGGAAGACTCGGTCGCCCAGTTCGGCGTACTGAGGTAGCGCTTCGGGGGTGACAAAGACTCGCTTGGCGCCGCGGTCGAGGAAGCCGAGCACATGGTCTTGCTCGAGGGCCGTGGCATCGAAATGGGCTTGGAACTCGGCGCTGTGGCGGTTGAAGAACTTGGCGAACTTTTCGAGAAGCTCCGGCTTGGCGTCGAGGAAGGGGCAGCCGAGAATCGAGACCTCTTCGCGGGTGAGACCTTCTAGCTTGGCCAATCCCGGAGGGACGGCGACACTGACGAGGAACGGCAGCGGCAGCTCAATCTCCATGATGTAAAAGAGTGGCGGGCGCGGCTGATGGACGGCTTGGCGGGGGGGCGGTAGAGGGGAGGATCGGGGGTGACAGTTGTCGTAGAGCACAATGGTGGGTTGAAACTGTCGCTGCGAAGCCTTTGTTGGAACAGCTTGATGGTATCAGATCCCCTGTGAAAGAAAAAAGAGGACAGAACGGATATGGGATGGGGAAGACGCTTGATATGACTCTGCGTTCCTGAATCGGCCGTCTTTTTGGTGGGGCAGAGCGAGGCGCCGATAATTGATGCTGCCCCTCCAGATTGCTGCTATCTGAAGATTTTTTGCTCGCTGTAGACAGCGGGATACAGGCCGCTGAGCTTTTTATTAGTGCTTCCGTCATTGGCCGGCCGCGATCCCATCGACTCCAAGTTTTGTACCTGCCTAGCACATTGGCAGACGTGAGAAGAACCATTCTAAATTATAAAAAATATAAATATTTGACTGATTGGTTATTTATGCATATTTGCATTGCAATTTAGTTATATTTAGACCCGGTCACGTCTCTCAAGTCGTCCGCCAGCTCATTGGTGATTGATGCAATTAACCGGAACGGGATTAGGATGTTGCGCCTGCAAGCACCCGCCACTACCCTTGCGCTCACCAAGCGAAAGCGAGCTCCAGTCGCGAATGCAAACCATCAACTCTCCATCACACGCTACCATTGATCTTCACCCCGAACTCTCGTTTCTTTCGCAACCGTATAATTACCATCTTATTATATCAATCTAGCTAGCCCAACCACCGTTAGCCTGGCACTCCTTTGCCGCCGGTCCAACTCATCCGCCCGGCGCGCACAAGGTCCTCCAAAACAGCCATTGCGCCCACCCGCACATCACAACCACCATGTCCGCCGCGCCACCGCAGACCAACGGCATCACGGCCTCTGCCCCGACCGCCCCCGCGGCGATTAACCACGCCCAGGGTGCGGCCCCCACCGGTGGCCCGTCCTCGACGTCACAGCCCACGGGCGCCGCCGCGCCGCGACCTCGCGACGCCCGCCTCGTTGAGCTGCTGCTGACCTCGCAGGGCGTGACCGCGTACGAGCAGCGCGTGCCCCTCCTTCTCCTCGACTTTGCCTACCGCCACACCTCGTCCATCCTCAACGACGCGCTGCACCTGGCCGGCGACCCCTACGTCTCCCAGGCCGGCGCGAAGCCGTCGGCCAGTGCGGGTGCCAGCGCCGCGGCCCCTGGCGACGCCGCTGTCTCCGCCAACGCCATCAAGCTCTCTGTCGCCGCACGCCTCGGCTATCAGTTCCGCGGCGGCAGCTCCGGCGGCGGTATCAGCAAGGAGTACATGCAGGAGCTCGCCCGCGAGCGCAACAAGGTCGCTCTCCCGCGCATCGTCGCCCACGAGTGGGGCGTGCGCCTGCCCAGCGAGCGCTTTGTCCTCAGCGGTACCAGCTGGGGCCTGCAGGACGTCTGGGACGAGATTGGCGACGATGAGGTGCCGGAAGCGACGGGCGACGCGATGGAGGGTATACAAGGCCCGGCACCAGAAGATATCGGTGGCGATGGCGTCGAGGGCGGCACTGTGGAGGATATGTTTGGTGATGACGTCGATGAAGAAATGGCCGAATAACGATATCATTGAGAGGATACCCGAACATATTTGCTTTGTATTATTGCCAGCGGAATCGGCGGTTGGAAAAGGAACGGCGTTCTTCGGAGTTTTCACTACATCATGACACATGGGCAGTGCAATATTGAGCTATACTTTCCATAGCAATGCTAAGGAGCAGTACGTGGATGTTATTTGCGCGCTGAAGTGTCATGCTTCAGCATATCAATACCACTGCGACACTACAAATCGCATTTGTTTCTACCATTCAACGCATGTTATCTGGCTATATTTAGTATGATGAAGATCTTTTTAAATGTGACTTTGACTATGCGGCTACATCTTCATGTTGTTCATTCAACAAAGGCAGCGCCCTATCCTTGGGAGAGACCCTCCCACTACTGAGCAGGAAGTGTAAGAAACCTCGCTGAATCAGGTAGAGGCACCACATTGTCCAGCTCGCTCTTCAGCGGCTTGCCCATTGTTCCGCGCGGAATCTTGTCGCAGAACAAAACACCACCAGTCGGAGCTTTATGTGCCGCGAGCTTGGACGCAACAAAATCGACAACCTGCTGGGCGGTCAGCTGCGCGTCAGCCCGTCGAACCACATATGCCAAGCACTCTCTATCTTTATCATCATCTCGAGCCTGCGTGGACGTCACCAGAGCGTCGGTAACGTCGCCGTTTTGTAGAAGCACGCTCTCCACCTCGGTCGGCGAAACTTCCTCATACCGAACCTTGAAGATTTCCTTGAAGCGTCCCAGCAGCGTGAGAAGGCCTGTATCCGGGTCTACAATACCCTTGTCGCCTGTGCGAACCCAGCCAGGCTCGCCTGGTAGAAAAGCCTTTACGGTTGCCTCTGCATTGTTGTAGTATCCGCTGAACGAGGCTGGGCTGCGAGCGCATACCTCTCCAGCGGCACCGGGTGGCGCCTCTTGTAGAGTGTCGGGGTCCACGATCCTTTTAAAGGTATGTCAGTATGGTGCTACTGGGACACTCTAACCTATGCGTGCAAAAGAAACAGCACTTACCTAACAGTCGTGCAAGATGCGACCCGGCCTACACAGCCAGTAACCCAGTTGTCATCAATTACGATTGAGCAAATCCCGGGCAACTCGGTTGCACCATACCCAGTCATCAGCTTCGCGTTGTCGGGGAGCATCCTCCTGATGCTGGTGACGGTTTCTTGTCGGCAAGGCGCCCCGGCAAAGGAAACTTGCTGTAGCGAGGCCAAGCGGCGACGCAGCTCAGCCGAGTCAGGCAACGCGGTCATGGTTTCCATGAGTCGGGGGGTGATCATGGTGGCGCCAATGCCCAGCGAATGGATCTTGTCAATGACGGTAGTCGCGTCATCGCCTTTGCAAATGTAGCCAGAATAGCCGCCTACGCAGGCACCCATGTGAAGCAAAATGCCGCTGATGTGAAACATGCCAATCATGAGCAAGAAAGGCTTGTCCATGCCGGGCATGGAGGAAACGAGGTTGGCTCGTACAACGGACGCCTGGTGGCTGATGATGGCCGCCTTGACTGACCCTGTCGACCCGCTCGTGAAGAAGCGAAAAGCTTCACGCGTCGCCGGGTCCTTGCCCTCGTTAGCATTGCGGAAGCTCGCTTCGTCCGCGCCGTGCATGAGCTTGCTCAAGCTGGCCTGCGCGCCGGTGTAGGGCTCCAGGCCCGGGGGGTCAAAGACGAGCACCATGCTTGACGGCAGGCCCAGGTCGTGCACCGTGGCCAGGGCGAGCTCCAGAAACGCGGGCGCGGCAAATAGCCACTTGATCCCAGCAGTCTGGATGGCGGTGGCCAGCTCGGCCTGCTTGACAAAGGTTGGGATGCCGGCGTATACGGCGCCCGCGGCCACGGCGCCGTCGCCGAGAACATAATAGTAAATGTCATTGTCGCTGAGAAGCCCGACACCGTCCTGGTCTGCCACGCCGAGATTTGCAAGACCGACGGCTATGCGTTTTACGGCAGACTTGTATTGGCGCCGCGAGATGTGGCGCGCCGGGCAGTCGGCGTCCACCAAGGCCTGGCGGTGTGTTAGCATGTGCCGGTCGCATGTGGTGTCGTACATACCGGACGGTCCGCGGACGCATCATCTGGACCGTGAGAGAAGAGGCGAGTTGTATAATCCATGGAAGCGGCGCTTCTGACGAGATGAATGCACTGATATGTGGAATGACGAAATAATCACATCTTTGCTAATGCAGAAAAAGGCGCTTTATATGAATGCAAAAGGCCGATGTAGGCAGCCGGCACCAGGCAGCAGGCAGCAGGCTCAAGTTCGAGCTGGGACAAAAAGTAGGCGGCTTGCCAAACAATATGCCTGTAATAGTAACTAGGTCGTCACGGGTTCCTTCAAACTGGACATCAGTACGAATCGGAGGGGTGACAGGATAAGCCGATCCTGTGCGATGGTGAAAACTGCAGGATACATAGGTAGATACTCACATGAGGTGCCTTTTGCACATTGTATTCTTGGACTTATTTAGCAAGTTTCGCTGATATTGAAATTGCTTCTGGAAAGCATTTGAAATTCCGTAAAATACAGGCAACTAATAACGAATGTTAGAACCCAGGTAGGTATATTTAGACTGCTTGTTTGACCCTGGGCGTACCCCGCACGGCGCCGCCACTGCTGACCTTTTCGACATTTCCGGCCGTCAGCAACGAAAGCCTTCGGTCTGAATCAATAAACATAAGCAATATTCTAATATAAACGAGAAACAAATAGTCGAGCTGAAAAAAAAAGCTTTGTGGTCTCTGTAGATCCTATTTACCAACTATCACCAGTTCTCTGCGATGCCAAGTTCCGATGGGTGGGGCTGGCAGCCAGGAGAATTCGAAGTGGGCAAGATGCAGGCAATTTGCATCATCATGCGGCGGCTGTTGCCTAAATGCCGGTGCAAACCTGAAAGTAATAACTCGTTTGTTACGTGTAAATTGCATTGCTGGGCGACCTGGATGGGTACGGACGACCACTTAATCCGGCTCCGTCCCCTCGGACATATTGCCAGGCCCTTGTGATACGTCCCCTGCATCGTGCATCTTTCACAGTGCCAAGCACGTTGACATTGGAGCCCGGTATGGAGTAGTTATTAATCACGGCCCAATAGCAGTATCCGCATTTTGCTACGCGATACCCGGTTACTTGCGGCGTCAACCTCCGGTCCAGCGCGGACACTATTACGAGAGAGACTGACAAAACGGCGTTCCATCGACGGTGGCTGCCTGACTACCTGTAGTTATTCGCGGAATGACAGCCTGACAAGTCTGTCAAGGTTCTCGGCTTCTCCGACTATCTGCCTGGGGGCTATGTGGCACTCGGGGCATAACGATGTGGTGGCGTTTACCCCAGGCCTGAACGCGCCATTTCGTGCGGATAAGGGGGGGGGGCTGCGATCCTTTTCTACAATAGGAAGCTGAGACAGAAAACGGACAATGGACCAAGAAGGTGCGATAATGGCGTAAGTGGCCCCCGAGGACTTAGCTTCCAGATACCTTTCGATAGCGCCGAGATTCAGAACTCCGGGTGGGTTGCCAATTGCGAGGAACAAAGCTGCGTCGCGAGCTGTGATTGGGGACTTTGGAGTTCCTACACTAGTTAGCTAGGGCGGCGCCAAGATCTATGCTTATTCTTGAACTCGTTAGTGGCCAAAAGGTCCTCCTTTTAGCCTTGCGCACATCGCTCCTCCGTCAATGCCATCATGCCCGATCGGGCAGTTCATTTCGACAACCACCAGTCGCTGCGACCTGACCTACTCTCTCTCTGCTGAGTGGCGCCTTGGCGCACGTCGTGCATTGTCGTCCAGCTATCGACAGACAATGGCGGATGCAGGAGAGTTTATCGAAGAATATACCTTCCTAGCTGGTCGCTGACCAACGTGCTGCCCTTGCTTGGCGCCAGAGCCAGCTGCTGTCCCGTTCGCCGCTCGGTGCGAGGAGAAGGGTATCATCATGTTCAGCTCTCGTGAAATAGGAAGGTGAGCATGAGCGGGTTTGTGAGAAATGGTGAATGTGAATGTCGTGACAAATGACGAATGATATGTAATGGCGATACTCAGGAGTCTGTGTCGGAGCATAAATACCTCCCAAGAGCCCGACTTTGGAGCATCTATATCACCATTCGATTCACACATCCACTCATCCCCTTACCACCTTCTTCTCAATAAACACCTATCAAAATGGTCGGCTTCAAAAGCTTCGCCGCTCTCTTCCTCGCGGCCCTTGGCACCGCTGCCCCTGCTCCTTCTGGCGGCAAGTACATTGTCACGCTCAAGGACGGTGCCACTGCCAGCAAGGTTGAGTCTCACTTGCAGTGGGTAAACGATGTCCACGCTCGCAGCGTCGGTCGTCGCGATCTCAACCTCAACGGTGTCGAAAAGACCTACGGCATTGGTAGCTTCAACGGCTACGCTGGCAACTTTGACGCTGCCACCATTGAGGAGATCAAGAACAGCCCCGAGGTATGTCAGCAGAAGAAACCTTTCCGATTGCGATAAAAGCTAACCCTCTACAGGTTGCGGCCGTCGAGCTTGACCAGAAGTGGACTCTGTATGCCCTGACCACGCAGTCCAACGTCCCCCACGGACTGGCCACCATCTCGCACCGTCAGTCCGGTGCCAGCAACTACATCTACGACAGCACCGCAGGCCAGGGCGCCTACGCCTACGTCGTCGACTCAGGTGTCAACATTGGACACGTCGAGTTCGAGGGCCGTGCTACCCGCGGCTACAACGCGGCCGGCGGCGAGGACGTCGACACCCTCGGCCACGGCACTCACGTCTCTGGCACCATTGCTTCCAAGAGCTACGGCGTGGCCAAGAAGGCCAGCATCGTCTCCGTCAAGGTTTTCAGCGGCCGCACCGCCGACACCTCCGTCATCCTCGATGGCTACAACTGGGCCGTCAACGACATCGTCGCCAAGCGCCGCCAGACTCGCTCCGTCATTAACCTGTCCCTCGGTGGTCCCGCCTCGACCGCTTTCGACAGCGCAGTTGCCAGTGCCTACAACCAGGGTGTTCTGACCGTCGTCGCCGCCGGCAACGAGAACCAGGACAGCAGAAACGTCTCCCCCGCCCGCGCCCCCCAGGCCATCACCGTCGCCGCTGTCGGCGCCACCTGGGCTCGCTGGGTCTGGAACGCGCAGCAGGGCTCCAACTACGGCACTCCCGTCGACATCTACGCTCCCGGTGAGGATGTTCTGTCCACCTGGATTGGCTCGACCACTGCCACCAACACCATTACTGGCACCTCCATGGCCTCTCCCCACATTGCTGGTCTGGCCATTTACCTTGCCGTTCTCGAGAACCTCAACACCCCTGCCGCTGTCACCAACCGCATCAAGGCGCTTGGCACCGCGAACAAGGTGACTGGCAACGTTGGCAGCACTGTCAACTTGCTCTCGTACAACGGTAACCAGTAAATACAAGGTTGAAAAGTATGTGGAGATATGTCACTAGCATATGAATGATATATATGAAATCTATGAATCTATTACAATTATCTTGTCCATTGACCATATTTACGTTGCTGTGTGCCACCATACTTCTTTCTTTATATTAGTCCATTACAACGCTTATACCTTCCCATGGGTCTCTCAGTTGACACACCTTTCACACAAATGATATACTGACGACAGGAGGCCAAAACTTACACGAAAGATTGTAGTTTTTATTTGGATTATATAAAGTTGTAAAAATCACTTCCCTTTTCCTTTATTACCAGGTTCGCTCACGCTGTCTGTTTTGTAGACAAGTGGTTGTCATTGTAGCCCCACTTTTAATCGCTTAAGAGACGTAGCTTGCTCGAGAAGCCTCGCGTGCACTTTATTAGCAATCATCAAAGGAGTTAGATAGGTGGCAGACTTGATCAACACAGTGCCGCGGCAATATGAGCGCGGCGCTGACGAGTCCGTCGTCGCTTGACACAGGTACGTTGAAAATGCGTTCTATAATCGCACAATTCGGCTGCTGATTGTGTCCTGGCGCCAGTCGACTACGACCCCATAGACCACCTCAACCTGCTCTTTGCGCACCCAGCCTCGGTATCGTCTGTCAACCGCGTCTCGCAGGCGCTCCAGTCTCAGCAGAATGAGCTGGCCGCGGAGATCAGTGCCCTCGAGTCGGCGCAAGCCTACCAACCCGACTCGAGCCTAGAGCGCATGCAGTCGGCCCAGACGGAGCTTGCGCAGCTCTTTCGCAAGATCGAAACCGTACGGTCCCGCGCCATCGAGACAGAAGAAAACATCACATCCATGACGGCCGATATAAAACGACTCGATGGAACAAAGAAGAACCTCACGCTCAGCATGACGGCCTTGAAGCGCCTGCAGATGCTGACAACTGCGTACGAGCAACTACGCGGGCTTGCCAAGACGCGACAGTATCGTGACTGCGCAGGCCTTTTGCAAGCTGTGCTGCAGCTCATGAAGCATTTCAATAGCTACCGCAGCATTGAGCAGATTGCCGCACTAAGCCGCGAAGTCTCGGAGCTCCAGCGCGAACTGTTAGAACAGGTCTGCGAGGACTTTGAAATGGCATTCGCCAAAAGCGAGGTCTCTACCAAACGCAGCATGCTTGTGGAATCATGCTTGGTCATGGATGCCCTCGGAGACTCGGCAAAGTCGAGGCTGGTGACGTGGTATGTCAACACGGAGCTGCGCGAATACCGCCAGGTGTTTCGCGGCAATGACGAAGCTGGCAGCCTCGACAATATCGGTCGCCGCTACGCTTGGTTCAAACGCATGATGAAGACACATGAAGACGAGCATGCGGTCATCTTTCCGACACACTGGCACGTCAACGAGGTTTTGGCAACGGCTTTCTGCGACGGCACGCGGGACGACTTCAAGGGCATCCTGGAACGCAGCATGCGTCGTGCAGACGGAGCAAAGATCGATGTAAATCTACTGTTATCTTGTTTGCAAGAAACACTCGACTTTGAGCAGAGTCTTGAGAGGCGCTTCTCCAATGAGCCACGGGGGAGCATCGATACACTAAGTTCTACCGATGGAAAGATATACGCTTTCAATGGTCTTATTTCAGTTGCATTCGAGCCCTACCTCAGCTTATGGGTAGACTCGCAAGACAAGCAACTGGCTACAATGATACCAAAATACAGAAGCCAACCTTTGATACCGCCAGATGACGAGTTCTCACCACAAGCGGTGATGCAATCTGCCATTGAGCTGTTTCACTTTTACAAGCTCACCCTATCACAATGCGCAAAGTTGTCGACTGCGGAGCGGTTGCTGGATCTATCAAAAATATTGGCAAAATACCTTGATGAATATGCACAGCAAGTCCTGCTACACAAGCTGCAGGCCTCTGGCCAGGCCATACCGGCTATGCAGGACTGCATTTTGGTGCTAAATACAGCCGACTTCTGGCACGCCAATACGAATCAACTGGAGGAAAACATAAAAAAGCGCATAGACTCCGAGCTAGTTGGCAAAGTCGACCTTTCCTCACAGTCGGACGCCTTCCTTGGTGTTGCCAGCGCCTCCGTCCTGGCCCTGGTGCAGATTGTGGAACAGGACTATGAAGGCGTCTGGCGCGAGATGAAGAATACAAACTGGAGCACAATAGATACCGCGGCTGATCAAAGCTCATATGTTGGCGAGCTGGTCAAGCATGTCAATAACAAGACGGCAGAGATTCTGGCCGTGGTTGGTAAACAACAGTACGCCCGGGCCTTTTGTGACAATCTTGTCGAGCGCTTGGCAACAAACTACATCAATAACATCGTGCAATGCCGGCCGATATCAGAGACCGGGGCACAGCAGGTATGCATGAATGGTCTCCAGTTCCTCAATCCTAGACTAACAGTCGCGACAGATGCTTGTAGATAAATATGCACTCACAAAGTCGTTTGGTACGCTGATCCTGCATCACAATCCATCATCGATACCTCAAGCGCCTCCTGCTGGTTTCGTACGGAGAGTAGAACAGTCGATGGGCCGCATAGACCCATTACTCAAGACGCTGCAAATCCGACCGTCTCCGCCCGAAGGACTGGTGCAAGCCTACCTCATCCACATTGGCGACAAGTCGGACACCAATTTCCGCAAGATCCTCGAGCTCAAGGGTGTGCGCAAGCAAGATTATGCGTACCTGACGGAGCTCTTTGCCGTTCACCGCGAGGGCGCCGGCCACGACAAGCTGGTGGCGAGCTCGCCGCTGCTGACCCCGCTCATGACCACGACGTCGTCGAGCCTTACTAGTAGCGCGACGACGGTTGGGGGCACCATCAACGCTGCGGCCGCGCTGACCGGCGCGGCGGCCACGGGGGCGCGGGGCTTCGATGCCGGCGCGCTCGGCGAGAAGCTACTGAGCGCGGCCCGCGATATCGGCACGGCGAGCGCGGCCATGCCGAGCGGCTCGGAAAAGGCCACCATCAACGAGAACCTGCGGAATTTTGGCAAATTTTTTCGGCGGGACATTGGGGGACTGGGCGCCAGGTTCGGAAAACGGGACGGAAGCCTCGGTGCCGAGGGAGAACAGCGATGAGCCCAGAATCAGTGGTACTGCTAGTGCCGGGACGTGATTGGTGTATATTTACGGGTTATTTCATGGCGAATATATAGATGGAAGCGATATATCGGCAGTTGTTGTATTGGCAAATGGAACCATATTCGACTGTCTACGATCTGGGCTGATTGTGTGGGTGCCCGTGGGAGGATATCAGTGATGATAATGCCCGGTCTTAACCCAGTGGAAACCAGGTGTAAATACGTCATCTGAGGACATTCTGAATTGGCCGATGAGAAGCAAGGTGGTATTCTATATTTCTAGAATGGTAGTATTCAACATCGCCTTTGGATGTTGGTAAACGGAGACACAGTGTAGGCATTTCTACGATGGTGGAGAAGATGGCAATAAAAGCATGATTATTTAATCATTTTCCATTGAATATTTCTTTATTATAAGTTGTATTTAGGCAAGAGTTTGATAGTTCTCATGTCCATTTTAACCCATGTCCAGTTAGTGATGATAAGAAGCTTGCTGGCAGAGGAATTAGTCACACCAGCAAACGCCGCTCTGTGAGCAACTGTATTACCATTTAAACTAGCTACAACTCGTAACAGTCATTCGAAATTTCAATTATCTATACGCCATAAATAACACTAGTTTTGCCAACACATCTGCCATAGCATCGCCCGTCTCGTTTTGTCATCCATCCACTTGGGGGCCTCGTCGCTGCCCCACCACCCCTCGCTCAAGCTCGGAGGCACGAGAAGATAATTAGTCAACACTCACGCGCCGCATAATCCACGATTTCACCGCACCGACGAGACCCATAAAGCCCTCCTCTTCCTCTTCCCTTGTTTTCCAGCAGAACGCTTACAACAACCGCCAAACTGTTTGCCTCGGCTTTTCGACGGCCGCTACGCTCCAGCGCCGGTTTTTCTCTTGCCGCATTCGCCAGTGTCACCACCGCGACCAACTACCCTCCCGTCTCGAAGCCAGTCCAATTGGGAACACGAGCCATGCATAGCAAGGTTGTCAGTACGTTTGTGGCAGTCGAGATGGAACAATGCGCGCCGATGACGTCGGAGGCGAGGAATATGGCGCGCAGCTAACATGGTGGCAACCTAGTCATCGGATCGGGCCCGGCTGCCCACACGGCCGCCGTCTACCTGGCCAGAGCAGAGCTGAAGCGTGAGTATATAGCCCATTGCGATGCGCGGTGAATGCGTACTGACATTCATGGTAGCTGTCCTGTATGAAGGCTTCATGGCCAATGGCACCGCCGCTGGCGGCCAGCTCACCACGACGACCGAAGTCGAGAACTTTCCCGGCTTCCCCAAGGGCATCATGGGCCAGGAGCTAATGGTATGCCTTGCCGTGTAGAAACCATACGAAACCAACCACTAATCCACGCTCTTTCCTTGCAGGACAACATGCGCGCGCAGTCTGAGCGCTTCGGCACCGAAATCATCACCGACACCGTCACCACGCTCGACCTGTCCTCGCGGCCCTTCAAGTACAGCACCGAGTTCAGCCCGGAGGAGACGCACACGGCCGACGCCGTCATCATCGCGACGGGCGCCTCGGCGCGCCGCATGGGGCTCCCCGGCGAGGACAAGTACTGGCAAAACGGCATCTCGGCGTGCGCCGTGTGCGACGGCGCCGTGCCCATCTTCCGCAACAAGCCGCTCTTCGTCATTGGCGGCGGCGACTCGGCCGCCGAGGAGGCGACCTTCCTCACAAAGTACGGCAGCCACGTCACGGTGCTCGTGCGCCGCGACCAGCTGCGCGCCAGCAAGACCATGGCCACGCGCCTGCTCGCGCACCCCAAGGTGACGGTCCGCTTCGGGGCGTCGGCGACGGAGATTCGCGGCGGCGAGGACGGCCTCATGTCGCACATTGTCGTCCGCGATAACGCGACGGGCAAGGAGGAGGTGCTCGAGGGCAACGGCCTCTTCTACGCCATCGGCCACGACCCGGCCACCGCCCTCGTCAAGGGCCAGGTCGACATGGACAGCGAGAACTACATCGTCACCAAGCCGGGCACCACGTACACCAGCGTCCCGGGCGTCTTTGCCGCCGGTGACGTGCAGGATAAACGGTACCGCCAGGCCATTACCAGCGCCGGCACCGGCTGCATGGCCGCGCTGGAGGCAGAGCACTACCTCTCTGAACTTGAGGCGGGCCAGTGACTCGATGGCGGCAAGATTAAAGGAAAGAGCATGTTGTGAATAGAGACAAAGAGGCTACATCTGCATGAGATAGATAGAAACTGCCATAAAGTACAAAGAAGAATGCATGCAACTTGATCAGAACTGCCATAAAGTACAAAGAAGAATGCATGCAACTTGATCAGTCATTTTGTCAATCGTGATCCAAGTGATACACCGAGACGACGCTGTGGGCTCGATGCGGCTGGTCAGAGAGACGGGAATCCGCCATGGGGTATATTACTTCGCCGGCGGCCAATTCTGATTCCGGCAGCCGGCCCTAGTCATGCCGAGCGCGGAGTAATACTGCCTATCGTCTTTCATTTATATAACTTGTGGCACTCGAGAACTCGTGGCCTTCACGCAGCAGCTTGAGCTCTAGTGGCCTTGGTGACAGGCTGGCACCAAATTTCAAAGTATTTCTCAGTTCTTCATAGCTTGTATTCAAACTAAATATGATACTTTTTTTTTCGAAATTTCTCTTCACGCGCGCCTATCCAAAACCACTCCATACGCCTCGCTTCGACACTCCAAACCCCAAAACATCAAACAACAGCACCATCTCATTTCTCATCAATATATTTAGGCACGGTACTTGTTGTACATGCTGCTCATGCGGGCAGTCTGGCCTGGGGTGAAGACGCTGCGGCAAGTGCCGTAGCTCATGAAGTTTGTGACGGGGTCCTTGCCGGGCATGTCGGGGCAGGAATCATCGTTCGTGTTGCAGCTCCAGCTGTTGATCAGGGCAGGGGTGTCGGACACCATGTCGTTGACGGGGTCACAGCCGTCCTGGAAGGTGTGGAAGAGGCCGAGCCAGTGTCCGACCTCGTGGGTGGTGGTCTGGCCGTTGTTGTAGACGTCGCTGCGCATGGTGCAGCCGTCGTTGTAGAAGGCGGTCGAGCCCGGGGCGGCAGTCGTCGGGTAGTAGCAGCGGCCGTTGGGCGCCATCTTGGGCAGGAAGTACAGGTTCAGGGTGCGGTAGTCGCCCGTGCGGAGCTTCTTCTTCATGCCCAACGCGTCCTGGTCGCTGGCCCAGTTGGCGTTGATGGTGTGGTCGACGCCCTTGACGGTGAACTGGAAGCCGAGGCCCTGGTAGTCATTGTTCATCCCACTGACGGTGGCACGAACATCTGCTTCCTAGCTCAGGGGTCAGCAGGGGGGAGGAGGCCCCGGGGGGGTTGGGTAGATTCTGTCGTCTTACAGAAAGGTAGCCATCCGCCTTGGACTGGGAAGAGGCAACGACGTGGATGTACACGGGCACATTGACCTCGGCGAGCTTGCCGCTGGGCTTGCCGGCCGTGGCCTCCTCTTTGATGGCCATCTCTGCGGCGGCGGCGCGCAGTTCTGCGCTGGGCTCGATGGCCTCGCAGTCTTCGGCCCGCTGAAGAGCAGCACCAAAGGCAGCCGCCACCATGGTGGCAACGACGAGAAGAGAGTGCTTCAAGGCCATTGTTTACAGAGATCAAAAGAGGAAAGTGAATTGGGTAGTGTTCAATGGAGTATTGTAAAGTACTTGTGGCAAGTTCTTGTCGTTTGGTGCCTCAAAACGTATCCCAGCGGTCGTCCTCCGTGTCTTTATATCTTACTGCCAAGACAATCATATTGTTGCCAACGACTGCTCGCTTGTCAGCGGTCAATCATGATTTCTTGATACAGAGCCTAATACGGGAGGAGAACGAGGGAGAGTTCCCAGCAGTAAATTACCGAGGTCGGCCCAAGCACAATCAACTACCATCACCTTCTCGATTTGGGAGGTGAGTATTTATAGCACGGTAGTGATTGCAACTGCACTTGAGGCGCCAGGCGCCATTCAGGCTAGACATCTCTTGGCGGCGGGGTTGCGAACATGACCAGATAGGCTTCCACATAAGCATATCAGCATAGACGGAACCTGAAAAAGGCTGGAATTCGGCGCGTCGACGCAGGGGGTTCAGCAGTAAGCCGGCGGTGATGGACGGGCTTGTTCCTCGCCCTGGTGTATTTGCTGACGGGGCGAGGCCAAGACTGCAGAACCTTCCGCATGTAGTCTAGAAGGCCGAAACGGCTGCAGATCGAATTGGAAGGATTCGCGCACGTTGTCTTCCTTTGCTCAAGTTGCTAGGCCTAGACTTTTCAATCGCGGCGAGTTTCAGGGATGCCGGCTCGGCTAAAAGTCTATCATTTGTGAGAGAATGGGCGATTATGCACGGAATAGGCATCACAGTAACGACGTGGGGAAGTGAATGCCTGTATATACACTCTTGGCATGCCTTGGGGTAAAATTAGGCTCTTTGGGTTTTGTTGTCTAGAAGGAACAAAGAAGGGAAATTCTCCGGAGCACGGCTAGTCAAAAGTAGTTGCCACTTTTGTTTGAACTGAGTCGAGTGTTGCGGAACTTTCGGGGTTAAGTGTCCAACGACCTGCACATTTTCTGCCGTCTTCTATATCACTCGGGTTAATCGTCCGACGGCAATTGAGAATCATCTGCCAAGGAAGGCGAAGCATTCGGTGGCTGTGATCTGCATCGCTTGTGGCTTGCTCCCAGCCTTCGATCGGTGGCTAGTTCTGTCGCGTAGAATGGTTCGCATTGAGCCCTGTTAGTTCTTATCAGATTTTGGTCATGTAACTAGTTACATACCTAGGTAGGTAGTTGACCACTGCGGAGATTGACAACTAGCCTCGAAGATAGAGAACTATCCACGACTCACATGTACAGACTAAGAAATGCCGTTGATGCCTTTTACCGACGTGTTGGCGGGTTTGCTGAATGTATTGTATACAAATTGTCCAGGGTATTGCGGATCAACTCGTGGTTCTTGAAGGTCAAGCGTGTAACAGCTGTGTGCCCTTTAACAGGAAATTGGTGACGACTAGTTCAACAAGAGTCAGACGGCCGACTACTTGATGAATCTTGATGAGCATAACTGCCGGGTATGAAAGTCCCTACTGACACTGCCGGGTATGAAAGTCCCTACTGACGATGAGGGTAGATTGTGCCTTGTGGTAAGTGCTTGCATGCTAGAAACGTCTTGAACTCAAACGAGGTGGTGATGATAGAGGATCAAAACATCAGAAGGAATGTTTACTACGCATATACAAATTAGACTGGTCCGCTATACTTGATGCAGTTGGTCAATATACAGGAATACATTGTTGATGGAATTGATAGTCACTGGAGATGACGAGAAGCAAGAGAGAGGAGAAAGTGAATGCGTTTGGCACATTAGAGGGACCAGGAGATAGAGTTACCGCTCTCCTGACAATTTGACTATCGCGATGTGTTTAAATCGAACTTGAAGGAGTCTGCGTATTTTACTCGATTTATAAACTATTATTCTATATCTTACTCTCTTCGAGAAAATGATAGTAACTATGTACCAACATCACTGGGGCTGGTTACAGTGAGCAACATACACATGTCCAGCGGGCTTTAGCGTACTGTGGCGCCAATCTACCTCGGTACATAGGTAGGTATCTACCTAGTAGGGCTGGCTGCTCTCTAAAGAATTATGACGGGCACTCAAAAATACGCAGAAATACCAGCAATTTCGTCTACCTAACTAGTGGATTTATTGACTCGTTTTTATTATACACGTAATTACTACTCGTTGTGCAGGCCCAGCAGGCCGACTCACATGCAAGCGACAGAGCTGTGAGGCCGGTTCATGGCAATACTGCACACATGCTATAACTGCCTACCTAGGTAGGTACGTCCGTACAGTCACAGACATTTCCCGCCTTGCATTGCCGGATCATAACCTGATTGCGATGGAACTGCCCTCGTGCAGAACTGTGTAGCAACGGTCAGGAACTGCTGCGTGACCCTCGATTTATTGCTGAGGCATCCATATGCGGACCCCACCAAAAAAAAAGCAGGTCCCTGCCTGCCCCTCATGCGCGACGCCATAGAAAAAAAATTTCCCACCACCGGTCCTCGACCGACTTTTTCTTCCTTTTCTCTCGGGAAGAAGCGCCGTAGCAATACAAACAAGTCGAACTGAACGCGTCTCGTTTCCATTGTCTCTCCGTCTTCAACCTCGCCACTTGTCTGTTCCTCTCTGCAATTGCTCTTCACTCCCTTTTCTTTGCCGACAGAATATACACACAATGGCTCAAATCAACGGATTCAAGATCCTTGATCACAAGAGCGCCCTCGAGGTGCTCAACGAGTACAAGACCCTCGATGGCCTCGATCTCCACGAGCTCATGGATACGGCCAAGCACGGTGGTCTGACTTACAATGACTTCCTCGTCCTCCCTGGCTACATTGGCTTCCCTGCCTCGGCCGTCACGCTCGACTCTCCCGTCACCAAGCGCATCACTCTCAAGACCCCCTTCGTCTCGTCCCCCATGGACACCGTCACCGAGCACGAGATGGCCATCCACATGGCTCTTCAGGGTGGTCTTGGTGTTATTCACCACAACTGCTCGCCCGAAGAGCAGGTCGACATGGTCCGCAAGGTGAAGCGCTACGAAAATGGCTTCATCCTCGACCCCGTCGTCATCACTCGCTCCACCACTGTGGGCGAGGCCAAGGCTCTCAAGGAGAAATGGAGCTTTGGTGGCTTTCCCGTCACCGGTACGTTTCTTTGTCACCTCATCGACACTCAATTCAACTTCACATGATTCCAAACCTTTTTTACTTTTAACTTTCGTTCCACCGCATAGACTTCTGTCATGGGGACCACCTTTACTATGACCCTGAATTTCATCCCCACACTAGCAATGCCTACGCATGAGCCTGCTCACAAGCTAACATGTCGCAACAGAGGACGGAAAGCTCGGCTCCAAGCTTCTCGGCATCGTCACCAACCGTGACCTCCAATTCGAGGAAGATAACGACGCCTCCGTTGCCGACGTCATGGTTACGGACCTTGTCACTGCTCCGGACGGCGTCACCCTTGCCGAGGCCAACAAGATTCTCGCCAAGTCCAAGAAGGGCAAGCTCCCCATTGTTGACAAGGCTCAAAACCTCGTCTCCATGATCTCTCGCTCCGACTTGACGAAGAACCAGCACTTCCCCCTGGCCTCCAAGCTCCCTGACAGCAAGCAGCTTCTCTGCGCCGCTGCTATTGGCACCCGTCCCGAGGACAAGACTCGCCTCAAGAAGCTCGTCGACGCTGGCCTGGACATTGTTATCCTAGACAGCTCCCAGGGTAACAGCATGTACCAGATCGACATGGTCAAGTGGTGCAAGAATGAGTTCCCCGGTCTCGACGTCATTGGTGGCAATGTCGTCACCCGTGAGCAGGCTGCTGCTCTCATCCACGCTGGAGTCGACGGTCTCCGTATTGGTATGGGCAGTGGCTCTGCCTGCATCACCCAAGAGGTCATGGCTGTCGGCCGTCCCCAGGCTGCTGCCGTGTACGCCGTCAGCGCCTTTGCTGCCCGCTTTGGCGTTCCTTGCATTGCCGATGGCGGTGTTCAGAACGTCGGTCACATCGTCAAGGGTCTGGCTCTCGGCGCTTCCACCGTCATGATGGGTGGTCTCCTCGCCGGTACCACCGAGTCGCCTGGTACCTCCTTCGTTTCCCGAGAGGGCAAGCTGGTCAAGGCCTATCGTGGCATGGGCTCCATTGATGCTATGCAGGACAAGAAGGCTGGAAGCGGTGGCAAGGACAGCCAGAAGAGCAACGCCGGTACCGCTCGTTACTTTTCCGAGGGTGACAGTGTTCTTGTTGCTCAGGGTGTCTCTGGTTCTGTCGCACACCGAGGGTATGTTGTCTCATTGCTCCTCGCCGAAATTTCGCTAACAAGTTGCGTAGATCCATCAGCAAGTTCATTCCTTACCTCGCTGCTGGTCTCAAGCACTCGATGCAGGATTGTGGTATGCGCAGCCTGGAGGAGCTTCACACCTGTGCTAGCAACAGCACTCTGCGCTTTGAGATCCGCACTGCCAGTGCTCAGCTCGAGGGCAACGTCAACATGGAGTCCTATGAGAAGAAACTCTATGCTTGATTGGAATAAAATCTAATTGGGACGACGGATGACTGAATGGAAGAAGAATAACGATTTCAGTTTTTGCTTTTATCGGAGTCAACTTGGGTATTTGAAAAAGAAATGGGTACAACTAGACATGTAAAGAGTTTTTTTTCTTCTCGAACGCGCTTCACAGCCCGAATATTCCCCCGTACTTGCCAGCGAATAGTACATGCATAGTTATTTACATTGAAATGAATTTACGCCGTTATGCTGCCATGCCGAAGTGCTGCCCCTCTGCTGGTGGAAGTTTACATGAAGATCCGCTGCCCCTCTCAAGACGGGCCCTTGTCTAGTGATGCGTCGTTTTTATCGTTTTCTTCGTCTTTTTTTTGCTCGCGTCCGATACCGCCGTGTTTTTTTGCTCTCTTATGCTGGTGCCCCTCGTCCGCCAGCGCCGCATCCTCCTGCTCCTCCACCCCATCCCCACGCCGCGTCGCCGTCGTCGTGGGCCGGCTCAGGATCACATAGTCGGGCTCGAGAAGCCTGTCCCGAAGCCGGCGCGGGCGCGGCGAGCTCGCATCAACCCGAAACCCCAGCCGCTCGTAGAAGCGGCGCGCGTGCGCATTGGACACGAAGCACGTCAGCATCGTCTTGTCCAGCCCGCCGCCAATGCGGTCCGCCGCCGCCGTGACGTGGCCCATGAGCAGCCCGCCCAAGCCTGTCCTGCGCATAGCGTTGTCTCGTTAGTACAAAGAAGACGCAGGTTGTAGTTCCTCCCCCCCAATATCCTGAGTGGCACCGGGGAGAAGAAGAAGACGAGACGACCTCGAAGCCAGTCCAATTGGGAACACGAGCCATGCACCACCCAACGTACCTCTCCAGCTCGGGCTGCAGGTGAATCTCGTAGCAGTACACGACGGCAAACTCGTCCTCCCACGTCGGCATAAACGACGCAAAGGCGCGAATCTCACCGCTGCTGGCCGCGTGCCGCCGCCGGACGAGGACGTACCGCAGGCCCGGCGAGCGCATCTCGGCCCGCTTCGCCAGCGGGTGCCAGCCGGCGGCCGCCCGGCGGTAATCGGCGGCGCTCGTGCGCTCAACCAGCGCAAAGCACGCCGCCAGCTCCGCCTCGGCCATGTCCTGCGGCGACCGCAGGCTGAGCGCGTAGTCCTGCCGCGTCGCGGGGTGCGTCCACCGCGGCCACGATGCCTCACTTTGGGCGTGTGCTCATGTTAGCTAAACAAGAAGAGAGGGAGGGCTCGTTTGGGGGGGCGGGGGAGACGTTACTCGGGTTTTAGGTATTCCGAGACAAAGGCTTCGTTGGAGAGGGCGTTGGCGGCGCCGAGGGCCGCTTCGACGGCTCGCACTTGCTCGCGCCGCAAGACGCGTCGTTGGCTGTCCTGGGACACGCCCATGACGAGAGGGGGGAGTAAGGATGAGTTGAGAGGTGTTACTTGGCTGCCTGCCGTTGGAGCAATATGAGACCAGCATCGGGCACCAAAAAAAAAGTAAAAGCGTGTTAGTTGTTGTCAAGGCGAGATTGCTAAGCTGTCAGTTCTTTGACTTATTCCCGAGGCTCCACCATCTCATGTGTGTGTTCTCGACGATTCGCATTTTCTTACTATTTCCAAGTTTCACCTCTCATCCCAGTGACTTGCGAAAGCGCACTCCTTTCTTCTTTTCTTGCAAATTTATCCTGCGTATAGATAAATATTGCAAGACTGTATTCATGGTCTCCTGTCTGCGCCTCGTGCGCCAATGCCGTGGTTTCGCCACGCAGCGTCCCTCCTCCAAGCGCATCGGCGGCGCACTCAGTCTCGATCACGTATGTCTCCTCCAAAAACCAAAAAGTGCTTTTCCGTCTTTGTATTTATTTCTGACTCTGCCGGAATAACTACAGTTCCTGCAGCGATCCAAAGTCATTTCATTTTACCGCACCATCCTCCGCGGGTGTCGCGGCATCAACAATGCGCAGACGCGGCGGGAGACGCAAAAGTTTGTCCGGGATGAGCTAGAGCGCCATCGCCATGTCACTGATTTAGTAAGAGTCTTTTTTTTTTTTCCTCGCTTCTCTGATTGTCGTGACAAACTTGAAGACTGACCATCCGACTAGCAACATGTACGATATCTACTGTCTACGGGAAAGACGGAATGGGATGCCATGGAGCGGTATATAGGGGGTATGTAATTGAGAATGGGTGCGCGCGCCCGGATAAATTGTAAAAATACATTGAGCATCATGACCATTGCTCAGCTATCTGGTCACATTTCTTGCCCACTGCTGCTTTCTGTTGCTTCGCTTCTTTTGTACATGGTTCGTTCCAAGAAAGCGCCGATAATCGTACAAGTGTTTTTTTCCTTTGTTCTGGCCGATCCTCCACGGCATATAGCCAATCGCATCTATTGATCTCTATTTTCCGTCTTTTTGTTTCGCCTTTTTTTTTCATCGTAGCGACAAGGTACAATCAACCCTGTCGTTGCTTGTGTCGCGGGTTCGCCTTGCAGATAATGTACAAGTAGCCGTTGTGTCTCTTGCCGGCCTTGCGTCGGACAACCTGCGCACACACACTCTCGTCAGCAAACCCCTCCCCTCCTCAAAACAAAAAGCTGTACGGCGCCATGGATAGTTACCTTGCAGTGCTCGCAGCGTTTCTTGACGGAGCTGTGCACCTTCATGCCGCGCACCTGCGTCGTGGTGGTGACGACGGCCAAGGCCCGCGAAAACGGTGACAAGGCGCCGGCGACCCTGCCGCCGGCCAGGAAGGACGCGGGTGCGGCGAAGAGGGCGCGTGATGAAAACGCGCTCGCCGATAGCGTCAATGTTCGGAAAAGGGACGCCATGGCGGCTTTTTCTTGTGCTTGCGGTGCTTTTCTTTCTGGTCCTTGCTCGGTCACCATGCTTGCTGGTAAAAGTTGCGTGGGACGATGCCAGTGGTGCACGTGACCTGGACTGCCTAAATAGGACAAATAGGACAGCCCAAGGCGCTGGTGTACTTTTTATTTAGTTTTACTTTTTATTTATGAACGTTAATGACTACAGGAAGGCCAGGGTGATCAGCCCTCAATTATTAGCGATCATGGGATAGATATTGGATTGAAACTGCAATTCTATTTCTCTGAAACTACTCTGCCGAATTTTCCTTGCTCACTCCGCTCGTCATTCACTTCAATCACAGCAACTGGTGCTATCATTCCCTATTCTGCCACCAACCCAGCGACCCAAAGTTCAAGCTTCAACTTTAATAAAGCAATAGAAACATGTCTCCAATCAAGTCCAAGGTGGCCAACTTGCAAGTAGCCCCCCTAATAACCCCCAAACCCACCATTCCCACCATTACCACCCTTTTGCCTCCAGAGCCAGATGAAAATGAACTGCTGTGGTGTGGTTGAAGCTCTGAAGCTCTCGAGCATGACGTTCCCTATGCCAGACTTCACCGTACGAGTCTCTTGGTAGGCTCGCATTTTTCCCCTTGCCCATGTGCGCTGATTCGGCGTGGACTCGGCGCCTGGCGCGGGCGAAAAGGTCTGCCCAGTTACAGTGGTTAAACAGGTCTGCCCAGCGACGATCAAAGGCTGCATCCTTGACCAAGGCCTGCAACGAGGGTAGACTCTGCAATGAATCTGCTGGACGCTTGTTGTTGCGCGCGGCCCGGCGGACGTAAGGCTTGGCTGTCAGCTCCCCCGCTGCGTTGACATAGAGAGGCGACGGCTCGTTCTGAGACGTCGCCGTCTCTCGGAGCCACATCAGACCGCCTTCCGCATCTTCCTGGCCGCCGCTTGGGGCGTCCTTGTTGAAGTCCATACCATTCCACTCGGGCATAAGCTGAGCCAGCATACCTACCTTCCAGTCACGCATGTCGTGTGGCTGCTGGTCAAGTAAATCTTGCAGGCTACAGCCTGCGCATACCCTGCGATACGGGTCGAGTCCACGGTCTCCGGCGGGGAAAAATTCGTACAACATTTCGTAGCCACAGGAGCTGCAAAAAAGCAGATAGGTGCCCATTTCCTGCTGATACCACGACTCGTTCTCAAGGTTCCGTTCGAGGCCGAGCCGTATAGGCTTGGTCAGGTCGAAAAGAGCATGACGCTTCTTCACCAGAGATGCCTCTCTCTCCAAGTATCGCCGGAGGCCGTCGAAAAAGGTAGGGATGCTCAGGGGAGGGTTAGGTAGCCGCAACAGAAACGCCCTCAGCGCGTTGCCCGGCTTAAAGAGCATGTCAAGTTTCATGTGTCGCGCTTTCAGGAAGCCTTTCAGTAAAATTGCGTAGAGGCCCCTTTGAACAATATCTCGATCTAGCGAGTCTGCTGTCAGGCCATAGGTCGACCGTTGACCCGCTGATGTAGCCAAGCCTCGGTGGAAGCTTGGGTAGAAGTCAAATGCTGTAATAAGTGGCACATTCCCCATCCTCCTCTCATTGTTGATCTCACTGATTAAGTCGAGAATGGGAATCAAGTCCCCAAAATGAATAAGGGGGCAGTTATAGACCCCCAGCATCGTGACATGTGGACTGGCCCGCAGCACAATCGCGAGTATGCGTCGGTCAAAGAATGGAGTGTTATGAAAGTGAAGAACTCGCGTCTTCTTTCGATGGTTAAACAGTTCCACAACTGCGATTTCTGGTTAGCTTTCCGAGTAGGTATGTCCTCGACGGCACAACAGTAAACGAGGGCAGCAAATAACAAGAATAACAAAACAACAGATGGATTAAGATACATAAAGGGGAACCAGACACATCGGAGAGAGAAAAGTAATAAGAGTGCGAAAAGTAATAGAAGTGACTTACGTAAAAGCTGCAGGCGAGTTGCAGAATAGATCATTTGCGGCTCAAAAATTTGCTGGGACGGAAGTGATGTAAATTGATTTGCCTTGAAGATCTTTTTTGGATCCTTGATGGTACGGATCGCCTCCAAGATGCGCGGTTCGAGGATGCGCTCGAGGAATTGCGGCGGCGCTGGCAGCCCGTCCATTCTCATCCGTACCATGTAGAGCGTGGCAATCACGTCCTCTTCCCTTGTATGGGCGGCATTGTGCCAGTCCGTGAAGGGAGTGGCGAGGCTAAGCACGGACGCAGACCCGAAGCCGTACGGATCCGTGAGCCGCGTGGCCATCATCTCCCCCAGGGTGAACTCGGGCGCCGTGGTGACGAAGACGCCCGAGGGCCCCAGGTTTTGCAGACGGCCGGCGAAGAAGTCGAAGTAATCCACGCTGGCCCCGAGTATGGTCCACATCCTTTTGGAGGTGAGAGCCAGCCTCAAGGCCGACCCCCCCGAGGCGAAGATATGCTCAATGATGAGCGGCCCGACAGATTGCGCCGTGATGAGGCTCTCAAATGTGATGACGGCCTTGGATTCCTCCACCGGCTGCATCTCCGGCGGCTCCTCCCGTAGGAGAAGAAACGCTCTCGTCATACGCCGCTGCCGACAAGGCTCATTCGCTGCCGCCTCCTCCTCCCTCCGAAGCATCTGGATCCAAGAGGCTATTGCCTCCTCCCGGATCCCCGGTTCAAACTGCTGCCTTGATTCTGTCATTCCGTACCGGTCCCTTTCCGGGGCCGCCGCAGGCGGTGTTTTTCTTCTCCGCGCCATCGTGGAGAAGCTGGTTGTGGAAGAGGGTGGATGGGAGAAGAATGGGAGGGAAGTGCAGCGGTAAGATGTGTGTGGCTGCGCGGCTGCGTAGTTGAAATCCGTGCACGCGTGCGAGGAAAAAAGTAAAAGATAAGAAAGATAGCTGTGAGAAGTATAATAAATTAGATAGCTATGAAAAAGTAAAATAAATTAGGTAGCTGTGATAAGTATAATCAATTAGATAGCTGTGATAAGTATAATAAATTAGATAGCTCTAATAAGTATGATAAATTAGATAGCTCCGAAAAATAAACTCGGAAAGATGGAGTAGAAAATAAAGGGTTTATGTCATCGGAAAGATTTCTTTTTTAAAACATGACCTTTACTAGATAAATTATAAGACGACTTGGTTCATCACAGACGTCTGGTACCAAAAATATAGCCAATTCTTATACTGGAGAACGACGAAACGGAGCTATTTATGCAAGAACATCAGGCACCAGCCAATCTCGGGTACCTGGAGTGATGACTCACAGACCGTGAGTCACAGTCAAGAATCATGGAAGCGAGAACAATTTTTTTTTCTTTGTCTGGAAATGCAGACATGAGCCAAGTGGCTGCCTGCTTCAACCGGTGCACTTCAAGCCCAGCTCGAGGACCAATACAGAGAAGAGGCATTGCACGTACGCAACATACAGAGCTACATTAACTACATTAACTACATTAACATGGTCCACGGAATCGGCAGTAAATCTTGGCAATGAAATCTGGCTCTTGGTGAATGTTCCGACCCGTCGTTTCATCCCAGCAGTCGGTCATGCACTGAGCGGACTCGCTGTTTGTTCCCACGGCTGAGCGTCATGCTCTCCTTTCATGACTGGTACGATAGTACGGCTTCCGATTCCGCGCTTTCAGTAAATCCTTGTTAAGCATTGTCATATCAGGGAGCAGGAATTGAAAAGAAGTCGCCCAGCCAAAAGCTTTGGACGTCTCGAATGGATACCGTACTCGGGCGCTACCAGATAGGTAAAAGAGGGGTCGCAATAACCACATGTAGCTTCCAATGATCTGCATCGAGTCTTTCCCCACTGCACTCGAGCGGCAGGTCAATGATACGTGTGTCCAGGCGGCTTGCCAAACGGCCAACTTGACCAAAGTACACGGAATCCCCCGAACGTCGTCGTTGTGCCGCGACAAGGCGCCATAACTAGAAGGCCTTGCATGGCCAGCCCTGACTCTGGTAAAGAGAGACTGCCAGCCTTGAAAGTGATTCAGCCGCACCGTGGATAACTAGTAGCATTTGTCATCGGTCAACTGAGGTTTGCCTCGGGTTCTCTTGTACGCACCTTGCGCGCCTTCCGTCAGACTGCATACCGCCGTCCGCCCACAGAGACGATGGCGAGCAAATCAGAGCTCGTGGTTGATGGTACGAACATCAATTGCTTCATTCATGCCTGGTACCGTGACCACTTGTGACTAGCTTGGCATGCTGCGTGGCGCCTGTCCCCCACTGGCTCGACACCGTGCACAGCAGCTGGCAAGTTGATCGACTTTGCTGGTCGTGGCGACTGGAGACGTGCCCAGTAAATGGCGAAGCTCCGGCTGAGCGTGGCGAGATTGGACCTGTTGATTGTTTGGTTGGGCCGGGCGTAGTTGGACAATATATCTGCGGCATCATGTTGGAGCGAGCTCGCCATGTCGCCATGAAGGTCTTTGACTTTGATTATTACCATGCCGCATTTCTGTCAGTCATCGCATCAGCCCTGCATTGCATCGCCTCATTTTCAGAGCACCTTTGCTCCAGTCAGCCCCGCTCACAGGGCCAGGCGGCGGACTGATATGGAGGTTTGTAGTGGCAGTGATGATAGTTGGCGTTGTGGCGTTTGCATTTGCATGTGCCAGTTGTGAAGCTGCAAGAGGAGTGGCGTGTTATTGGCTGTGCTCGCCCTGCCGTTGCGGACCCCAACACCACACCACCGCCTGCCGGGCGGGGCACCTTGATCAGGATCAATAATGTGTTGTACATAAGTTATTCGTTAGGCTTGCTGTAATTTGTATCCGTGGTGAAAGGGACACACAATGGGCAAGGCTGCAGAGTTGAGAGCTTGCTGTGAAACGCTGTAACCAAGAGCATTCCCGACCCCGACTCCAGATGGTTTTGGGCGGGATACCCCTAACTACCGAGTACTCTGTAGGATGTTGTCGCTCCAGATCGGAAGCACCAGTCATGTGCGGTTCACGTTTCAAGATTTTCTTAACTAGAAAGGAATCGCATAGTCCTCTGGTCATCTGGCCTTGTGCCGGTCCGCGGCCCAAGATGCCCTCTTTTCCTCCTTTTCTCTGTCAGTGGGTAAAAAGCTCCTCGATCCACTTATTTCAAGATCAATGGGGCTCAAAATTGATGTGGATATACCGGTATTGGAATACTCTGCCTTCCAACTATAACTAGTACCGTGTTTGTAAATTTCCGAGATTTTGCGTATGTTTCTGCTATCATGGGAAGCTGTGCCCTTCTCTTGTATCCTGTCAGCCAGTCGTCTCGATTGTAGTCAACACTGCGCGATGGACCACAGTTACGCATGCAACTGTTGCGCCTCGCAAACCCGTTCAGGACCTGGAGTGCTTGTCCAGATGGGGACAGGCAAGCAAATTGCAAGATTTCAGCGATAAATCGGACCAAATCTGGGTATTGGTTGTCACGCTACCAAATTGGAGCGGGCCGTCATGTACGAATAGTTTAGCGCCAGCGCCAGAGCCTAGTTATCAACTAATGTTGCCTCATTTCCTCGGGGCCATAATTTCCAGTCAGCCTCTGGCAATCTATACCAAGACAGTGAGAAGAAGCGTACATCGTATGTACCAGTATAATCCCACAGGGACAAGCAGGTGCCTGCCAGAAAAGGGGCATTACTGGGCATCGCCGCATCGCCGCATCGCATACTGCAGCATGGAGATTGACAGATTATGTACGGTACAAATTCTGTATCTCCGTATTGTACTGAGCATTTGCACAAAGCCAGGAAATAAATCGTGTAAAACTAGTTATTTCTGCGCGGCCAGAATAACTAGGAGCAAACCCTGCCAACGTGGCGCGTAGGCGTCCCATACTCGAGAAGATGCCGACATCAACAAGGCTTGTTTCGTCGTATTCGACGAGTACCGCGGTTCGTCTGAGTTCCGTCCAGTCCACCCAGGTTGCTGCAGAGGTGTAACTACTGAAGTCGCTGAAGTCGGAGTATTCAATCAAAACAAGTACGTTGGTGAAATATCTACTTCTACTCCATACTAACTGGGCATATTACCCGAGGTATTACGAGCACAATTCAATTGCCAAGCCATATCGATTCTCAAGGATTGATTGTGCAGCGTAGTATGTCTCTATAGTAAGACAAATGTTGACGGCATTACTGCCCCTGTACCTGTACGGGCTGACGGATAGTTATTGTCTGGAGTCTATTATTATATCCTTGGTGGTTGGATATGTTTTGTCAATATCGGTCAGAGAAAGTCATGGGGATGATCCCTGGTAGGAGCCCCAGCAGTTCCTCGTGTGGACAATTTTCGTCTGTCGAGTTATCGGTGAGCAAGTTGCATCCGCATGTGTATGTATGAGATGTGCCCCGCCGATGATGGGGAGTGAGGGCCATGTCGCAATACGGGCACGGTATCAGTGCATCTGTTGACGGACGGGTGAGTATGGCGGTGGCTTGCTGGCACCATGTGCATCGGATCGAGACGGATGAGCTTCGAGTCGCAAGTGCTTGTCTCTGTCAGCCAGAGCGCAGGGAAAGGTGGGATATCAAGACTCAAGAGCCGCAAAAGTGGTGATGTATAGTCAGTATCCGTATCGAGTACCAGTACCGGTATGATGATCAACGAGGGTGATTTCCAACTCCTCACTGGTTCATGGCTTGGTTATTGGCCAATTTTGAGTTGGCTGAATGAAAGCTTTCGCTGGAGCGAGCGTTGAGCGGGTCAGTAAAATAGGCACGACCCACTCGCTTAAGCTTGCATGGGCGCAAGGGCCTTGGACTGAACCCTGGCAGGCGGGTGAAAGAAATTGCATGCTGCAGCGCTTTGCTATTCGGAAGACAGGATGAAAGAAAAAAAAGAAGAAGGGAATTTCATGTGTAGAGTGAGAAGGGGAAGGGAGGTAATAAATTCAATGATAACTAGTTAATTTGTAGTACAGACTGGCGCTTGATCTTGTCACCCTGGTACACGGCAACAGAGGCCTGTCTCAGTGGATTGATTGGTGGATTGGTGGATCGGGCTTCTCTTTCTTTTTTTCTTTTTTTTCTGGCCAGCCACTGCAGCCTGTGCTACGAATATGTAGGTAACTATCATGCTTGGCATCGCGCGGGTTACTACCTAGTTAGGATCAACTAAAAGAGCCGCGGGCGGGTGTTTTGTGAAAAATTTGAATGGTTCGTGAAGGATGGAATGCAGCCACGAGGAGAGCAGTGGTGTGGTGCAAACGGCATAACTAACTGCGAATTACCTAACTCCTCCTGCAATTATTACCTGTTAATAACATGACACGGTTCTCTGTTTGCTGGCAGCGGGTTGGCGGGCCGGTAGTGGTGGCATCGGTGGGCGGCCACATCACCGATGCAGGTACCTGAAGATTGTGCAGATAACAGTTGGGTAGTTGGGACTGGTAAATCGGTGCATTTGTGCTAGCAAACAGAAACAAAATGGAAATGAATTATGAAGCGACTCTTCATGCGTACTTGATCAGGTAGCTAGAGTGTGTACCGATGACCTCCAATCATGGCCTCCGTGTGGTGCATCAAATATGTAGGTGGCTGCTTGGCCACCATGGTCACATTGCCATTGGCAAGCCGCAAGTTGTCCACTCACACATGAATCAAGCACTCCTGCATTAGTACTTGTGTATTTGCATGTATAATTTATGTAGGTACCTACTCGGTACCGATAGCAACAGCATGACACCATTTCCTCGTTTTTCGATTTTTCTTCTCAGCGGCGGCACAGCAGATAACCAGCTTTGGGGGTCATTCCCGAGGCCCTCGTCCCTCGTCTGGACTCCTCTGGTGCCACCCCCTGTTGGCGAAAAATGAACCCTAATCACATTGGCCCCGTCTGTTCCTGGTAGAGTTTTTCACCCAGTGTCGCACAGAGCCAGAGAAATGTGGTGATGGGAGCTCTCCCCTTTCTTACTGGCACTCTGTTGGGTACTGCTACCTGGGCCGGTACCTACTTGGACCCCTGTCGTGGTTAGCACATCGGGGAGGTTAGTCCTCTGTACCTAGAACAGGGACCAGAGGGTCCTCACCAGGTACCTTACCTGTACAGGTAACCTCCTAACCTCCCTCCCTAGCTTCAACCCAGCATCCCACCCAGCCCCCGTTGCCCGCCAACGCCAACGATAGGGAACCCACCAGGGCCACCACCCGCTTGCCTGCCCTGCCAACTGCCACTGCTCATGGCTCATGTCAAGTCCCTACCTCCCCGAATTACCAGGTACTTTCAGCCATTTCCATTTTAGCCTGCACCTGTAACTTGACGCCGCGCCTCCTGGTCTCCTGCCCGCCCGTCCCCCTCCTCCTCCAATTTGCCTGCATTGTTGCCCTGCCCTGCCTGGTTCGCCCACCCTTTGCCAATCCAAATAAGTACCCCCCTTCATCCCCCCTTCGCCTCGTGCTCCCTTCCTTCTTCCTCTCTCACACACCATCCTCTCATCATCTTCGTGGACGCCTTTTTCTAGTTCCCGGTTTTTCTTTTATACCATCCGTCTTTCTTTGTTGTTGTGATACCCACTTAAGATACCCAATACTCTACTTTTAATCCAGAAAAATGGCCGACATCCAGAAGCCCATCGAGGTCCCTGCCGCCGCTGTTGAGCAGGCTCCCAACGCCGTCCCTGAAACGGCTCCCGTTCTCGACGTTCCTGCTGCCACCGACGCTGCTGCGCCCCTCGCCGACGAGGCCAAGCCCGAGGAGCCTGTTGCTGCTGAGGAGACCAAGGAGGAGGTCAAGCCCGTCGAGGAGGGCCACCTTGGCTACAAGGCCCATGGCCTGAGCTTCCCCAAGTAAGTGGCTGTTGAATGCGAAACGGTCACCTCAAGGAATCATCCTAACAACTCGAAAAGGAATCTGCTCGGTAGCAAAGAGTTCTTCTTCTTCAACTCCGAGGCCACTGAGGCCAAGGCCCTCGAGGCCTACAAGAAGGCCCAAAAGTCCGCTGAGGGTGCTCTTGACAACATTTCTTGGGCTGCTCACACCGGCAAGGGTCTTCTCTTCTCCGGTGACAAGAAGGCTCCTCACAACGTCATCAACCTGGTGAGTGATCGCAGCAGCCCAGGCATCGCCGACAAACAGCAATGCTAATAGTCTACAGTCTCACGCCTCTGAGCCTGAGGTCGAGGGTAACAAGTTCCACTTCACCGCCAAGGGTAACAAGCACACCTTCAAGGCCGCTAACGCCGCTGAGCGTGACAACTGGGTTGCCCAGATCAAGGCCAAGATCGCTGAGGCCAAGGAGATTGCCGCCTCTGTCACCGAATCGGAGACCTACAAGAACACCCTCGAGTCTCTGAAGCCCGCTCCCAAGGAGGAGGCGAAGGCTGCTGAGCACGCTGACGAGTCTGCCGAGGTCGCCAAGGCTGACGAGGCCCCTAAGGAGGACGGTGAAGCTCCTAAGGAGGAGTCCAAGGTCGAGGAGCCCAAGCGCCGCTCTGCCAGCCGCAAGCGTGCTTCCTTCTTCGGTTTCGGCAAGAAGGACATTCTGCCCAAGGATGAGGTCAAGACTGAGGAAACCCCCGCCGAGGCCGCCGAGGAGACCGCCGCCCCTGCCGAGGTCACCGATGCCACGGCTGAGGCTGCCAACCAGGATGCCGAGGCCACCGAAGAGCCCACCGCCGAGGTTGTGAAGCCCACCGCCAATAAGCGTAACAGCTTCTTTGGTGGTGTCTTCTCCAAGAAGGAGAAGAAGGCTGCTGAGCCCAAGGCTGCTGAGGCCACCGAGGCCGCTGCTGAGGAGACTGAGGGTGCTGCTGAGACTGCCCCTGTCATCCCCCCTGTTGACACTACTACCCCTCTTGCTGAAGAGGTGATCGCCGCTGATCCCGTCGAGGCCGCTGCCCCCGAGACCAAGACCGATGTCAAGGAGAAGCGCAAGTCTTCCCTCCCCTTCTTCGGCAAGCGTGACGCCTCTCCCACTACCGGCGAGGCCAAGACCGGCGCTTTCTCCAAGCTTCGTGCTACTATCAAGGGCAAGGGCGCCGTCAAGGCTGAGGAGGCAAAGGAGGAGGCTGCCAAGGCCCAGGAGACTGCCACCGATGCCAAGGACAAGACCGAGGAGACCGCTGCCGACATCAAGGAGCAGGTCACCAACGCTGTTGAGGGTGAAGGCGAGAAGAAGACCGAGGCGACCCCTGTTGCCCCCGCTGTCACTGCCTCTGCTTAGATGGCAGACCGACGTGGTCTAGCTTGACGCCCGCAAGACGTACCAGCTCTTCGATGATTGTCACGCGAACAAACCCCCAAACATTTAATTCAAAAAAATATACCCACACGCATGAGAAGGGTGAGAATGGAAGGATGGTTCTGCATTTCTTCACAAGATACCAAGATACCCTGTCAAGACTGCTTTCATTGATACCATTTTCCATACTGTTTTGCACCAGGCACTACGGAAGTCTTTTTTTGTTTTGAGAAAACATTGGCCAGTCCAATGACGAAAGAAACACAGCTTAGTTGCGCGCATTTGGTCTGTTTGTTCGATACCCGGAGGAGATTATAGTAATACCTAATTCAACTGCTGTGTTCATTTTTATATATGGAATTCCCTGAGTGACATGTTGAAAGACTAGATGAAATGTTAGCAGGTGCCTTGCCAGCACCGAGCGTAGCTGGAAAGAGGTCATTGTATCCATCCATGCCAGGTTCAAGCCCAAATTGAACACGGATGGATGGATACCTTGGCCCGAGACAACCGTGACTTCATCTATTTCTGACTCGACATGCATGAATGTTGACAATGCACGAGCATGATTAATAACAAAGCGTCCATGACAAGGCATAAGTCGTCTATTCTGGCCTCAACGCAAGAGGGGGGTATCTGTTGATATATATGTAATGTAATAAGCAGTCGTGTATCAGCCAGCTATCTCTGGGAAGCTGTTGCCCGTGTACCCTGGACGTATGTATATATGTATAATAATCTCCTCACCAGAAACCAAAAACCAAAGAGAAAAACAAGAAACAAAAGCAAGTCATTATATCTTTCTTCTTTCGCACAAGATGAATGTTCCCAAAAAGGACAAAAAAAAGAAAACACAACCCACGGCCATGTGTATATGCCGGTAAAATGGTTTCACACAAAAACTGCACCATGATGTAAAAAACGGACCAACAAGCACACGCTTATTTCCATCCAGTGCAACGTTTTCCCTCTTTGGTTTCAGCAGAGGGCGAGTGTTGTTTCATTTGCAAGTTCCAAAAAAAACGTATATGAGGAGAGGGGGAGAGCGTGTGGCTTTTGTTGCCCTGGAGCGGGAGAGCCAAGCACGCAGGAGGAATCATGGTAGCGCCAAAACGGGAAACCCAAAAAATGGAGACGCCGTCGCTTTGCAAGTGCGAAAGATTTTGTAGGAACAAGAAAAGAAACGTCGCCCGTTCAGTCGTGATGAGATGGAAATGGGTGTAGGTGTTGCAAGAACAAAAGCACACCGCCATCTGTCGGACGCAGACGCACGAAATAGAGGCGTGACGATTTACGCCTCGGCAGACGGTGAGCCGTACTGGCTGACGAGCTCATCAATGCGCGGCAGCAACTCCGGGATGCGAAACGGCTTCGAGATGACGTCGTCGATGCCGGCCGCCTTGGCATTGACAATCTGCTCGGGCCGGGCATAGGCCGTGACGGCAATGATGGGAACATGCCGAGTTATAGTTCCTTCGCGCTGCAGAGCGCGGATGCGACGCGCGCACGTCACGCCGTCCATGACGGGCATCTCGAGGTCCATGAGAACCACCGAAATGGGGACGCCGTCGCGCTCCTGGCCTGCCCAGAAACGCGACCGCTGCAGCGTCTCGAGCGCCTCCTGCCCGTGGTTGGCCACAAAGGTCGTGTTGCCGCAGTTAACAAGTTGCCGTTGCAGCACCCTTTGGTTGACAATATTGTCCTCGACGATGAGCACGTCGTGTTGGGGGCCCCGGGGTGTGCCGCCTGGGTGCCTGCGCGCCGTCGCGGCCGTTGGGCTGTGGGAGGCGCAGTCAGCATGGGCGGCCGCGTCTGGGGCCGCCAGCAAGCGGCATTGTCGGGAGAGGGTAAAGCATGACAGGGGCTCAAAAGGTTCCGACGCGTCGGCGCACTGCCGGCTTTGGATATAGAAGCTAAACTTGCTTCCTTGACCAGCAGTAGAAGTGACACCAATCTGACCACCCTGCATCTCGGTCAAAATTCGAGAGATGAACAGGCCAAGGCCAGAGCCGCCGTACTGCACGTGCGTCCTAGGCGTGGCCTGTGAGAACCGCTGAAAGAGTATCTGGAGCTCCTCTTCAGTAAGACCCGGGCCAGTGTCTTCGACACTACAGTGGATATTGATCTTGTCACCGGTGCCCCAGTCGTCTTCGCTATTGATATCAATTTCGCTGCCAATTTGGTTGGTGTTTCGAGGAAAGTAGGCGGTTGGGCTAGCAACTTCGGAGATGTCCCGCGAGGCACTGAGGTGGACCTTGATCTGACGATGAGGGCGTCCCTGGGTAAACTTGATCGCGTTGGTCATCAGGTTGATGAGGACTTGCCGGAGTCGCGACGGGTCCAGCTTCGTCCATCTGATGCCGTGTCTTGTGAAGCTGCCGTCAACTGTAAAGTCAAAAGCGATATCGTGAGCTGCCAGCTCGGCTTCAAACATCTTGAGGGTCCACCGCACCACCCTCACTGGCTGCTCTACCACAGGCGTGACCATAAGCAAGTTTGAGTCCAACTTGGAGAGTGTCAAAACGTCATCCACAATCCGCTTCTGGTGGCTTGCGCATAGATTGATTGTATTGGCCGCGTCGAGGCAGCTTTCAAGAAGTTCTTCGACGTCCTCGAGATTGCGCGTGTTGAATGTAGTGATGTTGTTGGCGATTTGGTCTGCACACTGTAAAATGGCAGAGAGCGGGTTGCGCATTTCATGACTGGTAATGTCGATGAAGTTTTCCTGCTGACGCTTGAGTTCAACAGCTTCTTCTCGGCGCTCGATCTGGACTCTTTCCGCCCATTTCTGAGCCGAAATATCGGTGATGCAACCAAAAATGGACTTGAGAATCCCATCCTCATTTTGTTCTGGGAAGGCGCTCATCAAAACCCAATTATCCTTCCTGTGGTCCTCTTCCCGCCCAAATGTCTTAAACCGAAATTCTTGGGAAACCGTGACTTTTTCCTCGACTAGTTTTGACCAGGCCTGCCCCAGGGCCGCTCGGTCTTCCGGGTGGACAAGGTCCATCCATGAGTCCTCTAGAATATCTGGATGGGGGCGCCGTGAAATTTGCCACCACATATCGTTGCAGTAGTTGATTTTACCGGTAGCGTCAGCAATAAACATGCCAACCGGTGCGTAGGCCGCCATTCGAGTAAATCTATGCTCGCTTTCATTTGCTTCTTGAGTTCGAAGAAAGAGTTGCATCGAAAGCTCCTGTCGATCCTCAGCAGCGAGCTTCGCTGCCATCTGTCCCCGTTTGATCTCCTCCTCGAAGAGAACGACCGAAGCCATAGAAGTTGCGAGCTGTCTTGCCAGTAAATGTATAAAGAGCTCATAGTCATCGTCATAGGGCCGCCTCGGGTTAACACCGATGATCAAAAAGTCAGTGATGGATTCGCCCGCGCTAGTAGAGACGATGGGGTGGACAACGATTGTTCTGCAGGGTTCGCCAAACCCGCGCCACTGGAGACCCTCTATGAGCTCTTCGGGAAGAGTGCCATCTGTTTGGGACAAGACGACAGGTATACCGCCCATCCTAATGGATTTCCTCATATAGGGGGCAAACCCTTCCTCAGATGTGCGTAAGTCTATCGTCTTTGGGGCCGCAACATGTCCCTCTGGGGCGCCGGATGAAGCTTCAAGCGTCAAATGGGTCGGTTGTGCCACACCTCCGGAGCGCACAGATGATACTTCGCTCTCCGCATCTTCTTTGGCTGTGGAATAAATGAGGTTGAATGGGACATCCAACTCATTGTATGCGAGCCCTTGCTGAACCAGGGGCCAGAATTCGCTGACGGTGGTTGCTGTAGCAGTCTGTTCGCCAATCTCTCGCAACGTAAGCATTCGTCTTTCATTAATTTTGCGACGGGTGTTTTCGAACGCAGGGCTGTAAAGACCCACAACCTGGCCATCTCCTCCAACTACTGGTACAATAGACCAAGAAAAGAATGTCTCCTCGAGATACCCGTCTCGCCGCAGGAAGAGGTGGTTATCATGCTTCATAGTTGCTTGGCCGGATTCCCAAGCACTGCGAAAAATAGGCTCGATTTTATCGGAAAGTTCCTCCCAGGCGTCAAAGTTTCTCATTCCCATAATGCCGGGATGCTTCTTGCCAGCAATTTCGATATACGCGGCATTATACAGGCAAATGTATTCAGGCCCCCAGTACAGAGTAGCAGGGTGCGGGCTGCCCATGACGAGATTTGAAAGCATTCTCAACTCATGCGGCCATTCCTCGATGGAACCGAGCGGTGTAGAGGCCCAGTCAGTTGTTTTTGCGAGCTTGATGTGCTCAGGGAGAGAATCGCTCATAGGTATTCTAGTCCAGTCGAAGAAGGGTCTCGACTCTTTGGATTGAAGTACTTGGTTGGTGAATTCATCAGGATGCCCAGGTTGTGTATTTTTGGCTTGGTCGATCAAAGCTCTCTCAAAGCTATTAGCATGGTAGTCATCGGATGTCTCCGCAGCGGCATCCCCGAAGTAGTCCATCGGTTCCCCAGCAGCTTCGGCAATGTCTTCCTGCGCCCCGAGCTTCAATGGGATGGCTTCGTCATCCATGCGTTCGGGAGCATCTGCGCTGGTGGCCCCAGGATCAGAACAGTCGGGTGACTCGCGGAGATTGATGGTGCCAGAGATGAAGCGAAATCGTCGCCTGACGGTTGACTTGGTCCAGTTGACGCGACCATACTCGCAGGACGGAAAACCAAGTTCTGGCCGTTCGGCTTTTTGCGTCGAACACATCGCCCATTCCTTGAAGTGCTCGAACTCGGGAGTCGTCGGGTTGCTCTCGAAGCCGGCGTATACTAGAGGATGTATATCGTAGCAGGCGCGAAGGGAAGGATTAGAGTATTGTATAGGGAGGTGAGATTGGGTCGTATTAGATGGTTGTTGAAGATCAATCATGAAGGTAGGCCGTATATCGTTTTCTAGAAGTTCTAGAATACCAATGGATCGGATTATTTGTAAGTTGCTAGGGACAGCAATGCTGTCGGGGCTCGTAGAGGATCCCGAGACGTCTAAGGAGGATGCCATACTGCCCGGCGTACTTCCAGAAGGCGCGGGAGTGACTGTGCTGACGCTAGCTCTAGGAAGCTTGAGAGTCGTTACGGACTCGTAGGAATCTTCACCAATGGGAGAGAGCATGCCCGCAGCGAGTTCAGATGTTGAGTCGACTGATGGGCGACTTGCATGGCGGGTAGGCGAGTTAGAGAAAAAGAGCGGAGAGGAGACAGGTTCTCTAAAGGCTCTTGCTGAGGCTCTCGTAAGAGGGGCGGTGGCTGCAGAAGGTAACTCAAATCGCCTCGAAGGTGAAGAGCCTGTCCGAAGCTTCTTGGGCGGCCCAGACGTCATGGCCGGTTCGAGCTGGGCGAGCCAAGACGATCGCTTACCGAGAGGCTGTAGAATTTGGGCCGAGGCTACAGCGTCTGGCAGGGTGAGGCACTGTTGCTGCAGAATTGAGGCGCCAGCAAGCAGAGTAGTAGAGAAGGTGGTGTTTGGGTGACCAGATTGCACAGATAGCGCCGGTTGACGAGAGGCATGATCCGGCGAGGATTGGATAATATCGCCGCGGGCGAGGGCCGGCTGGGCGACTTGGGGTGCAGATGTTGGCAGTATTGACTTAAGTTTGGTAGAGGCGACACAACATTCACAGGCAGCAAGGCCGGGTGAAGCTATCACTGGTGTGTGCGGGTGCCGGCGGTCGGTCGCTCCGAGCGGGGACGATGTTGAACGAGTGTCGGCGATGGGGCGCAAGGTCGAATCGTCGGGAGGATTAGTGTATAGAGGCTGGACTTTACGCATCAAGGGGTTTTCGGAGTTTCACAAAAGATGTTGCGTCTTGAGAGAAAAGAAAGACTGCAGTCGATGGTGAGCACGTAGAAAGACAAGGCAGGGTGGTCCGCATTGCAGTGGGGGTTGTCAGACAGGCGTTGCTGGAGCCCTCCACAAGCCAAAAAGTCTAGGTAGTTACTCCGTAGTTGACTGAGTGGTCTGTTTGAAGAGAAAGGAAAAAAGCGAGACAAATAAAAGGTGAAGAACAGTTGCAATTAATAGGGCGTGCAATATTTGTTTGTTGCGGTGCGGGTGGCTTAGGGGCGGCGGTCTTGGGTGTTTTGGGTCTGGGCCTGGTCTGGACCTGTGGTTCAGGTTGTAGCTAGGCAGCCTCTGATAATTTAGTTAGGCAACGACAGCGGAAGATCGCGATGCCAGCGAGGTGGACCGCAGCTGGCAAAATAAGGTACCGGAGGGATTATCATGGATGTCTATCTGCACGAGGGTGGCGGTTTTAGACGGAGAGTGGAAATGTTGCGCGACGGTGGTGCAAAGACCAAAGACGAAAGACGAAAGACGGGGCCACGCCCGGCCGAGACAGCCGGCTGGCGGAAGGTCGAGACCCGGGGCGGACTCGTCGGAGAGTTTGGACTTTGAAGACGCCATCGCCATCGTGCAGTGTCAGCATCGAGTTGTGTCGTGCGAGGCTGCAGCCGTGGTCGCAGTCATGACGGGGACCAGCTGTGCCAGGCGTCGAATGCGGCCTGGCACACCAAGCCCAACAGCGGATGGAGGAGATGCTGGCAATTGATAATTGATTAGTTATGTACAAGGGCAACGGTTCGGAAGGAAGCCGATGAGGACATGCCTGCAAAAGACTGGGGGCTGCCAAGCTGAGAGAAGGTTTGAGTGTGGTAGACCTTGTTGGCGTGTGGCCACCGAAAACTACCGGGTAGGAATTCTTGTGATCTTTTCTCCGTATGTATTATCTCTTGATGTCTAGGTACATAGTTGTATTTACGCTTTTGACATGGCTTATTCCTCTACTTTCTCCTTTATTAATTGTTCTGAGAAGTCTATATCTGTATGGCTATATTGTTTACTCACGACTCGGCTATGCGCAATGCATTGCCATTGCCCGTTCGTCGTCTCCCTGTAGGTACCTATTGTTCGATCCCTCTCGCTTATCTGAGCACCCACCAGCTGGCGGGCACCCAACTCGCTCTAGCTACAAACAACAGATCCGTAGAATTACAGCTAAGTCAGGCTTCGTGCATCCGCCATGAACTGCTGCTCGTTAGTTTCCCTCTGTGTTCCCTGTCCGGAAATGCATGCGAGATGTGACAAGTGCCAGAATGCTCTGATTTCTCTCAGCACTGGCCAAGCCCCAAGGCGCAGCCTGTCCGCAGCGCAGTGGGTATGAATCTCACAATCTCGAGCCTGGTTGGTGCTGCTAATTTTTCCAGTCAATGTTTTTTCCATGCTAGCCAGGGACCCGGTCCATCCGCGACGTCGCTGGGGTGGCAGTCCTATCATTGTCAACTTGTCAATACATCGGCAACAGTCACCGCCAGACCTCGGTCCCGTCTCCCACTAATTCGCACCCATCAACGCAGGCCCTCGCGAACTACTGGTACTAGTTAGGTACCTTACTACCTACCTGGGTATCTAGGTAGGTATGCCGGCGCAAAGAACCTGTCTTCAGCCGTTGCGCCACTGTCCCGACGTTGATCACCCACCATGGACCAGTCCAGACCACCCCGCAAAGGCACCATCAATTGCCTAAGACATTGCGACGTGTCGCCAAGGATCCCTGGCTTCTCTACAAATTATTCACCTCTCTCTTTCGGTTGTTAAATGTTAAATCCTCCTTCTTCCTTCTGCATATCCGCGCAACTTGATGTACAGAGCACAGATAATACTGACTCACTGAACAACTGTCCCATCAACTAACACCGGAGGGAGGCCGCACCAACGTTCTAGCCGGCCAGGAGCCCGCGCGTTCCGCCGGTTCACCCACGGTGTTGGCGTGCTGTAGCGGCGAGCTAAAAAAGGCCGTAGCGGCGGCTGTCAAAGGGCTGTAGGGTACCAATGTTGCCTATGACCATCGGAGGCAGCTGCAACGCCACGACAATGCATGCGTGTTTCTCCTTGGCTTGAGAGGCCTCTATCTGTAACATGGCTTACCTTGATCTGTCCTGTGGCTTATTACAGCGCCCCCCCCCGCCATGAGTTTTCAGGGCCTTGTTCATTCGGAGTAACTATTGCAAAACAGCCAACTGCATGCCTAGCTACAAGTCGGGACCCGCGGGCTCACATAATGCGCCGGCAGAACACTGCAAGAAGTCAAGCGATGAGTTGTACGGATACCGTTTGTACGAGACTGTTCAGCTGTGTGTCTTTGAAGAGGCTGAATCGAGGGACGCCGAGAATGACAACGACAATTGGTAAGCTGAAGCCCTATCGAAAAACCCACTAGCTATGGCTGTTCTCGCTCGTTCTAGCTAGAGACAAACGGAGACAAACGGGCAATGCACCCAAATTTTTTTTTTTTCGCTCTAGATGGCTTCACTGTACAGACTTAGTTATGTATCCATTCTGATAGTTAGTTCCCGACCGCAGCTCCATTCATCAACCAGCCTCCCGCCATCTCCACCAACCAGAAAGAGGCTAGAGCACAGCTGGTGCTCGCCTCTCATTGGCCTGGTCCTCTACGGCACCCGTCCAATCGCCCCCCCCCAGTCCGATCCAGGCGCTTACAGCAGCTTCACCACTGGCTGGTGATGTGCCCATCCTCCCGCACACTGCAGAGGCCCCCTCCTCATGCCGGCACCCTCATCGACATAGGCGCCTAGCTGGCCAGCTTGCGCTGGGTTTTTAAACCCGCCCCTCTCTCCCTCCTCTCGCACCACCATCTTGGTGTTTCCTTCATCTCTTGCGACGAAACAGCGCACCGACAAGATTTGAAAGCAGCTGGTCTGGTTTTCTCAACGCCTGCCTGTGTGGCCTCGCGTATCGACAAATATCCGAGGGCACGATCTCACCCTCACCAGCAAAGTCACGCAATTCACTTTGAACGTGACCCCCCTTCAACGCTCTCAGCCGACCATCCATCCCGCAAACCGGGCCACGAACCATTCGTTCACGCAGGAACAGGAAACAATCCGCCATCATGGGCATCTTTTCAAATGGCGCGCGATCCTACCGCATTCTCCACCGCAAGTGGCCCAAGATCTCGCGCAAAGCCACCATCTGGCTGATGCCGCTCGAGCTCGCCGGCCTCATCGCCGTGCTCGTCATTTACGGCATCGCGCAGCCCGACCTCTACCGTTCCAAGATGTGGCAGATTGGATTCGACCATGGGCTAAACTCTAACCCCAATATGATTCTCTACGCCTATGCCAACTTTAAGCCGTTGCCCAACGTGCCGCTCATCTGGTCCTCCACGTACGCTCCCCAATCACCGGCGGATCTGATGACTTGTATGCTTACTCGTTGCTGACTCGAATTCTGTATGTAGCCTGACCAACTTCAACGTCGCCATCTCCGTCATCTCTCTTTTCTTCCTCCTGGCCAAGCTCATCGCCTTCATTATGAAGCTGTGGTTCCCCATCATTGCTATCTTTGTCAACTTGGCGCTCCTGGCCCTCTACACCGTCAGCGTCTACGGCCAGATTGGCCCCGACTACGCCGACCCGCGCCATCCCTCGCCCGCCGCGTGGTACTTTCGCCAGGGCTGCGGCCTCGCCAAGCCCTACGGCGCGTACAAGTCCTGCCAGATAGCTCAGGGCTCTCTCGGTGCCACCTTTTACATGCAGTATATTTCCCCCCAACGACTCCGGTGTATACCAATGTCACAGTTTCTCGCTAACATGCTATTCCTAGTATCTTGTACCTTCTCAATCTTGGATTTGCCATTTTCGCCATGCTGCCGAACAAGGGTAACCGCTTCGAGGACGAGTCCGACGTTGAATCGATCCACAGCACCCCGAACATCAAGGATACCGAGATGCAGGCTTTTACCTCGATGCCCTTTACGCCTCGCACGCAGGCTTTCCACACTCTAGACAGAAAGCTCCCCCTGCGCCAGCAGGCGAACCCCTACAAGTAATGGTGCTGAGAGATTGATTCTTGGAGCACATGACGGACAGGAAGTGACCATCTATGACCAATGTAGTTGAGAGATTGATATTTTTGTTTGGAGCAGGTATCAGAGATGGCACAACAACAACATCGATAATAATACCCGGACGAATTCACGTCGCATTTGGATAGCTTGCATTTGAAAATACAACTGGCTTTACATCACCTAACTAGGCTCTTCTCTTTCAACTACGTACTGGCACACGAGCTCAGCTCTGCAGGGGCTTGCCCATGCCGCCAAACGTAATCATCTTGGTGACCTGGTACTCGCCGATGCCGTACTTGGAGCCCTCGCGGCCGAAGCCGCTCTCCTTGACGCCGCCAAACGGCGAGGCCACGTCCGAGATGATGCCCGTGTTGACACCGACCATGCCCACCTCGAGGCTCTCGGCGACGCGGTACACACGCTCGAGGTCGCGCGAGAAAAAGTAGCCGGCCAGGCCGACGTCGGAATTGTTGGCCATGGCGACCACATCGGCCTCGGTCTCAAAGGGGAACAGGCCCGCGAGGGGGCCAAATGTCTCCTCGGTGGCGACGGCCATGTCGACAGTCATATCGCGGAGGACGGTGGGCTGGAAAAAGTTGGCGCCGAGCTCAGGCACAGCCTGGCCGCCGACCAGGAGCTTGGCGCCCTTGGCGACGGCATCGTCAACGTGGCTGCGGACCTTGGTGACGGCGCGGTCGTGAATGAGCGGGCCATGCGTGACACCGTCGGCAAAGCCGTTGCCGACCTTGAAGGCCTTGACTTTCTCGACGAAGCGCGCGACAAAGTCGTCGTAGATGCCGCGCTGCACGTAGATGCGATTGGCACAGACGCACGTCTGGCCCGAGGAGCGGAACTTGGAGGTGATGGCGCCGGTGACGGCGGCGTCGAGGTCGGCGTCGTCAAAGACGATGAAGGGTGCGTTGCCGCCGAGCTCGAGGGAGAGCTTCTTGAGCGTGCTGGAGGACTGGTTCATGAGCAGCTTGCCGACGCCGGTGGAGCCGGTAAAGGACACTTTCTTGACAATGGGCGACGTTGTCAGCTCCTTGCCGACGGCGGGTGTGTTCTCGAGCGAGGCGATGATGTTGACGACGCCCTTGGGGATGCCTGCACGGTGGGCGAGCTCGGCAAGCGCAAACGCGGTAAAGGGCGTCTCGCCGGGGGCTTTGCAGACGACGGTGCAGCCGGCGGCCAGGGCGGGACCAATCTTTCTGGTAATCATGGCGGCGGGGAAGTTCCAGCTACATATGATGGTCAGTGAAAACGAATGGAATAGCCGACAACAAATGGCTTACGGAGTGATGAGACCACAGACGCCCACGGGCTCCTTGACGGTCCACACGCGGTTGGCGGCCAGCGAGCTGGGAATGGTGTCGCCGTAGATCCTGGGCGCCTCCTCGCTGAACCACTCGAAGAAGTTGGCGGCGTAGGCGGTCTCGCCCTTGGCGTCGGCAAAGGGCTTGCCATTCTCCCAGGTGATGAGCTTGGCAATGTCGTCGGCGTTCTCGTTCATGAGGTCGAACCACTTGCGCAGCAGCTTGGCGCGCTCGCGGCCTGTCTGCTTGCGAAACGTCTTGAAGGCCTCGGAGGCTGCCTCGATGGCGCTCCGCGTGTCGTCGACATCGGCTTCGGCGCTGGTGCCGACGAGCTCGCCGGTCGAGGGATCTTGCAAAACGTGTTAGGTACGCTGTGCCGAGGCTACCGGGGGGGGATGGCGGGATAAGCTGCATACCAGTGACCTTGAAGGTCTTGCCGGAGATGGATGGCACGAATTGGCCGTTAATATAGTTAACATTTTGCTTTAGAAGCGAGGGGTCGTTGAGCTGCGCGCCTGTTAGCTGGTTCTGTTAAGGCGGGCGGAACGGCCATCGTTTGTAGAGGAGTACCTTGGGTGCCATTGTGGAAGCGTTGCGGGCCAGTGTCAGAGAAACAGCCGGAACGAAGCGGAGAGTTGATTGAGCTGCGATTCGTTGCAAAAGGGCCATTATAGGAAAGGCAAGCAGTGATGGAGGTGCGAGAAGCTGCTGTGAGCTGTTGCGAGAAGCTGTTTTTGCCCAGGATTAGCTACGTTATTTCTGATGTCGCCATGACGCAGATGAAGGCGCCGGCGCAGGTAGGAAATAGCTCTGGTGGATCTGAACCTACAATCAACTGCAGCCGGCTGTTGTTGTTGCTTTGACTGTACACCAAATTCCACCACGCGAGGCTATTATGCTCGGGCTTCTGGGGATTGACTGTCGTGGAGATGCAGAAAGCAAAACTTGGGGTTTCCTGGGGCGGAAGTTGTTGTGGGAGCTTGTTTCGCGCCGCGAGATCGGAGGGAATGCCGGCCGCGGGTATCCGTCGGTCCCCCAGCGCGGGGTTTCTGCCTCTGTGCTCCAGGACGCTCTCCGCCGTGGGAGGGCGCTGTGGGGGAGCTTGTAAGGCTTGGTCCCCGCTGCAAGTTCCGCGGAGTGCGGCGTGCGAGCACCTGTGGAGTAACCGGGGTAGTCTTGTGGTATTTACTCCGAACAGTTCAGTCGCAAACGCTTAACATTTGAGAGGACGAGCCAATTTATAAAATGAAGGAGAAGGACACCGTCAACTAACAGAATTAGTACCAACAGAGAGTACCCACGAACAGGAAGCTGGGAGAGTTGAGACCGGACAGCGTAGCTACTTGTCCAAGCATTGAACCACCTTCAAGGTATCCGTAGGGTGACTGCTTACCTTTCGCTGCAGACAGGCAGTTTATTCCCCAGCATGAGACTACGAGGAAAATGATTTCGAGAAAAAGATGAAGAGCTTTGTTGATCAACTGAAGCTAGTTCAGGACATCGTCGACCGAGACGCAGTGATTGAACCGACCAGCGCAGGCGGAATCTATAACCTGCTTCTTCCGTTGTACAGTGCAACATTCGCAACCGTACCACAAACCGAGGGAGCTCGTATCTACAAAAATGACGACCCTTTATGCAATAAACCCCAAAGCTCGGGAAAAAATGGCACAGAATCCATCCTCATTAACTCATTCCGCTCTTGAAGGGACGTCTGATAATTTTTAGCCTTTGTATACATGATTAGATGGCCGATTTCCGAGGTCGTGTAGCGTAGTGGTTATCGCGTTTCGTTTACAGTTATCACCTCCATCCGAAAAGGTCGCAGGTTCGAACCCTGCCACGATCATTTTTTGCTCTTCGTTACCTTTTTACTGATTTCATACATCGGTTATAATCACGCGGATATGGCTTTCAAATTCTAGAAGCAATGTTGTTGCCTGCCCTAAAAATATCAATAGGAAATACTCTGTTGGAAATTTGATAAGAGGGAAAATGAAGAAGGAGAACTGTTCGTCCTCTTCAAACCAAGCTACCTTGACAGCCCCGCAAAAATTACCAGCTCGCCGCCTGTCAGTTGCAACAGCTTCGGCGCTGCCAAATCCGTTTCCTGCATGGTATTCCCCGTCATACGCTATAATTGATTTGTCCGTGCTCTACCTTCTTCCACCACGTATACAGGACACTCAACCCATCGAAGAAAACTATTCGACTATGTATTTTGTACGTGTTGCTCGCCCGGCTGTCCGCAGCTTGTACGCAGGTGGACGTAGTCAACGGTACGACTTGCCTCCCTCCTCCTCGGCCGTTGCTTCCAAAGCTCGCGCGATCCTGACTTTCAAGAGCAAGGCGTCTAACTAGCTGAAACCCGCAGAGCTACCACCATCGCTTCGACACGAGCCACGGCACTGGCGCTTGCCCACAACGCACAGCCGTTCAGCACATCACCCTCCCTCCTCAAGAAGCGCAAGCCTGACGCCCCCTCGAAATCGTCTCCCCCGTCTGCTCCCGCGCCGTCGAACAAAGGCAAGGGCACTGCGGCTGGCAGCAGCAGCGGCGACTTTGATCCTCTCGACCTCGACCCCGTCGAGGCAGCCTTTGCCGAAGTCGATGTGCACTTCCAGACACAAATCCAAAACGTGCTACACGGCGGGCGCTTCAACCCGGACCAGCTCGGCGCGCTCGCTGTGAGCGTCAAGCCCGACGGTCACGGCGGCGGCGGCGAGGCGGCGGCGGAGCTGTTCCCGCTGCGCGAGCTCGCGCAGGTGGTCCCGCGCGGCGGCCGCACCGTCTCGCTGCTCGTCAACGACAAGACGTACATCAAGCCCATCATGTCGGCCGTGCAGGCCAGCCCCGAATTCAACCAGCAGCCGCAGCGCGCAGAGGACAATGAGCTGGAGCTGCTGCTCCGCGTCGAGATGGAACGCCCCGAAGAGCTCGTCCGGCGTGTCAAGGAGGCCACGCAGGCGTGGCGGGAGCGCGTGCGGCAGGCGCGGACCAAGCACGAGAAGGCGTTGAAGGAGGCGCGGAAAAACGGCCTGCTACTACCGGACGCGCTGAAAAAGGTGGAAAAGGAGGTGCAGAAGCTGCAGGACAGAAAGATGAAGGAGATTGACACCCTGGAGGCGCAGAGCGTCAAACAGGTTAGCAGAAACTAGACCGCCCATGGGTGACGGACATCGCGATGTAAAAAGTGAACAGAAGATGCTTTTGTGTCTTGGATTTTCTAGTATACTATTGTACATGTACATTGATGAGAGCATTAAAATAACAGGCTGTTTTGCCCAAGCCGTAATGATACACCAGCCTTCTCTATTTCCCATAAAAAATCTCTGCTCCCAATGAACCTTTTTCCACCGTAGACTCGCTCTGTCCGAACAGTTTCCGACGACACCACTATATTGTACACGCCTGCGTAACTGAGACTACAGGCACACTCTTAAGCCTTTGCTTCCTTGACCTCTGCTGCTTCATTCTTGGCCTCTGCTTCATTCTTGGCCTCTGCTTCATCCTTGGCCTCTGTTTCATTCTTGGCCTCTGCTTCACTCTTGGCCTCTGCTTCAGTGTTGGCCGGCGTAGCGTCTGTAGCGACCACAGAAGGCTTGGGGGCTCCAACTAGGCTCTCCAGCTTCTCCTCAAACATGTCTGTAGCGGCGGGCCCGTAGGTGCCGGCGCGCAGGTGTTGCGCGCGCACGATGCCGTGCACGTCGCTCGCGAAGGTGGGTGTTTCGTGCACGCCGGCCACGGCCGCGTCGAGGACCGCTTTCTGCACGGCGTCGCCGGCAGATGAGAAGACGGGTGTCACCTCGTCCGCCTTGGCCTCCTCGCCTGCTACTGCCGCCTCACTTTGCTCGCCTGCTACTGCCGCCTCACTTTGCTTGGCTTGCAGCTGGTCCTCTGCCCAGGCGCGCGACTCTGCCGTGGCGAAGAAAGCAAGCCCGTCCTGCTGCACCCGGCCCTCGACCGCGTCCGGCAGGTATCCGCTGGCCGCGCCGACCAGATCGCCCGTGCCGCCGCCCATGGCCTGCAGGCTCTCTAGAACAGCGGCGCGGCGGCCGCTCGTGCTCGTGGGCACAGCGGGCGCGTGTTCGAGCAGCGTGGGCACGTCGAGGTCGGGCGTGTACTGCGCCGGCTGGCGGAAGCGCACCGCCGCATCGAGCGCTGTCTCCGCCTCGTCCATGATCTCGTACGGGTCAACTGAGGACCTACCGCCGCGCCCGCCACCGCCGCCACGAGGCTCCCTTTTCTCGCCGCCACCGCGGCCCCCTCTGAAGCCGCCTCGGCCGCGCCCGCCTCGACCGCCCTGGACGAACCGGTTGGAGCCCTCGGCCGCAGAAAAGCCGCCACGGCCGCGGAAGCCGCCGCGACCCTGGAAGTCACCGCGGCCCTGGAAGTCACCGCGACCCCGGAAGCCACCTCGGCTCTGGAAGTCACCGCGACCCTGGAAGTCACCGCGACCCCGGTAGCCACCTCGGCTCTGGAAGTCACCTCGACCCTGGAAGTCACCTCGACCCTGGAAGTCACCGCGACCCCGGAAGCCGCCACGGCTCTGATAGTCACCGCGGCCCTGGAAGTCACCTCGACCCTGGAAGTCACCGCGGCCCTGGAAGTCACCGCGACCCCGGAAGCCACCACGGCTCTGATAGTCGCCGCGGCCCTGAAAGTCGCCACGGCCGCGGAAGCCGCCTCGCCCACGCTCCAGGCCCCGGGGCAAGCTGCGAACGTCGAGGACCTTGGGGCCACCACCCTCTCCCGCGTCGGTCGGAGCACCACCGGCAGGCCCGTCACCGTAGGGCGCACGGTCCCTCACCATGGTATTGATGGCGGACGCCGCGGCGCGTCCGCGCTGACGGGCATAGCTTCCTCGTCCCGGACTGTCGTTGCTGCTGTGACTCGGCGATGTGGTGGCATCGTCGGCGGCGAGCGATTGGGTTGTGGAAAAGTCGCGAAAGTAAGTCTTGAGAGCCTGGCCCGTCTTGAGGAGCTCTGGCCGGCCGCGTGAGCAGACCAGCGAACGAAATGTCGATGTGCTCATGGTGCGTGTGTGTGTGCGTGTGAGAGCTTGTGTGTAAACTGCTGGCGTCTGAAATTCTAGACCTCTCCTTTTACACCAATTTTCTTCGCAGGGGGTTGTTTGTGGTGACTAAGCAGCAACCTCAGTGCACACGTACGCTTTGGAGCCTTGGTCTGAAGATTTCAAAAAACTACAAAACGGCCCTTGGAACTGATGTACTATTTAATTTCACTGGTAGTGATTCTTATATTAAGGAGATTGAAAGGGAGTATGCTAAATGACCCACCACATCGGCCTACGCGCCTGCCACCATCTCTATGCCAACGTGCAGTATCGTATATTCCAACCACTTCGTAATACAACATCCCGACATGGCCACGCCGCATGTGTCACGGACGGACCCTAATAGCACAGTTCTGAAAAGGCCAAACACTATACAACACATCTTCCCAAGCATTTTGAACGGCAAAAGAAAAAAAAAAAGCAAAACGCCTAGTCAATCAACAACCTGCGTCGATTGAAATCCAACGCCAGTCATAGTCGGCCACGGGGGCCTGGTGTAGATATGTATCCACGGAAGCCGCAGTAATGTACTCGTGCGGCTCTGGTGCACGGTATCAGTAGATGCCGACTCTATTCGCGGCGCCTGTCGTTGTCATGACGGGCGCTGGGGAGCTAATGCCCGGCGGCAGTGTGAGTCGCGACTCTGAAAAATCATCACGCCTGCATGAAAACTACCATGCACATTGTCATGATAGTTGTAAATGCGTGAAACAATTTGTAAAGAACGTTACAGGCTTCACTATACGCTTTGGGGATAGACGCTTGCGGGCTGTTTTTGTTAGTGCCGAAATTGCAGTAGTGGCCGTAGTACTCACAGGACTGTTGAGCATGTGTTGTCTCTTGTTGCGGCCCTTTTTGATATGGCTCTTGAGGGCACTTGAGTCGAGGGGCTTGAGCAGCTCGAAACTGCACAATAGTTCGGCATTGACGGACATTACGGCTCCCCAATTGTCGAATTCGCCGCAATACTGCATCGAGTTAGCGTAGCTCTCACAAACCACAGGGCGAAACTTACGTTCGGCGCACTGAACACAGTAACTAAAACGCGATCGGTGAAGAATTCGTAGCCGTCTTCCACCACCATATGTGCACGGCAGATAAGATCAAAGTCGTGGGCGGCAAGGAAGTCCGTTATAACTCTCTTGCCGAAACAGTAGCTCACCCCTCTTTCATTCGCTTCCCAGTCTTGTTCCATATCTGCAGGGTCCGACCAGAGCAAGTCATTGAGTAGGCCGTAGTCGGGAACGTCAGTGGGACGGGCGATGTTTCGAATGTCGTCCATGTGGCTGAGCGCCGGCGAGAGACCACCGTGGACACAGAAAATCTTGCCAGCAACAATGGCAGCAATGGGTAGGGTGTTGAAGCAGTCGATGAATGTCTTCCAAATCTTGACGTTGCACCTTCGCTTGCACTCGTCATAGAATCCATACACTCGGGTTACGTTGGCACATTCGTGATTTCCCCGCAACAAAAAGAAATTCTCAGGGAATTTGAGCTTGTAGCATAACAGTAAAAGAATAGTCTCCAGGGACTGCTTTCCGCGATCGACGTAGTCGCCAAGGAAGAGATAGTTGGCCATCGGAGGGAAGCCGCACATTTCGAACATCCGGATAAGATCAGTGTATTGCCCATGGACATCACCAACGACCTTGACAGGCGCACTAAGCTCGAGCAGAGCGGGCTGCGAGAGAAGTACCTCGCGCGCGCGCTGGCAGATGGCGACGATCTCGGCATTCTTGAGGCACACGCTCTTCGTGACCTTGCCGGCATAGCCAGCATCCAAAAGACGCTTGATATAATCGTCGAGATCCATTTCTTTGATGTCGGCCATGGCGACGTTGGAATTGCTGTCAGCTTTGGCGGACTCGGTCGAGGGTGTCTTGTGTACCACTTGGCTGCTGCTAGTGTCGCGACGAACCAGAATTGACTGTCCAGGAGACTGCAGGTGGGTGTTGGCGCTGGCAGCGGCTGCCGAAGGGGGTTGGTCGGAAACATGGTCGACCTCACCGCTGGCCTGGGCGGCGCTCACGTCATGAAGACCACCGGCACTCTTAGAGGCGCTGGACTGGACGGGCGATGGCGGTGGTTGTTCATTTGAGAGCATAGAGTCGGCAATCGACATGTCGGTAGAGCTGTGCTTGAGCGTGTTTTCGCCGCGACTGCCACGCGAGGCACTTGAGCGACCGCTTTTGCCGGATCGGACAGAGGCGGCATCAGGACCCTTGTCGGAATCGCCATTGCTCAACAGCGTAGAGTTTCTCGGGCTGTCAGTTTTGGAAGTCCCAGGGATTTTAGACCTCAGCGAGCGAAATGATCGGGAAGATTCTTTGGTGTCGCTTCTGCTAATGGAGGGATATGACTGGAGATTTCCATCAGCGGAGCCGGACTTGGGCGAACCGCCATCGGGCTTGGAGCTCTGATTGCCCATGACCGCGATGATGGTCGTGTGACGACAGGGTCTGGTGTAGCTGTCTCAGGCGCCGCTTGGCCGTCAGCGGACGACAATAAAAACTGCCAAGACGAAGCCAGAACCTGGGGAGAGGAAAGATGCCAAGTCTGAGGGGTTTGTTTTGGTTGGTAGAGATTTTGTTGTCGCAGCAGCGCGGCGGTACGGGAGAGAGCGATCGGCGTTAAATCTGTCCTGAATGGTGAAATGTGAGTCGCCGGGCGAGAGACGGGGATTCGGTCGCAGAGCAGCGAAGGGACAGAAAAAGCAATTTTCGGCAGCGATATGGTAGCAATGATGACGTCGAGTGGCCCGTGGGATTGCAAAGGAGCCTGCAGGGCAGGGTTGAGGGTTCGGTGCCGAGGCGGGCAGTTATCGACAGGGACCGGGAATGGCGGGAAACTATTGTAGAGCAACAGGTTCATGTCAGCAGAGACATCTCATGCAATATGCAGGCAAATGGGTAGGTGGAGTGAGGAGCGACAACAATAGAAGAAAGCACGGGCGCGGCGTGCAGAAACTGCGACAGGGACAGCAGAGTAAAACTGCGGCCCGCGCGACGAGGGGAGACGTATAGACAGAGCTAAGTGAAGCAAGACAGAGCTAGCGTGAGCAATGCAACGACATAAAGCCGTGTCAATGTACCTGCAGCGACAGCGACACAGCAGCCAAAGATAACGGTTTGGCAGGTCGTCATAGAGTCTCAAAGGGCATGGGGCAATGTCTCGAAGCAGCTGTCCGGGACCGCGGCGGGAATAGCGACAAACACCAACAGAGAGGGAGAGGGGTGAGACAGAAGCAGGAGACGAAGCTGAGAGACGGGGAGTTGGCGATTAAAAGAGGGGGACAGGAGTCAATGGGAAGATGCCAGACGTCGTGACTGGCAGAGGCAAGAGGACGGCGGGAACGAAGCGAGCTTGGTGAATGTGAAGCGCAAGAGAGGTAGACAAGCCGATGACCCAACAGCGAGTGAGGCGTGCATGTGAGCGCAAGACAATGACGCACAACTTACCAAGCGCGGCTAATCGACAGAGGACCTATGGAAGAGAAAGGGCGACAGAGGCTGACAATGGAAGAAGAAAGCGCCAAGTGGTGTGAAATGTGTGAGATTTGTGACAAGAATCTATGACTTTGGGAGCTTTTTGGCGCGATATGGGGTGGAGGAGGAGGGGGGGCGAAAAGCGGCGACAGCGATTATTAAGGTTTCTGGCACAGCACAGTGTGGTGGTGCTTGGGTGGTTCTGTTCGTCGGAACTGCCTAGCGAGGGGCGAGCGAGGACGGCGGACAATGAATCCAAGTCGAGTCTTGAACAGCAGCGGTATTGGCGAGCCGGAGGCGCACGTAGGCAGGCAGTCAACAGGTAGGTGGTTTTTCTGTCAGTGTTGGGTGTCGCGGGCCACAGAGTGAGGGCCGTAGCACCGTAGAGGCCAGCACCAGGCTGAGGTGGCGGTGGGGTGCGCGGCAGCGCCGGCTGGGGGATAGACAAGAGCTGTGCGCGGCCAAGAAGTCGTCGAGACGGGAGCTGGAGAACCCTTGCGTGTGATGCGGGAGATGACGGGTAAGATGGCGATCGCAGGTAGAAGAGGAGATGGCTGCGTTTGAGGAGGGCGAGATTGTGGCAGCTTATTTTACGTGGTGTTGACGCGGACCAATTCAGGTCAAGAGACAGCGGCAAAAACGACAAACGGCGAGGCCAGGCGACCAAACGACCCCTTCCCAGAGTTGCCAGAGGCCAGCGAGAGAGGCAACCAGCCCTACGACAAGCCGTCTGGCGGCTGCGGTCAGTGTTCAAGCACAGCGGGCATAGCGCGTACGGAAAGCCCTGTGGTGGCTGCTACAGCGAGGCGTTTAGGGAATTTCAGGGACCTGCTTTATTACAGCTTTAATTGCAAACAAACACCTGCCAGCTGCCAGCTGCCAGCTGCCAACTGCCAACTGCCAACTGCCAACTGCCAACTGCCAACTGCCAACTGCCAACTGCCAACTGCCAACTGCCAACTCCCAGCTCTCACGCCTCTCGTTTCAATTCTTTCCACTCTTTCCTCGCCAAAACATCCCTCCTACATATTCCGGCTTCCCAAACCCGCCCTATCGTCACCATCTTCAGCTTCCGCCTCTCTTCTCACCAACCATCACAACCTTGTCACTCTGCTTCACAACTTGGGTCTCGAACACAACGCCATCTGTCCACGCAGGTCATCCGGCCATTAGCCTGCCGCTACCGCCCTCCAGCAATGCTCCAGCTGTCCGGACGCGGCGCTCTTTGCAGCGGGCGTGCCACACTAGCCAGGGATGCGCCCCACGCCTGCCCGCGCGCTCCCACCACTGGCAAGCCTGCTCCCGGCACACCGCGACAGCTGAAGCCTTCTTCCGTCGTCCCACGGCGCCGCCATCTCTGGTCTCTGCCAGTTCTTTCGGCTCTACTCTGCCATTTGCCAGCCACTTGCCATCTCCCGTCGCTTGACCGACAGCTTTGTCGCGCGTGCTAGGGCCTCTTGGCCCCCCTGACCGATACGCTTTGTGCTCTCCCTTTCCCCGCCCGGCCTGCGCCCGCCCGCGCACCGGACCCAGGGAATCGGCGCCACCTTGTCCCTCCAGCGTCCACCATCGCCGTCCGTCGCCGTCAACGGAGTCGGACGTGCACATCCCTTCGGACGCGACCATCTTGGGCCCTCGTCGCTGGTTTTGGAGTCGCACTTCTCCGACGCACCGCGTGATGTCGCCGCGGGCGTGCCCATGCCGGGCACATTTCTGCGGGCGTCGACGAGCCCTGCAACCTCGTTGACCGCTGCCACATCAAGATTGCCTCATGACAGGCGCGGCCGGGCTATCGACTTCGGGCAGCCAAATGTAATTTCATTGGCGCCCAAGTTTTAGCGGCCATTGAGCAGGGGATGGCATTGGGCCGCCGTGCTAATGGTTATATCTCTGTCTAGTGCACGCTTTCTGCAACTATTGCTGCAAGTCTGCTGCCCGACACATAATATGTTCCTTCAGCATAATAATTTCGACGCGCCCCAACCCGCGTGCCTCCGAGCTCTACTAAGTAACTGTCGTGGTAGTTGAGTGTGAAGGCTCGACGCCCGTATCTCCGACGTTTCCGGATCGTCATTTTTTCCCAGCGTTTACCTCGTTTTTTTAAGACCGAATAATTCCGCGTAGAAGCCGACACATTGAGGACAAGATCAATCGAGTAACGACACCAACACCACACCTCACTACCGAGATACTTACTAACTATTACATGTCCTCGCGTTTGTGCCAAGTCAATGGCAGGCACTCGCTTTGTATGCCTGCTAGTCTACAGCCATCAATATTCTAGAACGTTTTACCAAATTTTCACAGATGCTGTTGCGATGAACCGTTATTCGTCATTGCAGATTGCGCTCACCGAAGCGTAGCGTAACTAACTAGTTACAAATTACCTGGTCCTAATAGTTAGCAGGTGGCTTCTAAATTTAGACGCTCCGCCTAAATGGTGGCGGTGCTGCTGTACCTGGCGACGCACGTCATTCTCGCGCCACAACTATGATCTAGTTTATCCAACAAGTATCAGAATGATCAAGGAAATGCACTCACAAAGGTCTATGTCTATTAGAACCTATCGCCTGGATTTCTGAAACTGGATATCTACGTGGATCTGGTCATTAAGCACCGGGGTGTTTGTGACTAGACTTGGGACAGAACCGCGATCGACACTGCCGTGCTTCTACAACCGAATCAAAACGCGGGGCACATGACAGATGTGCAGGGTTTATCTATGTAAGTTTCAATTTTTGAGAGGAACTTTGTCTCCCGATGTGGCTACAGCATGTCCATCACTGGGTGTGCACTTGGGAGCGCGCTGTAACGTGTTCCGTACAATGAATGAGCCGATCCTCTGCTCAATGACGCACATCGACGAGCATTGTGTAGCAGAACAATGTGGAGAATACGGTCTGAGCTTTTCAGTCTAAGCTTTCCAGTCGTCAAGTAGAGTTTTGACAGCCATATGCGTTGCATCTGCTGTGTTACAAGCCAAGAGAGTTTGGAAGCGCCACCGACCTTCGCATATAAAAGCTTGGCCATCACATTCCTTCGCGGACCAAAGCTAACGCTATTCGACATGGCTTGTGTACCTAGCGGCAGTGTATCGCGGAGAGTGATATATATATAGCACCAAAGCTGCTGCGGCTCGGATACACGCGAGAGGGTCGCACAACAGCTGGCAGCATGTGCCATGTCAGCTGACGAATAATGCATCGTCGCGAGGACCGCAATCGGTCTATCTCATCCGGCAGTTGCATTAAAGAGGAAAGGAAAAAAGTCTAATACTCCATCAGGGATGCTGATCGGAAGCCCATTGGGGCCCTGACAGCCACGACGCCAGCGCTGGTATCGACGGCACGCGTACAACGGGATGACGTCGAACCACAGCAGAGATGGACCGGTCGGGCAAGTCCTCGAGTTTAGCCACCGCGGAGGCCTCCGTGTCGGCATCCAGCAGGATGGGGAACCAACCGGCGCCGGTAGCCCCGATGACGTCCTTGGCGTGCTCGTCGCCGACGTAGACCTTGTACCAGCTCTCCGCCGCCGGCACCGGCCCCTCACGAGCTGCGACAATACGGGTCAGCATGGACTCGGCGGCTCGGAAGATGCGCACGTCGGGCTTCTCGCACCCCACGTCGTAGGACATGCAGTGAAAGTCGACGTCGTACGCCTCCTGCGGGGGCGGTACGGCGTGCGCGTCGTCGCTGTAGCGCAGCGGGCTCACGCGCAAGCCCAACGAGGACAGGATGCTGGGGACGCGGTCGTCTGAGTTGGTCACGACACCGACGACGACTTCGTCTAGGGCGTGCCACGCGCCGGGGCGGCGCAAGGCCCGCAGTGCAGAGACAAGGTCGGGCTGCGCATCGTAGCCCTCGTTCGAGGCGAAGCGATGCATCAGCGCGGGGACGAGCGCCGGCGGAAATGGCTGCTGTTCTGGAATCAGCGGCGTAAAGGTGTTGTGGATAACCTATCCGTCGGAAACAAAGAAACAAGGAAAAGTAGCTGTTAGCATGGATTCCGAAGGACTACAACGCGCGAAGGCTCTACACAGGGGCTTTTCGGATACATTTGTCCACCACCGCGTGGCACCTAGGCCGGTGGCCTTGCCGTAGTTGGGGTTCTCCGCGCGTTCATGGCGAATCGCGGCCGTCAGGTGCGTCGCCAGCTGGTCCTCGGAGAAGCCAGTGATGCCGCACTGCCGCGCGACATGGGCGTACTGCTGGACCACGGAACCCTTGGGGCGGAACAGGGTGCCAAAGGCGTCGAAGCAGAGCAACAGGTTGCGCTTCTTGCTGGCTACCATGGTCGGGTGGGGGGAGGAGGCGGCGATCAAGGTTGCATTCGATGGACTGGGCGATGCGGTGGGGAGGGAGAGAAGAAAGTTTGGTTTGTTATTGCTGACGCGGCAACGGATGCAGATCGGAAGTTGCTGCAGAAGAAAGGCCTGCGTGGTTGGGATGATACGAACGATGGAGGGGTTGAGGGGCTTGCGTGCGTGGCGGTTGATGTTGGTTGTTGTTCATCTATCTGCGGCATGGGCTAATGAGTGGGCCGGATTAGAGTTGGGGAGTTGGCAGGCCACTAGATATGGAGGTGCGCAGTTAGTAATTGATAACTATTAGTCTGGTTGCTGTTTAGAATACTGAGAGCACAGGCGAATTGAATTCTGATAAGCGCAGAAGAGCTTGAAGATTGTTTTATAATGGCGTAAATATTGTAAAGCTGCATGGGATCATTCACTGAAATGCGGGAGAACCAGGCTGAGGTGGTGGTGTGGTCATGTCAGCCTCAGCTGGCGACCCAACCAACGTGGGCATGTAAGATGTTTGTTACCTATGAAGAATGAACATGTCTCTATCCGTAGTTTACGGAGGCTGGGCTTCTAATAATAACACGGCTCCTGCAAGTCTGCATTGCCATGTAAGAATGTGCCTACCCGCAAAACTTGCGCAAATGATAGTCAGACTGTTATACCTGTTTCGGGCGTCAGGAGCCTGGTTGTGTCCATATGCCTGTATGTGTACTATTTGATTTTTTATTAATTAGTGGACTGAGGAGACAAGGCAGAGAGGCAGAGAGGCAAAGAGGCAAGTAGAACACTTGGCGGTGCTGGGGACCCCGCTGAAAAGGGTCTCAAACTCGTAAGCAAAGTGCAGTGGGTGTTGGCATAAGAATAAGCTTGAGCCGAAACTGTTCTCCCAACTAGGCTGGGGATGCAGCTCTCTCCTTGTCTTGCAGACGAAAAAAAAAAAATCAGGAAAAAAGTCACGGCCCATAAAGCAGGCTGGGCTTTGTCTGCCATGTTTGACCTATTTTTGCTTCATCCCGCATCGTTATCCCGCACCGCATCGCCTCTTTGAGTGGTACGTGCTGGTGCTGCGCTGCCACGAAGCAGCTGCGCCACCACCCCTTGGCCGGCGCAAGCCCCCAATTCCCCGCTAAAAAAGCAGCGCAGACTGACAGCCTGACTCTGATTAACTGCCCTGCCCTTGTTGCTATGTACTGTTATTATGCCGCCTCACGGCCTTGTTATAAACGAGTCGTCATCCTCCCACTCGTTTTCTTCCTCTTCCCTCATCGTATCTCTTTCGTGTATTTGCATCCTGTCTCTCCATTTTGCATAATAGCCTTGGTCTACTATAAGCTGCAAGTGTCCTTCTACCCTACGAACCCGGCCGATTCTTCTCTTGCGATCTGCGTTGAACACGCACCGAGATCAACAATCACTCAACAATCACAACGCCTCGTCTGGCCAACCACAACACACCCAACAACTCAAACAACCCTCCACAACAGCAGCCATGGCCGTTGGTCGCGCCCTCTGCGTGGCTCTGCCGCTCCTATTAACGATCGCCTCGCTGGCTGCCCTCCTCTACGCCACCCTCGCCGGCGTCGCCCACCATAACACCTTCATGTTCAAGCTCGACACCACCAACCTGACGCTCGACAGACAGGGCATCGAGAACATTGCCAAGAGCGCCGGCGTCGACGTTAGCAGCATCGGCAAGGACCTCGGCGTCGACATTGACAGCCTGCTTAACAAGGCGACAGGCGGCACAAATGTCACAGCCAAGGAGCTCAACCTTGACTACGTCTTCGAGGTCGACCTCTGGGGCTTTTGCTACACCAAGGACAGCAAGCGCAACTGCACCAAGGCCCAGTTTGACTGGGCTTCGAGCACCCTCAACGACACCTACCTCAAGAACTTTGGTACCGAGGCCGGCGTCACCATTCCCCTGCCCAAGGAAATCCAGGGATCCATCAAGGCCTTTCGCACCATGATGAAGGTGACCGAGATTGTCTTCATTGCTGCCAACATCATGCTCGGTGTCGAGCTGCTGATTGGCATCCTCGCAAGCTGCTCGCGCGTCGTCTCGTGCCTCACCTGGCTCCTTTCCTGCATTACCACAGTTGTTGTATTCGCCGCCGCCGGTTTGGCCACGGGAGTGTCGGCCGCTGTCGTCGGCGCCGTCGAGGCCACTGCCAAAGTGTACGGCGTCAAGGGCGGTATCCAAACCAGCTTCCTGGCCGCCGTATGGATCGGTGCCGCCTTTGCGCTCGGTGCCAACCTCTTCTGGGTCTTTACCATTTGCTGCTGCAAGCCCGACCACGGCCGCGCCCGCAGCGTGCGCAACCGCGACAGCTACGGCGATGGCGAAAAGCTCATGCCCTCGCGCAATTACGCCCCTCTTGGCACTGACCACGAAATGACGGGATTCCAGCAGCAGCATGCCCCGCAGCACACCGGCTACAACAACAGCGCCTACTTCAATGGCCAGCCGGCTCGCCACCCCGCTGGCAACGGCCGCTCCGACCTGGCCTATGAGCCTTACTCTCATCGCGCATAAGCAGGCCTTTCGCCGCTTGTCCTTTTTCCTTTGTCCTTGTTTGTGAGCGAAAATGGTAGCTTAGACTGGCGTTTTGGGACACAGCACGCGCTGTTTGGCGGTGCTCATGATTACGGACATCATATATTTATGCGCATAGATAGTGGGCAACGCCCGTACTAGTATTCTTATACGCTACGACAATATAACGAACAATATCAGACCAACTGCAAGAATGAAGTGCTGAATGTGTGAATTGTACATTTGTAGACTAATAAGACGGTTTCGTGAGCATGGCGTAGCATTCTGGAGCCACCAATACTTGCACCTCCAAAATTGACCTGTGGAGCAAATTTTTGAGCTCTGTACAACATCACACGACAAAACGGCTTTGCAACCTGACGGCGGACAATCGTGAATTAATAGACATTATATGCATATCAATATCCGGACTAAAAACCTGTTGCATGCGTCCGCCGGCGCAGTCCCGCGACCGCACAGTTTGAGCACTTGCGCCCCTCCATCATGGCGGTACGTTGAAGCACCACAGGCCGCCTAGCCCAACACCACGCATCATCTCAAGCCACTTCACATGACTCTCTACGACTCAGGCCAAGACGCTGACACTATCCAGACGCACGGCGCTGTGAAGCTCCAAAGAGAGCTCGCGCAAGTGCCCATCACCGCCGTCGCCTTTTACCGCGACCCCGCCACCGGCGCTCTCTACGTGCTCGCCGGCGAGGACACCGACCTCGTCATCTACCGCGTCTCCGGGCCCGACGCCTCCTCCACGCGGCATGGCCTGCGCACCCCCGTGGCGCGCCTACGTATCCTCCACGCGCAGCCCATCCACGGTATCCGCGTGCAGCAGCAGCCCGCCGGCCGCCTGCTGCTCTGGGGCGGCTCGTCCGTCGCCCTGCTCCCGCTCGCCGACCTGCCCCTCGGCGGACAGGCAGCCGACACACCGCCACCGCGCTTGGCACACGTGCAGGCACCGGACTGGATATACGACGGCGCCGTGTGTCCGGCAGACGACGACCTCGCGGTGCTCGTCACGGCGCACAACGAGGTCGTCACGGTGCGGCTCGACGGGGGCGCGGCGCGCATCGCGTCGGCCCTGGTCTCGCCGTCGCGGCCTATGCTGTACGCGGCCCACGTGTGCTGGACTGCCGATGACGAGGTGCTCGTCGCGGCCGGCACCGTCTTTGGCGACATCCTGGTCTGGACGTACACTCTCGGCGGCGGCGCGCCGAGGATGCTGTATGCGCTGTCTGGGCACGAGGGCTCCATCTTTGGCGTGCACGTGTCGCCGCTGCTCGAGCTGCCCGGCGAGGCGAGCCCGGTGCGGCTACTGGCGAGCTGCAGCGATGACCGCACGCTTCGCATCTGGAATATTACAGAGGGCGAGGGTGGGGAACAACAAGGGGCGGACACATTGGGCGATACTGCGGCAGCGACGTCGGAGGTGTCAGATACGGGGTTTCGATGCGCGCCCGCCGTGTATGGCGGCGGTAGAGGGCAGGGCCGCGCCGATGTCAAGCCCATTGCGACGGCCATGGGCCACGCCTCACGCATCTGGGGTGTACAATTCGGCTTGCCTAACGAGCCCGCACTCACAGACGCCGAGCGCCGGGTCTGGGGTGGCGCGGACGGTCTACTGTCCGTGTACTCATTTGGCGAGGACGCGACGGCGCAGAAATGGCGCGTCGACGTGGCCGCTGCCCTGCGGGAGACGGGCGGCCTTGTCCACGACAAGACGTACACGCTGCACGACGGCAAGCACCTTTGGTCGCGGGCTCTCCTCTGCCGCGTCGAGGACGGCGTGCCGACGACCCGCGTCCTGGCCGGTGGCGCGGACAGCAAGATTACACTGGTCACGGAGACGGCAGACCCGGTGGGCGGCTGCGAGTACAGCGGCGCGGATACGTGGGACATGCACGATATTCTGTCGGCCATGGGACGGCCGGCGCCGGCGCCGGCCGCGGGCAAGCCCCGCAAGGAACTCATCGGCCGCTACGACTTTATCACGCCCGACGTGCTGCTCGCCGTGACCAGCACGGGCCGGGTGCTGCTGGGCACATTTACAGGTGCTCGGGCTACGTGGGAGGAGCTCGTGGTGGAGGATGAGACTGCGCGCGCGGACATGGGCCACGTGTACGCACTCAGGACGATCTGCTACGGCGGCGCGCTGCTGGGGTGCGTCACGGGCGGCGTGTACTACGTTGGGCTGCGCGACCGGCACGTGGTCCCGGTGGCCGGCCTCGCCGGCCGCGTGGTGGAAATCAGCGCGCTGTCGGAGACGGCGCGACGCGGTGCGACGGGGGACGTCGAGGCCCTCATCCACTTGCACCGCGACGCCGCCTCGGTGCTGCTCACGCTGGACCGGGCCACGGGCGCGGTCAGCAGCCAGGAGACGCTGACCGGGCTCGACAGCCGCTTCGTGGCCATGTGCGCCGCGCGCATCGACGACGTGATCGCCGTCGGCTCGCGGCACGGCTGGATCGCGCTCCTACGACGACAAGACGGTACCGGCACGCTGCGGCCGATCCTGGAGCGGCCGCCAACTAGCAGCGACGCCGTGACGGCCATTGTGCCGCTGCCTGCGAGCGCGGGCAGCCGCCAGACCAAGTACGTGCTGACGACGAGCCGCGACGGCGCCTACCGCATCTTCCAGCTCGACGTTGTCGCGGGCGCGCGGATGACGCTGCTGCACGAGACGGCGCCGCCGTTTGGGCCGTGGATCGAGGGCGCGTGGTTCACGGCCGACGCGGAGCTGGTCCTGTACGGCTTCCGCAGCACCGACTTTGTGGTGTGGAACGAGACGCGGCGCGAGGCGCTGGCGGCGTGGGACTGCGGCGGCGCGCACCGCACCTTTCGCCTGGCGCGGGACGGCGGCGGCGGCGGCGTGCGGGTCGCCTTTACGCGGACCTCGCGCCTCGCGGTGCACGCGCAGCGGGGGTCGTCCTACGAGCCGGTGCGGCGGGGCGGTCACGGGCGCGAGGTGCGGTCGCTGGCGGCGGCCGGCAGAGCAGGGGGCTACTACGTGGCTACGGGCGCCGAGGACACGACGATCCGGCTGTGGGCGTGCCCGGGGCGTGGTGGCGCGCTGCGGCCTCTTGCGTGTATGAAGCGGCACGTGGCCGGCCTGCAAAAGGTGCAGTGGGCCACGGCGGACGGCGGCGCCGCGTACCTCTTGTCGAGCGGCGGCAACGAGGAGCTGTTTGCGTGGCGCGTGCGCGCGCTCGACTCGGCGTACGCGGGGCGCGTGGCCGTGGTGTGCGAGGGCGTCTTTGCGGACAAGAGCGCGCGCGAGGACCTCCGCATCATGGACTTTGACGCGTCCCCCGACAGCGGCGGTGGCATGCTCCTGACCATGGCGCGGTCCGACTCGGCGCTCCGTACGTACCGCTACACGGCAGCGTCGGGCTTTGCGCTCGTCTGCGCGGGCCGGTACACCGGGGTCTGCCTCACGCAGGTGCGGCATCTGGAGACGAGCGGTGGGTTGCTGCAGGTGGTGACGGCGTCGACGGACGGACACTTGGCGCTCTGGCGAGGCAGCAGCAGCACGAGGACGTATGAGCTGGTGCAGACGCTCCGGGTGCACCAGAGCAGCGTCAAGAGCCTGGATATGGTGCGGCTCGCGGATGGGTACGGGGTGGCGACGGGCGGCGACGACAATGCGCTGGCGTGGACGCTGCTGCGGCTGCGGAACGAAGAGGGCGGCTTCCGGGCGGGGCTCGGCGCGATGGTGGAGAGGGCGCACGCGGCGGCCGTGACGGGGGTCGCGCTCGTGGAGATGCATGGAGAGGTGAGGTGCGTGAGCGTGAGCAACGATCAGTGGGTGAGGACGTGGCGGTTGGGCGAGGGCGGGATGCGGCTGCTGGGCGAGGCGTACAGCGGCGTGGCGGACGCGGGGGATGTGGTCACGCTGGCGAGGGGCGAGGAGGAAGATGCGAGAAGACCACGGGTCATGGTGGCGGGTGTTGGGCTGGAGGTCTGGCGGCTGGAGTGAGGAGAGGCAAGGTTGGGCGGCTGGAGCGAAGAGAGGCAAGCTTGGTGTTGAGGAGGGACGAGCATAAGACATGCGATCATGATGGGACTTTACAGGATACTACGGAGGATAAGCGCTCAAAATAGACATGGATAGAGAAAATGGAACAATAAGATGTTGCGTACATGAAAAGATAAAAAGGCTACGAGACAAGAAAATAATACAAGTCATTTTGTCCATGCAAGAGTTCAGCTGAGGAGGGGAGAGGCGTCATGGTGCGATGCTGTTTCGCTGTGCCCTTGTCTCTCGGCTCGGACACCCATGTCCTTGCATGAAAAGGAAAAAGGGCTGAGCAAGGCAGATTGTCAAAAGGAAGGGGAAGAAGAAAAAGACAGGCCGTGAGCCGGGGAATTGTTGGCCAGTTGGGTTGGTCGGATGGCCGGCGAAATGGTAGGGCGGGACACTAGTTGTGGTTATAGTTTAGCGTCAGGAACCGAAAAAACAAGTCAGCGTGTTGTGTGTGTGTGGATTTGGGCTCTTTTGCATTCAACCAATTTCACGCATCCAAGGGAGAAACGAGGCTGCCAGCCTGGCCAGCAAGGGAGGAGGGGCAGGGCATTCCAGAGGCGGAAGCCAGCGGAAGGGCCGGATTTGGTACTTGAATGGCACGAGCTGAATTGATTCGCAGAGCAGATTTGTAGGGTATAGGCTGTCCCTGGGCTATATGATAACATATGGTCTGGGGAGGAATGATGAGCTGGTTCGTCGGGCAGCGTGCCGTGTGAGAGCGTGTGTATTGTGCATGTGTGAAGCTGGGGGAACAAGCTGCAGTAGTCCAAACAAGTGGCGGGATACGAATGGTCCGGGCAACCGGGATCCAAATGCAAGCGATGACTCTGAGGCGGCGTCCGTGGCATTTCTCACTAGTCTTTTTTGAAGCTGATTCCGTGCCGTCTTTGTTCAGAGGGCGAGGAGAGACTCATCACACACAGAAGTACAGTATATCTTGGCGGACCGTCGCCCTGCAGGGCTGTCCCCGCAGGTAGTTGGGAACTTGTCAGTATTAATTTGTACCAGCCTCCTTTCTTCTTCACAAGCAGTAAAAAAGTGGCCGAACCAAAAACAAAAAAAAAAAAACTCAAAAATCAATTCCGCATCCACGCTTGGCACTGTGGACATGACCGGAGATGCCAACCGGGCGCGTAATATAGGCCAAGCTTCCCAACTATGCGTAGGGCAAAATTGATCGCGGTGCCCCCTGTCGCGCGTGGTTTTTACAGTGGTACCCCCAGTGGGTTTGCTTTCGACAGTAGTGGGTTTGGAGCGGGGAATCGTTGAAGAATGAATTGAATTTGCATGTCTAGGATTATTAGGATTATTAGGATTATTAGTTAGTAATAGTATTTTTTTCTCTTCATCTTGCTGGTTACCCGTCTGACCTCATCTTTTGCTCAAGCCGTCCCGTTTCATGTTTCACTGTTTCCGGGGTGAATCGTCGGTGTGCTGGAATGTGCTTCCCTGTCTCGTTCAGTTGGTTGTATTGCTCCGGCACCATGCGTCATGGCGGAGAGAAGAGAGGGCCAGCCGCAAGCAATGAAAAAGCAAGCCACTGTGCTCCAGCAGGATGAACTAGCGTTTTTTCCGTGCTACCTGTACAAATTAGTTAGGTACCTCACAGCGCTTTCATCTTGGGTGAGAGATGATGGCGTCGTGAACACGAGCCCTACAAACGCTAATCTTTCAGTAACCTTTTGTCTGGCCCGTGGCTGGAATACTGGTCTGCCAGCGGCTCGTAACCTTCTTCTGGCGTCATGGCCCAACACCCTCAAGGCTCTCCGAGGCTTTCCCTAGACCCAACCCGTCCATCCTTACTACCTTAGTACACAAGTTAGTAGTGTCAGGGTCTGCCTGCCTTGCCTTTCTGTTAGTTCCTCCCGTCAGCACACCTCGGCTTGCCTTCAGCCCGCAGCCCCCTCCTCGTACAGCTTCAGCCCAGAAATCCTATTTCGTCATGGTCAATAAAAGTAAAAATAACAGACTAAATAAAATAAAAATACACACGGACACCGGCTTCTCTCGTCCATTTTATTCACGCATGCCAGGTCCCTATACTCGGTAGGTATTCTATATGTACCTACCTTCTGCCCACCACTCATGTACATACATATCGATCCATGCTCTGCGCCGAAAACATCGTCTTGTCCCCCCGGCCTGCCACACCACACCACCCCCTCCCTCCTTCCTCTCTTGTTTCCTCGCAATGGGAATGCAACCATCGGCTGCTTCTGGTTCATGACTGTCACACTGCCTTAAAAGTTGCCGCCCAGCCATCGATGCGCCCGATCCTTACTTGTTTCTTGTCTGACCCGACCGCAATTCCACATTGCCTCTGTTTTCCTCTCTACGCCTCCACAGAGACGCACCCGCCTCCTCTTATATAAAATACTCAGCTTGGCACATCACTCGACACTTGTCCGCACCCTCGATAGTGTTTTTCTCGTCATCTCGATATCATCTTGGACTCGGAGCTTGACATACACAAGCCACACTCGATACCCCCGCCATCAACACGAGGCCACTACCAGTATCAACCACACAACAGCCAGCCAATTGACAACACATGCACCGATATACACCAATCGTCGCGATGAAATCGTTGACTCTTGCCCTCGCCGCCATCATGGTCTCGCCCATCTTCGCCGCCCCCATCGGCCCCAGCGGCCCCTGCCCAGACGTGAGTTGCTCAGGGCCAACCTGCCCTTCACACGCCCAAAATACTAACAAATCTTTCGTCGTCCAGTACAAGGTCGATGCCATCCTCAACGGCCAACTCGACCCCTCGGCATGCTGCTCCTATGGAACGTGCAAGGGCGACGTCGTCATCTCGGTCGGCGAGTGAAGCGTAACCCGGTCCTGCCCTCTGCCGCCTCGAATCAGCAGAGGAGCATGCTCACACAAAATTCACGGCGCCGTTCCTGCGTGTGTAAGACGTCTCAAGATGCGAATATGACGCGGTACTTGGTCCCTCTTGGACATGACCATCACCTGCCTAGACATGGCCATTGAACACGAGAGGAACGGTGCATGCATCGCCTTGTCTTTTCACAACGGAACTTTCTTGTCATGACTCACAACAATCATCAATTATACTCGAATCGCTCGACAACAAGCCAGTTTCACGGCACCCTTTCTTCGGCGTTTTCGCTGGCGGGAATGCCATTTCTTTCTTTATGGAGAGGAACGATGTCATTGTTGGGCGACACTATCAACTCACGCTGTTGTGCCACGACGCAGCTCTCTCTTTTTTTCTTTTTTTTTTTTGGCAGAAGCTGTATGGATTAGCATATTGGAGGGCAAAGCATACGACCCCCGAGTGTGGTGGGAGAGAAGTTACATGAACTTTTTAACGCAGCAATCACGGCGACGCCTCGTGCCAGCAGCAATACAGCAACAGTACAGCCAACTTGACTAATTTTGCCGTGCTATGCATTCGATATCCAATTTGTGTAGCCTCTTGCCTCTTTGTAGACGCATCCGCGAAGCCCTTGTTCTGGCGCTATTGTATGGCACGGCAGACAAGCCCTGGAACATTGTTTGAATGTGCTCCCCACCCGCTTGCCTCGTACGACTCGCTTCTCATCAGCCCACTAGTTACTCTGATTGCTCTCCCTGGATGCATTTTTGAGTCCAAAGGCAAGCATCCCAACAATGGTCCTCCCTCCCCCCGCAATTGTGACGACTGTGCACAGCGGAAAACAAATACGGGCTGGGGAGAGGAGCTGAGCAGCGGCGCACAGATGGGGAAGTTGGCGTCCGTGCAGCGCCAGCCGAATACGAAACGACCAGTAAGAATCAACAAGGCCGGTTGGGTGTCGAGGGCAAGAAACTTTATTTGCCATTGCGCGAGAAGTAATCCGTACGGGGGACGCCTAGTTAAATCGAATGCCCTTTTTTCATATTTCGTTGGCGGTTTCTTTCTGCGCATTGATCGGCGGGCCAAGACGGTGGCGCTCCAAACACATCACCGATCGGTGGCGCTGCCCGCCGGCGTCCCTTGTTCTGATGTGGTTCTTGTCAATCCGCTCTTTGTCGGCCTCTTCTTTATACGTACATATATATCAACGTTCGTTTTCGGCCCCCACGATGCTTGTGCGACCAGGGAAAATGGTCCGCGCTCGTTACCGGGTTGCTTGATGGAGAGAGTCGCTCGGAACGGGCGTGGACGGAGCCTTTGCTTTAGCTTGCACTCTAGAGGCGTGCTTCATCTGCTCACATCAAAAGAGCAGTGGGATATATAATTTTGGTCTTTTTTTTCTTCTCGTGCGATAAAGATCGTATTTGAGTCCGTTCTTCTGTCTGTGACAACGGGACATAAAATAGTTATCACATGGGAACGCCAGTCCCGCTCCACGGATCAGGGATTTTGGCTGCTGGTTGTCCGTTCATCATCTAATCACATTTATTATCTGGTCTATACTTTATCTAACTTCTACATGTTTCGTCTACTTGTCATTTAGTTTACTTGTTTTCTAGTCTATATTTCATCTAGTCTACAGTTGTTATCTACTCTTTCTCCGTTACTCAATCTGGGCGCCGATGTGTGGTGGGTTTCTTATTTCCGTCTTATTTGCATCAAAATTCAACTTGTGATGAGGGACCAGAATCTATTTTGCCATGATACGATAATCGGCCAAATCCAATCCAATCAAGTACAACCATTTCCAAATACACCATGTCTTTTTTGTTTCTGTTCAAGTACATCTGGCAAACTCCTCTTCCATGCATGTTCCCGCTCGCGACTACCATCCGACATCCCCGTGTTTAACCCTCGGCCTCGTACGAGTTGGACTTGTGCTTGGGCATAAACTGGAACCCAGGATGGCAAGGACCGAGGAACATTTCTCTGCGCGGAATCGTTAGTTTGGCATTACATCTACGACACAGTGCATCGCACTTTGCACGGGGGGGGGACGACTTACGAAATCTTGATCCAGTCCTTGTAGTTGGGCGATGCCAAGAGCGTCTCGAGGTCGTTGCGACCGCGGTACGCGGGCGGCCGCTCATTGATGCTCGGCGGCAGCCGCTCGAGCAAGCCAATCGGCACGTAGCGGTGGGCAAAGCTCAGCCACTCGAGCAGGAAGCGCCGTGTGAAGCCTAGTCCGAGCTCGTCGGAGCCCCAGGCCTCGAGGCCGTAGCGGGCAAACTTTTCTATGTACGCGAGGCGCTCCGACGCCGACTTGTCGAGGTACTGGCCCTTTTCAATCTCCTCAAAGAGCCAGGGCTTGACGAGGGCGCCGCGGCCAATCATGACGGTGTCGACGCGCGCCTCGTCAATGTTGCGGTGGTAGTCGACGTGCGAGTAGCAGTCGCCGTTGCCGAGGAAGAAGAGGCGGCCGGCGGCGGCCTGCGTGCGGGCGTCGGGCTCAGCGGCCGTGTCGGCGAGGGCGTCGCGCGTCGCGTTGTGCGCGCGGATGAGCGCCGCGCACTCGCCAATGTAGCCCCAGTCGGCGAGCTTGGTGTAGCGCTGCTCGCGGCTGCGGCCGTGGAGAGTGATGGCGGCACAGCCGGGGGCGCCGAGGCGCGCGCGGTGCTCCTTGGAGCCGAAGGCGAGCCGGTCAATGACGGTGGGCGCCGTCGGACGGGAGCTGCGCACGCCGGTGCGGATCTTGGCGGTGATGGGCACCTCGCCCGAGACGGCGTTCATGCCGCGAATCATGCGCTCCAGCTTGCCGTGGGACTCGAGCAGCGCGGACCCGCCGCCTGACTTGTACACCATGTCAATCGGGCAGCCGCAGTTGAGGTCGATGAGGCGTAGGTGCGGGCAGAAGCGCGCGAGCGCGCTGGCCGCCTTGGTCGTGACCCAGTGCGCGCTGCCCGAGATTTGCGCGCCAAAGCGAAGGTCGCGCGCGTGATCGTACAGGGGCACCGTGCTCGTGTAGGTGGGCGGTACCGTCTCCGACGTGTGCGCCTTCATGAGTGTCCAGTCCGCCTTGACGCCCTGCAGTAGCGGCATGCCCAGCGCCATCTCCGAGTACGTCAGCTGGCACCCCAGCTCGACGCACAGCCGCCGAAACGGCAGGTTGCCTTGCGTCGTCAGCGGCGCGAGCGTCGGCGTCTCGCGGCCAAAGTACAGGCGCCGCTTCTCGGACGGCAAAAACGGCGGGTCGACATACTGTGCGCGGTTGTCCTCGGCGGTGGCCGTTTCTTCTTCGCCTGCTTCGTCCTTGCGCCGGTGATGGTTCTTTTGATTGATTTTGGACTCGGCGTCCATCCAGGCAATGTACTTTTCAGCATCGCCAAAGTCGAGGCGCTTGCGGTTCATGTCGATCTTGACCGACATGGGTACAATGTTCACGACGTCGGGTCGCGCGTCGTCGACATCAGCACCGCCGTCCTCGTTGGTCTCGCCGTCGCGGCCCGACTTATCCACCAGGACCAGCTCTTTGCGGCCGTCGGCACGCGTAATCTCCTCCATGTGGCTGCGCACGAAGCGGCACTTCCAGCCAGACGGGCATCGGCCGTGCTGGGAAAACACGGGGCACTTGCCCTCAAAGGTCTCGACGTCGCCGCGGCGACCCTCGGCGAGATACTGGCGGATGTCGTGGCACAGGCGGCAGCGGTCGCCGAAGCGGCACTCGCGGGGTGAAAACTCGGGGGAAAAGGCGCGGCTGTTGCAGAGGGGCAAAGCGTCGTCAAACTTGCCAAAGGAACGCTCCGTGTTTTGACCCTTGGCCTTTTTCTTCTTTCCACGCTTGCCGCCGCCGTCCCTGTCGTCTCCGCCTTCACGACCCTCGGCGGCGTCATCGTCGGCAGGGGCCTCTTCTGCCTGACCGCGAAGATCAGCGGCGTCAATCAGATACCTAAAGCGCGGCGCGGGTCAGTTATCATTGACAGTCTTTTGGATAAGGTGGAAATCATACTCTTTCTTAATGGGGGCATATCCCTTATCTCTATTGTCTCTATCATCCAGCTTTTTTATAGAGCCGTTGTCTTGTGTAGCAGCACCATTCTGAGCGGTGACGTTTTGATCAACCGGAGCTTCAGCTGTCGTCGACTCTTCGACCCTTTGTCTTTTGGCGGCAGGTTCCTCAATCGGGGAGACTGGTCGCCCGTTGGTGGACTGATCAGAAGTAGCGTTTTGCGCGACCTGGTCCGTCATGTTGAGCGATCGTTGTGTTTGCAGCAAATGATGAGTATCTCAGTGAGGCGGTTGGCCAAGAACGAGGTGTAGACCACCGGGTACCTAGAGGCTACTATATTCCAATTGATAGTATCCAGAATAGTGAAAGATCAGCTTTGAGTGGAAATAAAATACGGCTGGTGATGTAAGTGAGATTGTAGAGAGGATGTTGGTGCTGTTGAACGAACGCAGGCGATAAAATTTCGACGGCGGGCTCGCAGCCGCAGCCGCTAGTTAGCGCAGCCAATGGGCTTACACAGCGCCTCTCGAACCGCCATCCTTTCACAACTCCAAGCCCAAGACGTCTGGAGGGGCGTACGACAGGAGGTATATTAAATCACTTGCCTAGTTCGTGGTTTCACAAATTTTGGTAACGAACGGCCAAAGCCGCTCCCTTTGCATACTTTTGTAGTGCTGTCGGCTGGCACGGAACCTCAAGAAGCACATTCAATAGCACGGCCAAATCAGCTGATTGACGACAAAACCCAACTATACCTGTCCAATTTAAATGATCCAAGATATACCTTGATTGGGATTGCCGTCGTTTTCCTAACCGTGGTTGCGGCAAGCCAAAGCGGCAATGAAATCGGATCTAAGCTACCAACTCCCCACCTTCAAACGTCGCGGGGCGGGCGCTCGCGTCCAGACCACAACCTCCCAAGTACAAGCAGCAACTCCAACGCGACATCATCCCCCACTCAATTGCACGACGTTTTGGGCAGGGGGTCATGCCGAATACCTGACCCGCCCACCATCTTTCGACGGCCATGGTAGACCTGGGCAAGTCGGCCCGCCCGCGCGCCGTGAGCAGCGCACAATCCACCACCCCCTCGATCGTCGCGCACCGCTCGCACAAGAGCCTCGTCAGCTCCCAGCCCGAGCGGACCAATATTTACGAAGACTCGGACGATGAAGGCGGCTCGGACGAAGACGACGACGACGACGATGACGACGACGACGACGACGATGATGCCAAGCCGCCGCAGCCGCCGCCGACGTCCCACCAGGCACTGCCCAGAAGCCACACGCCCGGCCATCTCGCCAGCAAGAGCGTCAACGACCGAAGCGCGGTCGCCGCCGCCACCAAGCAGGCCGCCGAGCTGGCCATCCGCCAGCGCTCGCAGTCTACATCTCAGTTGCCCCCGCGGCCCGCGACGGCCGGCCCCAGCAGTAGCAGCAGTAGCAAGAGCTACCCCAAGCAGCAGCAGCAACCGCCGCCGCCGCCACTGACAGCCGACGGCCACGATCGGGACGAGAAAAAACGGGGCTACGCGCGTACAACGGCGGTGTTGACCTCCAAACCCAATACGGCGTCGTCGCAGAGCACGTCGGCGGCGGCGCTCTCGCAGGTGGTGCCGCCGCCCCAGCCCCAGCCCCAGCCGCCCCCGGGCGAGCACGTGGCATTCCCGCCGCTGCAGGACCCCAAGGACGCGCTCGAAATGGCGCCGGCGCCGGCTTCGGGCATGTACTGGTCGCGGGCGCCCGTATCGGGAGCGGCGCACTCTCACCTGCGCGCGCACACGACGACGCTCGTCGGCTCCAACGTCTACGTCTTTGGCGGCTGCGACGCGCGGACGTGCTTCAACACCATGTACGTGCTCGACGCCGACGCCTTTTACTGGTCGGTACCGTACGTCGTCGGCGACATCCCCGCGCCGCTGCGCGCCATGACGTGCACCGCCGTCGGCCGCAAGCTCGTCGTCTTTGGCGGCGGCGACGGCCCGGCCTACTACAACGACGTCTACGTGCTCGACACGCTCAACTTTCGCTGGAGCAAGCCCAAGGTGGCAGGCGACCGCGTACCGTCCAAGCGGCGCGCGCACACGGCCTGCCTGTACAAGAATGGCATCTACGTGTTTGGTGGCGGCGACGGTGTGCGCGCGCTCAATGACATTTGGCGGCTCGACGTCAGCGACATGACCAAGATGACGTGGCGGCTCATCTCGGGCCCTGAAATGCCGAGCGGTAGTGGCGCCGGCGCCGCCAAGGACCAGCCGCCGCGACGACCCAAGGCGCGCGGCTACCACACGGCCAACATGGTCGGCAGCAAGCTCATCATCTACGGGGGCTCCGACGGCGGCGAGTGCTTCGACGACGTGTGGGTGTACGACGTCGAGACGCACGTGTGGAAAGCGGTGTCCATCCCCGTCACGTTTCGGCGGCTCTCGCACACGGCCACCATTGTCGGCTCCTACCTGTTCGTCATTGGCGGCCACGACGGCAGCGAGTACTGCCAGGACGTGCTGCTGCTCAACCTCGTCACCATGGCGTGGGACAAGCGCCGCGTCTACGGCCAGAGCCCGACCGGCCGCGGCTACCACGGCACCGTGCTGCATGACAGCCGGCTGCTGGTGGTCGGCGGCTTTGACGGGAGCGACGTGTTTGGCGATGTTCATATTTTGGAGCTGGCGGTGCACGCGTACTATTCGCAGATAAGCCATTTCACAATTGAGGTGTAAACGCAGGGACGAGGACAGCAGATAACATAGGATACGTGGATGGCTGGAGGATAATGAAACATGTACATGACATAATGAGATCTCGAATATTTGCAGTAATTGTGATTTTATGTATGCTATATCGTACAGAAAGCTAGGCTGTGACTAGCTGAATGAAGGTCAATTTCGCCCTGTTGGGTCATCTATGCAAAGTCTAATTCATGGACCTCCTTTCCACCCAAATGTCATGTGTCTTCGTTGGGGTTTTTATAATTGCGCAGCTTTTCCGCAAGCTACAGTGTATATTTTTACAGTGCCAAGCCAAGTGCTCAGTGTATGTCGGGAGATTTGTTGTTTTTAATGCGGCGGCCGGCTGGCCAGCTGCTTGTGATTCGTGGGCGTTGACAGAGCATTTACGCCTTGACGTCGGTCTTTTCGGACTGCTCAGCCTTTTCAGACTTTTCCAAAGTCTCCTCAGCGGGCTTGCTGTCGTTCTTTTTGGAAGCTTGATTGGCCTTGCGCTCAGCAATGCGCTTCTCCTCGGCCTCGACCATGTCTACAAACTGTTAGCCATCTGTTTCCCCGCAAGCCCCCTCAGCGAGGGCGGTGGCTACTTTCAGAGGGGGGGTGTCTCTTACCCATCCAGAGGTCCTGGCCCTCGTACTCCTCCTTGTGGACGCGCTTCTCGATGAGGTGCTTGTGCTCCGGGTCGTTGGGGTCGAGGACCAGGACCGTCTCCCAGCGACCGCTGCCCGACTTGGCGTCGTTGACCTCAAAGGCGGCCGAGACGATGAGGACGGCGAGGGTCAGGCCCTGGGCGTAGACACGGGCCTGGACGAGCTTCTGGGCTGTGCTAACGGGGGCGCGGCCGACGAGGGCGAGGGCGACGGCCATCGAGGCCAGCCAGCTGGTGAAGACGATGCTGTAGCGGTTCTCCTTACCCCAGGCCATGAAGCGCTGGTAGGTGGTCTCGTTGTCGCGGGCCAGCTGGGCGGCGCGCTGGCTCTTGTCCTGGTACCCCCACATGGGGTCCTGCGAGCGCTGGAACTGCGTCGAGCGCCGGTCGGCGTTGACGATGGCGCAAAAGGTGGCTGACGAGGTGACGAGGAAGGAGCGGAAGGGGAGCGTCAGGCCGCGAAAGGCAGGGTAGCGGCGCGACGCGAGAACGACGCCGCCGAGGCCAATGGCCAGACCGGCGCCGCCGCCGATGAGGCCGCTGTTGACGACGACCTTGTAGTGCGCGGCCTCTTCTTCCTTGCTGAGAATCTTCATCTTTGCGTGGTGTGTGCGGGGGGGAAGGGGTGTCTGGCGGTCGGTTGGATTCACTGGATCGGCCGGACAATGGACAATTGAAGTCGGCGAGGGCGAAAGATGCTGTATCAATCTCTCGAGGAAAGATGTATCGCAGGGTGAGCTGCGTGTGCTGCGATGATGCGTTGATGATGAGATTGCCGGAATCAGAAATGACGCTGTTGCCAGCTGGAATTTAGTGGGCCTGGTCTGGTTGGGTGTCTGAAAGCTACGCACTGAAGATGGCCACTTTCAAGCCGAAAGACTCTGGTGATGCTATGCGAATTAAATATAGCCGCTGAAACTTGCAAGACTGGCGAGTAGGATTTTTTCGGGCACGCTCTTGTTCATATATCGCGGGAGAATGACATGGCGTGCCGGAAGAAACTCGTACGATAATGGGCAACCCGAAGCCGGTTGCCATCCGGGCCACCGAGCCGAAAAAAATAACTTGCCGAGACCCCCCGAGAGTGCCCCGAAACGCTGCGTCATATGTAGCTGAAAAAGTGCATCTCCGTGGTGGACAGTCGTCGATGCTCATGGAAATAAATTGGTCATTGTGCGTAACCGGAAAGGATACATGTGTTCTTTCGGGTTTTATTTTGCCCTTGCGCGAGCGCGATACATCGGCCAACCAACCCATCATCTCTTGATCGCTTGCACGACGCCAGGGCCGTACCTCACCGGCCCGTGTCACTCACGGCTCATCGCTTGGCATACACTAATACCAGCCACAAGTGTGTAAAAATAAGTGTATTGCGGGCTTCAGATCTGGAGTAGAGGAACTCGTTGTGCTGTTAGCACAAGCTCTATTGCATCCTCGACCCCCTGCTCACCATCACATCGAGAAGTCCGTCAATAAATTGCCTGATAGTCAAGTGACGATTGGCAGATCAAAACCTCCCTCGCCATTGCTGTGCACTTATGACTCAATCGATATTATTCCCTAGAAATTGTGCAAGTGCAGAACACTCAGGTCCAAAGGCTTCGAGGATAGCTGGTGGTTTCTCAGATTCTAGCTGCCTCAAGCGATAACGCGTTTCCATTTAAAGAGTCAGTCCTGTAGATAGAGTAATAAATTATAAAGATATAGATACCCAACAAGATCTCTTATCCTCAGCTACACCTGCCTTTATGCCTTATGAGTTGTAGGGAAGTGGGAGCTCCATAGAACATTCCGCGTGCGCTGGTCACAGTGGCAGCGAGTTGAATGTATCATGACTCTCAGAGCCAATGTACAATATAATCCGAGGAATTATAAAGTGTGTCAGACTCGACGAATTGACAAATTGTCCTATACTCATCGCCCGCGACAACGTCCAAATGATCAACTGCGAAGAACAGCATGGGGTCGGTCGAAGGCCAGCATGAAGAGATGATAAAAGGGCAAAAAGCAAACATAGAAAGACCCAAAAGCACCAGAAGAGTCCGTGGGACGGGGAAAGTAAAAAAAATATTATGAGAAGGACGAGCGATATGCGAAAGCAGGCTCGACCGAATGACCGTGGGGGCTTATATAGCACTGATGCTTTCTGAGGAAGCCCTGTCGCAAACGATTGGGAGGTTACTTTAGTAAGCAATTGGTAAATTGTACTATGCCTAGATGATAGGGTTCTTTTTCAATTCTTTGTAGTAGCTGCCACTGCGCAACGAGCTGGGCAACGGCGCGTAACGTCCTCGTTTGTCGAGATGTCATCATGTAGTACAGTAACTCCCCCCCAGCATGGCAGCTACACGGTATCCCGGTAAACTACTGTAGTAGATGGCCTCTGGCATCTACAGATACGGGTGTTCATGAACCAAATTGCATGTCATACGCGGACTGGCCAACGCCGGGTAGGCCTGCCTTCTTTGGTTGAGTACGAGCTGCGGCTACACGTCCTGAGAGGACGTCTGCGATCAATTGAACGAGGAAATCGGCTACGCAAGCTCTTGAATGAATTCCGGCGAGGTCAGTAAGTAAATGACCTTGTTCAACAATGTAGTAACGAACACGAACGCGGCTACCAACGATAAATACACCCTCAGCAGGGTGAGTGACTCGTCAGTGGCAATAGAGTCAGATGCGTAATAATACCAGCCAATGACTTGTCCGCTCTCGGCGGACAAGAGCCGCGTTCATACAACGACGTACATGGATACGGGCACAGTGCCTCCTCGACAAGGACCAGGCTCTTACGGACCTCGTGATAACTAAATGAAATCTCAACATGCGGCCAATGCCAGCGTACAGGCCACGCGCCCCAAGGTCGGGCGAACGAGGGGCGATCCAGAGTGCGGCTAATACAGGAACATGCGTCCATACGATGGGTGTCCCTGCAATGCATCGATGCGTAAATAAGTGATACTATTAATACTATGAATAGGGGCCAAATAACGTCTGCATGCGGCCGCGGCGCGTGGGTCTCTCGGAAGCTGCCGCGAATACCGCGCATGTTGCACTTGTACTGGTACCCTCTCCAGGAACCAGGCAAGTTCAGTAACTAATAGTTAGCGCAAAAGAACAACAAAGAGAACAAAAGGATGGAGATTGTGCGCGGGCGCAGCCTCGGCAGAGGTGGGGGAGGCCGGTGACACCGAACAGACATGGAGGCTCAGGGCCGATTTTCATTATTAGTGCCTTCCTCGTTATTGTAGCTCCCACCTAGGTAGTATTAGATATTGCTGGCCAAGCCAAGCATGTGCATTGCGCGTACCAGCAACTAGTTGGTCACCAAGCGAAGAACATGGCGAGTTGCATGCAAGTTGCACGAAATAGGGTCTTGATCCGCCACATGTTTCATCGAAAGAGAAAAATAGCAGCAAAGCACTTAGAGGCCAGCGTATAATTGTGTCTCTATAATTAGCTGTCACTTATTTACAAAAAAAGGTGACACAGGCGGTGAAACCTGGGCGGCCGGTTCTTGTCAGATGCGTCTTCGTTGACGACGGCGGGCAATTGCCGTCGCGGTCGGCGTCTGGGTGCGCATACCCGGGACTTTGGGACAGGGCATCATGACCACAGTTGTTGATTCAGTTGCTAGATTCAGCAGGGTTGGTTTCCGAGGAGGGGCCAGATCCTTGTATGCCCGAGGGCTAAAAGCCCACGATTCAATTGCACTCGATGAAACCTAGTTTAACCAAGGGTCCAATCGTGAATACCGTGCTGTGCTGATTGATGGTGCTCTCACGCGACAGGTTTGGATGGGGTCGCTTTGTGCAAGACAAAAAAGAAAACCCAGCGGACCGCGCTTTCGCCCTGGTCAAGAGCGGCGAGCCTGTAACTACATAACTTAGTACCTAGTACTGTAATAGTTAGTTCAAATAATCATTCGTTACGAATAGTTATCCACAGAAACCAGGCTCCAGTTAATTAGTTTCGGGGCTGTGGACCACTTTATGAGAGAAGATGAGCGACTCGATGGCTGTTCCGATGGAACAAAGTGGCAAGGAACCCTACAACCCCTACAACCATACTGTAGGTACCTACCTCCTAGTGGCCACAGCGGAGCGCCTCTGTAATAAATGATAGAAGGCTTCTGGAACGACCCCATTCGTTCCATGCAGGTCCCTCATCACGCAGTGGCAAACATTGAGACGCCCATCACGACAAAGGGCAGACCTAGTAACAGGTTGACCGAATTCTTACGCTTCAGAGTCGGCAGCATCGATATAATTACCTAATGATATTCTGCAGTACCTAGTGGCAAGGGATGACGAGACTTGTTGCCCCTGTAAATAGGCAAAGTCAATCTGCGCCATCACGCGGGCGAGACGCTCTCTAGCAGTCTTTGAGGCTCCCGGAGCTGAGGCGTTCGCTAACTATCGGGGCCCTGCGGTTGATCGGCGTGACAGCGAAACGTGGTGGCGTCGAGTCTAATTCTCGGCGGCTGACCAGGACACTCAGCGCACATGCAGTAAAAGACGTACGAGTCGGATCGCGACCAACAAATACTCATAGGCCGATATCTAAATACCTAGGTACCTACCTACCTAGGTACCTGGTGGTTGGGCCTGTCCCTCTGGTTGAATTTCTCGCCGAGTGTCACCAGTCTGTCCATGTCGCCGCCGAATACAGGCACCTGCTGGTACTTTAATCATTATTAGTGGACTTCAGTGTCTTCAGTGTATGACTCAGGTGGCCTTGGCCAAGACAGCGCCATTACAGCCCACCCATATTTAAAACAGGGTCACCCATGTGGCAACGAGGATTTGGTTCATGGGCATCAGGCATCTCAGAGCATTCACGATGGGCTCACAACAGAGGTCCTAGTTATCGAGGGGTTTGTGAGCCTCTAAAATACCTCCTACCGTAACGCAGATCCAAGAGCACTGCCACTTGCTCTCGCGAAAAATAACGACGTGCGGAATGCAGCAGCTAAGTCAACATACATCTGGCCCGGCGCTATAAACGCTTAGTGCAGGCTAGAACAGACCGCTGATTCCGGTGGTGGCCGCGTTCCGCCAGCACCTAATCTTTTTACGCTGCATCCGCAACACCATCGTTATTGTACGTGTTGCTCTCGGGGTAACTGCTACAAGGTTGCACCGTAGTACTGTGTATTAGCTTGTGCTTCCCAGATCATCAATACCTACCTGGTAGTTAGGAGGCGGGTAGAAAGGGGTTTCACCACTGCGTATCACTCGGCTCCTGCTTCAACGAGTTGGTGGCGCAGGAGATCAAGCACGCCCGTGAGCTGATTCGAGGCTGGTGGTGGAAGCATCAGACCACACCTAGCTGCATGTCTAGGACTTTCTGAGCCAGCGGGAATCGTCGCCCGCCAGGCTCCAAGTAACATCACCCTTGCCCGGGAAGTGGGCGGTGACAGACACGCATGAATATCCATGCTGTCTTGCAGCAGCCACAAAGTAACGTGCAGCACAACACAGAGCCCGAAGCGAGAGCTGTAATAGTATGAGAACGATATGCTCGAGGTAGCTGCCAGCAGGAAAGGTGAGGATTGCATGGACATGCCATTGCTTGCCAGGTCTTGGTCCATTCCGTTATTTCAAGCACCAAAATACTTAGGCTGCTAGGTCTCCGTCCCGGTTAGACAAAGCAGAAGCAGAGGTACAGGCTGTAAGGCTGTATTTGTCCCTTGAGCCTGTTGATTCTCGGCCTACCACAACTCCTGCCCGATTCTTCAGTAACTTACCGGGTTCAACTTATTGTTATTAATAAATCATTTAATGAGGTGCAACGTTGTACATACTGGGACGGATGTGCACGTATCACGTCTCCACTCAACAGACACTTCAAGGCTGCACTCGAGCTCCCTCGAAAAGAAGCATGAGGTAAAGTGTGTATGTATTAGGGAGACGCATCGTTGGTTGATGTTGATTACATACTTGGCCAATCATGTTCATTCAGTCCGAAAGCGCCTGGTCTCGAGATTGCTGCTAGAGTCTCCTTGCATGTACAGAGTACACTGGGAGTATTGAGGTCTCTGCTCATTCAGGCTTAGTGTGTTGGCCAGGCCCAAAGCAAGAGTCATTCGGGGTACCTAGCGAGGCTAGATGGCTGGCTGGCTGTACCAGAAACAACAGTTTGGAAGCGGCGCACGCCTAGTTACCAATAAGTTGTATGAAACGTTGAATCTGGCGTACCTAGACTCTTGGAGTTCCCCTTGGTAAATGTGGGCAAAGTCTCGGACGGAGCATAACGAAAGGACCATTTACACTGCTCCGACAAGCGAGATCTGGAGTTTTGACTGTATATGTATATTACTGAGTAACTGACGGGGATTCGTCACATAGCACGCAGGTAGGGTACCATCTGCGTAGGTATACAGTAATTACCTAGTCAAAGTGTAGCGAGGTAAGTTGATGGCTGCCACAAACCACGGCATGGTCGGATGACTATTTCTGTCCCGACCCTTTAAAGAAGTTTGCCATACATACGACCCTGGCTTAGCCTTCTGGGCGTCGCCAACCAACAGTGATGCGGCTGCGGCTGGCGCGGTATGAGGACTAGTCAAACTAGGTAGTTAGCATCAAGAGAGCGCCCGCCGAATTGGTAGGTTTGCGGTGGCCGCAACTGGTGTGGTGGATGGCTGGCGACTAGCCTATCTTTAGGTAGGTAGGTCGTAGATGTACCAAGTACATGTCGCTCAAGTGCATGAAATCTACGGAGCAGTTAGCTGGTGTATGTATTCCGATGAACCTGGCCTGGAGATGCTGAGAAGTGGCTAGATGGCTGCGGGCGTCGTCTGACGGGATGCGAAGAAGGAGAAGGAAAAAGGACACACACACACAAAAAAAAACACGAACGAAGCCATGCTTACTGTGACTTGCTGCCTGCCAACCCCGTAGACAGTAAGTAGATAAAATGGCGAGAGCGAACAAGCAGCCGACATGCACGGCAACGCAAAGTGATCCGTTTGCTGGTGCATGGTGCAAGTCGGTGTCGCAGAGAAAACAAGCCACCTATTTGTTATCCGCTGCATACCTACCTATGCATGTCTTTGATAGAGCCTTGCGAGGTTGAATAATCACTGCCACGATCTTTCTGGGCGCATCGAACTATCGCCACTCGGCAGCGCATTACCCAGGTATCTACTTAGGTACCTACCTCCTATCTATCTACACTAAACCTATCAGCAGCCTCGCCACTCAGCCGCCACCCAGGTATCTGGATTACATCTTTGACGGCAGCCTCGCTGGTCGAGAAACTACCGACTGTCGAGATATACAAGCGCGAGTGATAGTTGGAGTTCGCTTCCTACTCTTTGTTTGACTCACCGCCGCCACGATTTAGTATCGAGCCAACCAACCACGCCAGGGGCCGTCCCCCCCCCATATCCGCGTCACACATCCAGACTCGACTTACACAGCGTCGACGCCGGCAAGTCATCGCGCATTGCCAGAGCCAGCCGGACAATCGTTCAACAAGGCGAGTGGACCTCATCAGTCCCTAGTTATAGGACCCCCCAGACTTTGCTTCTATTACACGCATATTCAATAAATAGCCCCGAGTGCGGGCGCATCGACGAGGTTGCGGATAGCTAGCGTCTCCTTCAACAAGACTACCTCTTAGGTACTCGACCGGGCTGTGACACCAGTCAACCAAGTGCGGCCGAACCAAGCCCAGGCCCAAACCAAGGCAGACACCTGGTACAATGACACTGTATACAGCAGAATAATACGTCGGCAGCCGTGTTGGTCTTGCGATTCTCCCGGGGATTTCTGGGGGGAGGGACTTCCATAATCACTCCACCCTGACCGTATTTCTTACCGCTGTCCCCCGTGGGTTCTCACTTCTGGGGCAGCACTCAGCACTCTCGCACGATTCGGATCACCAGCAACGTGTCCGAGTAAATTTGGACGAACAAAGCCCGCGGAAATTATCAAGTATACATGTGCAAGATATAAATTAAGGCAACAAGACTACAGACAGGTATTACGACAGTGAGCAACAATAATCTATTGAAAGGCGTATGCACAGAAGCGGCATACATCTTGGAGCATTGAGCGGCAGCGCAAACAAGGCGCAGCGCAGCCACAGCAAGCGAGAAAGCGATGAAGCGGGCTCTACAGTGGCTCGGGGGTGCCAGCACCGCAGGCACCGCAGAGGAGCTACCAGAGGAGCATCAGCACCAGCCGGCCAAGCAAGCCAAAAAGGCCGCGGAAAGCGATGCAGCTATATCTAGATTAGCTGGATGCAGCAGCGACAGACACGGACTACCGGACGGGGATTCGGAATCTGGGGATTCGGAATCGCATGGCTGCAGCGACAGCAGCTGCTATTACGGAGCAAGCTGCGGGAGTACGAGGAAGGCGACTGTTGGCAGAGGCAGAGGCAGAGGCAGAGGCAGAGGTAGAGGCAGAGGTACAGGGAGAGGCAGAGGTACAGGCAGAGGCAGAGGTAATACAGGCAGAGGCAGAGGCGGCACATCTCCCCAGGAGGTACCTGTAAGAGTAAGTGGCCTCGATACGGCCCCTGGAACAGCCCCTGGAACGCCCGCTCCTGGACTCCTCAGCACCTTGTTCCGCGCTGAAGCGGATACCCAGGCCTTGTTGCAGCAGCCGACAGGCCCTGGACGTGGACGTGGTGGCCGTGGTGGACGTGGTGGACGTGGTGGACGTGGTGGCCGCGGTGGCCGTGGTGCTGCTGCCGGTGCCTCTGCTGCTGACAACTCGTCAACTTCCACCAACTCGCCCATCTCTCTCCTCTCCACATCCTCGACTCCCTCACCATCCTCCCAACCCGCCACCCCCCCCGACTCGCCTTCCCATTTACAACCTTTTCCCAACTCGTTCGACCTGCCTATCCGATCCCATTATTTCTCACCCTCGCCTGAGCACGACTCTAATTTACCCGCCCCTCTCTTCGACTCCTACCCCCGTGACGACGATATTCCCTTGGCCGCTTTCAAGCGCCCCGACACAGATATGACGACCGGTCCCATGGGCCGCTCACGGCAGGACTCCTTTGTGAGCACCGGCCCCAAGCCCATCTCAGTCAACAACCAGAACCGCGACAGCGTCAACCGCAATCGCAGAGAGTCGCTCGCCGGCAGCCTCATGGGCGGCGCGAGCTGGGGTGGAATGTCCTTCGGCAGCTTCGTCCGCGATGAGTAAGTAAAATGCCCCTCACCCAACAACCACCAACTCGGCCCCCGACGTCCTGCAAACAACCCGTGATACCTTCACCAATCATGACTGCACTTGCATTTGTCCTCCATTACCCCTCTTCCAGTGTCGCTCGCCCTTGCGACCGCCCACTGCCTACCCGCTACCCCCAACACCCATTTGCACTTCCCTGTCGGGCATCATGTCACTTTTTTTTTTAGGCTGCGGGGTGCCACTCCAGTTGTCGCAACCGACTCATTGTATCACCATGACTAACACCTCTTCTCCTAATTACCAGCCTCATGATGACAGGCACCTCCCCCGCAGTTGGTAATGCCGGTGCTCAGCCTTCCTCATCCTTCCACTCCTCGTCTTATCTGCCCAAGCTCGAAGCCAACTTCATGCGCGACTTCACATGCTGCGGCAAGACCCTTCCTAACCTACACGATTTGCTCCATCACTACGAAGAAGCGCATACCCAGCCCAGCCCCAATACGGCTCGCAACAATGCTTTCGGCCAGTTTGGCGCCCAGATGGGCATGCAAGGCAGTTCGCAAATGTCAAGCTCTAGGACTACCCCGACGCCCGTCCCAGGCAACATGCAAGGCCTTGGCCAGCAGCCTGGCCAGCAACAGGGCGGTCTTGACGTTGTCCAGATGAATGCCCTCAACGCCAACATGCACGATGACATGGATGCCGTCGCAGACATGGAAATGGACGATGCAGTAGGCCCCATGGAGCTTGATGACAGCTCGCGAATGACGCATACTCGACAGATGTTCGGCCAGCAACAGCGACCTCAGCTCGACATGTCGCATGCCGGCTTCCCTCAGGCCCTGCGCACCTCCCAACCGACTACGCCGGCCGTAGCTAGCTTTGGCTTGCAGAATAATCCAACCGTCTCCTCCGTCAATACTCCCACCCTCACTACCCAGCAGCAACATCAACTCTCCCAAGGGGGTACGCATATGGATGACATGGACGAAATGGAGGGTGATTTGCCCGGCATGCCCATGGGCGGCAACATGAATTCGCTTGGCGATATGGACTTTTCCAACGGTAACCCTGACGACGAAGACTCGAATTTCTGCATCAATGATCCTGGCAAGCATCTGTTCAGCCCCAACGGCGCTTTCCCACCCGGCGGTAACCGCACCATCCAGGCCCAACTCGCCCAGCTTGGTCTTACCCAGGGCCAGTTTGCCGACCCAGAGACGAACAAAATATTGCTCCAGCGCTTGCAGACCATGATGATGCCCGAGGAACACAAGCCGTTCAAGTGTCCAGTGGTAGGCTGCGAAAAGGCCTATAAGAACCAAAACGGTCTCAAGTATGTGACTCTTCCCTTACTTCTGCCACGGTCATGACTAACAATTCGCTCCAGATATCACAAAGCCCACGGCCATCAGACTCAACAGCTACACGAGAACGGAGACGGTACATTTTCCATCGTGAATCCCGAAACTAGTGCGCCATATCCCGGAACTCTTGGTATGGAGAAAGAGAAGCCTTTCAACTGCGACACTTGCGGCAAGCGGTACAAGAACCTCAACGGTCTCAAATACGTACGTTTATACCTGTCAGACGACGCCGTACAACGCTTCATACACATATTAACATATTCACAGCACAAGGCGCATTCGCTGCCCTGCAACCCCGAATTCAAAATGCAGGCCATGGCTGCTGGGCTGAACTTGCCTGGAATTACTGAAGATGTCCCCCCTTCGTGACGTGGCTGATCACATTTTGTGTGGTGTCTGAGACGCCGCTACCGGTACAAATTCGCATGCTGGCCCCATGCGTCTATACATGCAAAGCTGCAATATATGTAACCCGACCTTGTTCAGCCGTTGACGGTCTGGCGAGCTGGGCATTATTCTGGGGGCAGGCCCCAAAAGGCTGGCCTTTCATCTTGGTCTACAAAAGTGTTTTCACGGCTTCTAGGTATCCTCTTTTTGGTTGACGGTTCACGGTTCATTGCAATGGCGTTTCTTGCACTTTGTTTATCGCCCCCTGGTCTGGCGGTGACGCTCAATACGGATCCTCGCCATATTGGCAGGGCCCGAAAGTACCTCAAGGGCTTTCTTTTCCTTACTTAATTCCCACGATTCCCAAAAGGCCAGTTTGCCCCGTGCCGATCCTTCTGCAGAGAGCTCTGGACGGCCATCCCCTCCAACAATACTCACCCAGCTCTCGCGCCAAGAAACAGACATCGCTTTCTATCCCGTGATAGTGCAACTTGGCTTGCCTGCCGATGCTATCGACTTGACTCTTAATGGAAGGTGTCGCCCTGCAACCTGCCGTACAGGTTGACAAAGGATACAGAGCACCCGCACACTTCGGCGTCTTGCTACCTTGGTCTTTATTTGTACCGAGACCACTTCTACGCTTTCCTTCTTTTTTTACAGCAACAGGGCAAAGCGCCTTGTCTCTGCGTGCTTCGAGTTATGGATTGAACCGACTTGTCGGAGCTCCCTAGGCCCGTTGGGACTAATTCTGATGGTAACACCCCCGGACTTGTCGCCCAACCCATCCATCATCATACGCGAGGAAACAGCCAGACCACAATCTGTTCTGCTTCCAGATATACAAAAGACGACAAGACTTTCGCTTCTATATACGATGCCTGAAAGAGTAGGGTCATAAAAGAAAAAAATGGTGTTGCTGGATTACTGGTTTGCACTTTTGACCGTTTAGGATGTTGGTTTCTTACCTCGACTGGTATTTTTATTTTTCTGTTTGGTTTGATTTTGTTGTTTGTTGGTTTGATTTTATCAGCGGAGAATGGTTTACACAAAAGAATTCAGGGTAGTGCTTTTTTTTTGGACTTTGGTTTCTTCGTTATAAATATCAATTGATGTCTTTCGATGCTGTTACTAGACATGCGAGTTAGGACGCTGTAGCGAGAATTATGATAAGCAACGTGATTCGTGATTCTTGATTCATGTAGGCTTAGAAACGTGAGTAAAATCAGATAGACATAATCGTACAATGTTGACCCGATGAGTAACTAGCTCGCCAAAAACGCCAGTAACAATGCTGCAAATGCAAAAAAGGTGCGAAGGAAAACGAGCCAAACGAGACGAGTCAAGATGTCCACGGCTCGGCTTCATAGGCGCGCCAGAGAAACAAGTCCATCCATTTATGAACGGTAAAATGGCACGGAAAACCCACAAACGTTGTCCTGTTAGAAGTTGCCTACGTTGACGACCCCCTCCCTTTGGCGCTGGGCTTCCGGTCCGAGGTTGTCACGAAACAGAACGATGGGCGAGGCGATGGCGGAGGGCAGCACCGCTTTAATTGATCTCCATGCCGTCATCCTCATCCGCCTCCGACTCGGCGAGCTGTGTGCTTCCGACGCTGCCCTTGCGGCCGGCACCGCCTCCCATGCCGGACCACTCGAGCTCCTCGCCGGCGACGACGCGGCCCTCCATGTCAATCTCCTGGGAGAGCTCGACGAGGGCGTGGCGGGGCAGGCGGAGGAAGCCGCGGGTGCGGACGATGCGACCCCAGTGCGTCATGCAGAGGCCGGCTGCGCGCTTGCGCAGCCACTCCTCGTCGGCGAGGCCGGCCGAGTACCACACGAGGCAGGCATTGTCCACGTCGAGCTCCTTGGCGAGGCGGTTGACGCACAGCAGCCGCAGGTGCGGGATGCCGTACATGTTGGCCAGGACCAGCAGGCCGGTGACCTCGTCAATGCCCGTGGCCGTCGACGACGACGCGCTGCCGCTGGCGTCGTCGTCGTCGTCGGCGGTGCTGTGGATGCTGTCCGTGTACAGGTACAGCAGGAACGCGCGCACGACGGGGTACGGTTCGGGAATGTGCATCTTTTTGGTGTGGAACTCGGCCATTTGCGCATTGTAGAGTCGCGCAAAGTGCGCCCAGCGCGCGAGCAGAATCAGCTTGTGCACGTAGATGGGCCTGGATGTGGTGGCATCAGGCGCAAGCCAGTTCTCGGTCGTCTCTTCCGCGCTGCAGATCAGACCGGCGCTGAGGATCTCGTCGTCTTGCGCGCCGTCCGCAAGTGCTGTGATGACAAAGTCGGTACCGCTGCCCGGTTGATCAAACGTCTTTGCCAAGTCCGCGCCCAGGCCATGCGACGGCTGGTCGAGCGGCCGGGCCAAGACTGAAGGTCGGGTTTCCACATTGGGTTGTGGTGCCAGTTTATTTCCAAGAAGGCCGTACCGCCGAAGGTCAACTTCCATAACATCGCTACATGATGTTAGCCGGAGACAAATAGTGAGTGTGTGAGGGTGAGGCTCAGACTCACCTAAGATATAGCTCGTAGCCCCCGGGGCCGAACTCTGGCCCGACAGGGTCAAGAGGACAGCCAAGCAACCAAGCTTTCGTGCCGTCCTCATTCATAGTACAATAGTGCCATCGATAACCTGATTTGAACATTTCATGACCATCCGCCAGTCTTTGCCATCGTAATGTGGTCAAGTCTAGTGCCGACAGAGAACATTCTCGATGGGTAATTGTGGCAGCTGGGGACACAAAGTCAAGCAAGGTGCCTGAGGAATAGATGTGGAAGTGAATCCCGGAGCCTTGTGACGGGCTGTAAGGGCCTGAAGTAAATTTCAGCGCAGATATCGCTCCAGGGGCCGTCGGGGCATAAGCCTTCAACTGCACCGAGGGAGGGTTCACCTGAGCAGTGCGCGAATTGGCAGCGTATCCGGTCGTTCCAACTGCAGGGCTGTGTCCCATTGAGTGCAGTGGCCGAGGCGAGTCGGTGCGGCTTCCGCTGGGCGGTCGATCATAGACACCAATTTGAGGTCGCGAGTCGAACGCAGGTACACCCTTCAGATCTAGCCACCACATATCGCTGACCTTGTCCATGTGCTCGCTGAGTCCGCCAAACACCCAGAGACGCTCTCCCCAGATGTAGGCGGAATGATCGAACCGGCCAATGAAGCGCCAGGTTTTGGACCATGTAAGTGTTTTCAAGTCGAGGTAGCAAAGGTCATCCAGGACATAGTTATTTGCTCCCGTGATTCCACCAATAATGAACAGTTTATCTTCGTGCAGCGTCGCGGCATGTCTGGCTCTCCCTTTTGGTACTGGGCCAGTGACTGTTGGTTGGGTCCAGTGTGCAGTCTTGAGGTCGAAGATGATCAAATCGGAGAGGTACGTGCGATGTTCGTTTTCGCCGCCGAATATCAGCAGTTTGTCGCCTTGGTAAAGGGTTGCAGTGTGTCCTTGTCGCAGAGTTAGCAGGAAGCTGTTGTGCGTGTGACGGAACGGTGACACTAACCCATGCGTACACCCGGGATGTCACCATAGTTATCGACCAGGCTCCATTGGTGGCTAACAAGATCGAGTCGCAAGACATGGTTGTACACCTCGTCAGTATACTGATCGAAGCCACCAAAAGCATAAATCTGATTGTTGCCGCAGTAGGTGACGGACGCATTCACCAGACACGCCGGCCGCTGGCCGAGAGTGCGAGTGACCTTGGGCCTGTAGCCATCGACCGAGGGGCGGGCCTTGGCGGGGGAATTGGCCATGATGTAGGTGTTGTTGGAGTCGGGGAGAGCGGGCGGGGGCGTAGGAGCGGCCATGATGGATGGTGTCACCGAAGACTGGTGGCTCGATGCGTCGGGCAGCAAGAGACTGTCACCAACACCAAAATGGAGTTCAGTGGTTGGGTGGCCGGAGTGGACGGTTGCGCCATGAGAACAGCTATTTTCGCAGAAGGCTCATGACAAGTTTGATAACAGCATCTGGTCAATTGACAACAAGCTAAGCCAGATTGGGATAGACCCCTGCAGTTTCAACCAAATTTGGCAGCAGAATCACTTTGCCATAGGTATTTATTCTATTTATCATACAGATTTATCATACTTATTGTATTTGTTCTACTTGTCGTATTTATCTTGTATGAGGCTGCCATAATGAATCTGGCTTGACTGTCAATTGACCAGATGCTGTTGTCAAATTATCCGCCTTCATCGACGAAGGCGGGTGGTGTGGGACCTGTGGCGCAGCGGTGCATGCAAATCTGAGCCTGCCGTGAGGAGTCCTTGAGTGAGACAATGCTGACAATCAGTCTGCACCTGATATCTGGATGGCAAACGAGGAGCACAAAATGTTGCAAGCGCTTAATAAGTTATGACGACAAGCGTCCCGGTCGGCACAGAGTACGAGTGTACAAAGTAGCAAGTGACAGCAGAATGCCATGCAGGGCTCTGTATCGGCGGGTCCACGTTAATCCTTGTTCCGACTAGCCCCAGAGTTGAGACCGTCGAAGCAGAACCGGACTATCCTTGTTCCGTAATCATCCGGTCCCGACAAGGGCCTTGGCCCGTTGCCTGGCCAGAAACCAAGTGGGGCCCAAAGTAAATAAAAGCGAACTGCGTATCGGCACCATCTGGTCGACATGCCATTCCACCAATATTCACCTTCATACCAAAGATCCCATCTATATCCTTTGCACGTTCAGTTTAAAGCTTTTATAGCTTACTTGCACACCTCTACATTCTGCTTTTTGCACACAAAAGTTCCGAAATCGTTTCGAAAATTATTACGTCCGAGTCGCTTTCCACGTTCAACGTTCCGACACGCCTTGTCTGGTTAAGCAAGGCATCCTCGGTTTGATCGAAATCCGTCACTTTTTTTCTTCGCAGAATCAAGTGCCAGAGAACCAGGAGCCTTTTACTAGAGCGTCTTGGAGCTTGTTTGATTACGTGGATACTTGATTTGGTCTCAACACATCCTACGTCTTCTATATTGAAATCCTGCACAGTCCGACCTATTTCTCCCCAACAAGTTTTCACCGGAAAAGAAAAAAAAAGAAGAAAAAAAACTTCCTTCAATTCAAAATGTCGACCGCCGCGATCTCAACACCTGTCAAGTCCCACAAGGGGCTGTTCTCCTCACGCACCGCTGGGGGACGTATGCCACTTACACCATCTCCCCACCAGCAGTCTAAAACAACGACCATCCCCGTGAACCTTGACTCGTCTCCGTACACCCCCGATGGATCGGGGAAAAAAGATGGCCGTGCGGCCAAAAGCTCAAAGTCAACTTACGGTGGCAACCTCATGTCACACCTGTCGCGGTCCGTATCCATGGCCTCTAGCCGCGGGTCCCCCAAGTCAAATATTGCCCTTGGTGCGCAAACACCTCGCAAGGCCTTTGAGCTCGGCGTCTCTGATTACACCTTGACAGGGACTGGTGTCCCCAAGACCCCCGCCAGCACAAAGTCCAAGAAAGGCTCCCTCCGCATAAAGCCTAGCAAGACAACCATCAACTACGGTGGTGACCGCTTCATCCCCAACCGCACCTCCAGCTCCGCGATTGCGAACGCAGGTTCTAGCAAACTCGACCTCTCCGAGAGACAACGGCCCAAGTCGAGCACTAGTGGCTCGTCAGCCCTGGCCTCCGCGGCAGACGATGCCGCCGCCGCCTTCGAGCGACTGGAAATCAATGGTGACGAGGTCGATACCTACACCAAGCCTTCGCCAAATACTGTGGCTTACCAAGACTCGCTTGCCGACGCTTGTGGCGTCAAGCTGAACACCCGCATTCTGGAGTTCAAGCCTGCTCCCCCGGAGTCTTCCAAGCCTATCGACCTTCGCCAACAATACAACAGACCTCTCAAGCCCGTCGGCGTCAGTTCGGCTCAGATTCGCAGGCGCATCGCTACTGCCCCTGAGCGCGTTCTTGATGCGCCTGGGTTAATCGATGATTACTACCTGAACCTTCTCGACTGGAGCTCGGGCAACCAAGTGGCCATTGGCCTTGAACGTAATGTCTATGTGTGGTCGGCTGATGAGGGCAATGTTAACTGCTTGCTCGAGACCGGCCCTGATACATATGTCAGCAGCGTCAAGTGGTCCGATGATGGCGCCTATGTTGGTGTTGGTCTCGGTACGGGTGAGGTCCAGATTTGGGATGTTTCGGAGGGGCAAAAGATTCGCAGCATGTTTGGCCATGATACCCGTGTCGGTGTCATGGGCTGGAGCAAGCATCTTCTTTCCACTGGCGCTCGCAGTGGTCTCGTCTTCAACCACGATGTGCGTATTGCTGAGCACAAGGTTGCCGAGCTTGTTTCTCACACCTCCGAGGTTTGCGGCCTCGAATGGCGCTCCGATGGCGCCCAGCTCGCCACTGGCGGCAACGACAATCTTGTTTCCATCTGGGACGCCCGATCTCTATCTGTTCCCAAGTTCACCAAGACCAATCACAAGGCTGCTGTCAAGGCGCTTGCCTGGTGCCCATGGAACATGAACCTTTTGGCTACCGGTGGCGGCTCCTACGATCGCCATATTCATTTCTGGAACTCGACATCTGGTGCTCGTGTCAACAGCATTGATACTGGCTCTCAGGTAACCTCGCTCCGCTGGAGTCCTCATTACCGCGAGATTGTCAGCTCCTCCGGCTTCCCTGACAACTCTCTGAGCGTCTGGAGCTATCCCACCCTGGTGCGCAATGTCGAGATCCCTGCTCACGAAAGCCGCGTTCTCCACAGCTGCCTAAGCCCCGACGGCCAGATGCTTGCCACCGCTGCTGCGGATGAGAGCTTGAAGTTCTGGAAGATTTTCGAGAAGAAGGCTGGCTCGTCGGCCGGCATTGGCGCCTCGGGCTCGTCTAGCAAGGCGGAGATGGCCAAGTCTATGACCATTCGATAAGCAAAGTGTTCTTACAGTCGCACGGTAGGTATGCATTTTTCCCTCTTCACAGACGATAGTCTCGTGGGCTGGGCTTGTTCTATTTTCAACGGCGTTGGGGAGTTATTGTCTGCCCTTCTGCACGTGGTTTGAAAGCGCTTCTCCACGATGAATGAGTGCGATGGTCTGGGACGAAATGCAACGACAGAATGAGACCTCAAGAATGGTCATTTTTTTTCGATATATTTCTAGGGTCTAGGATAGTACATTTTAACGGAAATTGTATTCTGATTTTTAAAACTTGGCCAGACTTGCTCGTCAGTTTAGACTTGAGAGATGCACAACGCGCAGAGCCAAAAGAGACTTGCTTGACAGAGCAGTGCTTGCCAGAGCAACTCAGTGTCTGGGCATAAACGATGGGCTGTATTGCCCAGCATACTAACTCGATGCATTGTCTTTGACCTGCATTGCCGAGTGTGTACCTACATACCTACCTTGCCTCCTACCTTGGTATAACGGTCTGTCGCGATTTTTAGCGGCTTGCACAATAATACAGTGCACTGGCGGATGGCTGCCAGCGGTGGCGTTGGCCACTGGAGATGACTAATGCGACCATCCTAGAAAGTGTAAGTTCACTGGGTGCTTGACAACTCTCCCCAGTGCACACCACCCAATAAACGCACTGGCTTGTTCTTCAATAAGCCATCGCAGAAGAGCCCGTGGGTAATTATCTCGAAGCCCGCTACGATTCTTTATTCATCCCACTCAAGAAGCACAACTCCATAGCGACGCTATTGACGGAACGCGGCTCCACGATCCCTTGAACGCTGGGAGATTGCATGACTGCTGGGAGCCTTGGTTGAGATCGCAAGCATCGAATTGTCGACCAATCCGGAATTCGCATCTCTACCCACGAGATTTCGGTGCCAGTAAGCTACAGTTTGGGCCACTATTTCGAACCACCGGACAGCGACTTCGTTGCTGCATCGCCAACAGCCCGGCCGAGAAACATTTCGTGGCTAGCTAGGGAGCGACCCTCAAACAAACGGAGCCTTCCGATTGATTGCGAGTTACGAGACATCATGTCGAACCAGGCAGTCGGCAACGTCTACCAGACAATCATTGATGAGGTGATCAACAGCTCTCGTGTCGACTTTGAAGAAAGCGGCGTGGAGGAGTCGGCGTTGGAAGAACTGCGCAAGGTGAGCCTACTTTCCGTTCTCCCTGCCAACCTGCCAATTTGTTTCGGGTCGCGACGGGGACTTGGGCATCTTGGAATGCACCGCGTTCAAGGGCCTCGTCCTTGCCAAAAGAATAAATTTATCGCATCATTATTTGACGTTGAGTGGTGAGGAGACGGACCGTGACGAGCAAGTCTGTCTGCGCTGGGCTGCCTGTGGGAAGGAGGCGATGGAACCGAGGGGATGCTCACTGACGCAGAAGAGGGGGCGGCGGCCTGCTGGTATTTGGGCCTTTTTAAACCAGAAGGACCCAGCCCTCCTGTGCTGCCTAGCGCCATCGCTGCCTGATTGGCCGATTCGGCGCCCCTCCATCTTTGTCACTGCGATCACGTGAAGGTGCATTTCGATGCCTCGATTACACTGAGACAACTGAATGAACATAGTGATCCTGGTGCTAATCAATATTACAGGGCTGGCAGCAGAAATTGACGCAGCTTGATGTTGCTCGATTCCCCTGGGACCCGAGACCGGAACCTACACCCGCTGTGCCGGATCCTGCTCCGACATATGCTCCTCAGCCCCCTTCGGCGATTCATAACGGTGGCGGTGCTTATATCAAGGACGAGCCTGGTGTTGTCATTAAGGAAGAGCCTGGCACACAAGTCACGGGAGTTCCCCAGTACCCTGCCTACAACAGCCTCGACAGTGGCGGCAGCGTCGCCGCCAACCGAGCAGCGCAGCAGCTGCAAGCTCAGTACGGAATCCGCGCCGCGGGCTCAATCAACGCCATCCAAGATCGCATGGGCCAACAGCCCCAGCAATCGGGCCAAACATCGCAGCCCGCGGCAGCAGCTGGTCATGCGCAGCAGCAAAACCCCAAGCCACCAGTCGGCCAGCAGGTCCAGAACCACCAGACGGATGGCGCTGGCGACGCCGACGAGGACGACTTCGAAGGCGTGCTTCTTCGACGAAGTGAGGCCGGCACTCTAGATGAGCTCGGCCGAGTGGACATTGACCGCATGCTCCACGCCCGGATGGCTGCTCAGGCGCGCAGCATGGAAGGCGGTGGCTTGATGCTGCCCCTGAAAGAGGCCGTTAAGAACAAGCACACAGGTTCAAGAAGCCGCAAGGGCAAAGGGGTGGGCGCTTATGATGGCGGGGACGACGATGACGAGGAAGAGGATGAGGATGCCATCAACTCGGATCTCGACGACCCCGATGAGGATCATGAAGAGGATGAAGTCGACGATGAGGGCCTCGGTCACATTATGCTGTGCATGTATGACAAAGTCCAACGAGTCAAGAACAAGTGGTAAGCATACACCCGTCACTTTGGAGCAGCAGCCAAGAACCTAGAGCAAGTTGGACTAACGCCATGAACAGGAAGTGCACACTTAAAGACGGCGTTCTTACTGTGAATGGCAAGGAGTACGTCTTCCACAAGGCCACTGGTGAATATGAGTGGTAAACCTCTGTTTATAAACAGGACACTTACACCATGCTCGATAAAACGACTCGTCGGCAGACTTCCTCTTAAAAGAGGCTTCTCCTCATATACGTTTGCTTTTTCTTTTTCTTTGGTTACACATGAATTACGCGCGAAATCGGGAGGCAGGAAACACACTGGAGTTTGGTAAATCTTGACCTGTTTTTCTTCTTGTTCCTTCTTCTCGGATTGCTATAAAGTCGACATGCAAAGAGCTCGACGCGGAAAATCAATGGGGCGTGGGTCAAAGATGGTTGCAATGTCAACATCTTTTTACTAAAAAAAATAAAAAATACGCTTCTGCCGTGCTTTCAATCTTAGTTTGGTCCTTGGTATTTAGTTTCTGCCACCTGCCATGTCTTGCGTAGGTAGTGTTGGGTAGTACCTAGAAGATGAGAAGCATGATTGACAAGACAAACATGGCCACAGCCAGCGTTCAAGTCGTGCATAAAAATACACTTTTTTGATCGTCAAACTACATTGCCCACCTTTCATATAGCTATCTACTCACCCCCCATGGACAAGAAGTGGCCGAGTCCGCGCGGGCGCCGCGCCGTCACCAAGTCCTGCTGCCCCCGGGACCATGGCGCGGCGCGAACAGAGGGAAAACGCGCGCCGAATAATCCATGAAAATAGTGCCTTGCCATAGAACGAAAATACATTGTCCCAGAAGATAGTCTACAAAACGAAGCCGGTCTCCCCCCCCCCCCTTCCCTCTCTCTCTGCTGGCAGACGGGAACATGACAAAAAAAAAAGTGCAACTTGTCCAGTTCAAGAAACCCCGTCCTTGTCCCTGGGGCCTCATGGTCTCAACACCGCCACAACGGCTTCAACACGTGGGCTGTCGTCACAAATGCCAAGCTGGTTTCTTTGGCTCCATCTTCTCTGATTGCTAGGATTGGGCGCAGAACGTGGCAACGGTCGTGAAAATCAAATGAAAAGAGGCTCTGTCGTGGTGTCTTGTTCTGGGCAATAGATCTCGCGGCAAGGCTCTGGTGGGCGCGTTGTCGAGTTCTATCGAGAGCCTCCATCGGCGCCAATTCCATTCTCCGCGTCCATGCGTAGTCTCGGGTGGTCTGAGAGACATGGTGACCTTATGGGATGCTCGCCAGAGGCTGTAGACACTTTCCGGGCCCTTCCCTCGACTCTTCCTCGTCGAGATGGGCTCCAGAATCACGACCATGCATGGGCGCATACACTCCCAAAGACACATCATGTCGTGTCCGTGTCATGTCCCGCGCTTTGGCGAGCCTCAGACCTGTTTTACGCTCCTCTGATAAGACCCATGCCAAGCCGGACGTAGCTCAATGTCAGGTGGTGTATGATAGCCATGGGGCCGACCCGACAGTCTGGTACGCCTATCCCGGCCAGCCAATGACAGCTCAGCCATAGCACAACCTAGGCTCCAGACATCCAATAGAATGGCTGCTGTCGCATCCACAAAAGTATGTTTTTCATGATTCATGACTGCCCTAGTGGCCTTCCAGTCAGTTGTTCCTCGTTCAACGTTGTTGGCACCAATCCTGGCTGCGGCTCCCTGCAAGACCACGCATCTAGACACAAAACTGAGAACCTCCGAATTCGCTCCTCACCAGGTACGAGGGACAGGGGAAGAGTAAATGTAGGCTTTTCAAGGTATTGCCGCGGTACTAAAACTGTATCAAACATAAAACGAGCAAGCAAGTTGGAGTCGTCGTCTTGCTGCGAATGGGCACTGGCGTGCTGACCTCTTTTGCCCTGCATAACCCAAGTTGATGATGCCATGCCCAAAAATAACTCCGCCCAATGTTGCCAACGCTATGCCTCTAGCCCTGCCCAAGATATCAATTGGAACCGTTGATCCCATAGTCTTGACGAAATCATTAAATCGCACCCTAGTGCATCGGCCGCCTCGCCGTCCAGATGTGCCTAGTCAGCGCATTTAGTCTTCCGCCGCCAGAAGGCCTGTCACACATAGCAAGGCATCTACTTACATGACACAGTACGCGTGGTAACGTAGCAGACAGCATTCCTGCTTGACATTACCAAGAAGCTTATCGACCTCTTCATGTGACTTGCGCAAATTCCCAATCAAGGGTTCCAGGCTCATTGCTTGCAACCCCTCAATAAGACAATAGTTGAACCATGAGGCCACCTTGTTCTCGTCAGGGTCAGCGCGCCAAGGATTCACATAGCAACGCATGGTGCGCTCCTCAAAGTTGACGTAGCCTGCTGCCTCCATCATTTTTTTCACACCCTTGGTGTCCACTCTTGCGCTTCGCTCGAAATTATCCATGCCCTGCAGGAAAAACTCCGCCCAATTCTTGAAGTCTGACACCGCTGGTTCGATTCCCTCCCACGAGGGTAGCCAATGAATTTCGACCTGCTCAATGTAGCCGCCAGGGGTTGTGTGCCTGCCACGAGTCAGTATTTTGATTTTGAGCCCGGCTTTGGCGATCCTGAGATGGAACATACGCATAGGCGTTGCGATAGATATTCGGCCACAATGTGTTGTGGATGGAGCCCAGCAGCAGTCTCATATGCACCAGATCGCAGTCTTTCAACAGTGGTTCCCAGGAAGCCTCTTCGATATCGAACTGTACCATTTCCACGTTGGGGGGGATTCTGGGATCGAGTTAGCTGACAGCATAACAACATGGGTAGTTTGGAAATTCTGCACACAGAGCTGGTTGGATTTTGTTCAGATCGACAGCCATGACATGTGCCCATTTCAAATAGCTAGATTGATTGTCAGCGATGACTGAGAATCTTGTCACAGCGATACTTACTTTTCCGCCACGTCTATGGCCCAGATACCAGTGCCGGTACCGAGGTCCAATACACGGGCGTTGCCCCTAAGAATAGGATATGAGAATACTTGATTTTTGCGAGCCAACTGAAAGAACTTGTGGAACGTATCACAGCGATCCGTTTCTTCCTGTTGTCGAGGATCAGATACATGCGGCCACCGATATTGTGAGAGGAGGGAGGGTGACAATCTCGTACCCTGTCAATGGGAAAAAGGTATTTATCAGGTCTCCAATTTCCGTAGAATCGTCCGTGCTTCCAGCAGCCCTGCTTGTACTCAGGTCCGTCTCTGCTTATCAGTTAGTCGCCATCCAGCAGCATAAAATAGCGTGGGTAGGAAACTGACGAGATTCTACCCGCCATTGGGTTGCTTTAACTGGCGTTCTTTCTATGCAACCTGTCGAGAATGGGGGATAGTTGCAGCTACCACACGGCGTTGTATTGTGGACTCGCGAAGATGCTAGTTAAAGAAACAAGACGTGTTCGCCCCTCTCGGTCAGATTTCAGGTAGCTAGATTCGACGATGGGCTGCAAGCGTATCGGCACGAGTTAGAAGGTACAGTCCAAGAAGCAATATATATACCAGGTAATGGGGGCAGTTGCCTAGCAGGAAGAGCATAAGAGTTGTACAGCTTTCGAGCCGGATGGGTCCTCAAAGTGTCGATGATACCAACAACTCTTGACAAGGCGGCTTGCGACGAGTGATAATGCTTCTAATGTGAGGAACGTTGCCGAGTCAAGCGTGCAGGTCTCTCCTGGAGAGCAACGCAATGGAGTGTCAGCCCTGACAAATACACGAGGAAGTGTGCTGGGGAAGTCGCAGAAGGCATCTGCGCTGCAGAGTGGAGAAAAACAATGATATACAGGGGCCACGAGAGATGCCTGGCAGGAGTACCATTCAGCGGGAGACTGGAGGGCCGGCAATGGGTTAAATCGAGGCAGCAAGTGTAAGCCGGGAGCGGGCTGCAGGTTGACAACTGTTGGGATGGCGATGTGAGGTAAGTTTGGGAGGAGGGGGGGGGTGCAACCAAGCGGGAATATGGAGCAAGTCAAGGCCGCAAAGCAAATTTGTATGGTGATGGCAGATGACAGTTCGGTAATCTGCAAGGACAGTAGAGGCGGGCGTGAGGTGGTGGGGGGGGATGGGAAACAGAGGTGAAGAGAAGGCGAAGACCGGAAGACGGGTAGACCGACAGGGAATGAGGATGGCTGGACTGACGCTATTACTTACAGGAGGAGGACTGGCAATGTGGCGGTGGAGATTTTTCGACTTGACAGTTTGGTTGCGCACCACACTGCACCAATGCACCCGCATATGCACCCACTTTCTCTCTGGCGTCTCAAAATGGTGGTGCCGCCGTCGACGGTACTCGGGTGCCAACAGTTGATTACGCTGCGGATAGATAGGTAGTCTGCGTGGTACCAAGGTGACGAACGGGGAACCGGGCTGCTGATGTGCTACTCTTTGTCAGTTAGACTCTTGATGTCCCCGGTGCGAATGATGTTACCCGACTGGGCAGTTTGCACACTGACACACTGACCACGCCACAAATGGCTAGATAATACCAAGTGTGCTATGAGCCAACGTTGTCGGGTTGTTGATAACGGGGACCGTCGACAGTGGAGTCGAGCGGTTGACTTGTATCGGTAAAGGGAAGAACGGCAGCCAATCGTCGTCGGTTCGCTAGATTGATGGAAAGAGATGATGTGCAACTTGTATAGGCTAAAGAAGCCCGACTATCATGTCAAATGTGACAACGAAACGCAGGCAAGAGCCAACAAGATCTGCTACTGAGGTGGAACGGTAGAGAATGCAGGTCAAAAAGAACAAGGGCCGAGAGGAGTTAAAAGAAATGAAGCTCTCAACGACATGTCATGAACCTGGCGCAAACGTGCAAAGGCGTTAATAAGACAAGTACGAGCTGCAGCATCGGGGGGAAGCGAGGTATGCTCATGGAAGAAGAGGAGAAGAAACAGAAAGGAAAAGACCTGGTCTTAATAGTCGACCAGGAGTTTGTTTTTGTTTGGTCGATATCTCAGGAGCGGGCTAGACAAGCAAAGACAACGGCCAGAGACAGACTCAAGCAGCGCTAACGAGGAGAACCAAAAGCGAAACGCGAGGCGGCCAAGGCGAGAAAGTGGACAGGGGATCTGACAGCCAAATCCAGCCCAGCCAAGCCAAGCAGGGCTATGGCGATGGTGTGGTTGAAGGGTAAACAGCGCCATGTGGTCTATCATGGACAGCAACAGGCGTGGCGTGAATGCCGTCGGGCAGGCTAGGAAGGCTATATCCCTTGGATTCCCGCCTCGTCAGCACAGCGCCGCCCGTCAGCCAGCTCAGCAGCAGCAGTCCCGACTGGGCAATACAAAGTAGCTACTAAGACGCGGTTGTGGGCATGACGGGCTGGTCAAGACTGCTTTCCAAGCGTGGAGCCGCGGCGTGTGTTGTTTTTTGTTTGGTCTGCAGCCACGCCTTGGGAAGGCGGCCTGGTCTCGTCCGGCCAGCAGGTAGGTCTCTGCCTGGCCTCTTGATCCGGTCTGGCCTCGTGTATTCGAGAGCGGGTTGAACAAGGCCATATCCGCCTGGCATCAGAGACGGCGAAAAAAATAAAATAAAATGCTAGGGATGAGAGGGGGCATTGGGCGTGGGGGCCGTCGAGGCAGTACAAGGAGGTGCGTGACGGGTCTTGAACGTACCATAGTGGTTGCATGAGTTATACTTGCTTTGTCCTGTAGCTTCCGGATATAGCGTGTATGTTGCCGATGTAAGAAGAGGTTTCTTGTCTCTTGATTTCGCTTCCGGCGGCTACCGTATAGCGTTGATCTGATTGTTCGTCTGAGCTGAGACCCCGAGCCCTTGCAATGTTTCTCGGGCTGTCCTCTACTACCTGGCTAGGACTAGGCGGGAGCCTGGTAGCTGGCTCCTGTACGCGCGCGCGACAAAGCCCGCGCCCAAGATTGGGGCGAGACGAGGAGAGAAACGAGCTGTACTTGAAAGGGGCTGACGAGTCTCTGGAGACGGTGGCGCGGCGCAAAGACGAAAGACGATGTAGAGACAGACAGGCACGACAAGGCTAGTCGTCCGTTGAGCGCGGAAGGCTGGGCTGGGGCTAATAATAAGCAGTCCCCCAGAACAGACCAAAGACAGGCTGGCTAGGTTTCCATCTTCCGTTGACGACGGCCCTGGAAAGTTTGGCCTAGTGCTCAGTAGCGTGTTGGGGGCGTGTGGGCAGCCAGTGGTAATACCGTCTGTGTCTCTGCAGCCTCCTACTCCACAAGCAGGGAAGCAGGGACACAAACAAGCCCGAGATTGGAGTAGAGGCGAGACAGAGGCGGGCAGGCGGTAACTAGGTTGGATGGAGTTGATGGAGTTGTTGTGGGTGGTGGTGGTGGTGGAACTGGTGGGTGGATGGTGGTAACTATGTAGAGGGAGGGGGACCGGGCAGAGGGGAGCAAGGGAGCAAGGTGGGAGAGAGAGGTGGAAGGTGGGAGAGGTGGGAGGTGGGCGAGTGAAAAGAGGGGAGATGTGACGACACGGAGAAGGGGGTGTGTGGCCGTTTGCTGATGGGTGGGCGTGGGCCGTGTCTTGTTGGTAAAAATCATCGGCGCAGGCCATCAGTCCAGTCCATCAGTAACTAACTACGGATACCTGGGTGGGAAAGGAAACAGTCACGGACAAAATAATGCAGCCAAAATACCGGACACAATTGATGCCTCCCTCGATTCATCACCACCCAGTCGGCTACCACGACGGCCAGCCTCCTCCCTTCTGTCATCCTCCTTCCTTGTCGCCAGCAGCGCTCGCAGAGTCTTCCTCCCACGTGGCCATTCCTCTGCAGTGCCTGCATCGAAAAGAAATCACAATCACCAATACAGTGCAATATGATCACAACCTGCGCATGATTCCCAACTAGTCAACACCATTGCTGCATTGCTGCGTGGCAGCCATCCCGCCAGCTGCCAAGCGTCGCACAACAGCTCGACCTGTGCCTGTATTTAGCTTCAGCCAGAGAAAGTGTCGTTTTTTTCTTGACTGGGGCTGCAGGTGTGTACTTGTATCGCCCTTATACGGAGAAACAATAGACATATGACGGGTGCAACAAGAGGGGCTGGCCCAGAGCATCGAGCAAGAGTTGTCACAGGCAAGTCATCGGTCAATGTGCCGTCCTCTTCTACCGAGCCTCTATTCGTACAATTGACTGAGAAAGGAAACCGAGCCAAGTCAATAGGTAATATTACCAATGCCGCATTACTACTTGTAGTACTCCGTACATACGGTACTGGTAGCCACACACCACCACCCCAACGACACAGCGCCACGCCGCCCTTGTTCCTTGCGATGACACGCCCTTCCCTAGTGGAGGGCCTTGGGGGCGAAAAAACAGACATGCAGTTGGGAACTGGGAACGCAACAGCTACCACGGCATACGTCTTGTGCGAGTCTGGCCGCGACTCTCACCCACAACGGAAGCGAGCGCCCAAGCGAAATGTTATTTCTTCTCCCGCAGCGAGCACAACGAATGCGGCGACGGTAGCCGCCGTTGCCTCCTCTGACTAAAATGATCAGTGTAAGAGGCAAGCGGGCACGCCGAGGCCGATCGTACCTCTGTATAGCGGATAATTAACAACCTGAAGCAAACTAATAAAACTAGTTAGGTTGTGCAGATATGTCAAGTGAAATCAACAACCACGGGCAAAGAAATCGGATGAAGATGATGCGCCGCGTCGCTATCCATGTTGTGCATACAATACGAAGTTGGGTACAAACTGCTGCCGCAGTCACCGCCCTGAAGCCACAAAGCCACAAAAAGCCGCCACGAGTTTTGTGAATTGAGACAGAAGAGCAGTCACATCTGGAAATATCATATAATATCATACGCAGAATCAGAACGGATAGAAAATGGTCCCTGCAGTGTCGAAATATGCACAATGACGGGAGTCAAGCCGCCCAGGGGGGGCAGGCGTGTTATGCAGCAATCAACAACCACTTTCTGTTGTGAGCTTCCAAGACCAGTATGGAGCGCCCGAGGTGGGCAATCCCGGCGATGGATCACCGCTGCAGCCTAGAAATCTACGTGGCCGACAATGCAGCCCTCCAAAGAGGCGCAAGGCTGGGAGGGGACCCAAAAGGCGCATCAACATGCGCGAGGTTGATGCGCTCCAATAGCTCGCCTCGCGAGTCGCAACGAACAGGCATCTCGGTCCGGGTGATTGCAACGATGGCGAAGCACGCACTCAATCCATGCGGACTATACCCGGCAGAGGCAACGCGAAGAGGGAATGGAATATATGAATAAGTCATTGTCCTCGAGCGCACACTACTTTCTTTTTCCCTCGGTCAGTCGCTCCCTGTTTGTCGACCT